CTTCATCGCTTCGAGGAGATGATGCGAGCGAACGTACCTCGAGAGCCCAAGTCACCGCATTGTAGGTCTCTGCGCCCGGCTCAGTGACGTAAACGCCTGTCAAGAGACGCTTTGGTAAGCTTCGCGCGCCCCACGGGAGCTTGCGACCAGGAGACTTGCCGAGTCCAAAGCGGGGGTACGTCTCGCCGTCGTTCAGCTGCACGCGGGACTCGATGGTGTAGTTGTCCGCACTCATAGCATTGTCTAGCAGGGCTCACTAGGCCGAAACAAGCTGGCGAAGAAGAGGGAGAGACGTCGGGACCAGAGACGACGGAAGGTTGCCAGGCGCTCGGCCAGTTCCGATTGCATGCGCTGCAACGTTCGCAGGAACGCGAAAAATACAGAAAAGAATCGAAGATGTAGAAGGAGAGAGACCGTGAGAGAAGGGAGGGAAAGCGCGGCTGTGGCGAGAGACGAGTCGGAAGTTTACTGTGCCGCTGGCTGGCCTTCGTCCGGGGGATGGTTCGGGTCGATGACGATGTATGCGCGAGACCATGTGAATGGACTCGAGGCATCCTTGCGGCTGCTGCGCCTCGAGCGCTCGATGACTGTGGACGGCGGGAGTGCCGCACGATGGGGCTTGATGAGCGTGAGGCCCTTGTCGATGTCGGGAACGACGAATGCGAAGCGAAAGTCGGCAAGTTCGGCGTACGGACCGAGAGCAGTGTAGAGGGACAAAATCCCGCTGAGCTTGACGGTGTGGCGGCTGCTGACGGTCATCTGGAGAGCGAGTACGACGAGGTGCCCGTCGTCCTCGTAGTACACGGCGACACCATCAAGGGCCGGGAACCCGGGCCGGGGGATGTAGAGGCCCGAGGCGAGGCGCGGGAGAGCCGAATCAGTTGAGGCGAAGGATTCGTCGAGGGGAAACGCCGGTTTTTGCTGAGAGATGCCTGCGTAGTCGAACTTGGCGACAGCCTCCGCAACGTCCCCTTCGTTTTCTTCGATGTTGGCGGTTACCTTGACGAGCGGGAGAACGAGGGGGACGCGCGACAACCGAGGAACCGAGAAGGCTGATCCGTCGGCGAGAACGGCGAGAGCGCCGCAGAGCTCCATGATACGAGCCGAGTACACCTCGTGAGTGATCCCGTGCACGATCGGGTGGTGGACGAAAGACCGAGCGTGTCGTGCGAGTTCGACGATCGCAAACTCCTCGAGCTTCCTTCGCACGAAGAGCTCCAATGGTGCCGAGGCGGGCTTGACGATCGAGTTCGGAAACTGGAGCGAGGGTCGAGGAACGTCGGGAGTCGGGAACTCGGTGAAAATCGTGTGAAAGCCCTTCTTCTGATACTCGTCGCCGATCTTGAGCTCCTTCGCGCGCATCTCCAGATAAGAGATATCGTCGGCCGGGGCAGGCCGCACAGGGTCGTCGTCCCTGCCCGTTCTCGTGTCGATGTTGATGAGGCTGCTGAAGATCCCTTGGAAGTGGGGAAGGCCGTCGTGGAGGTCTTCGAGTCGGCACTCGGGCGGACTAGACTTCTCGCTCCTCAGCTGCTGCACCTTTTCCACCGGCACGCGGACTGAGCGTCCAAGGAGGTAGACCGCCTCGCGGAAGGTGTAGGCGGGGCCGGTAGTTGGGAGACCGGGAGGTAGTTGGTAATAGGTAGGCTCGCCTGGAAGGAACGCCGAAGGCGGAGGTTTAGGTTCGTCCTTGTCGGTGACAGGCTTAATCGGTAGCCTCTTCTGCAGCTGGGCGGCGAGAGCGTCGGATGCAGGAGGGGGAATGACCTCCTCCAGGGGAGGAAGGTGCGTTTCCTGAGTGCTTGTGCGCTGCAGATACGCCTTGGGAGAGTCCTGCCAGGACAACGGTGACGACGACGTGCTATCGAGCAGCTTCCTGCGCCAGGCGGAGGAGGACACGTTCAGTCAAGGCGAGAAGAAAGGGCGAAGAGCCACGACGCACTCGAGGGCTTCGATTTCTTCGTCTGGCCAGCCTTGTATCGTCCAATGCAAAGTCGGATGAACGCGGGTCGCCAGCTTGAGCCAACGGGGAAGCCTCGGCGACGTGGAGAAGAGGAGGACGAGCTTGGGGATCAGGCGGTCGGCGAACTCGTCCTGCAAGTCCACCGTGCCGTTGAGACTCGCGTCCACCAGCGCAACCGTTGGACGCAGGAAGCGAAGGTGAGGAAGCAGCTCGAGCGGGATGTCGAAAAAGGGTCCGGCATCGCAGTAGTAGTCGAAGGTCGTCCGCTTCGTCTCGGTAACGATGCATGGGCGACGCGCCTCCCACAGGCGCCCGCGCTCAACCCTCAAACCTCGCGACTTTCCTGTTGCACGCAAGTGAGCGTGTAAGCACGACTGCGTGCCGGAGGACTTCGGCGGTGCGATTGAGAACGAGAGCTGCGACTCACCGGATCCAGGTTGCCCATAGATTACCAGCGCTGCTCCTGATCGTCCGCGCTGTTCGACAGTCCAATCGACGACGGCGCTGATCCGCTCGTACTCCGCTCGCAGTATATCCGGACGTACAGGATCCGCTGCATCGTCGTTTTCGATGTCGGGCGAGTATGCCAAATGCAGGACGCCGTTCGTCACAGCTCCGTTCGGTTTCCCCCAGTAGTCCATGTATAGCGAGGTCTGATACGCGGTCCTTGGGTTGCCATTGTGCCGGTGGTTTTCGACAAGATACTGAAGGCCTTTGGGCGAGATGTCTTCCGACGAGTCGAGAGAGTAGAACTGGGTGTCGACTGTCGAGCCTTGAAGGCGGGAGGTAGGGAGAGGAGGAGATGACGAAGTGCGCCCTCGCTTGTGAGGAGGAGCGTTTGCCATGAGGATGGGGGAGACGAGGACGAGATTGGAAGCGAGCGTGAAGAGGCGGGCGCTGCAGCGGCTTGTGCACGACAGTCGTCTGGAAGATCGTACGTGCCGCTCAGCGCGTCGAAGCGATGTCGCCTGCCGCAAGGGAGGGAGGGAGGGCGATGACGAGGCGAGGGAGGAAAACAGTCGACACTGCGATAGGCGCCGCTTGAAACGCTGTGAGATGGTCGTGTCTCGTCGATCAGCGGAAGAATAGCTCTGAAGCAGCACTAACGACCCGTCTGGCGAGAGCGAGCGAGATGGAGACCGCCTCATCAGTGAACAGCCGATCCCTCGTCCTCGACCACCCACCTCAACCGCTTCTCCGGGTTCGTGCTGGCTCGATGAAGGCTCAGAAACCGACATTCGTTCTTCACGAAGAGGCAGAGTCGTCCCCAGCGTCCTGTTCGACCTCGAGGGAACGCGCAGTCCCTGCTTCTCCCCACCATCCTCCTCCCCTGACGACGCACCTCTCCTACCGCCGCTACTCGCACGACGAAGGCACCCGCACGCCGCCCTCGCACCACCTGTGCGACCTCGACGAGGAGTCGGCGCTCGAGTCGACCGGCGGCGAGAGCGAGAATGACGCTCTGCTCGCGAACGGAAGAAGCGCGAGGGGGACGCCAAAGCGGAGACGGACGCTGCCGCAGAACGGATACGGAACGCTGGGAAGTCCGCACGGGAACTACTTGACGTTGAACGAGGGGGCGCCGTTCAAGCGGACCGAGTCGATCCTCCGCCTCACGGGCTTGATCGACGACCGCGCTGGCGAGTACGAGAAGTTCCGCAAGACGGATGAGGAGCTGAAGAAGATGCCGAAGAAGGTGCGGAAGTTCTACGAGCGGCAGAATGAGCAACTCGTGCGTCGGCGTCTTCCTCTCCTTCTTCCCGTTCCGTCGTTCTGACGGTTTGCTAACAAGTTTTTGCACGCAGGACGCCTTCATCGAGGTTGACGAGATCCTCGACAACGCGCGAGCCAAGGCTGCCACGGGCGAGCTTCTGCCGATCGGCCAGCACAGCTCGGAGAAGCAAGACGACCATCGCGCGGCCGTCAAGTGGGCCATCGACTTCAACCTCGCCATCAACATCCTCCTCATCATCGCGAAGATCGCCGTCGTCTTCCTTTCGCACTCGATGTCTCTCATTGCCTCGACCGTCGACTCGGCTATGGACCTCCTCTCGACCGTCATTATCTTCGGCACGAGTCGCTACATTGAACACCGCGACTGGAAGTCGTCGTACATCTACCCTACCGGCAAGCGCAAGATGGAACCGCTCGGCGTGCTCATCTTCTCGGTCTTCATGACTTCGTCATTCCTTCAAGTCTTTATCGAGTCCGTCAACCGCCTCTTCGACAAAAATCTCGAGTTCACCCGCCTGCCGCTCGTTGCACTCCTCGTCATGGGGTCAACGATTGTCATCAAGGCGGGAGTCTGGCTCAGCTGCCGAGCTATCAAGAGCGCGTCCGTCGAAGCTCTGCAGCAGGATGCGGAGAACGACGTGTGTCCTCAGTGCTGGTCTCTTGGCCCTGATCTCCCAGACTGACTTATCAACGCCGGCGTAGATCGTGTTCAACTTCTTCTCGATTCTCTTCCCCTTTGCTGGCCAGCTCATCGGCTTCCGCTACCTCGACGCGATGGGAGGTGCCCTCCTCTCGCTCTACAGTGCGTTCGCAATCCCATCACCCCATCAGGAGAAGCCTCGTAGCTCAGATACCTCACGAAATCCCCTTTGCTGACGCGCTCGACCCGCCCTTCGCAGTCATTGTCGAATGGGTCGGCACGCTCCTCGACAACGTCCGCAAGCTGACCGGTCGCCGCGCACCTCCGCAAGAACACCAGCGCATCGCCTATCTCCTCACTCGCTTCTCGCCGCTCGTCGAGGCTATCCAGCACCTTAGCTTGTACTATTCCGGCGAGGGTATGGTGTGTGAGGTGGATATCGTCTTGCCGGCGAGCACGAGCTTGACGGCGTCGCACAACCTCGGAGAGGCGTGCCAGGTGCGTTCGAGACTCTCCCTCTCCTCGCTACACGCAGTCGCTGACGCTCCTTCATCCCCGCAGTACGCCATTGAGCAGCTCAGCGGGATTGAGCGCGCCTTTGTTCACGTCGACTGCACCGTCAATCCGCACTCAGGCCACCTCGAGCGATGAGGCGTCGAACCCTTCGCCTCGACTCGATTCGCCGCCTCGCCTGTCGTCCTCTCGCTTGCATTCGCATCGTCGTCCGTAGCTGGTCTCGGACGGCTCCATGTAACCAGTCCGTGTTGTCGACACAGCATCTCTTCAGCTCACGACGGAACTATGAGCGATTGGGAAGGTCGGCCTGCTTACAGCCGGGACAGTCCAGCGCTTCCTTCCTCCGTCTCGCATGCGCTCTGCGTTCTCTGGCATCGAACGGAGATTCCTCGCTTTTCTCTTGGCGAGCGGGTCCCACTTCGACCGCTCGGTCGACGATGCTCGACTTCCCCTCGAGTCTCAGTGGATCGCAAGGGTGCATGGCTCCGCGTTCGTCTGTTCGGCCGGCTCTGCATTTGCTTCGTCGTCGTCTCCCAGGACGAACAGGTCTCCTCGACGAGTGTATCGACCGCGTCAAGTTAATCCGAAGCAGGCTCCCTGCCTCGTACTGCGCTCTTCCTTGCTGCGACTGTCGCGGTTCGCCTGCCGAGATGCAAACATCGCTGTCGATCATCTCGAGCTTTCGCTGCTGGCCCCGCACTGTGCATCGCAGCCGAGCAATCCGCACTCCGCGAGAGAAAAGCGTCGTCCGTCCCGCTGCCTTCGCCCGTTCGTCGTTCGTCGAGCTGGTGAAGCTGGTTGTGTCGCTGCCAGAGTTCTAGGTAGCTCTGCTGTCCCGAGGACGGTCCCGCTTCCACTCCCGCCTCGTTCGCAACGAGCGAACCAGGTGACGCCGCTGTTAGACGGCGACGATGACGGCGGGCGACGACGAGAGCGCGCTCGAAGGACATACAGCGTGCGTATAACTCTCTACAAACCCACCCAGCCCGCCAGGAGCGAGGGCGAGGTCGAACCTCTGGCGCTCACCGCTCACCGCCTCCCGCTGGTCTCGCTCAACTCGCTTTCGCGCTCGCACAGGACACCGGACAGCTTGACGGAGCGCGCGGTAACGACAGACGCGTCCGCTGAAGCGCCCTGCGGCAACTCCGGCTCTTCCTCGCCTCCTCCCACGACCCACACACCACCCGCTCGATCCCTCTCACTCGACACGACGTCGCTCCCGCCGCCGAGCGCGCCACGCAGGTCCAGCCAGCAGTACGCGCGGAAGGCAGAGCTCGCGCCGCCCATCGACCTCGCGACTCTCGTCCGACCGGCCCACAACAGCGCCGAGTACTCGCCTCTCGAAGCACCGCGGCTACCGTTCTCCAGCCGGCGCACGTCGACCTCGAGCGCGTCTTCAGGTTCACACTCGCCTCGGCAAACCCACTCGCGCGCGTCCTCGTCCTCCAGCCTCGGCGAACAGGCGCGACTCGCGCGGGTCGAGCTTGCAGGACGATCGACGCACGTCTCCTCCGGTTCAGCCGGACCAGCAGCCAGTGCTCGCTCGACAGTCGCAGAGACCGGGGGAATGAGGCGCGCGTACGGCGGGGCGGACTTGAACGAGTCCGCGCAGGAGCAGCTCCTTGACGAGCCCGAGCGGGCCAAGGGCTATGCGGATCCGTACGCGTGGGAGAGGCCTTTGGATGCGGTCAACAGGGTGCGTACAGCTCTGACCGAGGCGCGATTCGCTCCTCCGGCCCTCGTCGCGCAAGCTGACATCCCCCTCCCCTCGATACATGCAGTACTCGCGACTGCTCGATGCTTCACCCGTCACTGCGCCCTCGGTCGACAGCCGCCGCCTGTCACGACTACCGCCAGGCGTCTCGATGCTCGACCCGTTCGGCTTCAACCTGACGAACGACGCCTCGCCCTACGACCTCGCGCTCTCGGCCTCACAAGCGGGACTCGCGGCAGGAATCACTTCACCCGCCCGCTCGTCTGTCCGCGCCAGCTACATCGGCTCCCCAGCCGTCTCTTCTACGCCATCCCTGTCTCCCTACCCTTCAACATCGAGCACCTCATCCCTTCCTACGACTCCCTCCCTCTCGCCCGCTCCCGAAGGCTCATTCGCGCCCGGCGCTCAGCCGTGGCTGAAACCCCGCGCTTCGAGTGCTGGCGAGCAGGGAATGGGGCACAACAGGTCGCAGGTGCGGAATGGGCTGCTTGCGGCGCCGAATGGATATGCGAGTCCGAGGCAGGCGTACGGGCGGAGCAAGTTGTCGGGCGAGATCGATGCGGATGTGCTTTTCTCCTCTCTGCTCCTTATTCTCGAGGAGCCTGTGCTGACATGAGGGATCCGGGTACAGGCCATGTCTGTCGCGTCCACCTCGAAACGACAGCCTCAGTCCGACATCCCCGGCGTTCCCACAGACGCCGACTACCTCAACTCGAAGCTCTACCAGCGTACGATGAAGGCGCAGAAGGCGCTCGAGAAGGAGCGCGCAAAGGCGGCGGCGAAGGGCAAGATTTCTCGCTACGACTCGTCCGGTCCGGCGAGCAAGTCGACCAGCTCGCTCTCGTCGACGCTTGGCGGGTTTGGCGGACTCGGCGGGATGCGGAGACGGAGTGGCGAGAGCACGAGGCCGCCCAGCATCATGTCTGCGGCGGGCGTGTCGGGGACGGCGTCGGCGCGGAGAGGCGGCAGGAAGGGACTTGGGTGGTTCCGCTCGAGCAGCGAGGCTGCGCTCGGACTCGGCTCGTCGACGTCGCCGAGTGAAGAGATCGAGGGCTCGATACCCGCGAGCAAGAGCTCGTCGCAGATCTCGATGCAGGCTGGGCGGTACGGAGCCGGTAGCAGCAGTCCTCGTCGTGGCGTGTCGCCGAACGGCTTCGCCCCTACGCCGACCATGCCGCCTAGCCCGAACTTGCCGAGCGAAGCGACGTTGCGTGCGATGGGCGTTTCGACGGACCAGCTTAGGGCGGCCGCGCAGGCACCGCAGTCGGCGCAGCGCCCCAAGTCTGGCTCGAGGCAGAACAGCAGCGAGAAGAGGAGCCCTGCGGGGAGTGCGCTCGGTACGCCTGTTGGGCCGCCTAGTCCAGGGCTGGAACAGGCGGCAGCACCGTCGCGTCCCGCTCGCCCGCCTCCTTCGCGCTCTGCCACCCTCGAACCTCCGCCCGCAATTCCTTCGCCTTCCCTCACTCCTCCACCTACCGCCTCGGCCGCGTCTGCGAACGGCCACCCGCCTCATCCGCCGTCTCTTTCCACCATTCCGCCTCGTCTCGCCTCTCGCACCGCTCTTCCCGCCAACGTCCCTCTCCCCGCTTCAGTCTCGCCTACTCGCTCCGCTTTCCCTGCCCCAGCACAGGGTGAACCGCCTCTCGCCCCTCTCCCGCTGGACAACTCGCCGACAATGACCAGTCCTCCAAGCCGTCTTCCGCCTCCCGTTCCCCTCCCCCAGCCGCCTTCAGCGCAGCAGGCCACGCTCGCCTCTTCGTTGCGTGCCACATCCTCCACCGCTTCTCCCGCCGCCACCGCACGATCGGAACCCGCCGCCGACGAGTCTCTCGCACCTCCAGTCCAAGTCAAACGGCGCAAGAGCGGCTTCGGGCTTCTGTTTGGCGGTTTCGGTGGCGGTTCAGCGTCATCGCAGCGGAATAGCGCTCAGTCGGATACGCCGAGCGGGCGAAAAGCGAGCCCGACCCCGTCTTCCACGACTTCGGTACGACAGGGCGCGGAGGGCGAGGCAGCTCGGGAGAAGGAGCGTATGCTGAAGCGGATAGGCGAGCGACAGCAGGAGCAGGAGCAGGAGCAGAGGTCAAAAGCGGCGCTCGGATCCAGCACGAGCTCGAAGAGCGACGCCAAGCTTGTCAAGGAGCGCACAGGTGGCGGAGGAAGCGGCTTCTTCGGCCGCAAGCCGCGCCTGTCGAACGCACCGGCTCCAAGCGCTGCGATGGCGCCGCCGCCTCCGAAGGGTGCGATGGCACCCGCGGCACCGCCTGCCAGGCCGAAGAAGGACGACGCCTCCTTTTTCCACCCCTCCCAAGCGATCTACCCCTCGCGCGAAGCCTCTTCAGCATCTCAACCGGCCTCGCCGCAAGTCGCTCAGCAGGGCATTCGCGCCGTGAACCCCTCGCCTCGGGTCCCGCAACAAGCGACCGCCCCGCCCAGCGCCAACTCGTCCGACTCTTCCGCCACGTTCGCCAGCCTCAGCTCGTCCGCCTCGACTCTTCCACCTCGCGGCCAAGCCGCCTTCCCGAGCGCTGGCGAGATGTCGCCTCAGCACAAGAAAGGCGCATTCGCCTCGCTCTTCTCGTCGTACGGCAGCATTCGCGGCAGGGCCAAGTCGACGCCGACAGCTCCTCCTGCATCGTCGCTGAGCTCGAAGGCCCAGTCGAACGGCTACCCGACGGACGACAAGGTTCTGCCGGTCCTCCCACCGCCAGCAGCGAACGGGCTTCTCAAGAAGCCGCCTCGCGGCCAGTCGCTCGGAACTGCTGGACAGCCCCAGGCGAACGGTCAGGCTGGTATGCTCGCCCACCAGAAGCCGTACGCGACATACGCGTGAGCGTCAAGCCCTTCCCCCGATCCTTCGTACCGACACTTGCCCTCGGCTTCCCACTCTTCCCTCCGCATTCGCATCGCCTCCTCTTACACGGACACTCGTTCAGCGGCGCGGCGACGCCGGATCACCTCGCAGCCCAGCCTCGAACACGCCTCTCGACTTACCTTCCTTCGCTTAATCACCTCGCCCCGTTATGACTTTCGCCCACTGCCGTACCGTCTTCCTCTTCCTGCCGTCCGCCTCGCATCCTGCCTTGGACCCTTCGTCGCATCGTCTTACGGTCAGCTCGCGGACACTCTCGCTTACGGATTGAAGTCCTTCTCGTTTCTGTGGTTGTCCTCGCATCGTCCGCAGTCATACTCCCCTTCACGCTCTTTGCAACGCGTCTCTTAGCCAGTCTGCATCGCTCTTGGCATCGCGCGACAGACCTGTCGCGCGCTGCCTTTCTTCCTCTTTGCCTTTGTTCATCCGCCGCGCTCTCCCTCGCTATTGCTTCGCTCCGCTTGGAAGAACCTGCTCGCGGCGCTGGTACTCAGTATGTCTCCTCCCTCCCCCGCTCCGGCCGCCAGCATCGCTCAACCCCCTCCTCAGCACAGCCCTCCATCCTCATCGCTTCTCGACGCGCGACCACCTGTGACGGCATGGAGCTGCACAAACACAGTCTTGCCTTCCCTCTCGATGATCTAGCAGCCCTCTCGTCGACCCAGCTCGCCCTCGTTCAGTTCCACCCTGAGGCGTCTCCCCTCGTTGAAGAGCGTGCGAGGGTCGAATTTGTTCGCCGCAGGGCTGCATGGCTTGAGCGGGAGAAGCAGAAGCTTGAGGCGGAGGAGAAGCCGGTCGTCGCAGTCAAGCAGGAGGTGGTCGACGCTGGGGTGACCGCTCTTGCAGGAGGAGCGAGCGTTGAGGACCTTGGTGCGGTCAAGAAGGAGGCAACCGAGGTTCTCACGCTGGACGACGACGATGAAGAAGTCGAGGTGTTCACGCTGCCAAAGAAGGGCAAGGCGCCGAAGGAAGTCAGGAAGAGGAAGGCTTCGCTTTCAGGGTCTCCCTCAAGCGCTTCGAAACGCTCTCGAGCAGCCGTCGTCGCTCTGAATCCGACGCCTACACCTACACCACCTCCCCCTCAGCCCAAAATCGCCAGCATTCTCTCCGGCCTGTCGTTTCGCAAGAAGAAGTCCTCAGCACCAGTCGACGCAAACCCAGCCATCGACCACGAACCGCTGCCTTTCGGTCTTCCCGGCGTAGGCACGACGGGCACTCCGCCTGAGCCGTCGCCCAAACCTAAGGCTGCAAGGCCCGTTGTCGAGTTCCCGGTCGACCTCCTCTACCGCTCAAGTCGCCGCCAATCCTCTCCTCCTCCGACTGTTCCGGCCCGACCTGCACTCGTCATCGCGCCAAACCCTCTCCTCTCGCGAGCTCTCACGCAAAACATGAGTGTCCCAAAGGACGAGGCGGATCACCAGTTTCTTTTCCGCCCGCCGCCGTCCTTCCCTGTCTTTAGCCCCTTTCCTCCGAATGCCGCCGAGAAGGGCACCGACCCGCTCCCGACCGCTCTCGTTGACAAGTTCGTCACTGTCGCGTTCGACGGCCTTTCGACGTCGGTCATTAAGGAGCTCCTGCTCCGCTTCCTCTACCGCAACCAGCACCGTCTCGCTCGGCGGCCTCTCGCGATTATGCGCTCTGCGCACTTTGAGGAGGAGTACTGAGAGGACGAGGAAGGCGAATACTGCGACTTTACCGCCACCTTTCTCCTCGCCTATCGCTCGATCGAGGATGCGAAGCTCGTCGTCGAAGGCAACAATGGAAAGACGTCGGCTGGACCTGGGACGCTACGAGCGAAGAGGTCCGGAAGATCTGGTGGAAGGCTCGCGATATACCGTACTCGCGGGTCTGTCCTCGCTACGATGCCTCCAAGGCTGACGAGCGCATCATCAGCGATGAGTACCATAGCGAGGCGGACCGGATCCTCTCGCGGACCACGCCGGTAGGATTCGCTCGCGACCTGGCGCAATACCTTCACGAGGAGAAGGAGGTCGTCTACGACGAGCGCCGTAGCGCTTGGATACGGTGGACGGAACGGTCGGACAAGGAGGAGGCGCTTGCAGCGGGGGAGAAGGAGCCAGAGTGGCCGACGTGGCCGAATGACGCGGCGGTCATCCTCAGGGCCACGAAGCGTCTTCTTGCCGGGATCGGGCGCTGGGAGGCGGAAGCGGATCGGCTGGCCGAAGAGAAACGCGACAAGCAGATACTCGTATCGCGGGAGCGCCTCTTCGCCTCGCGACAATGTGCGCCTTCGCCCCCAAGCCTCTCCTGCGTGTGTACGCTGACGTGCCTCACGGTTCCAGCGATATTTGCGCCGGCCGCGGTAGCAATCTCAAACAACGCGATCACCTCGACCTCCTTGCCGGTTTCTGGAATCACGCCGTGGGAAACATCGTCAACACGTCCGGACAGTATCACTCTTCTCGGCACGGCGACTGCGCAAGCGACCTCGGCAGTACCATCGACTCCGCCAAAGACCGTCGTTTCACCATCCGCTCCTCCCCCTCCTCGCAAGTCGACCAATAATGCCTTCCCTTTCTGATCAACAGCGTCGCCATACGACACTGCGTAGACTTGCCTTGTCGTCCTGGAACGTATCGCATTGTGCGCACTCAGCGAGCGGGCGACCCGCGCAACTCGCCCGTGTGCGCTTCTTCTGTTTCTTGTCGTTCGCTTCGCTCAGATCTCGCTTGGACTGGTTGTGACTCTCGCTTCGCTTGCTCTGCTTGAAGCTCTGTGCCGCCCTGTGCGTCTCTGCGCTTCCTCTCCTCCCCTCTCCTCCTGCGCCCCACATCTCCATCTACCAGCGCGGCGCCCTCCCCAGACACGACTGTGAGGGTCGCAGCAGATTATCAGGCGGGGAGAACGCTGCTCGTGGACTCGCGGTGCGGCCCGCTGCGACGGCGTTTCGCACGACCGCGCAGACCGGTCGAGGATGAGGAGGATGGACTGACGGGACAACGGCTCATCTGCAGGCTCGAAGTAGGGCACGAGTAACAGAAGCGTAGTACTGACACGTAGCTGCCTCGTGCAGGTCATCCTCCTTCTGCTCAACTCGACTCCGCACCTTCCCCTCGACATGACCTCCGCGACTCCGCCTTCAGGCAACCTCGCCTCGTACCTGCGATCTCTTCCTTCGATCCGTGAACGCTGTTCGCGCGTCTTCGCGCTCGCTCAGGAGGACAAGCTTGACTATTGGTCGCTCGACCTCTCTCGCGAACCGGAAATTATCGACTTCGTCTGCGGCCTCATCACGCGCGACTTCGGCACCAACTACGACTCGATCCCTCCCCACGGCCGATGGCGTCACTTTGTCGGCAACCGCGTCGACCCGCTTCTCGCTGCGTGGGACAAGGAGAACGTCGCGCCGCTGGAAAAGGCTCGGCGACTCGTTGACCTCATGGTCGTCAGCGTTCTCATGGACGCAGGCGCGGGCAACGACTGGAAGTACAGGCCAAAGGATGGTGGAGAACCGATCGCTCGGAGCGAAGGTCTCGCCGTCGGAAGTCTCGAGATGTTCGAGCAGGGCATGTTCAGCAGCGAGGCGGGACAGCCGCATCAGGTTGACGGTGCGCACGCTCATTCCTATGTCTCAAAGTTCAGCGTGCTGACCTTAGGACCTCGTTGAGCCCAGCTGTCGGCCTGTCGAAGATCAAGGCCGACGACATTGCGTCCGCCATGCAAGTCTCGGAGTCGAATCCTATGACCGGCATCGACGGTCGAGCGCAGCTGCTCATCCGACTCGGAACCGTCTTGACCGACTCTGCCAGCTCCAGCTACTTTACTCAGTCCGGCGTCTCCCGACCCGGTCATCTCGTCGACTACCTCCTCTCGCACTCGTCGTCTCAGATGCTTCCGTCGCCTGTGCTCGGCAGCAAGATTGCGGTGAAGATGGACACTATGTGGGAGGTCGTTGTGTCAGGCTTGAGCGGTGTCTGGCCGGCTACGCGAACGAAGATTGATGGCGTCAGTCTGGGCGACGTCTGGCCAGTCGACTGTCTCAAGAAGCTCGGTGGAAAGGAGGGTGACGAGCTTGTCAGCTTCCACAAGCTGAGCCAATGGCTGACGTACTCGCTCATCGAAGTGTGAGTCTCGCTGGACCTTTACTCGCTGCGCTCTTCCCAAACTCGCCCGCTGACTTTGGCTCGCAGCATGGAGACGTTGCTCGGCTGGTCCTTCATTGGCAAGGAGGCGATGACTGGTCTCCCCGAATACCGGAACGGTGCGTTCTCATCGAACTCCGCGTGCACCTTGTTCGCAACTCACGGCTGTATTCGCAGGCGGCCTCTTGATCGACTTCAACCTCCTCCGCCCGAACATCCCCGCTATGCTCAAGTCCTTCGACCTTCCCGTCCCATCATCGTCCTCAGACTACCCCTCTCTCCTCGACCTGCCTCCCTTCCCGCCTTCTCACTCCGCGATGGTCGAGATGCGCGCAGTCACGATCTGCATGCTTGACCGGCTGCACGACGGCATCAACAAGAAGCTCGGCGTCAACCTCTCGCTCCCGCAAGTCCTCGAGTCCAGCACGTGGAAGGGCGGTCGCGAGATTGCGAAGAAGCTGAGGCCGGAGACGGGCGGTCCTCCGTTCAAGTATGTGGCCGACGGAACGGTGTTCTAGAGTCTGACTGGTCGCAATCGCGTTGCTGCTTGTTCGAGCGGGTGACTTTGGTGAGCGTGCGCCCGTTTGCACTTCTCGCTCTTTACCTCCTCCTCGCTTCGCCTTTGCGCTTCCTCCGCGGCAGCGACTCGTCCTTCTTGTTCTTCAAGTGATGATCGTACGCTCTGCCCGTCCCGAGCTGCTTGCCCACTTTGCCCATTCTCATCACTTCCTCTTGACCTCCTTCCGTTCACCACTTCTAGACTACGCTACCCGCTCGCTACGACTCTCAATGCCAGACTACCCCTATCTGGAAGGCAACGCAAGCCTAATCGCCTCGCTCAAGCTCCAGCGTGCGCCGCGATAGCTCGCTTCGCTTCGTCCCGTCAGCAGCTTATCCCGCTTCTCTCGCCGCACACAGCACATCCCGAGGGCGGCTTCTTCGCAGAAACTGTTCGAACGGACCAGAAGATCGCCTCTGAGTTCGCGGGTAAGCTTGCGACGCCGTTCCCGCTGCATTCTCTTCTCAGCGCAGAGGTTGATCTCCCCGTTTCTCGCACACAGATGGAAAGCAGCGAAACCTCGCGACGCAAATCTACTACCTTTTGACACCCGACTCGCCGAAAGGCAAGATGCACAGTAAATAGAATGCTTGCTTCCTCGCGCGACTTGCACGACTGAACTATGCGCTCCTCGCAGTGAACAAGTCTGTGGTTCGTCTTGACGACTTCCTCCCGCTGATCCTGGCGGCTTCGAGGCTGACGCATTCGCTGCGCAGACCTTCCACGCGCTTCACGCTGGTCGCGCTCTGTACACCCTCGTCAAGCCCCTTCCTCCCAACAGTCCCACCGGCGCTGAGCCCGAGATCAAGCACGTCGTGATGGGCTCCGACGCGTCCAAGGGCGAAGTACGGCAGTTGTTCGTCGAGGGTGGATGGTGGAAAGCAAGTGAGATCCCAGAGGAGGATCTGAAGGTTGGCGAGGAGGATAAGGAGCATACTGGCTGCTTGATCTCCGAGGTGGTCGTGCCAGGTGCGCCGCTCACGTTCACGTGTGCGCTCGAGAGCGCCTGCGCTGATACTCAGCGCGCAGGATTCGACTTCGGAGACCACAAGTTCTTGAGCAAGCAAGAGCTCCTGTCGCTCTTCAACGGTGACGAGCAAGCTGATGGCGTCCAGAAGCTCTTGCCGTACGTTAGGGAAGATTGAGCGAGGCGACGGAACAGAACAGACGTCTCAGGACCCCCTTTAGAACGAGTTGCTGTGCGTATCGATTGCAAGTTAGGAGTGGTATCTATGCGTCCGCGAGCTCGATGGCCGGTCCTGAAGTCGAGGTGAGCATGACACGAGTGATGCCGGCTGCGCAGTGGTGTCAGCGGGTCGCTTCAGAGGCGTGATGGAACGAGACGCACGTCGCCTCTGCCGCTGCACAGACCCGCCCTTGTTTGACCCAGTTCCGCCGATAGCCACGTCCGAGACCGAAGCGAGCAACGTGTGCACGTTCTCCGCCAGTTGGTCGGGGTTGAAGTGCAGGCGGCCAACGACTGCAAGACTCGTCCCTCGTCAGCGATGAAAGGGCTCCGTGCCGAGATTGAAGGTAACACACCCGCTCGCACGACGCCCCTCGAGTCACCCTTCCAGTCCAAACCTCCTCGCGCCTCCTGGATCGCCTGGACGACATCCTCCGTGACCGTCCCACGCTTGACACTAGGCATCAGACCCCTCGGACCGAGCGTCCGCGCCAGAGTCGGGTTCCGTTGGAAGAGCGGGAGGAGCTCGTTGGTGGTGATGAGCTTGTCGGGGCTGATCTTTCCGAGGAGGATATCGTCGACGAGTTCTTGTCCGCCGACGATGTCTGCGCCGGCCTGTCGCGCCGCCTCGGCCTGCTTGCCCGATGCAAAGACGACGATGACCTCGTGCTTGGTCGAATTGGCGCATGAGTGAGGGAGGAAGGCACGACCTCGAATGGCGTTGAGCTGGATGGTGCCAGTGGGCTTGACCTGGACATTGATGTCGTAGGAGAGGTTCGGCTGGAGTGGTGTCCATGCCTGAGCGTCCCAAAGCACCCGGTCAGCCGGTGCGAGCCTGGATTGTCAAGATGTAGCGATGAGGACGGACCTGCAACACCTTCGCTGCCTCGTCAAGCGGCAGCCGGATCTTGCTCCGGTCCGCATGCGCACCCTGTCCCATTTCTGCCCTCCGTTTCCGCTCGAGCGTCACCTTGTGCAGCGCCGAGTAGACGCGGGCCTTCTCTGCGGGTGCGGTGGTCGCGAAGGCGCGGGAGGATGAGGCCGCCGCGCGGGAGGATGTCGAGGGCACGAGCTGGGCCCGTGAGGATGCCAGCAGAGCTTGCGCACGCCGCGAAGCCATCGTGAGCGGTGAGAGCGGCGTCGAGAGGGTCGACCAGCGCGAGGAGGAAAGCGCGGAGGTGGAGTCGTCGAGCGCGCTTGCAACTCGCGCAGAGGCGGTTTGGGCGACGTAGAAAGTGCTCACAGCAGCTGCTGAGCAGACTGGACCAGCCGAACAACCCAGGCGAGCGACTTCGAGCGACACCCTCCTCCTCGTCTCCCACGCAAACCGACAAGAACAGCAGGAATCTAGTACATTCCGGCGCTCAAAGAGGTACACAGCACCGCGAATGCAAAGAGGAAGTCCTTCTCTCCCCAACATACAGCCTTCCGCCCCCTCTCATGCGTCCATCGAGTCCCGCTTCTTGAGGTAGGACAGGCGGTCCTGCTCCCGCTCCGGCCGAGACAACGCTCCCCTCCTTCCTGCATCTGCGCCAAAACCACCAACGAGGTCGATCGTGCCGTAGATCGCGCCGGTGAAGAGCGCGAGGCCGAAGGCGGCGGGGAGAGAGCGGTGGTAGAGGCCGAGGAAGAAGCCGGCTGCTGCGCCGCCCGCCGCGCCCGCAACGCCATTGTCGTGCGACTCGATGGCGTTGGCAACCGCTGCGTTGGTGAAGCCGAGTGTTGCGCCGACAGTGCCTGTGGGCGAGGAAGAGTGAGCGGACTTGCGAGCGACAGACCAAGCCTGGCCAGCTCTCCACGGTGCTCAGGAATACTTCTGTTTCCCTCACACCGCAAGCACGGCCGTCGAGGACCGGTACGTACCGAAGACGGGGATCATCCAGCCAGTCCGCGTGAAGACACCCATTGCGCCCTTGTTGTGCGTCTGCAGCGCGTTCGCAACCGACGAAGAGAACAGTCCAACACCGCCGCCGAATATGGCGCCCTCTGCGGCGCGCGCGACGGGCGAGTCGGGGTGGTAGGCCTTGGGGAGCTGGGTCGGCTCGAGCGGCGGGAGGTATGACCGGGGCGGGAGGACGATGTCCTGCGTTTCCCGGAGTTGCTCGTACTGCTTCGACATCGTGGCAACCTGCGCGCGCTGGGGGGAGAACGGGGAGCGGGTTGGCGAGGCGGGGAGATGAGGAGGACGAGACGAGCTGGACTCGTTGGAAGGGCAGCAAGCGAATCAGTCTAGGTCACTAGCTGTCTGCGAGACTGCTCGGCACACTCACAGGCTCGCTGCTGGCTGGGCGTGAGACGGTGACGGACGACTTCCTCACGCACCCTCTCGCGGGTGGAGTAGCCCTCGACCACAGTCTCTCACAGCTTCATCTGCATTCTTACTGCTACAGAATGAAGGCTGTTTATGTCTCGAAGGAAGGGCGCGAGCTGCAGGATCGCCCCATCCCCTCACCCGGCCAGAACGAGGTCTTGATCCGAAGTCAGTCCTGTTTCGCCGTCTCCTCCACACTTCCACCTCGTTCAGCGGTCATCTGGGCTCGAAGGACGGCGGCTAGAGTGCTTTGGAGGGACTGCGCGGGTCGTTGGACGGAAGGATGCGGTGCCGCCGGACTTTCGCCTCCTCCACTTGCACGTTGGCCGAGGTGGGGTCAACTAGGTCGCTCAGCAAGGTTATACTGCTCCGAATTGACACCTTTAAACGCTCTGCAGATGTCGCTGTCTCGAGCAACCCGAAGGACTGGAAGATTGTGCGTGCCCGCTCCTCCAGACGTGCATTTCCTCAAACTCGCTGACCTTTCACTCGCCCTGCAGCCCTTCTACATGGCTCCGTACGCCGCCGTCGAGGGCAACGACGTCGCAGGGTACGTCGAGAAGGTCGGCGAGGGCGTCACCAAGTTCAAGGTCGGAGACAAGGTCGCGGCGTTCACCAAGATGCGAACTGACGACAAGTACGGCGCGTACGCCGAGTACTCCGTCTCGCCTTCCAACACCGCTTTCCACCTTGGCCGCAACACGTCGTTCGAAGACGCCGCCGCCCTCCCGCTCGCGTACAGCACAGCTGCGATCGGACTGTTCAAGCGTCTTGGCTTGAGCGAGCCAGACCAGCCGGGTCAGCGAGACGGCGCACTCCTCGTCTGGGGCGGGGCGACCACTGTCGGTGTTTACGCTATCCAGCTTGCTAAGGTGCCTACACATTTAATACCTGACTCAATCATTCCTCGTCCAGCTGACATTGCTGTTCGTCCCGCCCTGCAGAAAGCAGGCTACCACGTCGTCGCTGTCGCAGGCTCTTCTCAAGACGTCCCCAAGTCCTACGGAGCCGACGAAGTCCTCGACTACCGAAACAAGTCGACCTCGTCTCTCGCCTCCGAGATCCGCCAGTCCTTCAACGGCAAGGGCGTCAAGTACATCTACGACGCCGTCTCGGAGGGTACGCTTGACGTCGTCGCCGAGGCGCTTAAGGATGTCGAGGGATCGAGTTACACCTACGTCCTCACTTACAGCGAGGAGCAGCTCGAGGCGCTTCCCTCAAACGTCCACGCCGAACGGACGCTCTGCGCGACAGCATACGGCGAAGACTCGGACTTTGCGGAGAAGTGGTTCGACTGGGTCGGAAAGGCGATCGAGGCAGGCGAGTTCCGAGCACAGAAGGTGACGGTCGTGCCAGGTGGACTCGAGGGCGTCGAGGAGGGCCTGAGGAGGTTGCAGCAGGGTGAGGTGCGAGGCGAGAAGCTCGTGTACCGCATCAAGGAGACGCCGGGACTCGCCTGAGGTTCTGCAATGCGAGCGGGAATGCGAGATGCGATTGCGTGCGAGAGGAGCGACGGAGTTGGAGCTACAACAAAAGAACGACATGAGGCGGAATAAGCTGCGAGTCTAAGAGTAGGAGTGCTGGAGATGCGAGCTCTATGCTTCGCGAACGACAATCTTTGACTGAACCTCGACAATCTTCTCTCTCGCGTCGCCCCGGTCCGCTTGCCGCTTCTCCTCCTCAGCCTGCCTCCGTTCCATGCCGTCCCTCGCCAACTTCCGCAGGTTCTCGACATACCTGGTCGGGCCGCGGTACGAGATGCCGTCGCCGAGAGGGAAACGAGCGGCGAGATCCGACTCGTCGAGCTCGACGCCTTCCTCGCGCGCGCGCTCGGCGGCAGCAGCGACGTCGGCAGGGGTGATGCCGGCAGGGAGGATGACGCTGGAGAAGGCCCTCTGCAGGCTGCGGGTGTCGGCAAAGAAGGCCGCGATGGCGCCAGCGGGCGTAGGGCCGCCCGTCTTCGTGTTCGACGACTCGACGTTGTAGCCGACCTGCCACGTCGGGACCTCCGCGTCCCTGTTGAGGAACTCGGCAAAGACGTTCTTGCCCGTGCTGCGGCGCTCGACCGAGACGGGACCCTCCTGGAAGACGCCGTCGAGGTAGTTGGACCCCTTGAGCTCGAGCAAGGTCATGTCGATTCCCTCGACGAGCCCCGCCAACACCTGCTTCTTGTCATCGCCCTCCAATCCCGACTCCTCCGCCCGCGCCTCCCCTTCTTCGAGGCGTGCCATCTCGCGCTGCGGCGCTACGAACACCCGCAAGACGTCCGTGTCCTCCTGCGCGGCGAAGGTCAAGTTGACCGTCTCGTCCGGGTAGCACTTGGTCGCCTCGTCGAGGACGTGCTCGAGCGCGCCGAGCGAGAGGCGGAAGACCTGGTCGCCTGCTTCATGCGAGCCGAAGAGCGCCTCGTCCATCTCGGCGATCGGCACGTATTGGAAGCCGAAGAAGCGCTCGGTCGAGTGGTAGGCGACGAAGATGCCGTCCATGCCGCCGATTCGCGCCTGGAACTGATACTTGAGGAAGGCCGAGCGGATCAGGTCCTGCCGGGCAGAGTGCGTCAGCTTGCGGAGCAGAGGGCGTGAGATGATCTACGCACGTAGTACTCCCGCTCGAACGACTCATACGCCCCTCGCAACCGGTCGATGGTGTAGCCGGCAGCGGCCTCCCAGTTCAGACGGTCTTGTCGGACGGCGACTGTACTGCGCGTCTTCAAGTCGAACGTCTTGTTCGGGAGGTACTCGTTGCAGGCGTCGAGCTGAGAGCGGAGGACCATGTCCTTGGTCTGCGAGACCGGCAAGCGTTAAAGGCGGGACTCGGCTTCGAAGGCAGGATCTGCGCACCTTGGCGTAGTGGTAAGCTTGTCGGTCGTTCGCCTCGGAAGGGGCGGGGTCCTCGGCATCGACAAGGAACCGCTTGAACTCGCTCGCCTCGGTGGTCAACAGCTTCTCCATCAGGTGTCCCTGCACAACATCATCGTCAGCGCATCCGGATGAGCTTGGAAGCTGGCGAGATACTCACGTAGTCGCGAAGAACGTTGAGGTCGGCCGTCTTGTCAATAGATTTGTCGGCGTCGATAGCGTAACGCCCGTCGCTGTAGTTGAGAACGACCGAGGCCGGTAGCTTTTGGCCGAAGCTGAAGCCGCGATCCTAAGTATGTCGCGGGAGCGTGAGTATAGGAACTTGGAAGAGACAGCGCCGGGCGACTCACGCTATCCTCGAACCCTTGACTGAGCATGCTCAGGTTGACGGGCTTGTACTTGCTGAGCCAGAAGTAGATCTGCGGGACCGCAGCATCAGCTCTGAGCTCAGCGCCCAGCGTTTGTAGCGAGTACGCACCTGGCAAAGCATGCCGGTCGTCGAACTCGTACTCCCGACAAATTTCCGATCCTCCGCCTTCGCCAGCCCCTGCAACGCCTCATCCTTCGAACTCGTGATGTACTGCGGCAGCTTCGAGAAGTCGAACTTGTCGATGGGCGGCACGTTCTCGAGCGTGTCGCGGGCAAAGTTGTAGACGCCTGATCGAGGGTCTTGGAGGAAGTGTACGCCGGGGTTGAAGAGGACTCGGTCGAGCGAGTGGGCGAGAGTAGCGATGGGGACGGGACCGCCGGGAGGAGGGATCGAGTCGAAGGAGATGTTGCCGGGCGTGAGGACGTGCTTGTAGGTCGAGATGTCGATGGGTTCGACAGGCGGCTGCTCAGACTGGTACAGCGTCGGGTCGCTGCCGTCCCACGCCTTGTTCTCGGACGCAGGCTTCGGCGTTCGCTTGCGAGCTGTGAAGGATCGGAGGAAAGTCAGTACGAGCCGTCGGACGAGACGGGAGCCGGCGCGACGCACGGCCACTCTTCCTCGTCTGCGGCAACAATCCCGCCAGCTTAGTCGTCGCAAGATTTGGCTTCCACCACTTCTCCTTCATAAAGTCCTTCTCCTCCTTGACCGCATCAGCCATCGCGGCATCCCCTCCAACCGCGAGCGTCTGGGCGATCTTGTCGAGCAAGAAGGGACCGTTCCGGTCTTTGGGCTTGGGAGCGTTGGGGTCGATAACGCGCGAGGTGCTGCCGTTCGAAGCTTCGATCTCCACGATGCGCGAGCCGTAGATGCGAATAGCCTGCTCCTGCTCGGCAAGAACGTGGCGAACGGTCGCATTAGCATCATCGAGCACCCGCAACCGAGGAGATTGACGTTTACGCACCATGTCCTGCATGTCGCGCGGCCACTGCGCCTCCAGTTCGTTCATCAGCCGCTCGCGTTCCGCAGTCCGGTCGATGGGAACAGGTTCGGGCGGAGTGTAGCGCGGGCTGGGCTGCCCGCCTTCGGCGAGGTGTGCTGGAATGTCGCTGCGGGTACGGGGGCGGATGGGTATGTCGCTGGGTGCGGCTTCCGCCTCGAGAGCTGCCGACTCGGAAGCAGGGTCCTGCGAAATGCGAAGCATCAGCACAGCTTTCATTCACAGCGAGAAACGAACACACGGTCTTCGGTGGAGAAGCGCTGTGGAAAAGCCCGTTCAACCGCAACACGGAGCGATACCGCTCGACCTCCTCGTTCTTCTGTCCCGTCGTCATTGTTTCCCAAGGTCGCAACCGCGCCTGAAGAGCCGATACCCGCCCTCGCAAGAGCTTGAGCTCCTTCGTCGGGACTTCGTTCTGCGTTTGGCTGAGGAATCGTCGGGCGGCGTAGGTGAAGCGCTGGTGGGGCGTCTGCGCATGGGATGAACGACGCTATCAGCTTCTCCACGAAAGCCCGTGCAACACGTCGGATAGATCGACGCACAGGTCCAACCATTTCCCCTCGCTCCATCACTTCATGGACCTCCGCACGAATGGTTGCCTGACTGTGGCCCATGTACCTTCGGCGTGCGACCTGCCATTGCTTCTGCGAAAGATTCCGTCTGCGGCTCGCCTCACTCTTGCCGGTCGCCGGGGCCGTCCCCTCCGGTGGTGCTGCAGACTCGACACCCCTTTCGTGCGACTCGCGGACGCCCTTCTGCCACCCCTGCCTCCCCTTCTGCTTCGTTACGAGTCGTAGAGGCGTCTGCAGCTCAGGGATAACAGCTCGAGGCTGGCTGGCGTGTGGTGCGGGTGCCGAGTCGAGCTGGATCGAGGGGGAGATGGCGAAGGTGCGGCGGAGGAGAGCGGGCGGCGGGCACGTCCGGCAACGTCTGGAGCCGCACCGTGCTGCTGATTGGAGCGCTAGCATGGCTCACAGCAAGGACAGGCTCGACAGGAGCGAGCACGTCGCGATGGAGTGAGAGCGAGCTTCACTCTGGCGAGGAGGAAGGCAGGCGACCTGGCAACAGCGTCCTGCGCGTGTTCTGGCGGCGTGGCAGGCGCTCACAAAGTCTCGAGAGTCTATAGCAAGCGCGACCCGCAGCTCTCGAGCCAGATACGCTCTCCTGCTCCTCCTCGCGGCAGAGAACCGCGATGAAGGCAGCAACCACGCCTGATCGGTTCGGTAGTTCGTGCAATGCAGTGAACAGTTCCGCCTGTACCCTCACAGCCCGTCAGCAGCCCGCCCGAGTGCCGTTCCCCTCTTGCCGTCCTCCTCCGCCGGGTCGAGGTCGAGGAAGACGACTCCTTGACCGCTGGGTGCGTCGTGTTCGCCAGTCGCCGTGAGAGTGGAGATTTGGCGCACTGCAGCACACGATCCAGCGATGCGCCCGAGTGACGCGGTCAGTGGGTGGTGCCCTTCGCCGACCTGCTGCTGCCTTCGTCCGCCGTCGTTGTCCCGCTCGACTTTGCGTGTTGCCGCTTGGCTGCGATGCTGAGGAACTCGAGCGCTGCACACGGTGCACTTCGGTGGGCTTCGCTCTCCAGCGCACCCGCTCCTCGACTTCACTCGCTCCCCTCCGCCTCCGCTTCCCTCCCGATCAGCCCAACTCCCCGCTCATCCCGCGCACACTCGTACTTTATTAGCTGGAACCCTCACACTGCCCACTCGCATCGCTCTCGCATCCTCATGACCGTCTCTGTCGCCGCCGGACTCGCAGCAGCGACAGCCGCCTTCTCCCTCTACAAGTCGGCGAGCCCTCCCCCTCCCTTCATCCCGAGTGATGCCCAAGGACTGACCGTCGTTCTGTCAACAGCCCCTGGATCCGCTGGATTGCGAAGAGGAGAGACCGATGTCGGCTCAGGGCGGCCGGCCATCCTTCGTCGTGCGTTGCGTTGTGCTCTCGCACCCGCTTCTTCGACCCAGTTGACCTTCCGTTCGTTCGCGCAACCGCAGCCCACTCCGTCTGTCGACCTCGACGACACCTCGATCCCGATGCGCCTGCGCATGATCCACCACATCAAGTCTCTCCAGTCGACCATCTGCGAGGCGCTCGAATCGCTCGAGCCGTCCGGGCAAAAGTTCAAGTCGTCGTACTACCTCCGCGACGCCTCGAAGGGCTTTGGCGACTCGCGCGTGCTTCAGGACGGCGAGACGTTCGAGAAGGCCGGGTGCAACATCTCGGTTATCAAGTCTACGCTCTCGGTGCCCGCCGTCCGCCAGATGCGCGCCGAGCGCTTCGACTGGTGGGACGGCGTCTCGGAGCTTCCGTATTTTGTCGCCGGCTGCTCGCTCGTCGTCCACCCTCGCAACCCTCACGCACCGACAATCCACTTCAACTACCGCTACTTCGAGATTCAAGATCCCAAGGACCCGAACGGCGAGCCCAAGGCGTGGTGGTTCGGCGGCGGGACGGACCTCACCCCTTCGTACCTGTACGAAGACGACGCACGACACTTCCACGGCCTGTACAAGGAGGCGTGCGACAGGCACGACGCGGGCTACTACGCCCGCTTCAAGAAGTGGTGCGACGAGTACTTTTACATCCCGCACAGGCAGGAATCGCGCGGGATTGGCGGGATCTTCTTCGACGATTTGAGCGAGGGCGACCCCGAGGCTATCTTCAAGTTTGTCCGCGACTGCTCAAACTCGTACCTCCCCGCCTACTACCCGATCGTCGAGCGACGGAAGGACCAACCATTCACCGAGGAGGAGAAGCGCTGGCAGCAGCTCAGGCGCGGGCGCTACGTCGAGTTCAACCTCGTCTATGACCGCGGGACCAAGTTTGGCCTCGCGATGAAGGAGCCGCGCACCGAGAGCATCCTCATGAGTCGTGCGTTCGTTCCCCTCCATCGCTACTTCTCCTTCCGACTGACGCTCCCGCTCTCGCAGTCCCGCTCACCTCGCGCTGGGAGTACGAGCCGGAAGTAGGCACCGTCGAAGGCACGCGCGAGAAGAAGATCCTCGACATCCTCAAGAAGCCGGTCGAGTGGGCCTAGAGTCCGCTTCTAGCATCCCTTCCCTGCACCGCAGCATACCCTACTCTCCCTCCGTCTCGTGTTGTACACCTCGCATCTGTCTCGTCGCATGTTCTAGTCGTTCTCTCGCCTGTCTCTTCGCTGCAAATGCTTCGAACTCGATCCTGCGTTGCGAGAGGACACCTGGACCCAAGAAAGGACAAGCGGCTTCAAGCCTTGGGCGCCTGGTTCTGCGGGCCGGGAACACGAGGCTCGCCGAGAGGCGTGACGTAGCAGCCGCTGATGCCGCCGTCGACCTTGAAGTCTGCGCACGTAGATCGTGGGATGAGCGAGAGTCGGGCAGGAGAGGAGCGAGAGAACAGGACGAACCAGTGCCGGTGATGAAGGAGCTGTCGTCCGAGGCGAGGAAGAGAGCAGCCTTGGCCTGCTCGACTGCCTCGCCAAAGCGGCCCTGCAAGTGCAGACCTCGAGATCAGCGTGAGAAAGGGAAGCAAGCGCAGACTACGAACGCACCATCGGGATGTGCACCATCCTGCGCTCCTTCTTCTCCGGCGTGTCCAGGAACGACATCAGCAACTCGGTCTTGAGCGGGCCGGGGCAGAGCGAGTTGAGTCGGATCCCGTCGCGCGCGTGGACCATGGCGAGTTCGCGGGTCATGGCGAGGACGGCGCCCTTCGAGGCGGTGTAGGCGAGTTGGGGCGTTGCGGCACCCATCAAGGCGACGAAACTGCGATTCGACCAGAGTCAGCGGAGGCGAAGAGAAGACGCAAAGGGAGGCGTCGCACCTGGCAGTGTTGATGATCGAGCCGCCCTTGGGGTTCTTGAGCATGGCCTCGATGGCGTACTTGCAGCCCCACCAGACGCCCTTCAAGTTGCTGCAGCGACGAGACGAGTCAGACGAGTCGAGGCAAGCGGGATGAGCGGAGGTTTGGCGTACACTGCGCCAGAGAACAGGTCAGCGCAGGAGATCGAGAACAGGCTCGACGCCAGCACGCACTGTTCATCGTCAGGTCCCAGATACGCTCCTCCGTGTTGAGAGCGTTGTCGTCTTGAGGGTGCATGATGCCGGCGTTGTTGCTGAAGGAAGCGGAGGGAAAGGCGGATTACGCGAGTGCACAAAGCGTTGCGGTCAGCACGAGCACACCATCACAGTTCGCAGGAAGACGCGACGCACAAAATGACATCGAGCTTGCCGAACTCCTCGACCGCCTTTGCGACCATCGCCTTGATCTCCACCTCCTTGCTCACATCGCACTTGACCGCGATCGCCTTCGCGGCGCCATTGACCTGCTTCTGGATCGTCTCGACGGTGCGCTGAGCTGCTTGCTCGTTGATGTCTGCCGCAACAACGTGAGCGCCCTCCTGCGCGAAGACGAGGGCCGTCTCAAGGCCGATACCGCTGCAAAGGGTCGTCAAACCGGTCAGCGCCTGTCGATAGTGGTACAGCGAGAGATACACAACTCACGCGCCAGCGCCAGTGATGATGCAGACCTTGCCGGGGAGACGAAGCGTGGCAGACATTGTTGATCAGCGGGACGAGGAGGAGACGGCGGAAGGCGTGCGTGCGGTGCGGGGAGGGATGTGGGTATGTGCTGGATGTATATCAGTGCTGGCAAGGTAGCCAGGCGTGTCAAAGTGTGTGCGTGAGAGTGTGGAAGGAGGACAACCCTCGACCGCCCCACCCGAAGAAGGTCGACCGTGCACCACTCGCTCACACGCTCAGAGGGGCAAAGCTGGACTGCGAGCGCTCCGCATCTGGCTTATAACCCCTATCGCGACCCTCGAAATCGCACCGGCGCGGCTTGTTGCGACGACCGCTCCGCACGCCGGAGTTCATCTCTTCAAACGGCCGCAGCCCCTGCACTGGCTCAAGACGTCCAGATAGACAGACCGAATCGACCAGACTATCTCTATAACGCACCCAGACACCCCCCCCGAACGATGGCGACTTCTGCAACGTCAACCGCGGTCAACGGAATGCATCCGACCCTTCCTCGAGTCGCTTTCCTGGGTCCCGTCGGCACATATACACATCAAGCGAGTCTCTCAAGCTTATTGCATCCACTGCTACTCCCGCTTACGCCCTTCGACTTGCAGGCGACAAGCGAGTTCTTCGGAGATTGCGAGTCGGCTCCTCAGGCGCGGATAGCGGGTTCGTCTCATCGTACTCTGCAGGGGCCATGTCACAGCTGACTTTCGATGTCGCAGACGTCTTCACAGCCGTCTCGAGCGGCTCCGCATCCTACGGCGTCGTACCCATCGAGAACTCGTCGTTCGGACCCGTCGCGGAGACGACAGAACAGCTGCGGACGACGGAGCTGTCGGTGCGAGGGATGCTGGCGCTGCGGATAGGTCATGCGCTGATGGCGAGTCGGAAGGCGGAGAAGGGCAAGCTGAAGCGGGTGTTCAGTCATGAGCAGGTTCGTGGAGCGTGCTGTCTTCGTTTCTGTCGACGGCTCCATGTCCGACTGGGAGCTTACCGCATCCGCGTCTTTCTAGGCCATCGGACAATGTCGACGATATCTCGCCGAGCGGTATCCAAACGTCGAGATCATCCCGGTCAACTCGACGGCGCAAGCAGCGGAACGAGCGGTGGACGACCTAGAAGCGCTGGCGATCTGTTCGCTCAAGTGCGCCGAGGTGTACGACCTAGACGTGGTGGACACCGACATTCAGGATGCGGGAGAAGGTGTGTTCGCCTCTCGCTTGACTCGCTCGAGCGACTACTGACGCTTAGCCCTCTGCAGCCAACACAACTCGCTTTATCGTCCTCTCGCGTTCCACCGTGTCTCTACCCTCACGATATCCTATCAGTCGGCCTAAAACGGTCGACACGGCGCCTGAGCAGTAGACAAACCTTGCGTGCTGCGATGCTATTCATTCGTAGGCCTGTCTCGCAGGAAGCGCGAGTAACGACACATCTTGCCCAAGCGGCGGGACCGCTAAAGGAACTCTCAGCATTGCGGCGTGCCCCGGACCTCCCGCTCCTTACAGGCTGGCGTAGTTGCTCCTCTGCTCGCTGCTGGCGTCGTGAAGCCGAGCAGACCAACTCTCTGGGATCCCAGAAGATTCGGGTCCACTCAGTAGTCAAGTCTGGCAAACGGTTGAATGTGCACGCTTGAAAAGAGGCGAGGAAAGTTGGCTACGACGAAAACGGGCAGAACGAGCAAGTCGCATCGGCATGATCTGCGGGTGCACTCGTCAGTACCAATCGCTTCCTGAGAGAAGGGGAGGAGCGCACCAGCTGAACCACAAGTAGCGCCGAGCATTGCGCTCCTCCTCGACAAAGCGTGACGGAATCTCGAGTTCGACGCCGCGGATCTTGAGGAGCTTGGTCAGCTCTTGCAGGAGCTCAAACGCGTCCTGGTCCCATCCCTCATGAGCAATGTTTATGGAAACGGACTTGTACTGTAGGCGGCTGGTCTGCATGCCCGCTGCGCGGACCATGGCGCGAAGCGGCACATGCGGACGCTGGAGCGGGAGAAATATGCATGCAAGGTGGGTGAGGCTGGGCGGAGGTGACTGCAGCGCAACAACGCCCATCATCACGTCGCAGGCGAGATGGCGCAAGACCGGAAGATGCGGGAGTGCCGGCGCAAGCCACTCGTACGACGTCAGGTAAACGCCCTTCAGTACGAGCCGCTCGAGCTTGCGTAGCGTGGCAAGAACGCTCGTCGTGCCGTCGTCTTGAGACCGGCACATGAGGAATATTTCGAGGATGACGAGCGTGTCGGCAACTTCGTGAAGCATTCGAAGGGCGAGGGTCGCGTCGTGAAGTGCGAGAGAAAGAGCTGTGACGAAGGATGTCGGGTTGATTGGACGAGGCGGTAGCGTCGTGCCGTGCCTCGCAGGGTCTGTCCACAAGCGCAGATCGAGAATGCGAAGGGATGGCTTCTGCGCGAGGACCGTGATGTCGTTCGGCGAAGGGAACCAAAGACGCGCTCGCCAAGTCTCGTTCCAAAGCCACCACCCCTGACTTAAGGTGAGAGACTCGAGATCGAGGGAATCGAGTATGCCGAGTAAACGCATGTGGAGCTCGCGCATGAATCCGCGCAGGTCGACGTGCTTGATGTTGCCGCATGCCGCAAGGATCCGGCAAGCCGTCTCGCCTTCAGTCTTGTACTGGCGCGATCGCGATTTCGGGAAATAGTCCGTGCCCATCTCGCCGACCAGTCCGGCGCAGACGGCGTGGACCTCGGCGGCGAGGTTCGACTTCTGCGTCACGACGGCGGCGAGCTTGTCCAGGTCGGAGCACGAGAAGTCGATGAAGCGGAAGAGCGCGCGTTGTGCGGGCGAACGCCATTTGCGGCAGACGAGCGCGACCGTGCGGATGTCGTCAGAGCAGGAGCTAATGGGGAATTTGACGAGCCCTCCCACAGAACGGTCCATCGCGTTGCGCTTTTGGCTGCCTTCGATGAGCCATCCGAAGATCTGCGTGAGCAGCTCAGGCGGGAGGGTTTGGGCGAGAGAGAGGAGTGCCATGACTTCGCTCCGAGCGGGTTCAGCGGGGTCGCGGGAGAGTTGTAGTCGTTCAAAGGGTTGTGTGTGCCGCTCCAATGGTCGCAAAGACCGCTAGTCGACTTGCAAGGCCTGTGTGTCGTTGAACTGATGAGAACCGCGAGGAGGTGAGAGAGAGTGAGCGAGCGCGTGCGCACCTTCGAGCCTGTTCCGGCGAGTAGAAGAGCAGTCCACAAGCCCAGCTAGCAACGCCCAGCAGCCCGACAGGCGAGCGAGGGGAACAGTCTCTTCCAAACCGACTCTCTGCCTCTTGCGCTTCAGCATGCCACGCGCCTCGACTTCCGCTCACACGCTAGACTCTCCTGCTGCTTCCGCGTCTGCTGCTGCGGGCTTTCGAGCGCCGTCGTCGCGGTCCGCATCGAGGAGGGCGAGTCTGAACATCTCTCGTTCGCGGGGAATGGGGAAGGGCAAGGGGAAGGAGCGGGCTTATGATGGGGAGGTGGAGTTTGCAGAGTGGGATGAGGACGGAGAAGGAGAGGGAGGGTATGCGCCAAAGGCTCGGCAGTTGAAGGTTCGGAAGAGGAGGAGGAGCGAGGGAGGGGAGGAGGGAGCTGATGTGAAGCGGCGGAAGGAGGAGCGGGCCGAGGGACCGCCTGAGGTGGAGGAGAAGGGCAAGGAGAAGCGGGCCAAGAGGAAGAAGGGCAAGGAGAAGGCTATCGAGGCGCCCGACAAGCCGAAGAAGAAGTCCAAAAAGCGTGTTCGGATCGCTACGCCCGCTCCAGCCTCTTCCGGCGGTGCTGGTACCGACTACTCCCCCTCCGACGCCGACGCTTCCGACGCGGACCTCCCCCTTCAAGCCCTCGAAGGCGCTTCCCTCTCCTCCGACGACTGGACCGACCCCCTCGGCATTCCCAGCGCCCAAACCGTGCGCGGGAGAAAGTACTGGCGCCTGTTGGATCAGGGGATCTACAGGTCTGCGCTGCATGATGCGGCGCGAGAGGGGATGGATTTGGGACGGGCGTTGGTGCAGTGGGAGGCGTTGAGGAGGAGGAGGGAAGAAGAGGAGGAGGCGGCGGAGGAGGAGTGGAGGGCGCTACAGTTGCAGAAGAGGGAGGAAGAGCGCAACGAGGCGATGAAGCGGAAGGACGACGATGCGGCCGACGACGACGAGTCGCAAGCTGGCACGCCCGCTCCAGGCGCTCGGAAGAAGCGCCCCTCCGCAAAGGCCGCTCACGATCCCTGCCGCTCTCTCCACCCCTTTCCCCTCTCGCGCGGCCCGCAGAACGACGACTCAGACGACCCCCGCCACCGCCTCGAATACGACTCGGACGGCGCCGAGATTCTCCCGCTCCCTTCGTCCGTCGCGTTGGCCAAGATGGCGCGGTGGCCTCTACATTCTTCGGTTCTTGGATCCGCACTCGGGCCAGATTCGCTCGAGGATGCGTTGGCGGGGGAATACGAACGCGTCTATCGCCGTACTCGACCCGACCCGATCCCTCGTCTCCGCCGTCGCGGTCCTCGATCTGCATACGGTCCAGACGGCCCACTCGCTCCCTCTTCTCCCTCTGCACAACCTGATCTAGACTCTTCAACCGAGAACGACTACGACTCGGACCCGCTCAATTCAGACGCCGACTCCCCCGTCCCTCCTCCCTCGCTCCTCGCCCTCCCTTCCCTCCTGGACCAACTCCTCACTCGCCTAGCAGACTGCGTCCCCAAGTCCGCTTTTCCGGCTTACGATTATTGGTCCACTCGCGAGAGGGACGAGGAGGGGAGGAAGGACGATCGCAAGAGGGGAGTGGAGAGGGACCGGAGAGGGGTCGGGTGGGAAGAGGTGGTGAGTGTAGCGAGGGAGATGGGGATCGATGAGCAGTGCGTTCGGGATTCTTCCTTCCGTGCGCGAAGAAGAGGGTTGATGAGGACGGAGCGACGCAAAGGATTCTCGAGACGCTTTCGGCGCAACTCGTAGCGCTCTTCGGGCCCTCTCGGCATCCTCGTGCGTCCTTACTCTCTTTCTTCTCCCCCGCTCCGAGCGCTCACGCAGATATTCGCCCAGCCGTCACTCTCCCGCCACCGGGAGGGTACCCCTCGATCCAGGTCAAGCGGCGTCAGGCGAAGCCGCGGGCGAGTAAGAAGGCGAGCAAGGAAGCTGGGTGCGTTTTCAGTTCCTTTTGTGCGCGATGGGAAGGGCAGGAAGCTGACGATTGTCGAGAAGCAGGAATGAGCAGGAGCAGGACGACGGAGCGGGTCGTCTTGCCGGTGCAGCGAACGAAGACGACGACGACCCAGACGAAGCATGAGCGGGTGCAGCTTCGTAACGGTCGAGCGACGACTTCGCAGCAGCAACGACGGACGGAATTCCTCCTCGGGCTGGAATCGCAGCGGCGTTGTAATGGCGCTCCGAGCTGCACATGTGTGCTCTCTCGCATGCACGCTCAAGTCCGCGCCAGATCGCGGGGTACAGTATGGAGCGAGCGAGACTTGTTCGCCCGCACGTTTCGAAGCGGCGAGCACGTTTTGTTGCGCGCCATCGTCGCCGATTCTGATGGTGGATTGTGTTTGATGGAGTGCTTATCTCGTGGTGCAATAGTGCGAGCAGTGAGCCCAGTCATGACTGGAGAGTCAAAGCGAGGCGGGCGATGGCGCGAGGTTGCGAAGTCGGCGCCAAGTCAGCGCCCAACTCGGCATCGACGCCTCTCTCCCTCTCTCACCGCTCTCCCTTGTACTGCTGCTTGTTTACGAGGCATAACACACTGCGACGACAACCACACGCAGCAGCCTCGCCACACCCAACGGTCGCAGCACCCACCCCTCCCTCTCTCTCTCCGCCTGCATCGCCCCATCGGCACGTTCGGATGGCCCTCCCTCGTCTCGCATCCGGGTCTGCGCAGCTCGCACACCGCCAGCAGCACGCACACACCCAACAACAACACAGCGACCCACTCGCGTTCCTCTCGGCCAAGCCCTGTGAGTCCCACGCACCCCCCCACTTGCGAGTCCGCTCTCTCGCCTCTTCCGCCTTCCACCCGCTTCCCCTCCACGACGCACACTCGAGCTGACTTGTCACACCCTGGACACCCTTGCAGACCTCGACACCATCCGCGACATCATGCCCGCCTTGGCCCAGTCACCGCAGGCCTCGTCCAGCGCGTCGCCGTCGGGCTCGGCATCGACCCCCCTCAAGACTCCTGCCGCGATCCCGTGGTCCGCACCCCGCCGCGCGTCTCTCGCGTCGACCTACTCGTCCGGCAGCTCGACAGAGTACGACGAGGAAGACGCAGACGCGTGCGGCTTCTCGTCCGAGGACGACGACGACGACTTCCTCGTTACCCCACCCTTCCCCGCCGTCGATGCCGTCGCCTCGTCCGCCGCCGCCGCGTCCAAGGGCAAAGGCAAGGCCATCGTCGACTTGACCGCTCCGTTCGCTTCGATCTCGCTCGCCGAAGTCGCAGAAGACGACGACGCCAACTCTCCGCCTTGGCCCCAACCCTCGTCGCTCCCCGACATCCCTTCGCCCGCTCGCCTCCCTCCCCCAGCTCTCCCTCTCGTCTCCCACCCCGCGCCCAAACCCGCGCCCGATCCGCACCCGCAAACCCGTCCGCCTCCTCAGCCCTCGCCTCCAACCCAAGCAGCAGCCGAAGACTCCTACCGCGGCCGTTCGCGCTGGCCACGTCTCCTCTGGCGCTCAGATATCGACGTCGACTCGCTGCGCGTGTTGAAGAACTACCATGAGCGCGCGGTCGGCGGTCCGCTGCCGGTTCTCCAGAGCGGGATGGGCAAGAGGGATGTCGAGAGGTGGAGTCGCGCGATGGAGAATGCGGGACTCTAGACCGCGCCCAGGAAGACCCAACAACACACTCGTTTTATCGCGCCACCTCAAGTTCTGTAGCATTCGACCTCGACACGACCCCCTCTTCGCCTTTCACCCCTCAAAAGCGGCTTTGCTCGCGCCCGTTTCGTTGGACTAGCTTTCACACTGCCCTCTCGACGTTGTCCTTCTCCACATTGTTCTGTTCACATCATCACGCCTCCATCCCGCTTCCATTCATTGTAGACTCATTCGCATGATTCCCTCCGTCCTCTCCTCAGTCGCTAGATCACTCGTTCTGGCGCTCAAACGCCTCTGCAACAGACACACACTTCGCATACAGATAGTAGATTGTCAGGGCGAGCGCGAGAGTCGAAGAGAAAGTCGCTGGTTGACCGTTCGGGACGCAGCTTGTCTTCCGCCTGCTCGCTCGCTTTCACCCTGCGGCCCTGCTGGCGCTTTCGCTAAGGGCTTTGCGTCTCACTGCACACGGGCATTAGCCTCGCGACGTCCCCCGTTCCGTGCTCGCGGCCCTTGGACTCCATCCCCTTTCTTCCCTGTTCTCCTCCTCCCGCTGCTCGCCCTCGCTGAGCTCCCGAGCGCTCCCCATCCTCCACAATGGCCGCGCCTCCCCCTCCCCCCGCCACCGTGCAGCTCACCGTGCGATCCTGGTCCTTCGACCTCCTCCCGCTCGAACTCAAGAAGTCGATCGCTCAGCGTTGTCGGCAGCAAGACGACTGGGCTCGCTCGTGCCTCGATACAATCTCGAGCTTCTGCTCCGCGGAGAACAGGGACGCGGAGAACCTGAAGCAGCATGTGAAGGACTTGCGGAGGACGTACGGGAGCTCTGTTGGCGCGCTGTTTCGGCTGTCGAAGTCTTGGAGCGCTGCTGCAGCACCGTTTCGGTTCTCGGTGAGTCGTCACTACCCCGCCGAACGTGCGAAGAATGGTTGTTGACCGCTCTTCTCTCGGGACCACAGCATTGCAAAGTCTCCCGGACGACGAGCTTCCTCTTCCGCTATCGCATCGCCCCGCTCTACGGACAGTACTTTCGTTCGCTCGAGTTCGACAAGAGCGACCAAGCGATCCTGCAGTCGTTGCTCCCCCTCCTCCCCTTCATGCCAAACATCGAAGACCTGCGTCTTACGTTCGACGGATTCGAGCGCGTGCTGCAGTGCGAGACCTATCACAACCCAGCCTCCATGCCGCAAGTCGAAGCTCTGAGCTTGACCTCGTTCCTCTCGAACACCCCGCTCTCCGAGCCGGTCATCGCACGCCTCACGACGGTCCACTTTGAGTTGGGCTCGTGGTCCACCCTCCAAAAGCTCGCGGATGCAGCGAAGTCACTTCGCGAACTGCAGGTGTACAAGTTGGCCAACTACGGGCGCGGCAACCCGGGCGTCTCGCAGCTAGCCAGTATCTTGGTCTCGTGCCCGCTACTCGAGACGCTGCATGTCCCGCTCTCCGAAGTGTCGGCGTTCCGACCAATCTGGGGTCAACCACTGCCACGCATTCGCAGCCTCACTCTCGACGTGGACGGCGACATGTGGCTAATCAGATTGGCCGCACACTTTGCCGACTCGCTTGAGAACTTCTCACTCAGGTTCATCACGGCCCATGGATGCTGTTGCGAGGTCAGTCACGTCTTCCCGCACGTCAAGGCCATCGAGGCGTCGGCGGTCACCAAGGACTCCAGGTTCTTCTTCACCTTCCCAGCGTCGATCAACCCCACCGCCTTTCCTGCACTCGAGTCGTTCACTTTCCGCCCCAAAGCAACTTCAGCATACGAAGTGCGAGACGCCGTGGATTGCCTGCGGCAGGCCATCAAGAAGTTCGACGAGGCAGACCCGTGCAACAGCTTGCGACAAATCCATGTCTCTAACCGCCTGTACCCGTTGCCTATGTGGGCTATGACAAGGTTGCAATCAGCAGTCGGTCGCGCAGACCGAAGGATCACGGCGGGGCCGATGGAGCCTTTCGTCGGCTCGTTCGCCTTGCATGCCGAGTTCGACCGTGCTGTCGACAACGTCCCGGCGTGGTCTTCGAGCGAGGCAGCCGCGTCAATCGAGGAGACGCTGAACTACGTCCAGAGCTGGTTTGAGCGGGCTACGGCAGCGGGTGACGGGTCGGACCTCGCGAAGATTGCGGTTGCTCTGGGTCGAGCGGAGCTGGAGAGGGTCGTGAGGACGGGATCAGAGGCCGCACACTGAAGTGCATAGCTTTGTGTGGCTCGGATATGTGCAGTCAAGCGGTTCTGTGCGTTCGACGGTTCAAGCCTGAAGCCTGAAGTGGAGAGTTGGTTTCCCGCGTCGAAAACAATGCGGCCGTCGTCCTCCGGTTGAGTCCAGCTGCCTCCGCATCGTCGTCGATGTCGCAAGGTCAGCGTAAGGACCTAACGCAAGTCGCCCAGCTGAGTGCAGCACCTCGGACACGGCAAGCGAGTCGAAGGAGGGAGGTGGAGCAGGGCGACGCGGACCGCGGCGAGTCCCAGAGACAGCTTCGTTCAGTCGAGTGAGCGCTGCACCGGGCTTATGAACTTCTGCAAGCGTGTGCGCGGTGATGGTCGAACGCAGACCTGCTCGGACGAGGTGGTTCCCTCCTTCTCCATCTTCACCTCGCTCTGCGGGCTTGCCAGCTTGATATCCAGCACCATCGAGCGTGCGCTACCTGCTTTACGATCGACAGACCGCCGCGCCTTCTCCTTCCTTGTCCTCGTCTTCATCAGCTCGAAGCTCCCGAACCGCACTCGTACGTCGCAGGCGAGCTCTTCCAGCTTTGTACTGCCCAGAGCGCTGACAATAGTCTCCTGTAGTACCCCAGCGTTTCCCTCTTCCCGCCACGTCTCGACATCCACGCCATGTCCTCCCGCAGCTCCTCCTCTTCGTCCGAATCCGACGAACCCGTCCCCGCCTGGTCGTACGATCGTCTCCCGCTCGAGATCAAGCAGAAGATTGCGCACTACTGCTGGCGGCAGGACACATGGCTCGACGAGTGCTTTGGGACCGTGTTGACGTATACTCAAGAGGGCCGCTGGGACTCGGCCAACCTTCTGCAACACATGCGCGACATCGGCAATACGTACCGATTCTCGATCGGCTCCCTCTTTCGCCTCTCGCGCTCGTGGTCCGTTGCGGCGGCACCGTATCGCTTCAAGGTGCGTTGTCTGTCGCCAGACTTCCAGAGTCGTCCTGACATGTACTTGAACAGACTGTCAAGGCCTCCCGGACTCGCAGCTTATCGGCATCGCATCGCGCCTCGCTACGGCAAATTTGTCGAGACGCTACACTTCGACAAGATTGACGGCGACTCCGACCTCCAAGCGGTCCTGCTCCTTTCCCCCTTCTTCTCGCGCCTTAACAAAATCATCGTCAAACGTCCAGGGCTCTCAAACGTCCTAGCCACTGGATTACTTCAGCAGGACCATCTCTCAGAATGTTCGTTCATGACGGAGCCTGGCGGAAACGATCCCCTCGGCCTCCCTTCCCTCTTCGCCAATGTCACGTCGCTCGACCTCGAAATGGACGAGCGTATGTGCTTCATGCGGGCCATACAGGCGACACGCGGTCTACACAGTCTACACTTGCGTGGCGACTTGGCGGAGTTCAACTATTCGATCTCGATGCAGACCCTCCTCCTGCCGAAACTCTTCGCCGATATGACGCAGCTTGAGACGCTCAAGTGGACGGGTGTGCGGGTGTCAACATTCAAGGCATTCTGCTCGTCAGACGACGATTGGAAAGGCGGTCTGCCTCGACTTCGACACATCACGATCGGCTTCGACGGGTTGCTTCAGGACACGCTCGAGTTCGTCTCGATGTTTGCCGACTCGCTCGAGCACCTAGTTCTCGAGTTCACCGAGAATTCGACAGCACGCAAAGAGATGCCCACCTGGAAGTTACCGCGCCTCAAGATCCTCGAGATGAAGGGTCAGAACGGCGAAGCATTGCGGACCTTTGCCTGCTCTATCTACGAGTGGACCTATCCCGCCCTCGAACGCCTTCACGTCTGCCCCATCGCACTGTTCGACGACGACGAGGACTTAACGGTCCGCTTCCTTGAGGAGCAAATCACCGATCACGACAGCAGGACGCCGAGTAACCCCCTGCGCTTCATTCAGATCTGGGACGCCAGCTTCCCCTTAAACAGCTCGTGGCAGCGGCATATCCGGACCGTCCTTGCACGCCATAATCGACAGGTCTCGACGACACCGATGGAGCCCTATCCCGACTCCTTCTTCCTCCACGCCGAATTGAGGCGATACGACGAGAAACGCGGACGATCTGGTCAGGACAAGATCGCTCAACTCGATCGTGTCTTCGAGTTCCTCGGCGATTGGTACACTCGCGCAAAGACGACGCGGAACGATGCGGATCTCGCGCGACAAGCCGTCATACTCGAGCGGGCGGAACTCGAGCGAGTCGTCAGGACGGGTGGCTGAAGAGTCGAGTAGAATGCGCTTTCGTAACCCTTGCGCTCGGAGAGAGAGTACAACACAACGCCTTGTTACGACAGCAAAGACTACAACGCTCATGCTTGCACCTTCATCTCGACGTCCTGCGAAGTCGCCGACGCTGCCGCTCGCAGCTTCTTCAAGCCCCTCCTGCACTCCTCGACTTGAAGCGCCGTCTCGCCAAGAATCTTGCCGAGCGTGACATCGCTCATGACGGTCGCGTTGAGCGCGTCCTGCATGCCGACGAGCGCTTCTGCGAGCGGGAGACCGGCGGCGTAGTCGACCTTTTGCAGGCGGTTGAGCACGCCCTCCTTCTTGACGCTACCCTCGGCGGCCGCTGCGAACGCCTCGAAGATCGACTGCTGGTCGCCGGCGAGTCGCCCGATCGCTGCGTTGCCACTCGCGACGAGGGCAGAACCGCTCGCACCCTTGCCTGACGCAGCAGACGCCGCGGCGGAAGTGCGGGCATCGACGGCGAGCTTGGCGACGCGACCGAGATTGCGGACGACGAGTGCGGCAAAAAAGCCGTGACCTGTCGCGCTCGAGTCGAAAGCTGTACCCTCCTTCTCGGCATGGAAGCGCTGGTGGTGAAGAACGGCCGGCATGGGCTTGAGCGGGGATCCTTCGGAGACGGCGAGAGAGGCGGAGGAGAGAGGCGGGAGATGCGTGCGGACGTGAAGGAGGAGCTCGGCAATTCGGAGGGCGTCTGCTGTCTGCGAGGTCGCGTAGTTGCAGCCGAGCCACTGACAGGCGGTCGGAGGGTTCGAGGTCGCGATGTGAGAGGTGTGCAGGTGTTGGTAGCAGGTGAGAGGCTTGTCGACGGCGCTGATCTGCGCGTGGCAGCCCATCCACTTGCACGCGCGTCGGCCGTCGAGTTCTGGAGAGGCGAAGCTCGTCAGCTGCGAACAGGAGAACCAGGCAAATTGCGACGGACCGGGTCGGTCCTTCAGCTTGAGCCCCTTGATGATGAATCTGCGCGCTCCGCCCTCCTCGCTCACCATCGGGACCGACTCAGGAAACGCCGTCGTCGAGTACTTGATCACGTCGGCCGCCGGGAACATTTGCGGGTGTCCTGGTCGCAAGTTCAACTCGAACTGCGCGCGGTACGCTTGCCACAGCTCCGTTTGCTGGATCGAGCCTTGCGGATCCATCTCAAAGACAAGGCGCATCCTGCGGGGGTTCAATCATGTTAGCTTTCGCTAAAGTGGTGTGTCAGTAGTCGCTCACCATGTCAATACCCGCTGCGGTTCTGGCAGTGGTAGCAAGCGCGCCAGCTCGCCAGCCGTCACGAGACTGCCCTCGGTCGCCTTCGACGAGCCCGTCGGTTTCCGCAAGTGCTTGAAGCCGTGCGAGTCGTGGTACTGCTTACCCTCGAACGGCGCCGTGGATACGTCGATGTCGATCTCCTCGAGCTTTGCACGGATGTGGAATTTGCTGAAGACCAGTCGAAGGATACCCGCGAGTTCAGGACGAGAGGCGAAGAGAACGGCATTGGACGGCAGGAGGGTGTGCTGGTAGAGGAACTCGAGGATGGCGAGGCTGAGCTCGGCGTCGCTGACGGGAAGGAGCTCGATGGCGGTTTGGATAGGATGAGGATGAGGCTTCGGGAGGGGCTCGATGGCTTCGTAGGTGAGGAGGGCGAAGACAGCGTCCGACTTGTCGTTCAGAGCGAGGGCCGTAAGGCAGCGGAAAGCGCCGAGGACAAGTGCGCGGTCGGTGGAGCGGGTAAGGGCGACCAGAAGGGGGAAGAGGCGGACCGAAGGCGAGTCGAGCGGTTCAGGCTTGGGAAGTGGACGGTCGTCCTTGTCGTCGTCGACGGCGGCAGCAGCGATGGCGTGACCAGGGAGGGCGAGAGGGATGTGCTCGGCGATGCATTCGAGCACGTCGAGGAGGTAGACCCGAATCTCGGTCGTCTCCTCTGCGTCCAGCTCGTCCACCATGCCTTCCTCCAGAACCTCGCAGAGCACCTTCTTCAGCTTCTTGCTCTCCTTGAGCGGCTCCTGACTCCGCTTCTCCGGCGCCAGATTCCGCAGAATCAGGGCAGCCTCTCCCGCTCGTCGCCGCACGACGTCCCTGCCCTCCTCACCGACGAAGGGGGTCATCGCAGGTGTTCCTCGTAGCCGGTCTGCCCGCCGCCGCTCGAGGTAATCCCGGATCAAGGCGAGACATCCGTCGAGCAAGCCGGGCATCTCGTTAAAGCGGACGAGGTCCGGTTCCATCGAGGTGACCTGGACGAGGTGTCCCAGGCCGAAGTCCACCTCTGCCGGGATGCCCGACCGCATGGACAGCACGAGGCGATTCGTCGGACCAGGCTCAAGGAAAGCCTCTGCATGCAGTGAGACGTCAGGTCAGCTCTGTTTGTTCTTCGCGAGGGAAGCGATGAGGACTGCGTCGCGGGGAGGAAAGCTGTACGCACGTCCTCCAAAAACTCGGTCCCATCGTTCTCGTACTGCAGCCCTCTGGCTTCCCCTGATCGCCTGTCCCGCTGTCCTTCGCGGTGCTGCCGGCTTGGCGACTCCGGGTTGAGAGTAGGGTTTCGCGACGGCCTGTTGGCCTGGTCGGCCGGGAGCACTCTGCATGGCGAGACACAGGCAGCGACAGAGCGTCTCGCGGTAGTACAGGCGAGAACAAGCCGAGAGCGGGAGCAGTCGAGGTCAACTCTTCGAGTCGCCCTCCTCTTGACCTTGAACCGCTCACTTGCACCCGCTGCGCACCCTCGCAGGCGTTGACGAGCACCTGGCACCGTCCTCAGAGAACGCTTCTGATGGCAGGGAGTCGCTACACCTACGTCAAGGGCTTCGAGCTGCCGGACCCGCTCCTTCCCTCGACTTTCTTCGTGATCCGGATAGACGGCAAGGGCTTTCATGGCTTCTCCAAGGCGCACAACTTTGACAAGCCCAATGACTGGAACGCTCTTACGCTCATGAACGAGGCAGCGAAGCGGGTTGTCGGCGGCAGGGAGTTGAACGGGGAGTGCGTGATGGCTTTCGGCGAGAGCGACGAGTACAGGTGCGTTCTGGCCTCTTTGGCGTGCACGGAAAGCCAGAGTGACTGACGTTGAAAGTCGTAGCTTCGTCTTCAAGCGGAGTTGCAAACTGCACGGCCGAAGATCCAGGTGTGTCTCGCAGACTTGCGCCGTCTCTCCTCGCTCTCGCTTACTCGATGGTACTGCTGGACCCGACAGCAAACTCGTCACACTGGTTGTCTCTGTCTTCACGGCAGCCTACGTCGCACTCTGGCCGCAGTACTTCCCGAACTCACCCTTGAAGTTGGAGGAACTGCCTGTCTTCGACGGACGGTGCGTCCAGTCACTTTACAGCCAAAGAAGACGCATTGTTGACGAGTTCTGTGCACGCAGAGTCGTCCAGTACACGAACGAGGCGGAAGTGCGGGATTATCTGCGATGGCGACAAGTCGACAGTGTGTTCTTCTCCTTCCTCCAGGGCTTCGTTTGCTGATTCATATCGAACGCATGCAGCGCACATTAACAACATGTACAACACGGTCTTCTGGGCGCTGGTTCTACAGGGCGGACGGACACCGGTCGAAGCTGAGCAGGAGTTGAGCGTGCGTCCGCTGTCCCTCTGTCGGTCAGAACGCGACTCACTCTCTCGCGTCGCAGGGCACGATCTCGAGTCAGAAGCAGGAGATCCTCTTCTCCCAGTTTGGCATCAACTACAACAACCTCGAGCCGATGTATAGGAAGGGCAGTCTGGTCATCTGGGAGGAAGGGCCGCCGACAGAGAACGCTCCAGCTTCGACGGTGCGAGCTCTTCGATGTCTCGAGGGTGTAGGCGCGGTACTGAGACAGCCCATCCTCGCAGGACGAGCCGTCGTGTTCGCCTTCAACATCTCCCTCTCCCGCCTCCGCTCAATCCGCCAACTCTCCGTCAACCAACTCTACGCCAGCACCGGTCAAGATGCGACAACGAAAGAAGCCTGCCAAGCCGAAGCGGAGACTGGTCGTCGTGCACGAAGACTTGATCAGCGATGCGTGGTGGGAGAGTGGGCGAGGGAAGGGCGTACTCGAAGGGTAGCGCGATGCCAACGGAACGCGATGCACAGATTAAACATCGAGCGAGACCGGGCATCCGAGGGAGGGACAGACTCGCGGCGCTGCAACTTCCGGTGAAGGGAACGGCGTGCGCAGGTGTTACAGCATGTGACAGAGGAGAGTACCGCAAGACACCCAACGAGACGAGATCTAGCACTGCCGCATCCACCGCGCTCACTTGTTCGCCTTGCGCCTGCCGCCGTTCTTGCGGTCGCGCTTGGCGATGCGCTTGAGCGCGCGCACCTCCTTCTTCTGACGCGGGTCGACAATCTTGTACTTGCCCTTGACGCCATTGGGACGGCCCTTGATACCCCTGTTGGCACCGCGAGCGACGACGACCTTGGTCTCGGGCTTCTTCTGCTTGCCCGCCTTGCTCGACTTGGCGAGGATCTTGGCGATGGAAGCGGCCTTCTCCTTCTCCGTCAAGCCGTTCTCCTCGTCGTCGTTGATGCCCTGCGCCTTGGCACGCATCTTCTCGAGGCGGCGGATCTGGCGCATCTTCTTGCGCGCCTTGGCCTCGGCAACCTTCTTGATCGGCCGGGCGTTGAGCGCACGCTGCTTGTCGCGGATCGCCTGGACGGCCTCCTTCGTGACGGGGATGTTGTGGCGGAAATGGCGCTGCTCGTCGTCGATGAACCAGGTCGGAAGGCCGTCGCCGCCCGCCGCCGATGATGTCGGTGTGGCGGTTGAAGCCCTCATCGACGAGCTGCGTCTTCGTCCGCTCCTGGTTGACGAGCTGCTGGGCGAGAGTCATCGCCTCGGCGGTCGTCAAGCCGAGCTCTGCGGGCGGAATGCGATGAGCGAGAGTGCGAAACGGAAGGAAGCGATCGTGAACGTACTGGCTATCCGCTGCGCCTTTTCGACCTCGGCTTGCTCCTGCGCGTCAATGTCGGCCTCATCCTCCATGTCCTCGTCCTCGACGAACTCCTCCCTCGCGCCACGGAAGTCGTCATCGCTCTCCTCGTCGCTCTCCTCGTCGTCCTCCTCCTGCTCGTCCGATCCCTCGCCCATCTCGTCCCAGACAGTCCGCACGCCCTCGTCATCCTCACTCGCGTCCTCCTCGTCACCATCCATCTCGTCATCCTCGTCGTCCGACCCGCTTCCACCAAGAAGCGCCTCCAGCCCACCGCCAGGCAAGCCCTTGAACGCAGGCTGGTCGAACCACATCGCCGCCTGACGCGACTTGGCGCTCGTCGAGAGGATTTTGTTCTGCTTGAGAGAGGTGATCAAGCCAGCCTTGGAAGTCGACGCGGTCGGGGCAACGGGCTCTTCCTCCTCGTCCGACGAGTCCTCGTCGTCCGAAGGCTGCGGCGCAGGGTCGCTGTCGATCCCGTCCGACTCCTCCGACTCCTCGTCACTGTCCTGCGCCTCGTCGTCGAGACCCTTGAACTCGCCGCCCTCCGCCAGCGCCTTCTTCCTCCGCTGCTCCTTGACCTTGTGCTTGGCGTCGCGCTCAAGCTTCGACTGCTGGTACGAGTCGTAGAGGATGTCGAGGGACTCTTCAAGCCGACGAGTCCGACGCTCCGTGTCCGACACGTCCTCGTCGTCGTCCTCGGCGTTCTGAGCAGCGAGCGCCGCCTCCGGAATCGGGTTGAGCGGCAACCTCCTCTGCCTCTTTCGCGCAACCTCCTCCTCGTCCTCCTCGCTCAAACCCTCATCCGCATCGCTGCCCAACTCCCCATTCACACCCCTGCGCTCCTTCCCGCCCTCGACCTCGCCCAAATCAAACATGTCTGCATCATCAACCCCGTCCTGGCGCTCGAGACCGATATCCATAGGCGTGACCATGTTGAGCTGCATGCGCTGCACTTCGCGCTGCTTCTTCTCGTTCACGCGGCGCCGGTCGCGGCGCTTCTTGAGCGCTTCTTCACGCGCGAGGCGTTCGAGCTGCGTGCGATTCAGCGTAAGCGATGGCATAGACGGGTGCGCGAAGGGAACTGTACGCACCTCCTGCGTGATTTGCTCCTCTTCGTCGAGCGGCTGAACGTCGATCGTCTCCGTAACCTCCTCCTTCTCGTCGACCTTGACGTCCAAGCCGAGCTGTACGACGATACGAGCATCGAATTAGTCATCTGCACAAAGGGAGCAACAACCGAAAGCGAGTGGGCAAGACGCACGTCTTCACGGATCGCAGCGCGGTACTTGAGGAGCATCTTGAAGTCCTTCTTGCCGAGCACCTTGAGGTCCTCGACGCACGCTTTGATCTCGCTCGTCGTGAGCGGGTTCTTCAGCAGCCTGCTCGGACTGGCGTCAGCAACGAAAGCGCGGAGAAAGGAACGCTCGACAACGCACTTCTTGTCCTCGTCATCGGCCCAGGTCATCTTGTTGACCATACTCAATACGCCAATCGGGTCCTGGTGTCGAACCCACTCCATGACCCTGCACTCGCGGTACAAGATCCGATCCTCGTCGTCGTAACCCTCACGCTGCTTGCGCTTCTTCTCCGGCGCAAAGACGTTGAGCGACGCGGGCGTCATGACGTCCTTGGTCGTGACGGCCTTTCCGTCGAGTTTCGCGAGAGGGTTCACCGACGTCTTGACCTTCTTCTTGCCCTTGCCCGACTCGGCATCGACATCGTCGCCCGCCGCGTCAATCTCGGTAATCTTGCGCTCGTCGTCGTCGAGTCCGACTCCGTCCGCCTCGGCAAAGACAAACTTGGGGTTGAGGAGCTTCGGATCGATTTTCGCAGGCGCGAGGTACCCCTGGCAAACGACGAAGATCTCTGCCGAGACATTACGCGACGAAGGAGGCTTGGTCGCCTCGACTTTGGTGAAGAGCTGGTTGAAGACCCACAAGAGCGAGTTGTAGTCCTTCGAACGGAAGACTTTGGTGCAGAATGTGCCGCCCGGACGGAGGAACTCCACTGCGAGCTTGAGAGAGGCTAGGACGAGCTCGACTTGCGTGAAGGCGTCCTGAACCCAGGCGGATCCGACGTTCGGCGCTCCGTCGTGCAGGACGCTGCATGCGCGGACTGTCAGTACGGTAGCGTTGTGCGGGAAGGAGAGCGCGCGCTCACACATCCGCCTTCCAGTCCTTCATCTCGGCCCTCAACGCCCTCCTACAACTCTCGGTCGTGATGTCCTCCACCAGCGTGACACACCGCGGAATAGGCTTGATGGGAACCAAATCGACACCGATAATGATCGAGTTCTGCGCCGGCATCTGCTTGGCGGCGACTTGAAGCCATCCTCCTGGTGCCGCGCACAAGTCGATCACGCAGCGTGCCGAGGCGAGGAAGTCGTATTTGCGGTTGAGCTGGACGAGCTTGAAGGCCGAACGGGCGCGGTAGCCTTGCTCTCTGCGCACGGTGAGGAGAGTCAACGGGGTGGACGGTCGTGTGCAGGTGGCCGGCGGGACACTCACTTGGCGAGCTGGTACCTGTTCACGAAGTGCACATGCAAGAGGTCAGCCTTCCTCGTTCCTCCACTGCGCGCAGCCAGCCCGCTCCTTACCATTTATCGAGACGGCCTGCGCGAGCACGACATGCAACCCAGGTCAGCCGCCGCGCACCATGGTCAGCGTGCAGAGAGTGGACGTACCCTTTCCCGTCTTCTTCTGGTCCTTTCCCTGCGGGTGTCGTGGCAGGGTGTGAGTTTCGAGCCGGTTGTGGCTGTGCGAGAGTGAGGGATGGAGGACGCACCATCTTTCGCTGTGCGCTGCTGTGTGTGCGGGTGTAGCGTGCGACAGAAGGAGAGACTGAGCGAGAGGAGCAACCCTGGCCAGCAGAGTGAGCAGAGCGGGTGAGGGTGAGCGAGATGAGGACGAGGCGACGGTCGAGCTCGCCTGACAGTAGTCGTCCGGGTGCGGTTCTGCGAGTGTGGTAATTCGTTGTATGTATTCGCATGTATTGTCCGAGTATTCGCTAAGCAGTACGAGCTGGTGTGGCAGAGTTGACCGGGACGAGTTTCCCCTCTTCGCCGGAGCCCGTCCACCTCCGACTCCTCTCGCCCTCGTTCTCCTGCTTGCTACTGCTCTAACTGGTTGACGAGGGTCTGCACAGGCTAGCTACGACTCAGACTCACCCGCTCGAACCACTCCCGCGTCGTCTCATCGCCTCATCAGTTCCCAGCGGACCTCTCCCGAGCCTCGCTCGACCCGCCAGAGTCGACCGAGCGCATATCCCGCACGAGCACTGCAACTAGAGCGTCCTTAGACTTGGACGACCTCGACTCCACCCCTCGACCCTCTCCTCCCCAACCCCCTCCTCACCTCGCACCGACCCCGCCCCGCTCACACGACCCACCCCTCGTGATGGAGGACTCGCAGCTCCCGTCGCCTGCCGGGACACAGCTGCTCGTGGATGTCAGGGGCGCAGAGATCGTCTCGAGCAATTCGGAGGAGTGAGTCCAGTTCCGTCGCTCGACTGTCTAAGGGACTTCTTGTTTAAGGAGCTCGTTGAGACTTTGCGTGTGCGAGAACCTCACGCTAACGATCTCTCGAACAGCCCCGAGGTGTACCTCCCTCACCACGAGGAAATGATCTCGCACATCGCCGTCGACGTGCGTCGCTCCTTCCGGTCGCATCACGAGTCTCGCTGATGGAAAGCTCCACACAGATCGGCGGCTCCCTCGCCAAGGTCGTCTACTTCACGCGGTCATCCGCACGAGAAGCGAGACCCTCGGCCAACGGCATCGCCTCGCCCTCCCCTTCCTCCTCGCCCTTCGTCGAATCTCCCGCCCAGCCGGCAACGCCCGTTCCTTCCACCTCGAACCAGCAACCCCCTCAATGGGAGCCACGACGAACACCCTCCCCTCCCCAACCGCACCAAGCGAAACCGAACGGGATCCTCGGTCCCAAATCGTTGTCGCACCGACCACCCTCTCACTCTCCCTCTGCCTCTTCTCGCGCCTTCCACTCCCGACTGCGACGAAGATCCTCGACCTCTCGTTTCCCGAGCGGCGGCCGCCTGAATTTCGTCAAGTTCGAGACGTCCGATTTGTCAAGCCTGATCACCTACCTCGAGACGCTCATCTCGTCCTCGGCACAGGCGAACCGCGTCCCCGTCGAAGTCATGAAGCGCAACGTCAAGATTATGGCGACGGGAGGCGGGGCGCACAAGTTCTACCGGCAGTTGAGGGACGCGCTGGGGATTGAAGTGCGCAGGGAGGAAGAGATGGAGTGTCTTGTGCTTGGATTGAGCTTCGTGATGGAGATCCCGAACGAGGTGTTCTGGTACTCGGACGAGTTGATCCAGGCCGTCTCGCACCCTCAACAACGCGCCCTCTCACAAGTCAACATCCCCTCAACGCCCTCATCCTCCGCCGTCCCCCTCCCGATCCCTCCAAACCTCGACATCCCACTCCCGACCACCCCCTCAGTCCTCGCCTCCTCCACCTCCGCCTCGTCCCTCTCAATCCCCTCCACGCCCCCTCTAAACGCAGACGACCTCCCCCGCCCCTCCCCCAACCCTCCTCAATACTCTCTCAAATTCGACTCGCACCCGTCACCCGCTCAGTTCCCCTGCTTATTGGTCAACATCGGCTCCGGGGTGAGTATCGTCAAGATTGATGACTATGGAAAGTTTGAGAGGATTAGTGGGACGAGTCTTGGAGGTGGGACGCTCTGGGGGTTGTTGAGCTTGTTGACCGGCGCGAGGAGCTTTGATGGTGCGTTGCATTTGTCCTCGCTCAGGCTCTGCCTGCTCGTCCGTCGACGGTGGAACTGCCGGATCTCCCAGCGGCGTTCGTTGTGAAGCAGGAAACCTTAACAAACCTCTCGCACGCACAGACATGCTCGCCCTCGCCGACAGAGGCGACAACTCGTCCGTCGACATGCTAGTCGGCGACATTTACGGCCAAGACTACCAAAAGATCGGTCTCAAATCCTCCACCATCGCTTCTTCCTTCGGCAAAGTCTTCCGACGAGGAGAGGGGGCAGGAGTGAGAGGAGAGGATGAAGATGAGGAGGAGGAACGGAGGAAGAGTTTTAGGCCGGAGGATATTAGTCGGAGCTTGCTTTATGCCATCTCGAACAATATCGGGCAGATTGCGTGCGTGGTCCTTCCCTGCTCTCGTTGGCGCGACCGCGCTTACGATGGCTGTGCTGCAGGTACATGAACGCCGAGAAGCACAACCTCGACCGGATCTACTTTGGCGGCGGTTTCATCCGAGGTGCGCTTCCATCCCTCGCTCTCCCTTCCCACAGGCTCACCCTCCCATCGCACCCAAAGGCCACGCAGCAACCATCTCCACCCTCTCCTACGCCATCCGATTCTGGTCAAAAGGCACCAAACGCGCCCTCTTCCTCCGCCACGAAGGCTACCTCGGCGGGATCGGCGCGTGGCTGAAGAATATCGGTGCGGGAGCCGAGACGCCCCCTCAGGATGGCGGCGGGTTGGGGCTGCGGGATGGAGAGGAGCGGTCGCTGGTCGACGCCGAGGAGGAGCGGAGGGGACGATGAGCCTGATCCTGAGCTGAATAGCGAGGGAGTGAGCTCTCTTCTTGGTATCGAGCATGAACGCTGTGCGATGCAGAATCCCGGCGTAGTGTTACAAACGAGGTTGAGAGGCTACAGAAAGTAGAGAGAGTAAGCAACAAGAAACGAAGGCGATTCTACAGTGCGAAAGAGTTCCGAGTCGAGTCCTAGTCGTCTTCCTCCTGCATCAGCCGCTCGTACTTGAGCTGCTGCCGCTTCTTCCACCACCGTACGGCGAAGACTGCGCCGACCGCGCCGATCGAGACGAGGACGACGGCGAGCGTGACGACCCAACCCCACTTGCGGAACCAGCCTGGCTCGTAGGGGATCAGGACCGAGTCGATGCTGATGACGCCGCCAGCCGCAGCGAGTCGGACCGTCGACCCAAGCGCCGCAGCCAAGTCCTCGCCGTCCTCCTCATCGCCCTTGTCGCTCGTAACGAACCAAGGCGTCGCGCGACCCCACGCCAACACCCTCGCCGCGTCGCTCTCGCCCTTCGTCCCCCTCGCCCCACGGATCCCGACCATCCAGTCGTCCTCGCCTGCGCCCCACTTCTTGAATGCGAGCGCGCCAAACTTGCTCGACCCGCCAGGCTGGCTCTTGCTCAATAGCGAGTCGTAGGTCTTGGCGTCTTCGAGGACGAGGGGCGAGCCGGGGTTGGTGGAGCGCGGAGGGAAGGGAGAGCCGGTGGACGAGGAGGAGGTGGTCGGGATGACGTGGAGGCGGACGAGGCGGGAGAGCGCGGTCGGGTTCGACAGGTAGTAGGTCAGGTTCAGCCGGCCGAAGGCCTTGTCCGTCGGGCAGAGGATGGTGTAGGCTTGGTCGCTATGGTCGTGGCGAGTCTTCTTCTTCTTCGCCGTCTCCGTCGCCGCCGTCAAGTCGGGCCGAGTCTCCTTCTCCTCTCCATCGCGGCGCTGACGAGGCGGCTTCTTGCCGTCAAGCACCCAAGTCATGTTCGCCGCACGGATGAGGTCGATCATCGTGTTGGCCTTCGCGCCGCGCACGAGCTTCTCGAGCGTGATCTCGAGTTCGGGCGGGAGCTCGACTTGGTCGATGACGTGCATCACGCCCGTCTCGGTTAGGACGTTGCCTTCGAGGACGGCGGCATCGCGAGGTTCGCCGTTTGCTGGAAGACCGCCGAGAGTTGGGCCGTGCACCGAGAGGGTCGAGTTGACTGCATCGCGCTCGAAGTAGATCTCGGAGCCGTCGAGAAGTGTCGGGTAGCGCGATCCGCCGCTTCGAGGGAAGTCGTCGAGATAGACGACCTCGTCCACGGCGTGGTACTCGAGGACTGAGCGGAGCTCGGAACGCGAAGTCGGAAGGAGGAGGTACTGCATCGTCAGGCCAAGTGCGCCGAAAGCTGCGTTCGTCGGGACGAGGTAGGTGACGGCCGGCTGAGTCGCGAGGGTGCCGTCAAGTGCTGCTGCGTAGACGGATGCGACGAAGGTCGACAGGCGCAGGTCGGAGACGGCGGCGGTAATAGCGGTGGGAGGCGGTTCGAGGAGAGCTGAAACAAGGTAGATGATCGAGTTACCGATAACGACGGGGTCGGCGACGACGTTTGCGCCGCCCCAGCTGATCAGCTCCTTCTCATCGCTGTCGTCGTCCCCACCTCGACCCTTCTTGCCCTTACTGCTCCGCTCCCAGCCTTCACCACGACTACCCTCTTCGCCCTGAACGCCGACCATAATCCTCTGCCTCTCGCCTCCGAGCGACTCGGTACGCAACTCCGTCCCGACCAGCATGCCGTCCTCCAGCTCAGAAGGGCGCCATTGGCCCGAGACGATGTGGTACTGGAGCAGCTCCTTGAGCGCCTCAGAACCGGCAGGAGGGAGTGGTCGACCGTTCAGGATGGGCGAATCGAGCGCGGAGAGCGCTGAGAGTCCGGCTGCTGCGTGGGCTAGGACATCATCCTTGACGGCGAGGATCGTGTAGCGCTCCTTCTTCGGGTTCGACGGCTCGTCCGCGAACGAGAGAGGCGTCTGAGGAAGATCAGCGGAGAGAGGCGGAGGAAGGGGTGTGTCGATGACGGTTCCCGGCTCGTTCGAAGGGACCTGGACGTAGTGCGAGAGGTTGACGGAACGAAGGAGGGCAACGAAGTGAGTTGCGTCGAGGGCGATCAGGTACTTCTCGGCGGTAAGCATGAGCGAGCCAGAGGGAAGCAGGAGGGAGGGGACCATGTGGATGACGCCTGTGGGAACGGGTCAGCGCTCGAACTGAGAAGACGCAAATCGGAGACCAGCGTACCGTTCTTCGCGAGGATATCCCCGCGCTCAATCGCCGTTCCGTTCACGGTCGCCTTGGTCGCATCTCCCTCGCCCTGAACTTCCAGAGTCCCGTTCCGGATCGTCTCAAGCTGCGCCTTCCCATCCGCCTTCTCACCAACAAGCCGCTCAAGGTACCCGACCTTGCCCTTCCCAGCGCCAGATTGCGATGCGGCGTCGCCAAAGATCTCGCTCAAGTCGTTGTCGGCGAAGCCGGAGCGGAGGTACCGCATCTCGAGGTCGGTCAAGGTGGACCAAGCATCGTTCGTCGGCAAGAAGAGGGTCAAGTGAGGTGCCGTGCTGATGTAGTCGAGAACGGAGGCAGGAAGGAGAGAGGCGAAAGTCGAGAGTTCAGGAGTCGTGCGGATCAGAGTGGCTGTTTGTGCGAGGATGTCAGCGGACGTCTGATGCGGCTAAGTCGGTGCACATACCGAGATCCTCAGGCTTGTGCAATACTTCATCGACCGGAATGAAGACGCCGTTCCGAGCGAACTGGTTGTCGCCCGTCGTCTTGATCCCGCCCGCGCCCTTCCAGTCGACTCCGACCCACAGCTCGTCTCCCTTCTCGCCCTTCTTCTGCAGAAGTCGCAAACGCTGTCCCTCGTCGTGCAACAACCCTTCAGGGCGGCCTTTGGGTGCGTCTGGGTCGGGTTGATCAGGCTCGGTTCCAGGGAGAGTTGGCGGGGCGGGGAAAGAGCGGTTGTAGGGGAAGAGGGAGGGGAAGTAGAGCGTCTCCTCGAGGACTGGAACGTCGTATGGCAGGGGCTTCGGCGGTTCTGGCCGGGTCGAGTTCGTCTCGTTCGACGGAGGTGCGGCGAGGAGTGTGAAGTTGAGAACGTGGTAGAGGAGCGTGTCTCGTAGCGCCAATTGCAGGTTGTCGTGCTCGTGCTCCTCCGCCTTGCCCTCGTCGACCCATTCGACCACAGGCGTCCATACCGCCGCCCCCACCACCCCGCTCAGTGCCCGCTCCTTCTCGCGGTCCCGCTCTCGCCTGATTGCCTCGTCCGTTGGCGCAAAAAGGGTCGACCCATTCAGTCGGTTGAGTGTCGGTATCAGGCGCGCTCGCTGGAACGCTGCGAGGAGGAGCTGATGGTCCGGCGAGGCGGACAGGATGTCGACGAGATGAGAGGTATCTGGCGGAGCGGGGTGTGGTTTGGCTGAAGCTGCTGTCGCTGCGAGTGCTGGCAGCCACAGCAGTGCTCCCAGCAGTCGCATCTTGCCAGCTCGCGGTGTGATTGTGTCCAACCAGCAACCCCTTCGACTTCGTCATCTAACCAGCTCTCGCTCAACCTCAAGGTGGACAGGCTTGCATGCTGAGCTGCTGGAGAAGGGTCTCGAGGACTACAGTCAAGTAGTCGCACGCCAACCCGGGCTCTCGTCGCTGTTCTGCTGCACTCAGCGCTCCAGCACCGACAACTTCTGTTCTCAACAGCTTTCGGCGCGACAAGGCTTGTGAGATGCGATTGAGAGTTGGCACTTCATGCTGCAGCTATGTACACTCCTGTCGTCAGACGTCACGCTCGACGTGATCGCCTAGTTGATGCTCGAGGTCGGGTGCGAGCGGTCGACGGGCAGGCGGTTGCGGTTGATGGGCTCACCGTAGCCTGCTGCCTCGCGGTCCATGCGCTCCTCGTTGTTCTCGAGACGCTGCTTCAAGCCGCGCATCTGCGGAAGGAGCAAAGGGAGAAGTCAGACTCCGTGGAGAGGAACGAGGAGCACAGTTTCGCGATCCGACTCACCTCGTGCGACTGAGCCTCGCGGTGGCGGTAGTCTCCTCCTGCTCCCGCCGTCGATATCGACTCGCCGGGAAGAACATTGGGCTCAGTGTGGTCCGACTCGCGCTCAGAGGTGCGGATGCGAGCGTCATTTCCCATCGTGATGCCCATCTCCTGCGCCGTGGTGGTCTCTGCAGAGTCAAACCTTCATGAGTAAGTTGCTCCACGTGAGTGACACGAGAGAACGCACCCTCGACGGGACCGCCGCGACTGCCGGCAGCGCCAGAAGTGTTTCCGTCGATGCCCGACTCGCGGGTCGAGCCAGAGAAGGCCGAGGCGGCCTTGCCAGTGTTGGTAGATCCGGTCTGGAAGCTCATGGTCGTGGAAGATGTGGTCGTGCGAGGGGAGACGAGTTTGGCTGCGAGGCAGAGGGGACGTCAGCACGACTCCCGCAAGGCTTCGCAGTGGAAGCTAATGCTCACTGTGACTTGTTTGCGTCAGATGGGTGTGAGGCAGAGGAAGAGAACAGCGAAAGGAGCGCGAGATGGAGCCAAGTCGTCTCCTCCCCCCTCGTCGCCGAATCGACGTCAATGGCTCGACGCCTAGCTCGGTTGACGAAGTCGGGTCGGTGACAGGGCGGAGTCTCCACGTCAAAAGAAAGCGTTTTCTGCAGCAAGCGAAGGAAAAGTGAACTGGACACAGCGACAGGAGGTCGACCGCGGATCGTCGGCCGTGCGGTGAGAAGGTCGACTGGAGACGGTCGATGTCTCTTCCATGCCACAGTGTGGCCTCTTGCAAAGCTAGCTACAGGTTGACTGCGACGTTGGTGATACGCATCGTATCCCACAGTATCGCGATCAGGCGAAAAAGGCGGCGGGAGAGAGCAGAACTTCGAACAGGCAACATCGTTACAGCCCCGATACCTCGTTCGACGGATGACACCGAACCACAGAGCTCGTGTCTATGCACCCACTGCCGCGATAGCGACGCCTGCAGGCTCGATGGGAGCAGCAACAGTGGCACTGCCGAGTCCTGCGCCCGCCTCCTCCCTCCTGATCCTCTTCTTGCCCTTGTACACCTGCGCTCCGCTACTCTCCCAGGAGTCGAACATGTCCTTGGCCATTTGCGCGACCTCCCTCCTGCGCTCATCCGAGATCGACGGGACATCGAACTTGTCGTCGCCGAGAAGCGACATGGGAAGGATGGGGACGTCGTTGTTGGCGGCGAGCTCAGCTTTGATCTGCGCTGACACGGCGGCAAAGCGAGCGCGTGTATCAGCTTCGGCGTCGAGAGCGTAGATCCACCTGGACGCAGGGGAAGAGTTAGTTAATCCCGCCAGACTCGCAGGCAGGACAGCAGACATACTCGTTCCTGCGAAAGCGCGCGAGTTCGTCAACGTTCTGACCTGACGAATCGCAGAGGTGAAAGACGCACTGCATCTTGACGCTCTCCGGATCGACCTCACGTCCGGCATCGAGGTCTCGCAAGGCGTTGTGCCACCTCCGCCTCGTGTCCTCGCCCGTTTTCTGCGTCTTGAGCACGCGAGCATACCTCAACCTTTCGTAGGTCAGAGTCGCGAGACGGATGTTGTCGCGGCCGGCGAGCTCGAGGCAGATGGCGAGCGTTGCGGCATCTTCGACTGCTTGTGAGGCACCTTGAGCGGATGTCGGCAGGTGAGGGTGGGCTACCGAGACGAAGTCGACCATTAATGTCGTACTTGTAGTCCCGTACATTCAAGCTCACCTGAGTCGCCGAGGAGGACAACTTTGCCGGACTTGGAGATCCAGGTTGGTAAAGGCTCGCGGTAGACAATCTGCGAGACACGGTGCCAGGTCAGCTCGACATCGTCACCAATGACAAGGTGGTCGAGTGAGGACTCGCCTTCCAGTCGAGGCAGGACGGCGTGAGTCGCATCGCCTCCACGATGGTCGGATCTGCTCGAGCGAGAGGTCAAGGAAAAGGCGGTACGATGCAAGAGAGTCGGTTCTTACCCCACTGTTCGACAAGAGCGACAGCTGCGATGCGAAAGATCAGCTACGTAGAGGCGAAGCGGCTTGTCAAGATCGAGAACGCACCATCTTCCACCTTGCCAGGCTGCGACCACGACTCGGCGATGTCCTCGTCGTCCTTGTGCGTGATGATCCTGCGTGAAAGCAGGCGGGTCAGCTCAAAGGATCGCTCCAGTTGCGAAAGGGACGCACCAGTTGAAGTCGCCGCCGTTGCGGCAGGTGTTCTGGACGATATGCAGATCCTGCGAGGCGAAATGTGTCAAGAGCTAGCAAGTATAGCGGCATTGCGCGCCCACCTTGCCAATCCAGATGTTCATTTGCTGTAGAGGCGAAGCGTCAGTTTTCGAGGAGAGTGTAGGAAGGGGTTGCGGTACTTGCGTCGCGGTTGACGAGCACTCCTGCATCTGGGTGGTCGCGGATGCGGTCTCCTTCGGTGTAGGCGCGGTAGCAGGCGTCTATGGCACGAAAACGTCAGCAAGGACACCAGGAAATGCGAAGAGTCGAGACTCACATCCGCTGGACTTCGGCTTGTCCTCGAAGCCCAGGACGAGCTCCCGCGTCCGACTCTTGATGCCGTCGGCGCCGATGACCAGGTCGCAGTTCACGACTTCGCCCGTCTCGAGGGTGACCGACGGCACATACTCATCGAAGGTCGCGACGGCGGTGCCCATGTGGACGGGGATGCCGAGCTCCTCAACTCGCGAGAGGAAGGAAGCGTGATACTGAGCCCGGTGGCCGATGTACCCTGCCATGTCCATTAGGCGCTGCGTTGCGATGATCTCGCCGGTGTCCCAGCGGCGGCTGCGCGGGTTGCATGGTCAGCGTGAGCTCGCGCAAATATGCGGCTTGACGCACATGTGCATGACGGGAGACTTGTTGCCGATGGCAATCAGCTTGTCGCGGACGCCCCAGCGCGTGAGGAGGCGAAGTGCATTCTCGCCAACCCCGAGACTGTCGCCGAGCGGCAGGAACCTGAGATAGCGAAGCAGCAACTCAGATCAGCATCTGCGCGAGGCAGACGGGCGACAGAACGAAACAGGGCGGAGAGGCAGAAGAAGCGGAGAGCGAGGGAAGGAAGCGGGCGCACTTCTTGATCTTCTCGTACACGACCACCTCGTAACCCGCATAGTACATCGCCATCGCCGCTGCCAATCCACCGAGACCCGCCTTTGAAGCGAGAAGGATGTCAACAGCGCGTCTCTGCGAAGGTCAGCGCGCAAACTCACCCCGATCACAACCACCTTGAGCTTCTCCTCCGGCCGCTTGACACGCGGCTGGTGCACAGACTCGGTAGCGGAAGCCATGATGGAGCAGAGAGAAAGAAGAGAAGCCAGCTTGCGGAAGAGGTTGTCCGGTAAAACTCGCCCTCGAGGTGGGGAGGAGGTCGGGAACGAGGTGGGGCGCAGAAGGCGAAGAAGGCGAGATTAGACGAGCATTACAACAATGCACTGGTGGAAAGGACAAAGCACGGCGGGCGAGACGGTACACCTGGGAACGAGAGAGAGAAGCGGGAAAGGCGAGAATCTAGGCGCGAAGTTGCTCGGCAGCCTCCTGCGGAAGCGAAACGATTCAGCGGGCATCCGACGAGGCGAGATGGAAGGAGGAGGACGGACGATGAAGGTGCTGCACTCGTCGGCAGTCACTGCGGGAGGAAGAGGGCGCTCAGTCGGTGCGCACGGAAGAAAAAGGACGAGTTGGCACGCACAGGTCTTGACGTTTGAGATCTTGGCCTGGTTGAAGACGACGCCGAAGTAGGCGTCCGCGTGCGGGATGAGCTCGGCGCGGAAAGTCGTGCAGATGTACTGCGCCTCTTGCGCAAGCTCGCCGATCATGGCTGTAAGGTGGAGCAGGTCAGTTCGGGACTTCCTATCGCTCTATGGCGCTACTCACAGGCAACGGCAGTGCGACGGTCGGCATCGAGGTTCGCGTCGATTTCGTCAAAGAGGTAGAAGGGCGCCGGGTCACACTTCTGGATCGAGAAGACTGCGAAGCGGAACGATTAGCTGGCGGACGACACAGTGTGATCACACCGACGCACTGAGAGCAAGCGCAACAAGCGCCTTCTGACCGCCGGACAGCTGTTGCAGGCGGAGACCCTCGTTCGACTTCGACTTGAACGAGACGCGGATGGCGACGCCGGTGTAGTTCTCGACGCCTCCGTCCTCTTCGGGCTCGTCGACGTCCATCTCGTCGTCGTCCTGCAGGAATCAACATGTCAGTACCTGGACTGGCACGTTTTCAGACGCAGACGCACCTTCTCCTGCTGGCGCTTGAGCATGATCAGTCGGCCCCTGCCACTCGGAACCAACTTCTCGAACACCTCGGCAAAGTTCTTCGCGACCTGCTTGAACGTTCGCTCGATGGCTTCGTCCTTCCTCGCGTCGAGAACGTCGATGAGCTCGGTGATCGACTTTTGCGACTCGTCGAGCTCCTTCTGGCGGGCGAGCAGCTCGTCACGCTGCTTGGTGAACGAGGTGTACTGCTCGTAGGCCTTCTTATTGACATGCGCGAAGCCCTTGAGCGCCTCGTTCACCTTGCGAAGCTTCTTGAGCAGCTATGAGTGATAGCGGAGGTGAGCAAGCTTCACAGCGGTAACGGCAGCGAAGCAGGCGCACCTTTTCCGACGAGGCAGTCGTCTCAGCAAAAGCCTCCTCCGGCAAAACACCGAGATCGCGGATGTTCTTGTTGCACTCGTCCTTGCGCTGGAGAAGCACCTGGCGCTTCGCGAGGTAACGCTCGACGTTCTTCTGCTGACGAGCAATGCCACGCTGGTCGTCTGCCTGCTGCGTGTCGCGCTTCTCCTTCTCCTTCTCGAGGTCGGCGATCTCCTTGTTGACCTTGTCCGTCTCCTCCTCGATTTCTGCGCAACAGTGTGGGTAGTCAGGAAGGGCTATTCGAGCGAGAGCTATCGATCCACGCACCGCCGAGACGGCCGTTGAGCGAGTCGATCTGCTTGTCGAGCTTCTTGAGCTCGTTCTTCCTCCCTTTCAACTCTTCTGCACCGCCTGCGCCGATCTGTGCGTCCTGCCCGGCGGCGGCCGAGTCGAGAGCATCGATGCGAGCGCGGATATCTTCGCGGCGGCGGCGAAGGTTCTCGTTCAGCTCGATCGTCAGAAGGTCCTTGCGGCTAGCGAGCTGCAAGCGGAACAGGTCAGCGAATTTCTAAAGATGCGCTGTAGGCCCACGCACCTTGGACACCTCCTTCGACAGCTCAACGAGCGCCTTCTTCCGCTTCTCCGCCTCCTCACTCAACCTCGTCATCTCGTCCTCCTCCTCGGCAGAAAGGCCCTCCTCGCCCTCAAAAGCGCTCTCCATCTCTTTCCTCCACATCTCGCACTCCTTCTCGAGCCCGCGCATATTACTTCGGTGCTCGGCGAGCTGCATGTCGAGCTTCGCCAGCTTCGTCTTGAGGCGGTCCTCCTCGGCCTGCGCCTGCATCGTCGCCTCGAGGAATGGCGCATGCTCATCGCGCAACCGGGTGAGGCTGCCCTCGGCAACCTTAATCTTGCCGACGAGCTGCGTGATCTCCTGCTCGAGGCGGACGAGAGTCGTCTTGATCTCGTTGCGCTGGCTGGAGAGCTCCTCGTCCTTCTTCTGCGCAGCCTTGAGCTGCTTGACCGCATCGAGGCGGGAGCGGCGAACGTCGTGGTAGCCTCCCGTCAGCGAGCCCTTGCGGTCGTACTTGTCGCCGTCGAGCGTGATGGCGTTGAGACCGTGCGAGCGGGTGTAGGCGCCGGCGATCTCGAGCGTCTGGCAGATGATCGTTCGGCCAAAGACCTGCTTGAACGCCGGACGGAAGTCCTCGCTGAACTTGAGCTTGTTGATCCTGTGGAAACGTGAGCGATGTGAGCTACCGGGCTAATGGCTTCGAAGAGGCGCAAACGTACATCGGAATAGCCTCATTCGACTTCGGGTACTCGACGTTGTGGACGCGAAGGCGGTTGAGCGGCATGAATGTGACGCGACCGCTCTTGTCCTGCACCATGCGGTCGAGGATGCGCGTTGCCGTATCGTCGTTGTCGACGACGATCTGGAACAGACTGTGGTGGTCCGAATATGAACATCAGATCCGCCTCGTAGGACCTGGAGGATGAGCGGCTTACCTGGTCCCCGCAGTCACCTCGACGGCAGTCTTGTACCGCTCCTCCACCTCGAAGAGCTCATAGAGTGGGCCGTAGAAGCCATCCAAGCCGAGCTCTTCGGCAATCGCCCTCGCAGCGCGCAAGCCGTTCGCCGTGTCGCGGTCCATGGTCGTCGAGATTGTGCGCTCGGCGCCCTTAAGCTGCTCGTGCGCGTGACGGGACTGCGCGTCGAGCTTCGACTCGGACTTCCACAGGTCTCTGCGGAACAGTAGACGTGAGCCTTTCGTCAAAAGGGCGAAGAGGAGACGACGACGCACTTCCGCTGCTCGTTCTTTTCGACGAACTGCTCCTTGAGACGGCTGATCTCGTCCTGCACCTCCCTCGTCCGATCCTTGCGGCTGTCGACCTCCTGCCTCATCTCCTTGCGCCTGCCCTGCACATCCGCGAGCTCCTTCTCCGTCTCCTCTCGTTCGCGCACGAGCGCCGCCTCCCGCCTCTTCCTCGTCTGCAACACCTCCTCGTTGCGCTTGACCAGTCCATCGAGATGCGCGTCGCGCTCCTGCTTCGAGCGAAACTGTCCGCGACGCGCCTGCTTCGCATACAAGCCACGAAGCGCGACCTGCAATCCTTCGAGCTCCTCCTTGCCCGCCTCCTCCTCATCACGCTTCGTCTCCCACTCCGGCCGCGCCTCGCGCTCAAGCTCGTTCTCCTTCTCCGAGCACTCCTTCTCGACGCGCTCGAGCTCGTCTTCGAGTTCGGCTTTGCGCTCGGCGGAAGAGCGAGAGGCGTCCTCGGCGTCGCGAACGAGGCAGTCGACTTGCGTGCGCAGCTTGGTCAGGTCGCGGCGTTCGGTGGACAGGTCGGAGTGTTCGGTGGCGAGGGCGGAGAGAGTTTCGCGGAGGGCAGAGAGGCGGGAGTGGATGTTCTGTGTACCGAAGTCGAGTGGTTAGCATCGCTTCGGTCTCCTCGCGCCCTGCGAAGTTATGTCGTACGCACCGAGAGCTCTTTCTCCCTCGCAACAAACTCCTCACGCTTCGAGTTCGCATTGTCGACATCCCGCCTTCGCTCCTCCTCAATCTGGTCGAGCGCGTCTCCGACATCTTTGAGCTCGCGCTGGTAGATGCAGTACTCGAGCGAGCGACGAGCGCGGTCGTGCGTCTGTCGAACGGGCGAAATTAGCCGGTCTCAGAGCGAAAGAGAGCGAACGACGCACCTGGAACTGCTTCAGCTCCTCCTTCTCTTCCTCAAGCTCGCCGAGACGCTCCTGGATGTAGGCGAGCAAGTCTTTGATCTTGTCGCGCTTGGCGTCTGAGCGGCGACAGAGGACGAAAATCAGCGAACGCGTCCAACAACGTGCGACATGTGCCGCATCAGAATCCGCCCGACTCACTCGTCTCGTCCATAATTTTGATCGACTCTGCTCGTCTGTCCTCGTACACTTTCGTTCCCGCGACCTCCTTCAGCAGCAGCAATCGGTCCGAATCCTTCTGGTTCGTCAAGTGGGTGATCTGTCGCAGAACTGGGTCAGTCCGTCTGTCGAGCGAGAAAGCGCGGTCAAGCAACTCACTCGACCCTGAGGGACAATGTAGTAGGGATTGGAGCGAGAGAAGCCCGCCGACTCGAGGAGCGACATGACCTCTCCCTTCGAGGTTGACTTGCGGTCGAGCTGGTACTCGTCCTTCTTCAGGCCGATCGTTCGTCGGAGCAGCAGCGACGGCTTGTCTGCATTGGGTGTTCGAGATCAGCAGGTCAAGCGGGCAAAAAGAGAGGATGGGGACGAACTGGTCGGAAACCGCCCATCCGAGTTATCGAACTCGATCTCGACGAACGCGCTCATGGTAGCTCCGCCCGCTCCACCACCTCCCTCGTGCAGCAACGCCTGCCGCTCCTCACGCGAGAGCGAGGTGTACGCATCCGAGAGGACGAACCGGATGGCGGAGAAGAAGTTGGACTTGCCCGAGCCGTTTCGGCCAACGAGCAGGTTCAGACCCGAACTGTGACAACAGAGCCGGGTCAGCAAGCCCGATAGATTCGTTCGCAAGCGCGGAACAGCACGCACGAGAACGGGTCGACGACCGTCTCGTCGCGGTACGACTTGAAGCCCTGGATCTGCGCGGGCGTGGCAGCAGCATCTGAGTCAGTCCCAAGAAGCTCCTGCGTGCAGCCCAGCACTGTCCGTGCGCCGTGTGCCGTGCAATGTCCCTTGCGCGAGGCGAGTTGCGACGCGTGCGATGAGAGCGGGGCGAGGGAGAGGAGTGTACCTTCAGGCTCTGCGTGCACAAGGTCGATGATGGTCAGTACGAGCACGCTGAAGCACTCTGAGCCGCACTCGCCTTGATGTGCATCGTCGCGGCGAGATGTCAATGATGAAGAGGCGGACCTTGACATTCGACACCTCACTCGCCTCGCGGACACGCTTGCTGGGCTGCTGGACTGCACACTGGGACTCTAGCTGGGAATACACGCTCACCGACTGCGCCAGGCCGCGCCGCTTGACCGACTCTCTCTCGCTCGATGCCCGCCACTCTCGAGCAGTTCCTTCGATCGACCACACCAGCCAAGCGCGGAGCAAAGAGGGCAGACGGGGCAGAATTGGGATCAGCAAAGAAGAAGGCGAAGAAGGCGAGCAGTCCAAGTGACGGAGCAGGAGGAACGCCCAAGACGTCAGGCAAGGGCAAGGCGAAGGCGGCCAGTCCTGCCTCAGCGAAAGGGAAGAAGGCCAAGGCTGTCAAGGGCAAGAAGCGCAAGAAAACATTCGTCGAGGACAACCGCAACCTCGGGACGGTGGACTTGCTCGACTCGACCGACGACGACGAGGTCGAGGTTGTCGCTGAATCGCCCTCTGCGGCCAAAGCTGGGCCAAGCGAAGTCAAGCGATTAGTCCTTGAGGAGGAGGAATGGCTGGCGGACGAGGCGGATCGGCCGAAGACGCAGGACTTTGCGGCGGATCCTCCAGCTGAGCAGGACGACGGTCCAGAAAGGACGGCGAACCTGCTTTCAGCGCAGTCTAAGCTGCGCGATCCGGCCGAGCAAGACCCGTTCGACGGCTGTACCGACGACGAAGGCGAGTTGACGGTCCTCGGCGCGTCCAAGAAGGGGAAAGAGCGTGCGGACGCCGCGGAAGAGGATGATCTCGTTGTCGAAGGAGGCTTGACCTGCCCGGGCTGCAAGACGTCGCTCGACTCGATGCCTGAAGCGGTACGTCGTAAGCCCCTTGCAGACAGCTGCGCTACGCTGATACCGACGCTCGTTGCCTTCAGGATCGCGATACGCATGTCAACTCCTGCCTCGACTCGTCCGTCGCATCGACTTCGACCCCTTCAGCACCATCACGCGGTCTCCTTGCGCCCCTCTCTCGCCTCTTCACCTTCTCCTCCTCCTCGTCCGCACCTTCCGCCTCATCCTCGAAACCCGCTCCAGCACCTCAACCCGGTCCATCAAAACCCATGTCTTTCCTCCCGAACGCTTTCACCGCTCTCATGCGTGGGCACGATGAGGCGAACCAGTGGAAGAAGGCGGAGGAGGCGGACAAGCAGAAGGGAAGGTTGCCAAAGGGCGAGGAGAGGAAAGTGCCGTTCTACAAGTGCGTCGTCCGCGCTCGCTTCAGGCTGATGACGCATTTGACGTCATACGCCGGCTGTGCAATCAGGTTGTGGCTGACGCGCTCACCTTCATTCCAGGTGGATCGACGGGATGGAGATTACGGTCGACGCCTTCAAGTACGGCAAGATCGACGGCTGCAAAGCCTACTTCCTCTCGCACGCACACTGTGCGTCCCATCGCTTGTCGTCGTCTCCGACGGCGCTGATTCCTTCGCTCGCAGCCGACCACTACCAGAACCTCAACTCGTCTTGGTCGCACGGCGAGATCTACGCTTCGCAGACGACCATCAACCTTATCAAGCTCAAGCTGAAGGTCAAGGACGAGTACCTCTTCCCGCTCCCGATGGACAAGACTGTCAAGGTGCACGGAATCGATGTCACGCTCATCGACGCGAACCAGTGCGTTGGACAATTTCCTTAAGCCCACTGATGCGAGGCGCGTAAGCTGATGGAACGTGTCGCCTTGCACAGCTGCCCCGGCTCAGTCCTCTTCCTTTTCGAAGGACCGCACACGGATCCGAAGTCGCCCTTCTCGAAGACGCCGAACAGGATCTTCCGGTACCTGCATTGCGGCGGTGAGTCGCCACATTCCTATATCGCCGCTGCATCCTGTGACTGGATCGAACGGCCGGCCTTCGCTTTGCGTGCTTGCTGACGTTTCACTCCGTCCTTACAGACTTCCGCGCTTCCCCACAGCACATCCTCCACCCTTCGATGTCCTATCCGACGCCCGCTACTTCTCGCATCATGGCCCGAAGTTCCTCCTCGACGTCCCAGCCGTCATCTTCTCAACCGCCTGATCCTATCCCCGGCCGCACTCTCAAGCGTCTCGACGCAATCTACCTCGACACGACCTACCTCTCTCCCTCGTACTGCTTTCCCGCTCAAGAACTCGTCATCAGCGCCTGTGCTGAACTCGTGCGCGAGCGAATTGTCGGCGGCGACGAGACGGCGCTGTGGAGGGCCGATGGGAGGGAGGCGGAGAGGAAGGGCATGAAGGGGTGGTTGAAAGGTGACGGGACGGGAGTCAAGAAAGAAGAGGAGGGCGTGAAGGAGGAAGAAGAGATGGAGAGGATGATGCAGCTTGGCGAAGGCGAAGAGCGCGAGTCGCAGACTCCGATGCCAGGCCTCGACGACGACGAGCAGCTTTATGGCGACGTCGACGAGCCTATGGAGCTCGAGCGCTTACCGGAGGAAATGGATGACGCGGTCATGGCACATGGAGGGGATGAAGAGGCGTGGCTTGCTGTGCATGCGGATGAGACGCAGGAGGGCGAGACGCAGGAGGGCGAGATGAAGGTCGGCGGGGAGGCGGGCGATGACAGTCAAGGATGCGCCGCTGCGACTGTTGATGACTCGGCGTGTTGCGGTGTCGAAGCCGAAGCCGAAGTTGGCGAGATGCGTCCGATCGATGGTCAGGCGGACGACACGGTAGATGTCAAGGCGGAGGGCGAGATGATGGAGGACCATTCAGAGGAGAAGCCTGTTGTCGACGGTGTGGCGGACATCAAGCCCGAGGAGGCGGACGAGAAGCCGGACGTCAAGCCGAAGAAGGAGCGCCTGCTCGTCCTGGTCGGGACTTACTCGATCGGCAAGGAGCGGTAAGTGCACGGGCAGCTCGTGACACACAGTCACCGCTTACATTCCTTCTCTACAGCATCGTCAAGGCTATCGCCCACGCGCTTTCGACAAAGGTCTACTGCGACTCGTACAAGCGCTCCCTCTTCCTCGCGCAAGACGATCCCGACCTTCATGCCCTCCTCACCGAAGACCCGCTCGAGGCGCAGGTGCACATCGGCGGTCTACGCGACATCACAAGGGAGGCCATGCAGGAGTACCTCGCCAAGTTCAAGGCGCCGCGCATTGAGAAAGGGTTCACCAAGATGATCGGGTTGCGTCCGACTGGTGTGCCGAGACTCATCCTGTGCGTTGGGCCAGCAACGCTGACGTCCTTCTCGCCAGGCTGGACCTACCGCTCGGAGACGAAGGACAAGTATCCGTCCATCCCGAAGATCCTTCAGATTGAGCAGCAGCGCAAGTTCTCGCCGGCGGGTCTCTGTGAGTCGAGGTTCGGCTTGACAAAGTGCTCATCTGACGCTGCTCCTGCTCGCAGACCCTCAGCGAGACTCGACACCGATGACGATGGCTTTCGGCGTGCCCTACTCCGAGCACTCGAGCTTTTTCGAGTACGCCGAGCATCTCTTTCGCAAGAGTCTGTACTGACTCCGTTCCCGCGCAGGTTGACCTGCTTCTGCCTCTCGCTCGACTGGACCCGCGTCATCCCGACTGTCAACGTCCACACTGCTTCGTCGCGCAACAAAATGAAGGGATGGATCGACCGATGGGGAGCGGAGAAGAAGCGTCGTGCGGACGCAAAGCTGCCGAAGATCGTTCCGTTCAGGAACGTCAACTACTGGTGAGGGAGGGAGGAGGAGTAGCTTCGCAGTCTTTCTCGCTTGTCAAACTGTTGTCGTATCTAGTTTTACACGTCTCGCGTCAAGCAGCGACTTTGCACAGGTCTTTTCAAGTCGACGGCAACGAAAAGGAATGCTACAACGAAGAGACTGCTCACAGATCCAAGATTCCGACTTCAAGACGGCGAAAGAAAACGTCTCGTCAGGTGTACCGCGCAACCTTGCGTCGCCTGTTCTTGACCGTCGCCGCAATGCCGCTGACCTCTGCTGCCGCCCCGGTGACAAATGCCGACGAGCCCCGCGTCTTCTGCTTCTTCGGCGCCGGCTCTGGCTCGTCCTCTTGCTCCTGCTCACCGTCGACCTCCTCGTCATCCTTGACAGTCGAAGCCACCGACGCTCGGCCCCGTACGCGCCCTCGCCCTCGCGCAGAAGTCGGCGCCGCCTTGCGTCCGCCCTTGCCCCGTCGTGCGGGAGTTGGCGGCGCATCCTCCGGCTCTTCCTTCGTCTCCTCGTCGACAACGTTCTCCTCGAGCGTCTTTGCGGGCGCCGGTACATCGGGGACCTTCGACGCCTTGACTTCGACCGGCTTGATGGGCAGCAAGTCCAAGTCGCCCTCCTCCGTCGTGCTCGGCTCCACCTCTTCGCTGGTCTCGACGAGTGCAGGCTCCTCCACTTCCATCGCGCCGTTTTGCATATCCGCTGCAGGCCGCTTCCGCACCGGAGGAGGCGGCATCGAGCCGTTCGCGAGCGGTCCAGGCGGTACTGCGCGAACCATGATCGGACTGGCCTGGACTGAGCTCATGGCCGAGGCGGACGAATCGCTGAACGCAGACATGGGCTCTTTCCGCTTCGTGCCGCTTGAGAAGGGAGGTGCTAGGGCGTGGTCGAGGCCGTTCGGAAGGTTGGAGAGAGGGTGAGGCGAGTGAGGCGGGCCATCGAGCGCAAGTTTGCCTGCATAACGCTATGGGTGAGCTTAGAACAAAGCAAGGTATGGGAGCGAGACGCACCGAATCCTTGCGAATCGACCATGCTGTCGTCCGTTCCTTCCGTCGTCCGCATCGCAGCTGGACTCGTCAAACTCGCCGCGCTCATCTCGGCGTCCGCTTCCTGACCCTCGAGCGAATCTGCTCGTGATCGATGCGCGGCAGACATGTTCGGGATGGCATCGAGGGAAGAGGCGCCGAAGGGTAGGGAAGCGACCGAATCAGATTTCGTCGCGAGCCAAGGGTGCCGCAGGGCTTGCGCTGTCGCGAGGAAGTGGTCAGCCATGATCGCGGAACTGAGGGAAGCAACGCGCACCGCAGCTCATCCGTTCGCGCGGGTCCGCCTTGAGCAGCTTGCCGATAAAATCGCACCCTATCTCGCTGACGCCAAAGCCGCGCAAGATGCCGAGATTGACTGTCCGCTGCGCCATCCGTTGAGGCAGCGGTGTCGACTCGGACTCGTCGAATGGGATCTGGTTCGTTAGGCAGGAGTAGAGAACAACGCCGATTGACCAGGCGTCGACGAGCGAGCCGTAGCCTCGGACCGCCTCGGGGTGGAGAATGACCTCTATAGGCAAAGACATGTCAGCGGCGAAGCATGCGAGAGAGAAAGAGGGAGGCAAACCGGGCGCGAGGTAAGTTGGCGTTCCGCACATCGTCCGCAACATTGTCTGTCGAGACAAGCCCTAGTCAGCCTGCATCGCAGCTCAGACGGAGACGTCTAGCGCACCTGATCGTCCACCATCTTCGCCAAGCCAAAGTCGGTAACCTTGCAGACCGGATGCGCCGCCTTCGTGAGCAACAAGTTCTCCGGCTTGAGGTCGCGGTGCGTGACACCTTGCGAGTGGAGGTAGGCGACGGCTTCGCAGATCATGAGTGCGATCTCGCGGGTCTCGTTCTCCTCTAGAATCATAACGAGCGCTAGTCAGCGGAGTTTGAAGTGGAGGGGAAAAGCGGAACGTACTCAGTCCTCGCCGCTTCATCACGTAGTCCAGCAAGTCGCCTCCGTCGACGTACTCCAAGACAATCCTGTGCGCGCACCAAAGGTCAGGTCAAGTTACAGGAGGATGTCCGGGAGACGCACCAGATCCGCTGGTCATCCTCGAAGAAGTCAAAGCACTTGACGCAGAACCGCTGCGAGGGAAGGAGTGCATCAGCATCTGCCAAATCAACGAGTGAGACTGCGTGCCAACACACATGCTCGAGCTGCATCATAATAGCGATCTCCCGCTCAATCATCTCGACCGACTTGGGATTACTCGCGAACCTCGCCCGCTGGATGATTTTGATCGCCACGACGACGCCGTCCGCTCTCCGCACGCCCTTGCGGACCGTCGCGAAGCTGCCTTTGCCCAGCTGTTCCCGCACCTCGTAGTACTGGTGGATTGACCGTCCCTCGGCGTTTTGCGACTGCGAGAGCTCGCCGAGGCCGTACGGGTCGGCGGCAGAGGACGAGGAGGGGTTCAGGCTGGGGTCACACTGGAAGACGTAGCGGAAGTCGTCGTCAAAGTTGGCCGAGGCGGGACCGAAGACGATCAGGTCGCCTGGCTCGAGGACAGTGATGTTGCCCTTGCCAACCTGTAAGCAGCGCTCGAAGCGTCAATATGCGTCTCGATGACCTTGTCCACGATGCCTTGCTGATGAATCCCACCCTGGATAGCCCTCCACCGCGAATCAAGCCAGGATTCGGAAGTTCCGCCGAGCGATAGCGTCCTCATTTCTCGCGCGACAGGGCTGCCAGTGGGGGAGACGCAACGCACCTTCATGTTGCGCACGAAGGTCCCGTTCGTGCTCGTGTCCTCGAGCCTGACGATGCCCGTCTCGTTGTCGAGCCAGATCCGGGCATGCTTGCTCGAGATCTTTGGCCCGTTCAGGACCAAGTCGCACCGTGGATGCCGCCCAACCGTGTACTCCCGTTTCGTCCGCGAGAACTCGAGTCGCTCCGGTCGAGGGAGGGCCGTGTGGACGGCCGTTGAGAGACCAGGAGGAGGGGCAGAGGTGGTTGTGTCGCCTCGGACGGTTGTTGACTGGTCGTGCGCGTGCTGTGCGAGCGCAAAGGACTCGCTCGAGCTCCTCCCGACCGAGACGAGGATTCCCCAGAGGTTGGGCGGGAAGCGGGTGGTCGGCTGAGAGAGCGGCTGGGTCTGCTGGGTCTGCGTGAGCTGCGACTGCTGCGAGTACTCGAGTGCGTCGAACGCAGCCGTCTCCATCGTGCAAGCGGGCGAACAAGCGAGCGAGAACGAGCGAACGAGCGAACTTAGCGAAGTTGGCCCTCGCGAGGCGACGCGATTTCGTCGAAACGACAAGACGCGATCCAGCCGTTCTCTGCGTTCTTTCATGCTCATGGAGAGCTCTACAATCACTCTCCGCACAGACAGGTCTCCCGACGAAAGGTGAGAGTATTAGCGGCGAAGCGAGTCGCTCTTTTCGGGTCATCTAGTCGTACAATCTCAGCGCAGCCAGCTATACGTCCTGCGAAGTCAGCAAAGCGACGAGAGCGTCAGCGAGTGTACTAGCGAGACGCGCTAGGGCACCGAGAGGCCGCACTCACCGGCTCATCGTCCTTGCTCTTCTTCGCACACTCCCGCCGCACCCGCTCCAGCATGTACCGTGCATCCTCGGGGTCGACGCCCGGAGTGATGCCGTGACCGAGGTTGACGATCCACCCGCCCTTGATGCCCTCCCTCGCGCACGTGAGGAACCCATCCGGTCCCCAAGTCAAGTTGCGCACCTCGCGCTTGATCGCCTCCTTTCCGCCGAGGAGGACAGACGGGTCGAGGTTCCCTTGCAGCGCGACGCGCGAGCCGGTGTGTTGTCGTGCGTAGCGAGGTGCGACGGTCCAGTCGAGGCCGACGGTTTGGTAGCCGATTTGCGAGAGTGCCGAGAGTTGCGCGGGGGAGGTTGCGCCCTTGGCGAACACGGTCATGGGAGGGCAGGGGATAGAAAGGGAGGCGAGGCGGGAGCGGACGAGTTTGGGGAGGAGGGCGAGGTAAGGGAGGATGAAGGTGTCGAAGCCGTGAGGGGTGAGGCAGTCGGCGTTCGTGTCGAAGACTTGCAGGAGCTGCGGCACACAAATCCGTCAGCGGCTTTGCGATCAATGAACGCGAGACAGGAGACGCACCTGCGCGCCTGCCTGCACCTGTCCGACAAGGTACTCTGCGCTGACCTCGGCAATCTTCTGCAGCACCGCCTTTGCGTTCTCCGGACTCTTGTACGCCCACGCCTTTGCCTTCTCCCACGTCCTGCTGCCGCCTCCCTCGACCATGTAGCCGAACAGCGTCCACGGTCCCGCGCAGAAGCCAATCAAGGGCACCTTGCCCTCGAGTCCATGCCGAGTCTTGGTGATCGCCGCGTACACATACTTGAGCTCCTCGTAGACGTCGACCTTGCGGTCGAGGATGCGAGACTGGGCGTCCTCGGGGTTCTTGAGAGGCGAAGGAAAGTGAGGGCCGACGCCTCCGAGCATCTGGACTTCCATGCCCATCGCCTGCGGGACGACGAGAATGTCGCTGAAGATGATGCTGGCGTCGAGGAGACCTTCATACCGCCTGATCGGCTGGAGAGTGACCTCGCAGGCGAGTTCCGGCGTCCGGCAGACGGTGAAGAACGAGTGCTCCTTACGAACCGCCTGGAACTCGGGGAGGTAGCGACCGGCCTGGCGCATGATCCAAATGGGCGGAAGACGTGTCAGGTCGACTGGCGAGACGCCCTGCGCCGACTGGAGGAGGGCATCGTTGCGGAGCGGAGGGAACTCGTCGAACGAAGCCGGGAAGCGGTACTCGCTGACCGAGGGCGGTACGGGGTGGTCGATCTGTTCCTGCTGTGTCATCCTAGCCAGCAAGCGACTCGAACTGAGCAAAGAAGCGAGTCGAGGCGAGCAGTCCCCAGGCAAGCTGGCGCGGCGAGAGGTTGCGACCCGACACTACCTCGCGACCCGCTCAGGCAGCCCAGGGTAAGCTCGCTTGCACTCTGACGTGCTCTTACGTTGCAGCCGAGCACGTACGAACAAGCGCGGCGCCAGACAGACCCTTCTACACCCCTCCCCCTCCTCATCACCACCTCGACACGCTCGACCGCGACACCGGCACGAAGCAGCGTCTGAGTGGCCTTGGGGCATCGGATGCGGTACACAGAGCCTCGAGGCGAGACCAGCTCGCTGAAAGGAGGCGGAGGGCGGGCGCAGTCTCGTTTGCCCAGGATGACGACGCCCGCAAGGACGCATCTTTAGGGGTGTGCAGATGCGTGGAGAGGGCCCGTGCGGATCTAAGGGAGTCGTGCGCAAGCGGACGAGGCTGGCAATGTCGGGCGGATCGCTACGACATTGTCCTGGAACCCGTCCTCGAGGAAGGTTGTGGACGGATGCAACAGCCTTGGGGGACTTTGCACGACGTGCCAGCATCTCTGGAAGGGCTGTCCATTACTGACGGACCAGGCTGACGTACTTGCTCGCCCTCAACAGATGTCGCGATCCTCTTACGACCGCACTCTCACCATCTTCAGGTGCGCACGCTTCTTCGTTACTCTACCGCAGACTCACTGACCTTCTGCATGCTCACAGTCCCGAGGGACGGCTCTACCAAGTCGGTGCGCCCGATCCCCAGCCGTTAGCGTTACGAACTTGCGCTCATCCGTCTATCCCCCAGAGTATGCCTTCAAGGCGATCACGACCTCGGGACACACCTCGTTGGCGATCAGGGGAGCTGGCGTCTCGGTGGTGATCACGCAGAAGAAGGTTCCCGTGCGTCGCTGGTCCCGCTGTCGCCAATTCTAGCTTCCTTTGCTCATCTGGCTCATGGTCGTGGCCCTTTCGTCGTGCAGGACAAGCTCCTCGACCCCGAGTCAATCACCCACATCTTCAACATCACCCCTTCCATCGGCTGCGTCATGACCGGCCGGACAGGTTCGTCCTCCTTACCTTCCTCTCAGCTTCTCGTGAGGCTAACCGCCGAGATCGCCCTGTGCAGCCGACGCTCGCTCCCAGGTCCAGCGTACGCAGTCCGAGGCATCGCAGTTCCGCTACAAGTACGGCTACGAGATCACGCCCGATCTGCTCGCAAAGAGGATTGCCAACATCAACCAGGTGCGTGCGCGAGGCTTACTGCGCAAAGTCGACTTCGCTGACCCGGCGCTGACGCGCGCTCAATTTAACCCATTGACAGGTCTACACGCAACGAGCGGCGATGCGACCACTCGGCATCTCGATGATCATCGTCGGCTTCGACCCGCAGTACGGCCCTCAGATCTTCAAGCTCGACCCGGCAGGCTACTATGTCGGCTTCCACGCGACCGCCGCCGGCCAGAAGCAGCAAGAAGCGACGAACGTGCTCGAGAAGGGCTTCAAGAAGGGATGGAAGTTCGAGTCGAAGGACGAGGTGGTCGAGTTGGCGCTGTCGACACTGAGCCAGGTCTTGTCGACGGACTTGAAGGCGGGAGAGGTCGAGATCGGCGTTGCCGAGGAGGGAAAGGTCGAGGGCAGGGGGCAGTTCCGAAAGGTACGCCGGCCCTTCACCTCAACAGACTGCAGGCGTCGATCGCACACACCGTGCTAGACTGGCGCCTGCTCTCTTCGGAGGCAATCGCTGACGCCCCACCTTCTACAGCTCACGACGGAGGAGATCGCAGCCGCGCTTGACCGACTTTCGGAGCGAGACTGAGCCTCGTTGCGCGCATCTCTCGTGTAATTCTGGTCGTGCGAACGCAGTCTGATGTACAAACAGCACAAGCGAGTAGAACAGGGAGACAAACAGTGGAATGCGCAAGCCCAGCAGCGCCGCCCAACGAGACAGACCACCCTCACTCGGCCGCCTGCTGCTTGATCTTCTTCTTAAGCGCGGGGCCCTCCATTGGCTCGTCCTCCTCGTCCTCGTCGTCCTCGTCCGAAAGATCCATCCTCTGATACGTCTTAGCCTGCGTACCCGTCTGCGTCCTGCCCTCCTTGACACGCCTCTTGTACGCCGCGACGCGGCGGGCGAGTCCTTCGTCGGGCTTGATAGTGGACGCCGTGAGGCGCTTGCTGCAACCGGTTTCGGGGCAGTCGGTAATGCCATGACCCTGCTGGAGGAGCTCCTTGATGGCGTAGCCCGAGAAGGCGTGTGGACAGACGGTTCTGCAGAAGTACAGGTGGATCGTCAGCAGCTGTTCCGCCGATGCGAACGAGGAAGTGAGACGAACGAGGTGTACGGGTCTTCGAGGACTGTAAGCGTGATCGGGCAGCGGTAGGTGGTCGTCTCGGCGCCAAGCTCAATGTCCTCGTCGTCCGACTGCTCGTCATTGTCCTCTGCGTGTGGAACTCGTAATCAGCTAGCATTCGGGGCGCGAGTGAGCGAGCAACGCACCTCGAGGCAGAAACTTCTTGACGGGCGGGACAGCCGAACCGTTCGTGAAGCTCTCCTGTTCGTCAGAGGGTGAGCGCTTCGCTCGTCACAGAACGAGATAAGTGTACGCACCCAGACAAGATGGCGGTACTCGACGTATCGCTCGTTGTCGATGAAGCGCTGGCGGACAGTCTTCGCACGGTATTGCGAGAGCGGCTCGGCGGCCCTCTGCTCGAAGAGCTTGGCGACGTCGGCCTGATAGAGCAAGCGCGTCAGCGCCAGGACAGAGTCGAAAGGGAACAGTACGCACGACTGGGTGGCCTTGGTGTACGCGATCGCGAAGTTCGCCAAGCGTCTTCGCGCGAATCTTGAGCTCAGCTTGTCGGTCAATCAAGGCTCGGAAGTCTTCTTCGAGTTGTGACATGATCTCCTGTAGGACGGCAGATGATGAGCAGGGGGGCCTTTCCAATACAGCAGAACTCGGGGACATGAAGACTCACGTTCTCGAGCAGCGCCTTCAGCCACTTTTCCTCGTTCATGTCCTCGTCCTTGTAGTCCTCGTTCAGCAACTCGGCCATCTCGCTCGCCGTGTTCAGCACCGTCTCCTCGCCGGTCATCAAGTCCTTCGCGAGCGCGGTAAGGCTGCTAATGATGAGCTTGATCTTCGCGCTGCCTTGCTGCAAGTCAATCGGCTTGTTAAGGTACTCCGGGTCGACCTGGCGCGTACAGAACGGCAATCAGCAGGCGTTTGACACGAGAGAAGGGGGCCTTGCGTCGAAGCGTACCTTCTGGAGGATCCTGTCGTTCCGCTCGACGTGTTCCACCTCTACGTCCGACCCGTCCGAGTCCGACTCGACCACATGCTTCTTCCTCTTGCTGGCGGGAGGCATGGCGGAGCGAGGAAGGGAGATGTCAAGATCGCGAGAGGAGTCGGGGTGAGGAGACGGGCGGACGGGCGTGGGAGCTGGTTCGCGGCTGTGGTGCGTGTCAATCAGCAATAGCAGGCTTCCCTAACTCTTCAGCGAGCGTCTAGATGCTGAACGGGTGAAGGACAGGAGATGAAGCGATTCCCGACGCGTTCTTCCCGACCTCGACCTCGCCTGGCTCGATGTTGACAGGCTAGAGTGAAAGACAGACGTTCACAGAGCAGTCTAGCAGATTGAGGAAGCCCCTCGAGCGAGGGAGGTCGAGTTGTCTCCGGTTCGTCTCGTCCTCATCGCTTTCCGTCCTGCCATACTCGCCGCTCGTTCTGACGACGCCAAGATGCTCCCACGAAAGCTCCAGTGGACTTCTTCATCCCGGCTAGCCGCACCGACTGCCTTCCGTCCTGTCCCCACCACTCCCTCGCCCTCGTCGCTCCCCTCATTACGATCGCTCTCCTTCTCCTCCCGAACCCTCGCGCCAGTAGCGACGAAACCTAGACATTATCCAATCTCGCCTTCGCGGTCAGCGGCCGGAGCACGGAGACCAGGGGTGGAGTCGATGCCGCGCGAACTGCCCGAACTCAAGGTGAGCATCCTGCCCGTCCCCGTCGAATCCTCCCAAGGCCTGCTAACCACGCCGTCTCTCGCACACAGTCCCGAGTACCGCTCTACCTCGGTCTGGCGGTCGCCGCCGCCGCCGCATGGGGCGCCTTCCTCATCTACGCAACAAACGAAGAGCGCGCCAACTCGTCTGTCGTCCGATCGCTCACGTTCCAGCTGCGTAATTGGCCTGCGGTGAAGGAGTTCTTGGGTGAGAACGTCAAGATTGAGCCGTTGGTGGGGGACTTTGTCAGGATCAAGGGTTCGGTGCGTTGCACTTCTCTCTGACCACACAGCCTCGCAGCTACAAGGAGTGTCTCTCATGCTGATGCGAGGTGCTGTACACAGATTAACATGCTCGCGGGACGCATCGACGTTCAGTTCCCCGTACGAGGATCGAAGGGTACGTCCGCTCCACCTCCTGCACACCGCGCTTCCCATGACTGACCGCTCGCTCGTGACGCAGCTCGCGGCACCGCATCGTTCACCTCCATCCGAAGAGGAAAGGGCGGTCATTTTGAGGTGTTGCGGTGGAAGATCACGAGGGAGGACGGAGCGGTGTTGGACTTGGCGGAGCTCGATATGACGAAGCCACTCGAGGGGTTGGACTTGTAGACGTCGGGCGTATGCACAATGCGAGGCTCTCGCAAGGCAGTCAGAGATGCGATGCCCGCGAGAGGAAGAGCTGATGGCGCCCCTACTATCTCGCCATCTCTCTCAGACGGAAATCCTTGAGGGCAAAGCGTCAATACTATAAATGCAACGTGAACCCTTCAGCAGTGTGCAAGGATGTAGCGGAACCCTCCCAGCGCCCACTCAGAACTGCGGCTGATACCACTTTTGTTGGTACGCCTTCGTGAACGGTGTCGCGTTCGCTGCGCCACCAGTCTGCGTGCAGATAATGTCGTCAATATGTTGACAGTTGTTCAGAGGGAGACAGCAACGCACCATGACCGCCTCGATCTCCTCCTCCGTCGGAGCCCACCTCTCCCGCCTCAGCCAAGCCGGCAATTGCGTCTCATCCTCCAACACTCCAGGCTTCCCACTTCCTCCGCTCGACACACCCTTGCTCGCACCCTGCCCCTGACCCGCCAACGATCCCGACGAAGAAGCCGAAGCGCCGACACCTTCCTGCGCGACTGGTCCGCCGTAGGAGGACGAGTTGGCGTCTTCGGCGTGTGGTGAGCGTGGCTTGGAGCGCGCTTCGCTGAAGCGGGAGAAGGTGTCGATGACGGATTGGGGGGCGCAGGGGTGAGGTTCGGCGGAGTGAGATGAGTCTGCGCGGGAGGGAGAGAAGGCGGTGTCAGTCTTGTGGAGTTGGAGCCGTGTCCACCCATAGTCGATGGGTTATTGTTGACGCTCGACAGCTCGTTGAAGCTGCTAGTATGCCCGCCGCAGAGAAGACTCCCGTCCGAGCAACACCTCGTCAAGAACTCCCGAGAGTCAGATCCGCCGCATGCGCCGCGGCCCGGCCATGGAGCTGGTCTCGAATCCAGGATTCCACCGTGTCAAACAGCCTCCTGCACACGAGGGTCGACGACTGCCTCCGCCGGCCGGCTGTCTCCGAGGTCATCTCGTTTCGACGCCGTCTCCTGCGCTGCGACGACCCCAGGGAAGCCTGCGATCCAGCCCAGCCAGTCCTTCCAGCCGTCTTCCAATCTACCGTCGCCCGGGCGAGCCCGTATAGAGCCATCAAACGACACCCGACCTTGGCGAACGACGAGCGAGCCGAGGGAGACGGAGAGTGAACGTACGGGCGGCCTTGCGGTCCGGGAAGCGCATGGACGGTTGCCGCGCGTGTTGTGCGAGTCGAACGAGCGTCTGGCGGAAGGACATGGCGGTTGTGTGAGGGTGAGCGAGAGGGAAGAGCTGTCGCGAGTGAGGAAGACAAGTCCCGCCTCGATTCCTCGCAACCACTCGGGACGGTTCGGCTGCTTGTGTGGCAGTACGAGTACAGCATACTGGATTTGTTGGTCTGGCAGTCGCATTTTCCTGCAGCGAGCGACTTGCCGTGCCGGATGGTTGCGCCTGCTGGTTCCGACCCTCTCCTTCACCCGCCACTTGCTTGCTTTGCTGTGTTCGTGTGTGTGCAGTGCAGCTGGACAGTCCCAGGGACCAGCGCAACCCGCCACCACCCCTCGCCTTTCTCCCATCCTCGACTCCCGCCAACTCGAGCTCACTTTCCTCGGACACCGCTACATCGCCTCGCGACCATCTCGATCCGCCAGGCGAGCTATACATTTATACGCACAGCAGTCGACATCGCCTACTGCCGACATCCCGCGACCGCCGCGTCTCTCCGATCTCGCCAACTTTCGACTCTTCTTCATCTGATCGCCTCGACACCCGACAGGGCAGCCACGCCCGCATAGATCAGCCTCGTACGGCATGGTGGTCAACCTCTCGTACAAACTCACGCACCTCGCCCACTCGCTCCGACATGGTGGACACAGCTTGAGGAACGCTTTCCCATCGACGGCCAACCCTGGCTTCGACTTCACCTCGAACGTCTTTGGAACGGTCAGCAATGCCGCTGGGAACGTAGGAGGAGGGGCGGCGACGACGCTCGGTGTCGCTGCCGGCGCCCTCGGAGCGGGCGCAGGAGCGGCTGCTGGAGCCAGTTCAGGAGGAGCGACGGGAGGAGCCGGCGGCGCCTCATCAAAGGCTGGTTCGTGGGGCGCGAACTGGGGCTTCCAGGTGCGTCGAGTATGCCGGTATGGATACCGGCAATCCCGCTGACGAGCGTGTGGCGTGACAGAACGGCAAACCCACCAACGGCCAGGCTGCTCAAGCCGACTCGCAGCAGCTGAACGACGACGCCGACGACCTCCGCGCACTCGCTTCCTCTCCCGCACGCCGTCGTGCACTCTTGCGCAGCCGCACCGCCCAGTCTTCCGGCCGCATCGCCTCGTCTTTCCGGGCCCGCCATGGTTCGCTCTCGTCCGGCTCTGCGCCTCATCCCGACCTGCTCCGCGCCGAAGAGGCCGGTCTCTCCGGCGTACGCCTCAGCAGCGTCGAGATGCAGCGACGGTACCATTCGGCGTTCGCTCGCGGCGAAAAGGCGGACGAAGCGGTCGAGCGCGAGGCGGACGAAGTTGACCTGGACGTCAGCACAAACACGGATGTCCTCAGGTCGAGGAGGCGAGCGAGCATTTCGAACAGGCCGACGATGACCCTCGCTTCGCCGTTCGTCATCACCACCACGCCTTTCGCTTCGCCCCGTCGGCCGTCGACCCCCCTCTCCTCCGCAACCCGCTCCATTCACACGTCGGCTGTTGCTGCCGAGACTGCGCCACCGACCGATGCGACCACCGCCACCGAGTCTGCCGCGCCTCCCCCCCCCGCTTCGTCTGACGAAGCCGCTCCAACGCCGAACGCCTTTTCCGAGCCGCCTCCGACCGGCACAGTCGGGCGTGCACGAAGCAACTCGTCTCCGACTTCCGACCGTCCCTCTCTCTCCCGCACGCTCAGCCGAGAGCGCGCTCCCTCCGACGGCGACTCTCAATGGCAGCCGACGTTTGCGCCCGCCTCGCCCAGGTTCCTTGCGAAGCGCGAGGCGAGGGGTCTGAAGCGCGCGGACCGCCAGGCGGACGCGAATGAGCCGAGTGAGATTGCGAAGGACCGGGACAGGAATGGATGGCTTGTCAAGCGCCGACAAAAGGAGGGATTGACTGTCCCCGGTGCCGAGGCAAGTCTTTGCATCTCTCCTCGTTGCATCAGTCTGTATTGACTCGCCTCTTGCTCATCGTGTTCAGCGAGCGCTTGACCTCATCCTCGCCGCCTCCAAGACGGGTCAAGTCGCGGTTCTCGAGCACGCTGTGCAGCAGTACCGAGCGGACGCGGGGAAATGGTCTTCGGCAGGTCACAAGGAAGCGATGAATGCCCTCCTGCACCTCCGCCGACCGAACGACCCCATCGACCCGATCATCCGGCTCTACAACGACCTCTTCGACCACGAGCAGCTTCACCCGAGTCGCAGGGCGTACGAGGTCGTCATCGAGGCGTTCTGCGTCCGCGACAAGGAGATCGTCAGCCAGATCGAGGCGCTCGAGGCGAAGGCTGCTCGGCGGACGCTCACGGTTGAGGCTCGCGGACCGTGGAAGGTCGCCGAGAACGCTCAGGATGTCCTCGGCGAGCAGGAGCGCGAGACGCTTGCTCGCCTGCGCGACACGAACTTCTACCAGCACGCCCTCGTCTTCTTCAACAAGCTCGGCGAACCGGCCAAGCACCTCAGCTTGCCCGCATACGAAGCGCTCATCGAGACCGCTGCAGCCCGCGGAGACGTCGAGACGGCCGTCTCGCTCTTCGGGCGCGTCGAGCAGCAGAAGTACCAGAACCCCGGTTGGCGCTCGCACTCGGCTTTGATCAAGCTCCACGCCAAGCAGGAGAACGGCGCCGACCTCGTCAAGGAGATCTTCGAGTCGTACCTCCTCAACCGCAGCAAGGGCGTCATCAGGAACTCTGGACTCGAGTCGCTTCGCCGCACCAACCCCGCCGACTCGCTCGACGCCAAGGTCTCCGGCGACGAGCAAGTGTGGAACGAGACGATCCGCTCGCTCGTCAGTCTTGGCGACTTCGCCGGCGCCGTCGCCATCGTCGAGAAGCTCATTGTCGCGCTTAACTCGACGGAGCCCGCACCTCAGGGCTACCCGGACAAGATCGGGCCTGAGGCGTGGGGATCCCTCGCAGCCGGTTTCGCCGCTCAAGGCGAGCACGAAAAGGCCGTCACCTGGTTCGACAGGCTCGTCTCGGGCGAAGCGCAGGGCCTCCGCGACGGCACGAACAAGCTGCCTGGCTTTGCTCTCCTCGACGGCATGCGCACCGACGACGTCGCATTCGTCAACCACGTCTACCGCTACATGCTAGCGCAGGCAGACAAGGTCCCGCTCTCGATCGCCCACCTCGCCCGCGTTGTCGACTACAATCTCGCGCACGCAGCCAAGACCGAGGACCCCGACGCGCGCAACGCCTTGTTCGACACGGTCATCGAGTTCCGCCGCGGCTTCGAGCAGGCCGTCTTGGCGAACCACGTCGAAGCCGGCGGCGCCGTCAGCTTCAGCGATTCGACCGGTCTTCTCGGCCGCATGGCTGCGACGATGGGTTCCTTCGGCCGCTTCGATGTCGCGACATCGACCTTCGTCGAGCTCGCCAACATCGTCCGTCGCCTCATGCGGGACGCTGGCGACGAGGACGTTGCGGACGCCCAGAATGAGGCCGGTTGGACACGCAGCCGCCGCACCTGGGCGCTCACCGTGACGGACGACGCCTCGGGTGCTCTCGGCTTCGTTCCGGCCATCAACAGCGATTCGGCCATCCACGGCCTCACGCGCCTCGTCGCCGAGCGTCCGTCTCTTCAGCAGGCTGTCACCGTCGTCGGCTGGACGAACAAGCTCCGTAACGTTGTCCACCTCGCTCCCGTCGCCAACCACGTTCTCGCGGTTGCCGAAGCATACAGCGCAGCGCGTGCCGGACCCGAACGCGACGCCGAGCTGAGCCAGCTCTCCGGCGACAACTGGTACACCGTCCTCGAAGGTATGGCATACTCGGCCGCCCTACTCCAGCGCGGAGTCGCCGTCGACTTCTCCTTTGCCGGCTTCGATGCTGCCTTCGACGACTTCCTCGCTAGCGGTTCGCAGCTCCCGCTCACGCCCGAGACGGCCGAGCTTCGCGCCATCCGGGACTCGCTCGCCCTGATCGGCGCACCCGAGGCGCGTATCGACGAGGTCGTCAATGCCTTGCAGCAGAAGACAGCCCAGACGATGCAGCAGCAGCCCTCGTCCACCGATGCCGATGCTGCCGCCGCAAAGGTCGATGTTGTCGAGGACGAGGCTGGTTCGGTCACCAGCGAGTCGCTCGGGACCGCGACGTCTGCGACCCAAGAGACCGCGTCGGCTACGAACTCGGTCCTCACGCCTCCCTCGACCCCGCCGGCTTACTTTGCGGAGCGGGAGATCAAGCCTGCCGCTTCGTCAGCTCCTGCGGCGAACGAGCCAGCGGTCGACCTGCGCCTCACCCAGCTCCTCGACGCCTTCATCGGTGGCCACAACATCGACAAGGCGTTCGCGAAGGCGAGGGAGGCTGCCCAACAGGGTCGCTACGCCCGCCCCGAGACATACTCGCGCCTGATCGAGCTCCTCGGCCGCAACAAGCGCATGGACGAGGCTCGCATCGCCTACTTGGACGGTTATGCCGCTCTCAAGGCGCTCGACAACGATCCGACTGCACAGGCACTCGCGTGGGTTCAGCTCGAGGACCGCATGATTCTCGCCCTCGCCAACGCCGGCGAGCTCAAGGACGTTGGCCACCACCGAGACCGTCTCATCCGAGCCGGCGTCGCACCCTCGGCCGACGCGTACGGCGCGATGATCGCCAACATGCACGAGACGACCGACAACGCCTCGATCGCCTTGACGCTCTTCGAGGAGGCGATCGGTCTCGGCGTCCGTCCGAGCCAGTACCTCTTCAACACGCTGCTCTCGAAGCTGTCGAAGGCTCGCCGCGCGAAGGAGGTCCTCGACTATTTCGAGCTCATGAAGGAGTACGGCGTGCGCCCGTCGGCCATCACTTACGGCACCGTCATCAGCGCGTGCTGCAAGATTGGCGACGATGCGACGGCCACTTTCCTCTTCAACGAAATGGTCGCCATGCCCGGCTTCGAGCCGAGGGTCCCGCCGTACAACTGCATGATCCAGTTCTACACCCAGACGAAGCCCGACCGCGAGCGCGCTCTCCACTACTGGGACCGCCTCCGCAACGACCGCGTCCTCCCGACCGCTTTCACCTACAAGTGCCTCCTCGACGCCTACGGCTCGATCGCGCCGCCAGACCTCGAGCAGACGCAGCAGGTCTTTGCGCAGCTCGTGCGCGACCGAGGTGTCACGGTCAACGGCTCGCACTGGGCGTCGCTCATTACGGCGTACGGCATCTTCGCCAAGGACCTCGACCGCGCCCAGGCCATCTTCGACTCGATCAGCCACCACCCGTCGACTCGCAGGAACCCGAATGGTCGCCTCCCCGACGCCGTCGTCTACGAAGCGCTGCTGAATGCCTGCATTGCCAACGACCGCCACGAGCTCGTCGACCAGTACCTGGAACGGATGCGCGCCGAAGGCGTCCGCATGACGGCCTACGTCGCGAACGCGCTCATCAAGGTGCGTCTGGCTTGCTGATTTCTAACACGTGCTTAACTTGCTGACTCAGTTCACGGCTCGCAGGCTTACGCCGAGAGGGGCGCTTTCCAGCGCGCTCGCAACGTCTTCGCCGCCATGGCTGACCCGCCCGCCGGCGTCGCTTCCGTCGGCAACCACCCCAACGACCGCCAGCAGAGGAACTCCCGCCTCGCTTCGAACGCCCATGCCTCCGTCGACGAGCCGACCTACCGCGAGCCGTCGACCTACGAGACCATGATCCGCTGCGAACTCGCCGCCAAGGAGCCGTCGAAGGCGCTCGAGGTCTACGCCCGCGCACAGCAGCGGGCGTTCCCTCCTGCGATCATGGCGCGCCTGCACAAGCTGCTCGCGTCGGAAGGCGTCGAGCTCCAGGTGCAGCAGAGCGCATGAGAAAAAGCCTCGCTCGTCTCTCCCCTCTTCTTCTCGCGGTCCATCTCCTGTCGTTGCGATATATTGTCATCGTCGTCCCACCACCGCTCGCCGGTGTGCCGTCCATTCTGCCGCCACCACTCACACTTCCCTCTCGATACCCGCTCGCCAACCTCGATACCCCTCCCCCATAGATCTGAAGAAGCCGAAACAACTGTATCTCCTCCTGCAACGATTCTCGCGATCGATGGCCGGCTTCAAGTGAGTTTGTGCGCGACCCTCCTTCGTGCGAGAGGCGAGGAAGAGGTTCGCCTTCATGTCATCACGCCCTTGCGTTTGAACGCCGGCTATCGTACCGCCTGACCTTCCAGCTTTCTACACACTCTGCGAGCGCAGCCATGGCTTCCCCAATGCTCTTGCCAGCGAGTACACCTCCCCCTGGGTTTGATCAGTGAGTTGCTCAGTCTCCTCGAGCAGCGCATACGAACTGGCGGCAGTTCTGCACAATGCTAAACATGGTAGGAAACGGGACACGAGCACCTGTGCACCGCGATTCAGGGTTGAGGAGACGGAGGGGGTCCCGGATGCGGTCGAGGAGGAGGTTCGGGACGTGAGGCTGACGGGTCCATTCGGCAGACCGCTACGAAGTCCGCACTTCATCACACGGACAGAAGCACTGCGAGGGGCGGCGAACCGGGTTCTGTTCTCCCAGGTGCGTCCGGCCTTGCGGCAGTCTCGAGGATCGTTGACACAGGCTAACCTCGCTGCCGCCAGTTCTACATCGGCCTGTACCTCCTCATGGCACTGCTATCGTGAGTTTACGTGGCTTGCACTCTTGCTCGCGCTCGGCTGACGACCGCTTCCACTCGGCAGCCTCACGACGGTCGTCCTCTCTGCAACTTCCGACTGCCCGACACTCGCCTTCTACATCCTCGAGATCATCGTCAACACGAGCATGATTGCTGAAGTCGTCGTCCGGCTGATCGCCTTCGGGAAGGTGCGCACACCGACTTCCACACGTCGAACCGGTTCTCGAGACTGACTTTTCCTCCACGGCTCGCAGCAATTCTGGCAATCGTGAGTCTCGCCGTGACAGCTCTCGTCTCTTGATTGCCCACCTGGCGCGGGACGGCGACTCAGGCGTATGAGAGCGCCTCGCATTGCTCACCCTTCGCTTTGCGCAGGTATTGGAACGCCCTCGACCTCGTGATCACCTGCTTCTGCGCCATCACCCTCGTCGTCATCTTCTTCAGCGGATGTTCGGCCAAGGGCGAGGAGGTCTTCGACACCTTCCTCCTCGTCGTGCGCAACCTGTTCCAGTTCGGCCGGCTGGCGCTCGTCCTGCGGAGGTGCGTCCAGGCGCATTCTCCGTAGAGTATCTCTGGCTGACCCTCGATCTAACGCAGATCGGGCAAATCGGTGTTTGCGCGACCAGCACCGATCGACCTCTCCGCCGCGCGAGCATATTCCTTGGATCTGGACCTGGACGACGAGGAGGCGCTTTCGACGGAGCGAAGAGCGATGGGCGGGGACGTCGAGGCTCAGCGGAAGCAGGCGCGACGGATAGGAGACGATCAGCGCCCGTTCTTGCTGGACACGGACGAAGAGGACTGATGTTATCAAGGAAGTGTTCCGCCACCAATCCGCGTCGGGTCTGCTACATCAGCGAGCGATCCACTGCGTTTCGCATGCGTCTTCTTTGCCGCGCGACGCCCAGGCTGTGGAATGACCAGCTTGCTCAAGTTCTTGCGGCGTCGCGCACATCTGACCGCTGATTGACACAGGCTGCACGTCTACTCAGATCTTCCCCAGCAGACTCGCCAGCATGACGCCCAACACCGCGCCTAGACCACACATCCCTGCAACTGCCCAGACACAGCGCTTCGCCCAGATCCTTTCTTCCTCACGCCACCGCACGAGCGATTCCTTCACGTCTTCGGGCACCTCGCCTCGGACCGCTTCGTGCCTGCTCCAGCGCTCAGCCTCCGCCAAAGCCGCTTCGAGAGCAACGACTGCCGCCTCGTCCCGACCGACTGCGCCGACGATCGCGCCGCTCTTTGGCGCCTTCTCCTTTGCGAGTTCGACGGGCGCCTCGCTGCGCCACAGTCGTGAAAGGCCGAGAAACCAGAAGATTGGGCACAGGAACCCGAGCCAGAAATGCCGCTCTGCTTGAGTGCGGGGACATTCGGCGTAAGAAGGAGGAGGCGGCAACGCGGGGGCTGTCGAATCGGGCGCGCGGGTGTCGACGGGAGTGAGGGAGGAGAAGGCGAAGAAGGAGAGAGGCTGGACGGTCGCGCTGCTTCCTGGCGTTGATGGAGCTGGAGCGGCATAAGGCGGAGGGGGAGGGAAGCGGTAGGACGATTCGTGGACATGCGGAGGGAACGTGGATACTGTCGGCGCCGGTGGCGGAGCAAGGTTGTCGGCTGGCAAAGGAGGGAGATCGCGGTCGACGGTTTGACCGGCTGTCACGATGCAAGTTGAGCTGGCGGCGGCGTCCTCCATGCCAGGCGTAGCCAATGTCGACATCGTGGTGGTTTCGATGGTGACAGAGACGGAGGATGCGGCAGAACCGCGACGTTGCGAGGCGATGGTCGACATGAGGGACTTGTTCGAGCGGGTGGAAGCGTTGGAGAAGAGAAGAAGCAAGCTGGACGAGCTGGTGATCATTCGCTTCGAGCCCTTCGCTCGCTGCTCGCATCTTTCGCCCTCTCGTCGACTTCCAAGTCGATTGGACGACGAAGCGACGAGGCGGCGCGTGCGGCGTGCGGAGCGGATGAGCTCGGGATGAGTGAGGACTCGACGACGACGCTCGCTGACTTTTCCAGGCAACATCAAAGCGTGCACTGCGATAAGCTGATCCGCTTGGGAGACGAGGGACGGCGGGGATCTCCAGCGGAAGTCTTCGGCAACTTAGGAAGGTCGACAAGGTTTCGACGGCTTCTCGAGGGACCATTGCAGTAAAGGCTTGCCTGACTGCTTGCTAGAAAAGAAGAAGGGTACTCGCAACGGCTATGTCACGCTGCCAGTCGGAGATGGGTAGAGGTCTTGCCGAATCGTTGCATTCGCGTTATCGTCAACCTGAGTGCGGAGCGTCAGGGTCAGTTACCACAGGTCACAGCTTCTCGGGACATACAGTCTGAGATTGAGGTGTAGCCGAGAGCGCAGGAGAAGCGCCAAGTCTGCGAGACGGCAAGCGTGCAGAAGCAGCACGAACATTGTTAGCAACGTCGCTAAGCCTGCTGCAGGTACGACGTACGAGGAAGTACTGGTACAGCTGTGAGAGGATATCGGCTGATAGAGAAAGAGCAACCTGCGGGAGAGCGGTCGAGTAAGTCGGAAGGAAAGGCTGCGGTGGGCATGAGCGCAGACTCGCGATGAGATAGAAGCTGGAGAACCCGGTGCTGTGCTCGAAGCTTGTCAGCCCTGTGTCGTGAGCAGGCCGAACGAGAGCATCTGGCTTGCCTGCAATAGACTCGCAAGCCTGAAAGAGGGAGACTTCCGGAGTTTGCGAGAGGCAAAGGACAGGTCGCCGTGATTTGTGCTTTCTCTGCACGATGGTGGAGTCAGCGATGTCACTAGAGCCCAATAATGAAGGCCATACGGTGCTGAAGCCTGAGCAAAGGTTCAATCGCTGGTCAGTCTCACAAGGGGTGCATGAACGGCACCTTGCTGACCTGAACAATACGACTCTGCGCAACCATTGAGCTGTCAGTAGTGGTCGTCAGAGAGTTAGAATGCAGCGCTGGCTCACCCTGCTCGAAGGACGCAGCTTGCGAGAACGACTGGCTGCAGGTATAGCGAGACAGATGTCCAGGCTGCGTGTGAGGGGTGTTTGTCAGTGACCCATAAACCATCGCAAAGTTGCAGGCAGCGTACTGGAGGAGCCATTCGCAAGGGCGAGGACCAGCACAAGAGCGCAGACCGCGACAATGACGGAAACCGCGCCGTAGATCTGCTCCGGCTGAAGTGAGCAGTGATTGTGATACTGGAAGGAGGTGACATACCTGAGCTTCAGCATAGGCCGGGAAGAACGAAGACGCCCAGCGGAAGAGGAAGACCGCTGTAAAGATTACTGCAGGTCAGACGGCATTCGTGCACGGAGGTTGGGCCAGGTCCCCCTCAACGCGTACCTCCTGCAACGCTGTATATACCAATGAAGACGGCAAGGGCGGTAGCTCCGCCTCGAAGCGGGAAGAGGAGAAGACCTGCGAGAAGCGACAGTCAGCGATGCACACGGCAAAGTACGGAGGGTAGACGCGCAGTTGTTGCACCACATCTCCGAGTTTTATGCACAATAAACCCCTTCGCCCAACGGAAGCGAGCGGGAGCGAGCTAGAGTGGCGAAAGACGCGAAAAGCGAGAAGGTCGTGAGGTCGGTGTGTTCGTTACGGTCGTGAGTGTCGTCAGCTGGCGTCACCGACGTCTCTGTTGAGCGCGGGATCGCCTCGCTGTGTAGGCTCTGCGGAATGCAATGCGAGGGAAGAGGCGAACCGAGTGGGAGGAGGGTCCTCCTCGGCCAAATCGCCTCAAGGTGTCTCCTCTGGCTCGCTACGGTCGATGAGGGTCTTTCGCCGTCCCCGAGATGACCAGGCCGGAGCGCAGGGAGATAGCGGAGCGGGATGCAGATTGAGAAGGCCTCCACGCTTTTGTGCGGGACTTGCGTGCGATGCTAGGCGGGGACTTTGCGAAACAGGTGTTACGGATTAGAACAATAGCTAAATCGCGGGACGAGGCGAAAGGTGAACCCAGAGGAACGAAGGACGAGCTGCTCAAAGTGTTGCGGGCAATCACGCGCCGAGCCCGCCCATCGGCTGCTTGTAGGTCCAGTACTGCGTGAGGAAAGCCTTGAAGCGCCAGACCTGCGAAGGACAAGATCAACTCTTGACCCGCAAGATAGAAAGAAGGATCTCGCCAACGAGGAAGTATTGGTAGAGCTGCAAGGCGACGTCGATGCAGAGCGCAAACGCAAACTGGCGAGGACGAACGTCAGCGAGGTACAGGTGAAGAAGCCGATAGACGCACCGCCAAGTAGAGGGAGTGGAAGCCGGACGAGCAAAAGCCCGACGGAAGCGTCCTGTCCGACGTATTGGTCGGGATGTTCGTGCTGTTGGCGATCGTAGCGTTCCATAGGATGCCGCCGTGGTTGCATTCCCAGATGACGTTCGATTGGTCTGCAGGACGAGCACTTAGTAGGTCGCCTTGGCAAAGTTGTAAGCGGTACGCACAATAGTCGAGTCTGCGAGGGGACAAGCTGGTTAGAGGGAATTCGGCACGCGCGAGCCTCGCGGAGCTCACCGGAATATCATGATACTGCGGTAGGAAGAAAGCTAGTCAGCGGCACACGAAGCGGGAAGACACAGATTCTATGCGACGCACCCGGCGCGGATAGCGGAGACAAACAGCACGAAAGGCAGGAGAAACTGAAGGGCGGACGTCCAGACTCCGCTCCAGACTCCGTCAGCGAGATCAACGAGGGGAACGAATGGGGGAAACGAATGGGCGCGACGTACTGACTGAACGATTAGCGAAAGCGAGCAACAGGATGATCGAGCATGCGCCAACAGCCATTGAGATGCCGCCGTAGATTTGGACCTCTGGGTAGGTGAACCAGAGAAACTGGCCATACATGAAGAGGATGATGCCTGCAAAGGAAGCGGAAGGAGGCTTGTCAAGCTTGTGCAGACACAATGCCGAGAACAGGCAGTATCGTTGTGAACGGCGACACTTACCTCCCCCGATACTGTAAGCCGCAATCAGAGTCGCAAGCGCCATTGTGCCCGCACGAAGCGGGAAGACGAGGAGACCTGCGAGAGCAAGGAGGATGTGAGTGCGGCCCCGCGTGCTTCGAGGCTGGTACCACTCACAGTTGTCGCACCACATCTTTCACAGGAGATCAGGGTAACGTCGTGCAGCGGGCAAATGTGGTAGGCGCGGGAGAGCAATGAGCCGAGTTGAGGAGGGAGAAAAGCAAGTCGTGAGGGTCGTCGGGGTCGTTAAGGGTCGTAAGTCGTGGTCGTAAAGTCGTGAAAGTCCTGCTCAAGGCAGCGAACATGAACGTAGGTCAGCTGAAGCAAGGGGAGTGTGCGGGAGAGAGGGGCGAGGAGGCGAAGGAGGGCATGGGAGTCTCTGGCGACGCCTGCCACCCTTCGCAAGGGCCAGTGGCAGCGTGCTGCACTGGATGATGACGTACTCGTTAGTCTGAGCGTATGGCTGGAAGGAAAGAGGGACTTCATCAGGCGCAGGCTCCTCTCGCCTCAAACGCCCGCCGACGATGCGAACGTCGCTGTCAACTCGCTCTCGGGCTGATCGCGGCCCGACACTACTTCGAAGGATCCTCCATTCAGGCATCGGCGGGCAGACCGGCAGCCTTGGAGGGCCTCGACACTGACAGAGTCCTCCACGCCTCTCTCTCCTCGACCTCTCGCCATGCGATGCACTCGCCCCTGGCCTGGCGCAGCGTCTTACTGCTGATAGTGCTTGTAGTGCTGCTTGTTGCGGTGACGGCGGCACGGCTGCTCCAGGTGGTCTTGCGGACCCACAATCGCTCTCGACGCTCCCGACAGACTGATGAAGCGTCGCTGGCGGTGTTTCTCGGCTCAGGTGCGCCCGTTCAACCACTGAGCAGCTCCACTTCCCTGCCATTAACCTTGCACACCTACTCGCAGGCGGCCACACGGCCGAGATGATGCGTCTCGTCGCCCACCTCGACTGGCGCCGGTTCTCGGGGCGAACTTGGATCATCTCGTCGGAGGACCTGCTGAGCGAGGCCAAGGCTTTGGCACTGGAGAAACAGATTGGATCGGGAGAGGTGCGCGCCCAGCAATTGAGCTGCAGACCGCAACTGACGCCTCGTTCCGACAGTTCCGCATCTTGCGGATCCCTCGCGCACGCCGAGTACACCAATCCTACCTCACCTCACCCTTCACGACCCTATACTCGCTCGCCTACTGCCTTTGGCACATCGCTGTTGCACCTCTGCTCGACAGTCGGCAGAGACGAGTCTTTGCGGACGTCGTTCTGCTGAACGGGCCAGGAAGCTGTGTACCCATCATCTGCGCTGCATTCCTACCTCGAGTACGTCGAAAGGTAATCTCTCGACCGAATGAAGACCTCAATTGAACGCAATGCCTCCCACAGCTCGTCTCCCTTCCCTCACCCGCCCTGATCTACGTCGAATCCCTCGCCCGCACACGTCGACTTTCGCTCTCGGCAAAACTCGTCCGCCCCTTCGTGGACCGTTTCTTCGTACAGTGGGACTCGCTGCGAGACGAGTTGGCGAAGAAGGAGGAGGCGAAAGGTGGGAGACGGTGGAGGCTGAAGGCGCGTGTAGAATGCCAGGGCTGGTTGGTCTGAATGGCGCAATGGACGGTCTTCGCAACGATCGAAAATGCGAGATGCGAGACTGCGCTGCGATTACGACGGAGAGGACAAGACAGTACGACAAGTTGGAGACGACAAAGACATGGACAGACTACAGCACAACATATACACGCCGCCGAGACGAGGCTACTCCTGTACCGTGACATGCTGGAGCAGCGCCTGCACCCTCCGGACCTCCTGCTCCAGCGCTCTGTTCCCCCGCTCGAGCCAGAGGATGTAGTCCGACGCCTTGGTCAGGACGACGCTCTTGCTCGCGTTCGCGCCGACTTCGCCCTTCCTCCCGCGCCCTCGACCCGTTCCTTTCCCTTTCTTCTTCTTGCCCGTGCCGTCATCCTCCTCCGCGCCGCCAAGAACGATTCCACTCGCCTGCTCGCCAGCGACGAGCAAGTCGACCAGGTCCTTGAAGCCGGACCGAATCGCGTTGCGCCGCTTTTGCTCCGACAGGATGTGGTTATTGCGTTTCTGCGACTCGGTCAAGGGAACCTTTGGCGTAGAGGACGAGGTTGTCGCGGTTGCGGAGGCGCTGTCGAAGGCGTCGTCTGCGTCCTCGGCGGGGTCGTCGTCGAGCGTGGAAGGCGGTGCGGGCGGCTGAGGAGGTCGACTGAGCGAAGGACGAGGTCGCGCGGTAGCCGAGGTTGCGGTCGACGACGATAGCCGTCTAGGCGCTCGCGCGTTCCGTCTTGGCCGACCGCTCGCCGTGAAACCTGCGCCATCGACATAGTCGCCGTCGTCCACCGCCGCCATCTCGACATCCTCACCCTCGTCCAGCTCCTCCTTGACCTCGCTCCTCCCAGTTCGCGGTTTCTTTTCCCTCCCCGTCCCTGCTGCTGGCCCGCCTCGCGACTTTCTCCGAGTCCCTCGAGACGGACCCGGTTCAAAGTCCGGGTCGTTTTCGCCTGCATCCTCGTCATCCTCATCGGCGCCGCCTCCTGGCTCGTCCAGCTCGTCCGGCAGCTCTGGCGGGACACGGTCGGCGGTCCTTCCCGTCGGCGAGACGAGTCCTGCCACAGCTGAGCTTGATCCGATGTCGAGCCCTCCGACCTCTCTTCCCAGGATCTCCCTCTCTCGCCTGTCCTCCTCCCTCCGTTCGCCCGTCTGCAACATGCTCGTGCTGGGCGGACTCGGCATGCCCGGCGGTAAGACGGGGTTGAAGAGAAAGTTTGGGTCGACGTCGAGCGTGTTGAGGAAGGAGGAGAAGAGGGCTGTCTCGGTGCTGTCGAACAAGGGAGCGGGGTCGGGAGGAGGCATGGTCGGCGGATGCTGGTGTGAGGAATGGGGAGAGAGCTGGCCGTGTATTGTTGGAGGCGAAGCATAGGAGCCAGATGCGAAGGGAGGCGAAAAGGAGGAGAACGGAGCGCCGGACGGAGGGTTGGGAGAGTGAGCGCCAGCAGAAGTCGAACCGAACGGCGAGAAAGGTCGTCCGCCGAAGAAGGCGCTCGCGCTCGGAGGTGACTGGCCAAACGAGCCCATGTCGAACGGGAGGGAGTAGTGGAAGTCTGCACGGTGAGCAACACAGCGGCGGTCAGTCCGAGTCCGGGCGTGTTCGTGCGGTTGGTAGCCGGAGGAGAAGACGACCGCAGTACGGCGACATCGCACGCTCCATCGGCCTTGCCAGCGATACTCGAGCCATGCTAGAGACCGTATCGTCCACCGTGCCAGCCTGCAAGCCGCCTCGAAGCCTGCCCGTCGCGCAGTCACCTTCACCTCTCTTGAGTACCCCGCGTCCGCTATCTCCACGCCAACACCCTCTGATGGGATGCATGCCAGCTGAGAGGAACGAGAAGCGCACCTTCGTATGATCCCGGCTCCGTCAAGAGAGCCCCATCGACGCGCCCGCCTCCCGCTGCGCCGCTGCTCATCAAGGACGCCCAGTTCCGGAATGGTGGCGAGTGCGGCCCGTCTTCGCCGTCAGAGGCGCCGTTGAAAGCCATCTCGCGCACTCGTGAGCCCAGCAGTGGTGATTGAGCAGGTGGTCGAAGCAGGACCTCTCCTGGTCGCCGGGACGAGGCGAGGACGAGGTCACTCGCTCTGCTTTCTTGTAAGCAGGTTGAGATGGGTTCCGTCTCAAGAAGATATCATAACGCCATTGCAAGCAGCTGCGCCCTCCCAGCGAGCGTTGTCGCTTTTTCCCCTCCCCACAGACCTCGCCTCCACCTCCTTGCCTCTCGACAGCTCACTGGCTGAGCCACACACACGCTGCCATGTCCTTCCCAGGCGAATACGTCCCTTCGAGCGACTCGGATGACTCGGACGCTTCGTTCTCGCCCGGCCAGCTCCAACACCTCGAAGCGATCGCACAGATGTCGACAGACTCGGAGGATGGCGAGTTCGTGCCAGGCGGGATCGCGGACGACGACGACGACATGTTCATCGACGTGGATGACGATGACGAGGAGGAAGAGGAAGGCCCTGGAGATGCGGGTCGGCTGGACGGCCAAGCCGATGAGCAGGACGAGGAGGAGGAGGGGAGAGATCGTGATGAAGAGCCGAGCCTGAGGATCGGCTACGACCGTGAGTAGGAGCAGGGCTAATGTCTGGTGTGGCCTCGAGTTGACGGCTATCGCGCACGAACAGCATCGTCTGGAACGGTTCTCCTCCTCGACGCTGCTGGCAATCCACGACGCCTGACTTCGAACGACCTTGCCGGAACGTCGATCACGTTGGGAGCCATCCGCTCAATGCTACTGCGGCGGTTCGGCGGAGGAAGCGCGATGAATGCGGACGAGGAAGACGAGGAGGAGGTCATGGAAGAGGACGACAGCGACGAGGACATGTGGGGGTGCGTCAGCGCTCTCTACAGGCTTAAGAGTTTCTCACTGATATCTTGTCTCCGCTCGCAGCCCTACCCGCCGTAACGCCCGCCAGTACTACAAGATCGTCAGGGAACCGCAAGAACCGGGCATGCGTCTCGAGCGCGGCGGGGCCTTTGGTCCGATCCCTCGCAAGTACGACCAGACGAAGCGCAAGACCTGGCAGTACGCGCCCAATCCGGCGGACTATTTTCGCTACCGAGAACTCGACTATCGACGACCGCTCAAAGACACACTGGGCGAGATGACGGTGCCGAACTCGGTTGGTGTTGAAGTGTCGCAGTTCACGAGCAAGGTCTACTCGGGACAGTACAGCACGGACGGAGCGTTCTTCTACACCGCTTGCCAGGACTTCCGGTGCGTCCCGCTCTGTACTCGGCGATTTGTCCGTCCTTCATGCGGGACTGGCGGGCTACCGCTGCATGTACAAGAAGACGGATGTACTTACTCTTCCATAACATACTGCAGCGTCTACATCTACGACACGAGCTCGCCGCCTCGAGTAGGCGACAAGTCCGTGACCGACTCGGCTGCGCCTCGCTCTCGCACGCCCTTCATGCACGACTGGCAACACCGATCCTCTCTCAAAGTCAAGAAGATCGTTCAAGCGCAGGCGCAGAACTGTCGCTGGACGCTCACCGACGCCGAGTTGAGCGACGACAACGAATGGCTCATCTACTCGTCCATCTCGCCCCGCGCGCATATGGTCAAGACTGGGCAGGGGAACGCGTGGGAGACGGAGGACCACGATCAGGAGACGCTCAACTTTGCGGCGGGGTCTGGCTCGTACGGAGGATTTGGCGTGCGTCCTTCCGCTTCCGACTTCCGGGTGCTCTTGCCGCTACTGACCGCTCTCAACCGCTTCTACAGATCTGGTCGCTCCGCTTCTCGCACGACTCGCGCGAAGTCGTCGCCGGCGCTTCGGACGGGCAGCTTTTCGTCTACGATATCGAAGCGCAGCGCACCGTTCTCCGAGTCATGGCTCACCTCGACGATGTCAACGCCTGCGCCTGGGGCTCGGACATGGACTCAAACTTGCTGCTGAGCGGAAGTGACGATACGTTCGTCAAGGTCTGGGACCGGCGGAGTCTGGATGGACAGAGGCCAAGCGGGATCTGTGTTGGACACACGGAGGGAATCACGTTCGTTTCGCCGAAAGGTGATGGGCGGTATATCCTATCGAACGGGAAGGACCAGGGTATGAAGCTGTGGGAGTGAGTTGCTTGCCTTGCCACAATCGAAGCGGATCTTGGTTGACGCCTTTGCCGCTCCCAGCTTGCGCATGATGATGAGCGACTACGACTTTGACCGCCTTCGCCTCGATCGCAAGTCGTTCGGCATCGATGGCTGGGACTACCGACAGGTGCGTCCGCCCGTGAACGCTGTCCTCGTCTTGCGATGCTAAGCTCCACCGCTTGCAGTCGTACTACGCCAAGCCTCGCTATGAGAAGCATCCCGTGAGTCAGCTTCTCTCGCTACATGCGGCGCGTGCGCTGACAGGACTTGCTACGGCAGCACGACGTGTCCGTTATGACCTACCGCGGCCACTCGGTGCTCCGCACCCTCATCCGCTGCCACTTCTCGCCCGTCGCGACGACGAACCAGCGCTACGTTTACTCAGGCAGCAGCGACGGCCGTATCCACATCTACTCGCTCGACGGCCCGATCGTCCAGGTACTCGACCGCGCGCACACCCACCCGCTCATCAACGCCAAGTCGGGCGAGTACAACGACCCCTCGGACTTGACGCTGCGCAGGTCGAGGCGCAAGGCGAGGGGTCACTTGACGAGTACCGTTCGCGACGTCTCTTGGCACCCGTACGAGCCGACGCTCATGTCGACGGCGTGGGAGTCGCGCGGCTCAATCGAGGGCAGCATCGCCCTGCACGAGTGGGCGCCCCGCAAGGGCGAGAGTCTCGAGGACATCGTGCAGCGGTCGAAGGACGAGGCGAGCGGGTGAAGGGCGGTCTTCGCTTCAACCGCCTCGTCGCCCTCTTCCGCCGTCCCTTCCTCTGTATTTGCGCTTTCTGATCCCCCTTCATCCCTTGTTGCTTGATAACTAGATCGCTCATCGCTGTAGCCGTTTTCCTGCCAACACATTTCGCCTTCCGCTTTTCGTGAGCTACTCCTTCGTCCGGCTCGTTTCGGAGTTCTGCCAGGTCCCTTCGAAGCAATCTCGGAGCCTACGAGCGTGCTAAGACGGCACACTGCGAGGCTGTGACAACTCCACGTCCGCTCCTTCTTCCTCCTCGTCGACTTGCGCGGGTCCGCCACAACTGCTCAGGATGGCCGGCTCGTATCAGTACGACACGACTGGACAGGTTGGTACTCGTCCTCGCACGCGTCCACGGCTTCCGCTGACCTCGCCGCGCCGTTCTACAGTCGTACTTCTTCCTCCTGACGGTGCTCCTCCTCATCCTCCTCCCCTTCACCTATTCGACCCTGTTCGGCGGTGCGGAACGCGCAGCTTCACGAGTCAAGGCGCCATGCACAGGGTGGAACCGCAAGGCGGCTGAGGTCAGGCGGGCTGGCAGCTCGAAGGGTGCATTCAACTTGAGGTGCGTCCGCATCCCGTCTCTCAGGCCAGATGGAGGCACAGACTTCGCAGATGTGCTGATGGCGTTCACCTGCTCGCACAGAAATGCGCTGCTCGCTACCGGATGGCTCGCCTTTGCCGTCGTTGTCCAGCGGGCGCGAAGTATCGAGGGCGAGGGTGTGCAGTTTGATCCGTTTGCGATCCTGGGCGTCTCTGCGGTGCGTACTGACGATCAAAGGCATGCACTGCACAAGCTGACCTTCCCGGGGCTTTGCAGGGTGCGACCGAGAAGCAGATCAAGAAGCACTACCGCAAGCTTTCCTTGAAGTTGTGCGTTGCTCTTCCTAGTACTTCTGGTAATGTACGAGGTACTGACGCTGTGTGTTGCGCGCAGCCACCCGGACAAGATGGTGTTGGCGGCCAACCAGACCAAGGAGGAGGCAGACAGCCACTTCGTCGAGTTGACAAAGGCCTACAAGGCGTGCGTCGCCTCGCCAGCCTCGTCAACCAGCTCAGAGCTGATTTTGTGGTACACAGATTGACCGACGAAGTCAGCCGTCGCAACTACGAGCTCTACGGTCACCCGGACGGCAAGCAGGAATTGAGCGCCGGCATCGCGCTTCCCGCCTGGATCGTCGAGGGCAAGAACTCGCCTCTCGTCATCGGCGCGTACGCCATCCTTCTCGGTGTTGTCCTCCCGGTCCTTGTTGTAAGTTCGCCCGAGAGCAAACAGGCGAACTCTGCTCACCCCGTCTCTGCAGGGTCGCTGGTGGTACGGCACTCGCAAGCTGACCAAGGACGGCGTCCTCAACTCGACGGCAGCCAAGTACTTCCACGCGCTCAAGGAGGAGACGACTTTCCCCCAGCTCCTCGACATCCTCGCTTCCTCGGACGAATTCGCTACCGACCCCGCTCTCCTCTCGCTTCGCAAGTCGCTAGGCAAAGCCGCAGTCGACGAGTACGCTCGTCTGGTCTCGACTGTCCGCGAGGGCATCGATGGAAAGCAGGGATGGGAGGGTTACGCGAGCTGGACACCGGCGAAGAAGCGCGCAAGGGTCTTCATCGCCGCATACATGCTCAGGCTTCCGAACAAGGACGCGAAGCTTCTCAAAGGTGCGTCCGACTTACGTCTCTGTAGACGAGCTAAGGTGACTTGTCCTGTGGACCGCAGAGAAGCATCTCACCGCCTCAATCGCCCTTCCTCTCTGCTCCGGCCTCGCCTCCATCGCCCTCGCGCACAACTGGCTCTCCACCTACATCGCCATCCTCCACCTCCAGCAGTTCCTCCTCCAAGCCGTCCACCCTTCTTCGTCCCAGCTCCTCCAGCTCCCGCACCTCACGCCCGACATCGCTGCTGAGGCAGAGAAGCGCGGCATCTCGACTGTTGCGCAGTTCGGCCAGCTCAAGGTCGACGAGATCGAGAAGCTGCTCGCGAGCAAGCCGGAGGCGGAGAAGAGGGACATCTACGAGGTTGCGAAGCATTGGCCAGTGATCGAGTTTGTCGACGCCAAGTTCCAGGGTGCGTCCATCTGCGTCCGCGTCCTGCTCCGCCATTGACTGACCCCTCGGCGATCGCAGTTACTGGCGAAAAGGTGGTCACGCCCGGCGCCGTCGTTTCCTTCACGCTCAAGCTTCGCCTCAGCCCGCCCGGACAGGCTGCAAGCAAGCCGAAAGTTACCCTCGAGAAGGAGACGAGCGACGTCGAGGAGGGCGAGGAGCAGTCGGTAGACGAGTTGATCGGCAGGAGGAGCGCCGAGGCGGATGGCGTCGTCCCTACCCCGCTCGCTCACGCGCCGCACTTCCCGAAGGACCGCAAGCCTTCGTGGTACATCTTCGTTGGCGACCATAAGCTCAACAGGGTCTTTGTCGCGCCGCACCGGTTCACCGACATCGGCGAAGACGTTGTCCGCACCGTCCGCATGTCCTTCCAGGCTCCGCCCGGCCCCGGCCTGTACACCTTCCAGGTCTACGTCACGAGCGACTCGTTCGTCGGTGCGGATGCGCAGAAGGACATGCGGATGCAGGTCGAGCCGCCGCAGGAGGAGGAAGAGGAGGACATTGAGGACGACATCTCGGAGCCGGACGAGGACACGATCGCGGGTCAGATGGCGCTGCTCAAGGGTCAGTCGGTGAAGCGGAGTGGCGGGTCGGACGACGAGGGCGACAGCGACGAGGACTCGGACGAGAGCGACTCGGAGACGAGCAGCAGCAGCGATTCCGACTCGGACAGCGACAGCGACTGAGGGTCGCATGCTTTTCAGGGCTTTACGCAGTAGTCAACGCAATACCACAGCCGCATTTTGCATCCCTTCGGCGACGTCGTGAGCGAGCGAGACGAGGTCGACTCTCCACTTCGCTTCTCTCCCTCCTCCCCTTCACTCGCTCCGCTCAACTGGCTTGTCGTGCCTTCGCTTGCCTCGCTTTCTCTTCACAGTAGTCTCGCGACTAGTTGAAGCCAGTATGGTGCGTCCCAGGCCGCCTCGCGAGCCGCTGCAGCTAAGGGCCGGGACGAGGAGAATGCCTTCAGCTGACCCTCGCACGGCGCTCGCTCATCTCGCATTCAGTCAAAGAAGGGTCTCTCGCTCGAGGAGAAGCGTTCGCGCATGCTCGGTAAGTCAGCGGCTGCCTCTGGGGAGGAAGCGAGCGAGGACGGGCTGACCCGAGTTCGCTGCATTCGCAGACCTATTCAGGGAGACGGTGCGCTCGTGGAAGCTCATTCAAGGCTTCCGAAGCTGACGAGTGTTCGAGCGAACCGCAGAAAGAGTTCTACAAACTGCAGGAGCTGGAGAAGGTGCGGCTCCCTCGCTCCCATCGTGCGCGTCGATTACTGACCGAAACTTCATCTCAGCTTGCTCCGAAGACGAAGGGCATAACGTCGATGAGCGTCAAGGAGGTCCTCCAGAGCCTTGTCGACGACTCGGTGAGCTTCCCCGGCCCGTCGAATAAGTCGGCGACATCGCTTCGGACTCCTTCGAGCAGCTCGCCGTCGCTTCAATCGTACTGACAGCTCTGCGCTCGCTGCCCCGCAGCTCGTCAAGTTCGAGAAGATCGGTTCGATGGCGAGTTCTCCTCCTGCTTGAGAAGGTCAGCCCAAAAACTGACTTTGCCGACTTTCTGATGCGTCTCTGCGCTCTGTGCGACACACAGAAGTAAGTCCGGGTCGTACTCTCCCGCTCAAAGCCCAGACTGACCAATGCTTGCACGCCGCAGCTTCTACTGGTCCTTCCCGTCCGATCTCGCCGCCGCACAGCGCAAACAGCTCTCTACTCTCGAGCAGAGCATCAAGACGCTTAAAAGGCAGCATCAGGACCTCGGGCAGGACGTCGTCAAGGAAGAAGCCGACCGCGAAGAGACGGCGAGTCCGCTTCCATTCGCCTCTGCCATGGCAACTTCGCTCACCACGTTGAACAGGCCGAGCGCACTGCTCTTCTCGAGCGCCTCGAAGAGCTCCAGTCTCAGCACCTCGAGCTCGAGAAGCAGCTCGACAGCTTCACTACGCCGGACGAGGTCAAGCTCGCCGAGACGAAGCGTGCGTCCTGCTGCTCGTTCGCCATCGCTTGACCGCTGACCTTGCTCGACTGTACAGAGGAGCTCATCGAACGCCTCAAAACGTCTGCGCTCCGTTCGACCGGTAAGATCATCTCGCTCGTCCTCCTCCTCGCGCCCGCCGGCTCATCCCCTCGCTTCGCAGACAACATCTCGGCCTTCCTCTCGTACCAGACCAACAACGGCGGCTCGGAGGCCGCAGCCGCGTTCAGGCAGGAGCACAATCTCCCCGAAGACTTTGACGACCTCGCTTTCTGAACTCGTTGCTGTAATCGCTTTCTCTCGTCGCGCAGCGCGCAATGGCATTCGTTAGATCGACAACACATTTTGCATCTGCGCTTCAAGCGTCTGTGAGTAGCGAGAGAGAGGGAAAAAAACAGGGAAAGAAACAGCACAACGGGGGTATAGGTGGAGAGGAAGTAGGAACGGGTGAAACGGCCAGCGTCACGCGATCTGCATGATAAAGAGTCTGTTCTCGTCCTTTGCGAGCATCGTGTATGAGTCGCTGCTAGGGACGCGGAGGTTGCGGGAGTGCGCCTCCTGCTTGCGCGGGCAGAGGCTGGTGCACGATCCGGTACGACGAGAGCGGCGGGAGCGCGGCGTTCCGTCCGTTCGCAGGGGAGAGGTGGTGGTGCAGCGGTGCGAGGTGCTGCGCTTGTTGTTGCGGCGACGTGCCGTTCCCAAACTCGCGCGACGGCATGGGCTGAGGAAGCGTAGGCGAAGCGTGCGCGAGGGGCGTGAGGGGCGTCGAGGGGCTTCCAGATCCGTACGAGAACGACGGGTGACGAGGCGGACCGAGTCGGCTCGAGTCGAAGCCGTACGTCGCTGGTGAGCCGCTGCTCGGACCGGAAGCGGTCGAGGCAGGCGGCGGAGGTGGGAGAGGGTGGTGAGCCCAGTCGCTGCGGACGGGTGCTTGCGAGCTCGGGAGATAGGAGGTCGAGATGGGAGGAAGGGGAGGGGGAGGCGCGGCAGTCGCGTGATGCTGGAGTTGCATGCTCTGCTGGCCCAGCATGTGCCGCGCGCGGGCGATGACTCCGTCGTAGCCGCTCCACATCCACCCCGACAGCTTGATGAGGTCGATGCACCTGTGCGCCGCGCGTCAACGAATGTCCACCGAAAAACGGAGGGAAGCGAAGACTCACTGCGACACCTCCTCGATCTTCTGTGCCCACGTCCAATCCGCAACCGATCCACCCTGCTCAACCGCCGGCATCTCCACCAACGAATTGAGCAAGATCGAGCTGTACTCGACCGTGATAGCAGCCGAGAAGATGACGCCCGCTCCATACGCGCGCTATTGCACTCGCGTCAGCCTCGTCCCTCGGACTGCAGGAGGAGGAGGAGGCACGCACCAAGACTCGTGTATACTCGCGCGCGACAAAGACCAACCGCTCGTCCGACTGCTGCCTGACCCGCCTGAGCACATGGAGGTACTCAGGGTCTTGGTACTCGGGCGCCTTCTGCTCTTCCTCCCGCAAACGGTCGAGGATCGCAAAGTGGATGCCGAGCGTGTGTTGCGACTTCATGGCGATCAAGTCGCGGAACCTGCGCACACGGGCCCGTCCGTCAGCTTCCCTCCTTGACCCGCAGTCCGAGCAAAGGAGGGGAGAGAGACGCACCAGACGTCCGTCTTGGGCGCATCAGCACCGAACGTCGCGCGCTCGACAGATTGGCGGAAGATGGCGCCGAACCGACTGCCTTCGTCCAGCTCGGCCCAGATGTCACGGACGACTTGTTCATTGAGGCGTTGTCGGCGAGCGAGGGCTGCCCTTCCAGCGCGTCAGCTCGTCCGCTCATTCGAGGGGGACGGGAAGGACGCACGACCAGTCAACCGCAACACCGTATTCCGGACGATCGACGCGCAGTAGCGGAAGATCGAGGCGACCGCGAGGCCGGACAACATCCGCGCGTCGTTCGAAGAGACGTACGACATGACGTCCGCTGTGATGGGGTTGGTGAAGAGGTCGCACAAGCTCGCCAGGTCGTCATCCGTCCTGCTCGTCATCCCTCGTCAGTTCCCCTAAAGGGCGGAGGTGAGGAAGGGAGGTGTGGGTGAAACGCACAGCGAGCAAAACCTCCCGCCCATCATACTTCCCAACGCGTCTCGCGTATAAATCATCCAAAGCAGCGTCCCGTTCGACGCGCGCTCGGGCGGGATGGGCTGCTCGTTCGGGTCGTCGCAGGTGCCGAGTTGGAGGTTGCGCAGGTGTTCGCACGCCGAGGAGAGGAGGTGGCGACCTGTTGTCGTTTTCAGGTTCGAGTCGTCCCCTGCGCGCGACGCTCGTGTCAGCCACGAGGAGAGGACAAGAGTGAGAGAGGAAGGGGGACGCAGCAACGCACAAGTGACCAAAAACTCCAGCAGCGTCAACGCCGAACAACTCGTCGCACTCGCCAACCTCAACGCGCCTCTCTGATCGACCGTACTCAACGCGCGCTGCAACGCCGCACGCGCAAACTCCTGCCGCCGGTTCCCGACTTCGGTGAAGTCTTGGCCTTCGCCGCGTTTGAGGAGGTCGAGGGTTGGGCCGTTCGGGCCGATGACGGAGGGATTGTCGGTGATTCGGGCGGCCCAGGCCTGCGCGAGTATTCTCGTCAGTCACCACCCGAGGAGAGAGGGAGCGAGAGACGAACCTGGATAACCAACGCGAGGCACTCGTTCGCGGGAGACATGTTCTCCGGTACTCGGCCTGCTGCTTCCCATGCCTGGAGGAACATGTCTTGGTCGACGAGCGGGCATTGGGGCTGGAGGATGTCGAAAAAGGTGCGGACGAGGTCTGCACACGCGGGGGGAACCGTCAGTCTAGCGTCTCGCTGAGGATGAAGAGGTTGACGTACGCTCGCCGAGTTCTTGGTTGACGAACGAGAACGACAAGCGGTGGTCGCTGAACGGCAGGACGGAGCTGAACGACTGCCGCCGCCCGTCTTCGGACGACTCGTACTCGAGCTTGGTAGGCGAGGCCGAGGAGGAAGCGACGGGTCCGCCGAGGCCGTTCTCACCGTAAAGTTTCCTGCGCGAGGAGCGTGTCAGGAGGAGCGACGGCGGGCGAGAGGAAAGGAAGACGCACTTGGCTTGGGCGATGAGTTTGCCACCTCGCACGACCTTGGGCTTGTTCTTGACGTAGGTGTCGGTGCAGCTGCGACGAACGTGTCAGTACGACGGAGACGAGCTGGACGGAAAGGACGGCGACGTACGTGATGCTCTTCTTGACGCACTCGGAACAGGATCCGCCGCCCATGTCTGCCTTGTCGCACTTGACTCGCCTCAGCCTGCACGAGTCGCATGCTCTGCGGGCGTGCGAGCGTGTCAGTGCACACACACAAGCAAGGGAGGGACTCGGGGGGTACCCACACGAGCTGCTTGCGCTTCTTCTTTGGGTTGCCGTCCTTGTCGAGCGCGACCTTGTCCGCCTGCGCTCCTCTCTTTGCGCCCTTCTTCGCTGCACCACTAGTGCTGGCCCCCCTCTGCTCAGCGTGCGCCGGTTCCTGCCTCGCTCCCGATGCTCGTTCGGCTGCTGGCTGGGGCGAGATGGACCCGTCCTGGCTGTCGGTGTACGACATGGGGTCTGTGTCGGTGTGGGTGTGGGCTGCGACTGCGCCCGAGGGCTGCTGGTGCGGGTGGTGGAGCGTGTTGGAGTGGCTGCGGTGTTGGACAGCACGATCGAGGGTGCTGTTGCTGGTGCTGGTGGTGGTGGAGTGCGGTCGCTCGTCCATGCGCTGGCAGCCCTCGCTCGCACACACACTCTGAGTAGACTCTGCAGCAGCACACACACTGGCTGGCTGTTGCTCGTTGCTCGTCGACCTCGGACGCCGTGCTCTCAATTCAGGGCATTGTCTCCGCCCCCCGGTCGATCAACCGTCTCCGAATTTCACATCCTCGACTCGCTCATGCGCCATTTTCGCGGCAACGCATCAGCGTGCGTGTGAGCGAGGCGTGCTCCTTCAGGTGCAGCATCAACCTCTGGCTCAGACCCAATGAGCTGCCTGCTGCGGGACTCGAGTGCGTTCGCTCGCAGAACCCCCGAGACACGAGCAAGAGCGTTTCACGGCACGGCAACAGAACAGGACGAGGGCCGCCGTCGGGTGGGCAACACCCTGCCCGCTTGCACTTTTTTGTCCGGCGGAACACTCCCACGGCGCGGCGCTGTGAAATCAAATGCGAGGCGCACCCAGGACAGAGAGCGAGTGGTCTGCGAGGCTCTCGTTGATGAGGGGAAACTCTTCTCTCTGCTCCATCGGTTGCGACGGCGGCGTCGACGAAGAACGTACGATCCGGGCTGCAAAACGAGCCAGCGAGCGACGCGGATGGGATCTGCGGCTTTGCCTTCCGAGCAAGAAGAAGTTCTGGTTCTGGGAGACACCCGACGACGGACGAAGTTGCGCAGCACCTACTCACTGCTCGTCCCTGGCTTTGTTCTTGCGCTTACGACTCCGGACAATACTGTACAGTACAGCAGTGCATTTGGAGGACGTACTGTACCGCAAGGCTGGCACGCAGCGCACGCAGCTCGCGAGAAGGAATGCGAGATCGTCCCCGGTTCTCCGCCAGTCTGCAAGGATCAGATTGAGCACACGTTTTTCTCGGTGAACCTCGCGCAGTCCGTTCGATTTCGACCGACTCGGAGGCGGACTTTGCGGCGAAGGACGAGGACGAGCGGCGGAGGAAAGCAGTCGGAGCGAGCCAGCGAGAGGGGTGAGAGCTTCTTCGGGGGAGGCTGGCGATGTGGGTGCCGGGAGCGCAGCAGTCGGTTAAGCGCGTCAGCGTGCTCGTCGCGCGCTGTTCGAGCTGCTTGAGTTACGAGGCGCACGTTGCGAACGACGCTCCTGTCGAGGCAGAAGCAAGCGAGCAGCATTTCGGCACCGACGCGAACAGCCTGGCCTTCACAGTGCTTCTCGAGGCACAACGGTACACGCAGGACCGGTTCCCGCGACAGAAGCGACGAAGCAACCCCTCGTGGTTCCGCCCCGAGTCGAGAGGAGACAGGGAAGCCGCCTTCGGTCCCGCTGTCCAGCAGCTCCGCGCTCGATCCGCCTAGGGGACCAGTCTGGTGCCCGTCCCGTCTGGAGCTCGAGAGCGGAGGAATCCTCGAGCTGTGAGCGAGCTAGTGTCGAGCGAGGGTCCAGCAAGTTGCCCGACAGTCCGTTCTCGCCAGCTTACGCCTCCCGCCGTTACAGAGTCAATCGCAGCGTATTATACGTCCCCTCGAGAGGTCCGCAAGCGAAGCCGAGCTACCGAAGTGCGAGTCGGAAGCCAGTGTCGTCGACGAGGTGAAGTGGGAGAGGCGAGGCGACGGCGGAGGGAGGCGGTCGGCGTAGCGTCTGTAGCGACTCAGACAGTGCAAGAGCAGTTCGACAAACTCTAGCAGCGCATCCTCGGAGCCGAGTTGTTGGTCGGAAGCTGAGCTTCACCGCGTTCGTTGATGAACTCGTCGGGGAGGTTGATCCACCACACTCGCTTCCCGCTACGCTCTCCTGCTCTACACAGTCGCAGCATGTCCTCTCCACCCTCCACCACCTCTCCCGCCCAACCCCAACCCTCGCAACTCCTCGAGATCCCCACCCTCCCCTCCCCCTCCTCCCGCTTCGTCCTCCCCCCTCCGCCCTCCGACCTCCTAAGTCGCTTACAGGCGTTCTTGCCGCAAATCAGGGACGCGAATGCAGAGCTTGAGGGACGGATGAGGGCGGATGGGGAGGAGGCGGTTGTGATGGAGGAGGTGTCGAGCGAGAGTGAGGGAGATTCGTCGGAGAGTGAGGAGGGGAGTTCGAGTGAGGAGGAGAGTGAGGAGGACGAGGAGCTTGCGGATGCAGAGGGAGCGGTAGACTCGAGCGGCGTGCAGGGAGGAGAGGAAGTGCAGGACGAGGAAGACGCAGGCTCGCTCGCTCGCTTGATGGACATCTCGGCTCGCCCAAAGGTCGTCAAGAAGAACCTTGTCGTCGTGGAGGAGACGGCGGCTGCGGCGGGGGGCGAGTGAGACGCAGGGTTCTCGGGGATGGATTGCGTTTGAGCTGAGCAAGGTGCGTTCTTCCTTCACCTGCTCCTGTAGAGCAATCTCGCTAAGCCCACGTTGCTTGTCAGACTCGCTCAAGTCACCCGAAGCGCGCGGGCAGCGGTTTCGACGGCGTGACGAACATTCACCTTGAAGATATTCAGCCGTCGAGCGTGCGTCCTCGCTTCTGTGGCCGGCCTCGTTTCGCTGTCAGAAGCGACATGCTGATCCCCGAACTTCCGCTTTGTGCGCAGTAGGCACTCGTCTGGCCAGCGTCGCTCCTCCCTCGACCTCGTCAATCATCGCACAGCCGGATCCGATTCTTCGCCAGCAGCCAAAAGCCGCAATCACCGCGTCACGATTGCAGGACTTTAGAGACAGCTTGCACATCACGTAGTCTGTCGAGGCATCCAGCTCGTCTCTGTGCGCGGTCTGCTCTTGTAGACGGTGGAAGCGGATGAAGCGAACGGACGGGAGATTGCAAGCCCGCCTCAACCCCTCTCGCTGCTCAGCTTGACCGTCTGACACATCGAGCAACACCAGAAGATGTCCTCGTTCAGCGTCGAGCAGACGTGGCAGCTCCACCCGATGCCGCTGTCGAGCGTCCTGGCGGATCCGAAGCGCGGGAGGCGTTCGGGGACGGCGAGCGCGCCGCGACCGACGACTGGTGGAATCGAGACGCCGACGGGAACCGAGGCCGGTCGCTCGGTACCGCAGATTTCACAGGCGAGCGAGAATGGCGAAGGATTGCGGAAGGTGCAGAGTTGGCATGACCAGGCGCCGCGTTCGGAGGCGGCTTGCGTTGAGCGAGATGGTGGGTGTGGCCGACTTGGTTTCGCGGAGGACGTCGCAGCAGAAGAGGTGGATGTGCGGGACGAGGTGGACGAGCGGGACGTGGCGGACGAGCGGGATGAGGCGGATGATGCGGACGAGGTCGATGGGCGAGACGGAAGGCTTGACGAGGTCGACTCGTCGTCCTCAACCTTGGGCCGCTTGCGGATGACCTCGATTTCGATAGACGACGAGCTGGATGCGCGAGTCTTGCGGGACGGCGCGCGCTTCGAGGTTGACGGCTTGGGCGCAGGGTTGACCTCGTCCTCGCTGTCCGAGAGGTTTGTGAGGTCGATGACAATCCGGCGGCTGTCGCGATCGGCTTGGTTGATGGCGTCCTGGATCTCGGGCGGCAGGTCTTCTTGCTTCGAGCCAGAAGGGTGGTTGTGCGCGTCGTCGCCGCCGCAGGCCTTTTGAGCGCGTAAGCGTCGCTCGGCGGCCTGTCGAGCCATCCAGCGTCAGCATTTCAGCATCGTTAGAACCAAGACGCATAACTCACATCAGCCAGGATGTCGCCACGGCGCTTGCCCTTCGTGTCTGGCGCCCTTCCTCCCAACTTCCCACCCTGTCCCAGCAGCTTCCGCATCCGCTCAGCCTCCTCCATCCGCTTTAGCGCCTTCTCCCTCACCTCACGCAGACCGAGCGGACTGTCGTGCGCGGCTCCCTCGCCTACCCTGCGTCCCTCGCCAACGAAGCCCAAGTAACCTTTCGCGCGGAGCTGGTCAAACTCGTCGTAGAGCCCGTCCATAGTCTTGAAGAAAATGTCGTCGTGCGGCCCGCGGATATTGTGCGATAGCTCGTGCAGCATCGTGCCGATGAGGCAGTGTTGGGCGTCTTCGAGCGGGAGGAACGAGTGTGGGTCGTGTGCGGGTCGGAGGCGAATGCAGATCTTCCAGCCGCGATTGACGTTAATGCCTGTGAGAATCGTGTAAGTCCTCGCAAGCCATCTCAACCCGAAGAAACGCGCGCACCGAGCAGGTTCTCTTGCAAGGGGTAGAATTCAGCGAGTGTCGGTAAGAACCAGCCGTGCTTCTTCATGATCGGCTTGACCATCTGCGCAGGGCACAATCAGCTATGCAAGAACGTCCTCGTACGCGTGACGCACCGAATGGATCCTTTTGAGCAGCGCCAGCGCTTCATCGGACTTTGGCTGACTCTTGAGGACGGTGAATGTGCCCACCTCGCCCGGCACCCGCGCCAGCGAGCCCCATCCCGTCATATCCGGCTGCAATCTCCCTCGAGTGGCGCACCACGCCTGGCGGGAGTGTTGACGCGCGAGGAAGACGAGGCCGCGCTGATGAAGTCGAGGGGGAGCAAGCGACGAGGGTGGCGAGTGCGGGCGAGGGAGAGCGCCTCCAGTGCGTGTAGCGTGGTAGAAGCAGCTGACTCAGCCGGTCAAGCGAGCCCGACGCGAGGGCGAGTTGCGAGGCGGAAGTCAAACCCTCTCGAATGTCAACTCGCGCCAGACTGGACTTCGAGAATACGCTTCTATTCACAACAGGATCACTACAGAACCTCAGAAAGTGTGCTCGGTAGAGTCCTTTCCGCTCGCCTGGGTCGCAGAAGAGCCGGCCGCAACAGCTGTGGGAAAAGGGTCAGCGAGGCAAGCGTTCGAGAGTGAGAGTTTGGGCTCACCATTCAGCACCCTGTCGCTGTAACTCGCGCCTGACCACTTCTGATGTGTGAAGACGTCCACCTTGAGGTCCTTCTCCTTCTGCTGGATGAGCTCGACGTAGGCGAGCATGCCGTCCGTCTTGAACCGCTTGGCGAGTTCAGCTGCGAGGTGGCAAAGTTAGCGAGTCGTCGCTGGACAGACAATACGCAGACTCACCCGTAGTGACAGCCGTCGAGTGCAAGCCAGCGAGCGAGATCAGCTGGATGACGAAGCCGGCCTTGCCGAGGTCCCAAACGAACGACTTGAGCTGCTCGTTGCTGAAGCCGTGGGCGCCCCAGTTGAATGACGGTGAAAGGTTGTAGACAAGCCACTTGCCCGGGTTCTTCTCGCGGATTGTGCCGGCGAAAGTCTGCGCCTGTTTCAGGTCGGGCGCCTTGGTCTCGAGCCAGAGAAGGTCGGCGTAGTCGGCAAAGGCGAGAGTGCGCTTCATCGCGGCCTGCGAGATAGCAATATCAGCTCAGCTTCCTCTGGTCGGGAGAGGGTCGCGACTCACCGCCATGCCGCCACGGTAGTGGTAGTAGCCCTCCTTCGTCCTCGGCAAGTCCCAGTCCCACTGGATCTCCTCGCCGACGATCTCCTTCGCAACGGCGCGCGCTTCTCGGTTCGACAAGTTGGCGCCTGCAACGCGCTGCTTGTACGTGTCGAACTTGGAAGAAGCGTCAGAGGCGGAGAGAGTGCGCTTGAGATGGTTATGGACGGCTGCGAGAGCAGGTCAGGTCAGTCAACGCTCAGAATGGGCTTGCAGAAGAGGACGCACCCTCGTCGAAAGTGACGAGCTTGACGCCCGACATCCAGTCCGCCTCGAGCTGGTCAATCTCGGCTCCGCTCTTTCCCGCCAAACTCGCATGCATGATCTCGTCCGCGAGCGCCTTCTTCGGTCCGTTGTGCGTCTCGACACCGAGCACGAACTCGTGGTCGCGCGCGTCCGCCGTGCTCGAGAGCAACTTGCCGCTCTCGGCGTCGGTACGAGCGATGAGAAGAGTCTCGAGACCCATGATGTCCCACTGCAAGCGGGCGGCGACGAGGCGAGAGACGTGCTCCGAGATGGGGACGAGGACCTTGCCGGCTTGGTGACCGCACTTCTTGCCGCCATGAAGCTGGTCCTCAAAGTGGACTGCCGAGACGCCTGCCTCGCCGAACGCCTTGGCGAGCTTCATGACCGACGAGAGACCGCCGTGACTGCGAGAGAGTGGTCATGTGAGCCCAGAACAACCTCACAGAAGCGAGAGGAGACGCACCCGGTGTCGCCGTCTGCAACGATGGGCCGCAAGTAGTCGATCCAAGGCTGCTTGTCCTTGTTTCCGCACCGCCTCTCGTCCCACATCTTCCTGTCGTGCAGCTCCTGCGCCTTGCGCAACCGCTGAACCTGGTTCGGGACGGTTGTGTAGGGATAATCCGCGAGATCCGGTCCGACTTCGTTGAAGCCCGTCGTCAAGACGCTACTCGCCGCCCAGCCTGAAACGTAGAGGACGTCGAGGTAGGGCGCCTGCTGGGTCATCTGGACCGGGTCGATGGCACCCATGGTGTGCAGCGGCACGCCCTTCTCGCTCGCCCGCTCGAGTTGCGCCCACAGCTTCTTCGCCGAGATGTTGGACGGGTGGAGAGGCGAGACGGGCTGCGTTCCGCGCTTCGTCGCGACGAGTTCTGCCGAGTAAGGGCGCTTCGTCTTGGCCCATCGCGGCGAGCTGAACCAGTTGGAGATGTCGTCGACTTGGGTGCGGAAGTTGGCCTCCTCCTGCTCAGCGGACGGCGGGTCGAGGTAGAACAGCGGTGGCTGAGACTGTGCAAGTCCTGCGCTCGCTCGCACGGCCGACGAGCTCATTGCGCGCGAGAGAGAGGCGGCGGAGGTTCGGATGCGGGGTGCGATTGAGTGGAGCGACGACGGGCGGAGGGAGCGAGCAGAGCGGGCAGCAGCGGTGCGTAGCATGGCGTGCACTCGTGACAGCCTCAGCGCAGACTGCAACGAGCTGGTGCAGCGACGAAGTGAGCAGTGGATGACAGAGCTGGCAAAAGTGCGAGGCAAACGACGGTCGAGCGACGGGACACCGGCAACCTTGACTTCGACGAAACCGTCGCCTGTGCGTAGAAGCTGGGTCCGCTGATTGTCTGCTGACTGTAACTCACAAGCAGGACGAGGGAACCGAGGAGGAGGAGGGCAAGAAGTCCAGTCTCGAAAGAGCGCTTCGTCTTGGTCCTACGAATGCTCCGTTCTGAACTGCAGATTATGCGTGTAGGTATGCGGATGCGAGAATCGTCTAGGGCGAGGGCGAGGGCGGTGAGCGAGGGAAGGTGGGTCATGCTGCTTGCGGCTCGTCGAGCTTCGGGCCTCGCTTTTGCAGGTCTTCGAGCGCCTTGAGCGTTCTCCGCCTGTAAGGAGTGGGAGACAGGTCAGCGTCACGGGGATAACCAAGGGCAGGCAGGAGAAATGCGCCACGCACAGACTGAGTCCCGCTCCTTCGGTCAAGATCCGCTGGCTCGGCACGACACCGCTCTTCGGCGGCTGCCTGACGTCCTCGGCCGCATCACCGGCCCCCTCCCTCTTGTCCTGCTCAGCGTGCCACCGCTCGCTCTCCTCGAGCAACAGCCGGCTCTGCTCGATGATGCCCTGGAGGGCGCCGCCCGCCTGCTCCGATCCGGGAAAACCGTTGTAGTAGTACGCGGCGATCTCGCGCCAGAAATTCATCGGAGGGTACTCGCAGGCGCGCTTGACGAAGGCGCGCGTGAGGACGAGCGTTCGCTCGTTGTAGAGTTCCGAAGCGGCCGTTCCGTCGGTCGTGCCCATCTGCTTCTCGTAGCCGGGCTGCACGAGGGAAACTGTCAGGTGTACGAGAAGCGGTAGTGAAGAGAAGGCAACGCACCTCGGTGTAGTACGGGTTCTCGACCATGATGAGCGCCTGAATCGACACGAAGACCTGCAGGATCGAGCTGCGTGCCGAACTCCAGTTCTGCGAGCATCTGGCTGTCAGCTCAAGAACAAGATCGACTGCTAGCTGAGCCGAACGTACCTCGGTCTTGTCGCCGCTCCACGTCCCGAGCAAGCTCAAGCAGACCTTGCCCTCGACATACAAGTTGGGACTAACGCGGACGCCCGACGCCCACGAGTGGAAGAAAACCTGAGGCGGCTCGTGAGGGAATTTGGTGGGCGAGAGGTAGACGTCGAAAAGGAAGGGGGCATTGGCGAAGGGCGTATCGGTCGGGCCGATGATGAGGCAGCGGAGGAGGTCGGTACGGTTCTCGTACGCGCGGACAAGGATGTTTGCTGTGAGCGTATGTGACAGTCAGCTCAGGCGGCCCGGAAAAGTCGGGGGCGGAAGTCCACTCACGAGGCAACGAGCTGGCGAGGACCTGGTGCTCCTTGCGTACGCGACTCATGAACGCCTTGCCAGGCGCGTCGACCTTCTCGTTGATGTAGTGGTGGTCGGCCGGCGCCTCCTCGAGCACCTCGAACCGCTTCCAGTCGTCAAAGTCCTCGATCTCACCAGGCATCGACACGGTCGCTGCGGCAGACGCTGCCGGTGTCGCTGTCGCGTCGACACCTGGTGCTCCGTTGTCGGCGGCAGTCGAAGTCGACGCCTTGGGCGGGAGGAGATTCATCTCGACCTCGGCATCGCTCGCGACCTTGTTCGCCTCCTCCTCTTCCTCGTCCGCCCAGCCCTTCATCTCGACGTCCGAACCCTTCTTGCCACCCACCGACGCCTCCTCGTCGTCGTCCGCCTTGTAGTCCTCGTCCTGCGAATCATCCTGCGACGACCAATCGCCCGCGAAGTCGTCGATCGTGCAGCTGACGACGGCCGGCTCGCCTGCCTCCTCCTCTTCCGACCCCATGTCCTCGTCCTCGGTCATCCAGCTTCCGTCCGTCTCGACTCCCTCCTCCTCATCCTCGCCATCTTCATCAAGCATCATCCCCTCCTCATCCACAAGCGCCTGCAACCCCGCCGCCGCTTCTCCCGCCGGGTCCATCCCGTCGACGAGCTGCGTGAGGCGGTCGGTCTCGTACGTCCCTGACGAGCCAGACGGGTGACGAACGAGGACGCGGCCGTCGAGGAGGAGGTCGCGCACTTCGCCGTACCAAGTGAGCGAGTCAGGAGCGGTTTGTGGCTTCGGAGGGATGAACGAGTCGCTGAGGGTTTGGGCGTAGGAGAGGCCGAGTGTCGAGATCTGTGCGAACCGGCGGTAGTTGCAGTCAGCGAGCTTCTTGGAAGCGATTGCCAACGAGCATGCGACTCGAACGCACCTCCATCCGCAAGTCTTCTCCTCCCGGCATCAAGCCTGCCGCAACCTCGCTCTCGCCCAAGCCTGGCACAGTCGGGAACACCGCGCCATTCGTCTCCCCCACCTTCTGGATGAGCACCAAGTCGCCCTTCCTCACGCCGTATGCATCCGGCGGCGGTCCATGCGGGTCAAACTCGAGTCCCGAGACCGTCTCCTCCCCTTCCTCGCCCTCGACAGGCTTGTGTTTCGGGTCGTTCAGGTCGAGCCATCGCAGCCGGATCGTCCGCTTCCTCGCGTCCACCGCCTGGACTACTCCGACCTTGTTCGGCTCAGCGCCCGAGAAGACGCCGATATCGCCAGGGAAGATGTCCGCATCCTCATCGAGCTGGGCGACTTGCTCGAGCTCGGCAGTCGAGTGCGTCGTCCGAGACCCGTCTTGCCAGACGACGGTGGCGGTCGTCCGGGCGTTCGTGATGACGAAGACGCGGTGGCCTTCCGGGTAAGTCGAAGACCAGCGAGAGGAAGGGCAGGGGAAGCGAGAGGGATCCTTGAAGACGACCTTGTCGTGGACGGTGTGGAGATGGTCGCTGCGAGAGCGCGAGGTCAGCAAGGGATCGGCTACGAGAAGGAAAGCTAAACGTACGCAGTCGCATGCACTTGGATGAGCTGGTCGATGTCGGTCCAGTAGCGCTTCGGCCGCTGCCATTCGCTGTCGGCGCCGGTCGAGGCGGCTTGCGGGTTTCGGCAGAGCCAGTTGACAGCGACCATGCACTGCTTGACGTCGAGGATCTGCGGGATTGTTAGGCGTCAGCGTGAGCGACGAGAGCTAGGACAGTCGTACGCACCGTCTTGAGGTCGCTCGCGCCAAGCAGGGAAGCGAGGAACCCTTCTCCCCTGTCGAGCAGCATCTGCTTGACCGACTCCGCCGCCGGCCCGACACTCAACGATCCCGCAATGTCGCACACGCGCCTAACGAGGCCCGCGTTGCCGGCCTCGATATGCGCCATCTCGAACACCTCCTCGACGACGCCGATCCAGTCCCCACTGACGACGTGGTCACCCCTGTTCATCCGCGCTGCCGCGACAAGCTCGTCCGTGTCGAACCAGCCGTCGAGGAACTCGCCCGTCAGGATTCGCTGCAGCTGAACCTCAGTCTTCATGTCTGCGATCTGTCCCAGCGGACCTTTGGGGCGCGTCGTAGCGGGCGTGCCGTGCGGACGCCGGGGACGGACGACGTCGCCGAAGAGGAGGCCGCGGTCGACGACGGTGACGGTGGATTCGAGGATCTCGGTTCGCGAGCCGTCGGGGTGGAGGACTTCAAGATAGCCGGGCTTAAGCTGTGAGAACGGACGACTACCAAATCAGTATCTTCGTTCTCGTAAGAGAAGGACTGCGCCGAACGGGACAGACTGCCGTACTCACCGGGTCGAAAGGGATGTTGAGTCGCTGAGCCTCGCTGGCCGTCTCCGGGTTCTGCTCGTCAGCCCAGCATCGCTGCGATGGGGGCAGGTCAACAAGGTCAGTCCCAGAGTCTTTCAGAGATCTGAATGGCTCTGCGCGCACCGTGACGACGGCAGTCTTCACGGTCCCGTCTGCGTCTGTCCACTGAACGATGTCTTCGTTGTATGTGTCGCTCATCTTGGGCATGAGCTCCTCGCCATTCGGTCCGGCGTAGACCTTCGAGCCTGGCGTCTGTACCGCGGGCGAGTCTGTCATGCGAGTCGAGGGAGGATGATCGGGCGTCGAGGGTGGAGAGGGAGTCGAGTTGGAGCGGAGGCGCGCGACTGTGTGGTAGACGAGGGTGACTGCTGTGAGAGTCCAGACGAGCGTGTCCCAGTTCCAGCCGTGCCCGAGTGCGGGTGGAATGGTGGGCGTGAGGGAGCGATGAGGATGGAGATGGAAAGACGAGGCGAGAGAGACCGGGAGTTGGACTGGCGGGACTGTGCGAGCGTGGCGAGTCTATTCAGCACCGTGCAGCACCCGTCCGAAGCGTTCCTGCGCACCAGCTGTGTTGTCGTCGCTGCCAACCCGCGCCTCCTCATCGCTCTCCTTGACATTCGACCCGCGACTCGCTCACCATGGACCAGCAGCTGCAGTTCCCGTCGACGTCGACCGCTGACAAGGGCAAACAGCCACAGCAGGACGAGCCCGTCCAGTACGAGCTGCCCTGGTCCGTCCTCACTCTCCCTCGTCTCGTTGCGACGCGGTGCACTCGACAGAGCTGACACCACGCTCGTGCGCGGCGTAAACAGGGTCGAGAAGGTGCGCTATCATCGGCACGGCTGCTGACCCAGTCGACAGTCCCGCTGACCCATCCCTCCGCCCTACCTCGACCACCCCTCCTCCCCACCTCTCCTCCCCTTGACACCTCAACACTACCCGTTATTGACGCGCAGCACCGGCCCAAGACGCTCGATGACATCGTCGGAAACACCGAGACGATCGAGCGGCTCAAGGTAATCGCGAGGGATGGCAACTGCCCGCACATCATCATCTCCGTGCGTTCTAGCGCTCTCCTGCCAATCGGTGGTGCTACCTCACTTCGTGGACGACGCTGATTAGACATGAGGCGTTCGACCGCAGGGCGCGCCCGGTATCGGCAAGACGACGAGTATCCTGGCGCTGGCGAGGGCGTTGCTCGGCGACAAGAACTACAAGGAGGGCGTTCTCGAGCTCAACGCGTCCGACGAGCGGTGCGTACTGTCCAACGTCTGTGGCCGGACACTCCCTGACGCTATCAGACTCTCCCAGCGGCATCGACGTCGTCCGCAACCGCATCAAGACGTTCGCGCAGAAGAAGGTGACCTTGCCTCTCGGCCGCCACAAGCTCATCATCCTCGACGAGGCCGACTCGATGACGACGGGTGCACAACAAGCCCTCCGCCGCACGATGGAGCTTTACAGCAATACGACTCGGTTTGCGTTGGCGTGCAACCAGTCGAACAAGATTATCGAGCCCATTCAGAGTCGGTGTGCGATCTTGCGGTATGCGCGATTGAGCGACAAGGAGCTGTTGAAGCGGTTGAAGGAGATCTGCGAGATCGAAAAGGTGAGCCTCAACGTTCTTGCGTCGCTGGGACCGCTCGTTAACACAGTCTCACTCGCCCGGCAGGTCCCGCACAACGAGCAAGGCTTGACGGCACTCATCTTCACCTCAGAAGGCGACATGCGTCAAGCAATCAACAACCTCCAATCGACCTTCTCGGGCTTTGGTTTCGTCGGCGCCGACGAAGTCTTCAAAGTGTGCGACCAGCCTCACCCCGTTCGCGTGCAACAACTCGTCTCGGCGTGCGTCAAGGGCGATGTCGACAAGGCGATGGACGGGCTCGGCGAGCTTTGGAGTCAGGGGTATGCGGCGGTCGATGTTGTCAGCACGTTGTTCAGGGTCGTCAAGGGCATGGAGCAGCTGAGCGAATACGTCAGGCTCGAGTTCATCCGCGTGCGTCTCGTGCTCCCTACTCCTAGCTCTTTCGCAACGCACTGACGAACGCCCGCGCAGGAAATCGGCTTCACGCACATGCGAATCCTCGAAGGCGTCGCGACCGTCGTCCAGCTCGGAGGCCTCATCGCGCGCCTCTGTCGCCTCAGCATGAAGCCTGAGCTGTTCAAGTTGCCTGGCAAGGATGGCGTGCAGTTGTGAGCGGGCGTGAGAGCCGGAGGAGGCGGATTTGTCGCTTGTTGTACTGTGTAGGGCAGAAGGAGGGAGTCAGGGACACGCTTGCATCGCCGTTACCTGCCAGACAGCATCGCCCTGAGAGTGTGGTAGCAAGACCGACGCGGGCAGCAAGGTTCGACAGTCTCGCTCGTATCGCATGACCTGTCCCGACGACTCAAGGAATGTAATTGCGGTAGTCGTCGTGTCTATAACGCCAGGCGCCGCATCTATGAGACCTGCACCTCCGCCGCCGTCCCCCGCGCCTTCGCCTCCCTCCGCTCCGCCATCCGTCCCAACCACCGACTCAACTGCTCATACACGACAAACGTCACGCACGTCCCCGGCAAGATCCGCACGGCGTTGGTTGCGATGCCTTTGTAGAAGCCCGAGAGACCTTCGGAGCGGTAGGTGCGGGTGATTACGTCGGGGATGGAGGTGTAGGGTGGAGTGGAAGAGGCGGCAGAGACGGGTCGATACTGCGCGAGTGCGAGGGCGTCAGTGAGGGGTATCAGACGTTTAGAGACGTGAACGCACTTGTATCCGTGATCGAATGACCTGATATGGGTAGGTGATGCCGATGGCGACGAGCTTTGCCGAACCGCTCATGAGGATGTACTCGGTATTGCTCTGTGCGGCCAGAAAAAGCGAGCAGGAGTCAGCAGAGCTCTCCAGGAACCGCTGGACCGGATCATCGCAATGAAGGCGGGCGACGCACCAAACGCTTGACCTCCTCCTCGCTTGCTCCCGCTCCTAACCGTTTTCTTCGCAGATCCACCCGCCGCTTCTTCAGCTCCTCATATGTCATAAACTGAATGGCGCCGTTCGAGACGCCTATCAGGGCGAGCGTCATTCCCTTTGACATGCCTCGAACGCCTTCTTCTCGTGCCAGTGTCGCGAGGCCGTCTGCAAGGGGTTCAAAGTTCAGCCAGCCGTGCGACAACGAGAAAGAGAAGCAGGACGCACTCAGGACGCCTCGGTACGCCTTCGTCTCGTCCGCTCGCGTCGTGAACATCCGCGTCTTGACGACCCATATAGGGTTGGTGATGACCGCCGTGATGACGCCTATGCGCAGAGTCATTAGAAATCTGTCCCGAGAGCGACGGCAAAAGCGCTCGCACCGGAACTTGCGGAAGCGAGAAGATGCTGTCCCGCGTTCAGCTTCTTCTCCTCTCCTCCGTCCATCCGCGCCTTGATCATCGTATACCTGCAGCTCAAGCGTCAGAAGGACATTGAGAGAAGGCAGCTCTGGGTACGCACCAAAGAAAGTAGAACCCCCAGCTGCTCGCGTTTCCGACAAGATTCGGCGTCAACCCTCGATACAAGCCTCCATAGCCTCCCTGCCGTACGATCTCTCCCAGTCCCCACCATATCTGCCCCAGCGTTCCATGCGCCTTTGGCGCGGTCGAAACCTGCAGCTGAACCTTGAGGAGGTCGAGCGGTTGCATACAGATCGTCGAGACGATGCCGGCTGAGACGCCGCAGAAGGCTGAGTCGAGTGCCGGGGAGCCGAAGACGGCCGGTACATCTCGTGAGGACATATCGCGGAAAGTCTGGTGCGAACGAGGGCGAGAGAGGGAGGAACGGAGGTTGCGAAGGGCTGTCGAAAGTTCAGGAGGCGAGACTGTGTCAGCACGGCGCAAAAGCAGGTTGTACGGGTAGGCAGGTGCCACTCACAAAGTTGACAGACTTCAGCGAGTCCACCCAGCAGCCCCTATGCGTGCGCCGCTGGCACAGTCAACCCGTTCGCCGTCGAGGAGAGGCGGTGATGTCGCACGAATCTGCTCGGCGGGAGGGCGTCGTAGCGGTTCCGAGAGCGTTCTGAGCGTTGACGAGGGCCAAGGTGAGCTTCAGAGCCAGACAAGCAGCAAGTCGAAGCGAGGGGGAGGATCGCAAGTTGTTCGCGCCTCTCTTCGACCAGAGCAACACCCTCGCTTTCGCCTGAGCGCTCGCTAGACTGCTTTAAGCGTCTCAGATTGAGCCTAGCTACACACCACGGTATTCCGCTCGCCGCCCCAAGCGCGCCTCGCCGTTCTCTTGCCGTCGTCCCGCTTTCACCTTGAACCCTTACACACTCTCAAGATGCCCTGGAAACCGCCTGCAGGCCAAGAGTGGTACTACTCGATCCCCTCGCCGTGGGCGCAGCACTCGCTCGTCTCGCAGCTTCTGCACCGACCTCCTGCCGGCGACCGCACCTGGGGGAGGAAGGACATTCCGAGATCCCCGGAAGAGCAGCAGATTCGCGACGCGCACGGGCACAGAGATGGACAGGTGTACTTGAATGAGGCGCGGTCAGACTGGGTGACGTACCAAGTCTGGGAGGCGACGAAGGGCGCTCTGAGTCGAGGTGAGTTCGCTGGAAATCCCTTCTAATACCACTCGAGCCCGCTGACCATCTCTTTGTGCAGATGCGGACCTTGTCTTTGTCCACGGAATCAACGACTATGGCGGCAAGTTTTCGAACCACGCCAAGAAGTTTCTCGACGCCGGCGTGAGTTACCCTTCCGGCCCAGTTTCCGTCTTCCGGAGCTGAAGAGTGACAATGCAGTACCGCGTAATCGTTCCCGACCTGCCCGCGCATGGTCGTTCGACAGGCATTCACGTCCATTGCCCCAACATGGAGGTGCTTGGTACGTACTTTCCTCGCTTCTCCCCAGATCACCGCTCACTTCGCTTTTCACAGCCGATGCTGTCTATGAAGTCATCAAGGATGTCATGCTCGAGGACTCGAAGCTCGTCCAAGAAGCAGGCGGTTCCGTCACGCAGCAGCGCAAGGTCTTCGTCGCCGGCCAAAGTCTCGGCGGGTTCACCGCGACCTTGACCTGTCTGTGAGTCCGCGTCTGCGTCGTCCAGGGTGATGTCACGTGGGATGCTCCTGCCGAGTCCGCCTTGATGTCGTGGAGTACCGATGCTGACCGGTGTGTCGCTCCTCGCAGGAAATACGGCGCTCCTCTCGATACTTCTCTTCCCTCCGCCTCCTCCACCTCCTTCCGACCAACCGTCTCGGGCGGCGTCATCCTCTGCCCCATGCTCCAGATCGCGCCCGACTCTCGACCATCCTATGCGGTCGAGCTTGCTGCGCGTGCGCTCGCAAGCGTCGCAGGACCTCTCCCTTTCGCTAATGCGAACAAGGGGCGCAATTCCGAGGACCCTGAGGTTGAGGAGCAGTTCGAAAGCACGTGAAGCCGCACCTTTCAACCAGCTCCGTGTAGCTGACGACTTTCCATCGCAGTGGACCCGCAGACTTACGGCGGCAAGCTCCGCATCGCGACTGGCCTCGCCATCCTCGAAGGCATCCTCGACATCGACAAGAAGCTCCCGCACCTCCGCGTTCCGTTCCTCCTTTGCCACGGTACCGGTGACCGCGTGACGTCCTACAAGGGCTCGCAGAAGCTGTACGAGGAGGCCGAGTCGAAGGACAAGGAGATCAAGCTGTACGATGGCGTGCGTAGCGGCGTTCACCTGCTGAGTCTGAAGACGAGCTGACTTGAGATCTGCTCTTCCCGCACAGTACGAGCACATCCTGCTGCGGAAGGGTCGCGACGAAGCGGACGACGTGCGACGCCAGACGGTTCTCAACGACATGCTCGACTGGCTGAATCGGCACTAGAAGAGCGCAAGAAGACGAGGCATGTAGATACTCGATAGAAGCTTCGCGTGGCATGTGTTGTTCAACTCTCCGTCGGGATGCGAGCAATGCTTCTTCTCACGTCACAATCTCCTTCTCGTACACGCTCATCTCCCAGCTACCGATCTCGACTCCGCCCTGCTTCCGAACAACGCACTGGATGCCCTCCGTCCCCATTCCTCCCGCAGCCGTTCCCAAGCCTCGCGCCCGCTTGAACAGCTTGTCGCGCTCCTTGAGCCGCTTCTTTTGCTCCTGCAGAACCGTGTCGAGGTTGACGCCCTTGCGGAAGACGGCCTTTTGCGGAGGATGGACCGTGATGTGCAGTTTGAGCGGAAAGGTCGGCCACATCCCGTCGAGGAGAGAAGGTGACTCGAGAGGATCGATGCTGGCGTCCGATACGAGAGGCACGGTCGAGATTGAGGGCCAGTGAGGCGGAGCAAAGTGGTGCTGGTAGAAGGGCAGGCCGTCGCTTGATCGCTGAGGCAGGATTGCGTGAGGTCGGAAGACCCATTGCGTGACAAAGATCAAGGGTGCGAGAGTCCGGCGGAGATGCGCAATTGCGGCGAGAAGGAGTCGAAGGGGAGTTTGTGACGAAGCGGAAGAGTCGACCGGTCGGGGTGCTCCTGGCGCGAAAGATGCGCTCCGCTGCTCATGCGCGTACTGATCGGCCCATGCGAACTCGCTCATGCCGTCGATCAAGACGCTGCCGACTTCCTCCGCGGCATGCGTCTTCGCCCATTCCGGCAGCCCTTGAATCGTTGCGGCGAGCTGAAGGGTCGAAGAAGGGTAGAAGACCTGCAGCCGCGTCAAGCACTCGTCGACGAGTCCGTCGATCTCCTCGTCTCGAGGCGCACCGATGCCTCTCGGCGCACGGTACCGCTGAATCGAGGTATCGAGGTGATGCCGGAGGAGCGAGGCGAGGCGGTCGACGTCGAAGCGTGAAGTACAGTCGATCCAGACGACGGCCTCCTCCTTCCCACCGACCACAACCTCGAGCACCTGCCTATCTACCCGAACGTGAGCCCTGCGCGGCAGAAGAGCGGTCGCGGCGAGGTGCAGGAGCAGCGACGTCTTCCCGCTCGATGCGAGACCCTGGACCTCGACAACATCACCGCGCCTGAGTTGCAAACCTGCCTGGTCGAGTATGGCGCTCAGCCCGTCGACGTAAAGGTGAGGAATGCTCGAGGAGTGCCGGACAGCTGATGAGAGGTTGAGGCCGGTGTCGCACGAGATCCCGTCTGCGAGGAGGGCTGGGTCCATCGCGGTTGCTAGTTAGCTGTCTCGGCTGTTCATAGCAAGCCCGACCAGCTAGTTCTGCGGGCGAGCCGTGAGCAGCAGCGGTCGAAGGGAAGGTTCGCCTCTTCCGCCTCGTCCCCTTCTCGCTGTCCGCGCTAGAAATGGTGAGTACGACTCGAGCCTGTGTTCTTGGCATGTATGCTCAACGCTCCCCCGCTCGCAGCCTCGCCCAACGCGTGCTCGCACTTCCCTTCCCTCTCACTCTCGCTCCGCCAAGCTCAAGGCAGCAGCGGCGCCTGATGGGCTGGACGACTCGTACATGATGGCACCGGAAGAGATGGCGCCGATCGCGGTGCGTGCAGCCCTTTCGAGTAGTTCGCTGAGGAGAAGCTGACCATTCCCCTCTCCTCGCAGGCTGTCAAGGCTGCTGCCGCCGAAGCTGCAGAGACGGAGGCGCTCGCAGATGTTGCAGAGCCAGAACAGACAGATCCTGTGTCCGAAGCGCCTGCCAAACCGAAGCAGACGAAGGCGGAGAAGGCGTACGCGAGGCGGAAGGAACTGCTTGACAGTGAGTCGCGCTCACATATCGCTCTTTCGCGATGTCTGATCACTCATTCGATTGTCCTCGCTGCGCAGAGGTCAACGCCAGTACGACTCCCTACTCGAAGTCTCACGCACGACGACTACGGCGCGCCGCCAAACCGCAGAACAACCTCGTCGCCTCCTTGACCGAAGTCGAGGCTGTCCTGCCCTCCATCGAGCCCGAGGAGCAGGACGGTGCCGAAGACGACATGTACGACGAGGAGGCGCCGGCAAAGTCGAAGACTGGCGGAAAGGGCAAGGAGAAGCTGACCGCGAAGAAGCGGCAGCGGGTGTTGTGCGTCCACATGTGCTCTGCTCAGCTTGCTGGTCATTTTGCTGACAAGTCTGCTCCTTGAAGGACTGCCGAGTCCGCTCGACTGCCTGCCATCATCAAGAACGAGTCGTTCGCCAGTTCGCCCTTCGCCACGATCCGCCAGCACACGCTCAACACGCTGATCACGCAAACAAATCCGCCATTGCCGAAGAAGGGAAAGGCTGGTCGATGAGCAGGGTACCGCCAGATTGCACGAAGTCTGCCTTGTTGTACTGCTACGCAGTTTCTCCTCGTCCGCATCTCTCGTAAGCGCAACGCTTTCTCTCGTTCGCCCCTCCTCGCAGCCGAGTACGATGCGAAATGTGCTATTGCAGCCTGCTCTGTCGCCCGCTACAGCCTCTCCTGCGGCGGCAGCGCTGTACGGAAAGCCGGCTTCGCAGGCAGCCCAGGCGGCCGTGCCGCCACCGTTCCTGCAGCCACCATCGAGCGAGGACCAGTCGGGATTCCAGCCATAGACGGCGCGGGCCGCATGCCCTGCGTTGGCAATCCGTTGCTGACCGCGGTCAGGCGTGTAGGCGGGCTTGCGGGAAAAGGGCGAGTCGTTGTGTGCGAAGGTGTGCGCGGGGAGGTGGGCTCAGTAGGACGGCGTGCGAGAGGGTGGGAGGATTGAGGTGTGTAGGCTGACGAGGGAGGCAGACTGAAAGGGAGGTCGACGGGCTGCGTCTGCCGAGTCGCTTGTGAGACGCGAGCTCTGCCATCAATGGGCGTGGGCGGCGCTTCTGAGTGCGGGTGCGCTTCAGCTTGAGGGAAGGGTGGTTGTTGTTCCACTGCCGCGAGCGCCGACGGTTGAATGAGCGAGGGAGCGCCTAGGCTGTGCGGCGAAGTCGAGTGCGGGCGGATGTCGGCTGTGAGAGTTGGCTGCATGCCGGCTGACTCTGCAGTAGACGCATGCGACAAGTTTGCTGCAGACGGAACCGGAGAAGGACGAGGCAGGTCGAGAGGCTTCGAAAGAGGAGCGCTCTTCGATTCGTCGGTTGACGCCTGCGGGACTAGCGCGGCCCCCCCGGGGCTCATCGCCTCATTCGCGTGCACATCCGCCTGCACGGACAATCCAGCATCGTCCAACGGCTCGCTCTTGACGCGACCGGTAATGAAATAGTCTCGCGCCGCAACAGCGAAGAGATCGCGCACGTCCATCTCAAAGTCATTCAAGTCAGTGGCTGTCGGGCGGCGCGGACGAGAAGAAAGATCGAGCCCTTGAGTCGGGGAGAGGCGAGCTGCGGAGAGTGCTGAAGAAAATGCGGGAAGATCGCTGAGCTGGAGAGGGTCGCCAGGCTGGTCTTGCGAGCGGTCGATCTGGGAGGGTGGCGCTGCGGTAGTAGGAGGCGGCGCCGCGGCAAGCGGAGTCGGAGAGGGTGGCGGAAGAAGGTTAGGGCCGGCGGGAGGGAAGGGAGAGGGGGAGGTCTGGCGCATCATGTCGGACTCGGCCTGCCGATGAGCGACGGAGCTGCTGTGCGTCGCAGACCATACTGCAGACGGCGCTAACCGTGGACCTTCGGCGGATGCGGCAGGCGAGGCTGCGCTGTCGTGGCCGACAGACTCTCGCTTCGGAGGAGGGTGGAGCTCGCAGGTCACGCTCCTTACGTGCCGGGAGGTCACACGCGTCGGCGAGGGTGGGTCTCGGCCATGCAGGACGAACTCGAAGTCGAAGAGGCCCGTATCAGGGTGGTCGACTTGGTAGTCTGCGCCGCCGCGACCGAATTCGCCAGCAGTCGGAGCAACGTCCGAGCGATCCAGTACAAAGCCGTTGTCACTGCGCCAGGCGTGCGAGAAGTGACGGAAGCGCCAGTCGAGCTGCTTGCACGCATCCGCCCGAGGGATGCGAATGACGACGCCGTTCCGTTTCCAGTACCGCGAGGCTTCTTCGTCGAGCCAGTGCGCGAACGCTTCGCGCTCGCGGTGACTCTGGAAAAGCAAGTGGTAGTACTTCCCGGAGGTGCGCGACTCGTCCTTCCACGCGGTAGCGCCGAAGCGCCAGACGAAGGCATCATCGGCAGCAGCGCGATTCGTCAAGTCCTTCGCCGGCTTGTCCATGCTGATCTCGAGCGGATAGAGCGACTCGAGGCGATCGAGCGGAACGCGGTCGGAAGCTCGCACAACCTGCGTGTCAATTGTCAAGACCCTCTCCCCGTTAGAGACGTGATCAGTAGGTCGAACGTACCCGCGGCAGCCTGTCAGTCGCCGGGATCTCCGACTTGCGGCGCTTCTGGCGATCGTCGCCTGCGGGATGAGCGCTCGATTCCCGCCGCTTCTTCCCCTGCACGAGGTCCTGCCACAGCCTGTACTCGCGCCAAAGCGGCTCGCGCTCCCGGGGAACGACGTTGCGCCATCGCCACTCCGGCAATTCCGAAGAGCGCGACGCGATAATCTGCAACCCATCCGGCTGAGGAGGCAAGCTGGCGATCTGCGCGGCGACTTCGTCGGCGAGAGCTTCGGTGCGGAATGCGAGACACGCTCGGAGTGACTCAAGGGGTGTAGCGCGGTCGAAGAAGCCTGCCGCAATGCAGGGCGTTTGGGGCGGGAGGAGACCGATGAGGCCGGCGACCGAGCCGAGCAGGTGAAGAGGAAGGCCGGTGAGGTCGAGATTGACGAGAGACGATGCGACGCGGTCTGGAAGACGCTCGGCAAGAGGTGGACTCGTGGGCGACTCTAGCGTTGACGGGATCGCAAGGGGAGAAACCGCCTTTGCCGCTGTCGGATCCCGCCAGGTCTCGCCTCGAGCCTTTGCCTCCGCGCGACGACGCCAGAAGACTCGCTCGACGTCACGAAATGGGACAGAGAGCGCCGACGGATCTTTGCGGAACTGCAGAAGGATGAGCTGGTGTGAAGGGAGAGATGCGAGGTCGTCGGGGGAGAAGGAGAACTCGAGGGAGGCGAGGTGGAAGAGGTCGGGAGGAAGAGGGGAAGGATGCGTTGGATGAGACGCTGATGTCGTGGATGCTGGGCGTGGCGGAAGAGACGGCTGTCGCGGCTTGGCCGTCTGCGAGTACGGAGGGAGCAGGCGAACCCAATCTTGACCCTGTTTCTCCCCTCGCCCGGTCTCGACAAGTCCCGCTGCGGCCGCAGCCATCGTGTACTCCTTGAAGGTTTGAAAGCGAGACTTCGAAGACAGAACGCCTCGGAATGCGCCACGCATGGTCGATCCGAGACTCGCCGCCATGACTCGCGCGCCCGGCTTCTGCTGCAGTCTGCGAAGAGTCTCGACGAGAGGAAAGAACTCGCTTGGAACAGGTGCCGGTGTTGCTGGAGGATCCAGTCGCGCTGCGAGGCCATTCGACCCGGTCGAGGAGAGCGAAGAGGGAGGTCGCGACTCTCGACCATCGAGAAGCTCGCCGCGCTGTACGGCCTCCAATCGACGCTGCTCCCAGATCCGTCTCGCGTTCGTGAGGACCTGCCCAAAGCCCGGCTCGTCGTTGTCGAGGTGGAACTGTACGAGGGCCAACTCGACTGATGAGAGCTTGTCGAGCGCGGCGAGGGCGAATGTGAGCGGGTGCAGGTGCACGCTGTCGAGATAGCTGTGCGCCATGGCCGGCGCGCGCGTCCGCGAGCGGTGCGGAGTTGGTGGGAGAGGGAGAGGAGCGGGACAAGGATTGTCGCCGACCTCTTCAGCGTCGAAGGGCGTTTACGGACGCTTGCCGAGATTCGATGCGCTCTCTGACACTCGCAGAAAGTCGGGCGCGTCGAAAGGTGAACGACAAAACCCGTTACAAGCCCACACAGGCCGAGAAAAAAGCGACTAGGAGAAGCAGTCCCCCTTCACCGTCCGTGAACCGTTCAAACGTGCTGTTCCGCCTCTTAGATCCGGCGCGCTCTGGACAAAATTGCGAGGCGGCGAGTCGGGCGAGGCGAGGCGAAGGACGAGTCGGAGGCGGGAGAAGGGAGGGGAACAGGACGAGGGCCCTGGCTCCGGCCAGCTCTCGTCAAATGGGGGAGGCGATGCGAGTGGTGAGCGTGAAAGTACAGGGATGCGAGGCGATGGCGGAAAAGCGAGGAGGGGAGGTGGTGACCGAGAGAGGCGGGTCGAGGTCAACGAGGCGAAAGGCGAGCGAGACGGCTTCGTCCAGCTCGCCCCTGCGCCAACCACCGACAACGCTCCCAGCCCTCGATGATGCCGTGCACAAAATTCGCAGTCGGCGACCGAAGAACCCCTCCGCTGCCTTCCTGTCTCGTCGCCTCATCGCCAACTTCCCTTGTCCGTCAAGCGCAGCCACAAAAGTGAAAAATCGGCTGATCGAGTGACGGTGGACGGCGGAGAGCGTAGGCGAGGGGGAGAGACGAGATCGGGTGGCGGAGGAGTCGGAGGTCGCGGGTGACGGCGGCAACGGCGGGCGGATCTCGAGACAGCGACCGTCAAAATGACAGCCGACAGGCCCGAGGAGATGGAGGGGATGGGGGAACGTCGTCAAGCCGGGGTGCGCGAGCGGGGAAGGGGAAGAGTCGGAGTCCTCGATGGACGCAATCTACGCCAACAAAAGGCGGTCGACGGGTTGAAAAGAATCGACCGTGGCGAGGGAGAGGTGAGTGTAAAGGGGCGCAAGCCGGGCGAGGGCGGCGAGATTGCCGGATTAGGGGGAGGGTTGGGAAGCGGGGTGAGCCATGTCGGCGAATCCTCAACAAGTTCCGACCTCCGCCACAATGTCGTAGCCGCGCGCTCCCTCAGCGGTGAACCCGACAAAAGATGGGTTCAAGCGAGGCGAGGACGGGGGACGAAGTCGAGTTCCTGGAGGGAGAGGGAGTCGATGTCGAGGAAAGTGCCGGGGATCGGGTGGGGGAGGGCGAGCGGTATGGAGAGACGAGAGGGAGGAGTGACGGGCGAGAAGAGGAGAGAACAAAGTCGGGACCGGCAAAAGAGCCGACTTGGCGCCGACCAATTCCCTCTGCTCTTCATCTCCTCCTCCTGCTGATGTCGACCTGCCGCCTTCCAAAGCCGAACCTTGATCTCACATGGCGCCGGACTGAGCGAGTTGATCGCCTAGCCGGCCGGGAACCGAGACGCGAGGGGGAGTAGAGTCGAGAACCGAAAGTCGAGACGAGGTGCGAAGTTGCGAGGTGAGCGAGCTCAGTACCACTCGCCGCCGGCGCGCATGCGCGACTCCTGCTGGTTGCGGGTCTGCGAGCGGAGCATGCGCTGGTCGCTCTGCGGGACGCCCTGGCCCTGCTGGTCGACCTCGCCCGGCTGGAGGACGCGCCTCTTGGGCTGCGCGGCGCCAGCGGCAGACTGGCCCTGAGGCTGCTGCGGCGGCGGCTGCGGCTGCGCGCCGCCGGCTGCCTGCTGCTTCTGGAACTCGAGCTGCTGCTTCTGGACGTCGTCGACGCGCTGCTGGACCGACCAGTCGAAGACATAGTCGTACTGGAACCCTTCGCGGACAAAGAGGTCGCGGAAGAGCTTGCGGAGGTACGAGTAGTCGGGCTTGTCGTCGAAGCGGAGCGAGCGGCAGTAGTTGAGGTAGATGGCGAACTCGTTCGGGAACCCGCGGCAGAGGTACTCGGTCGGCGTCGTCATCTTCTTCTCCATGATGCGGTCGTACTTCTGCTTCTTGGTCGCCGCCTTGAGGCCCTGCCACGGGAGCGAGCCACGGAGGAAGTACATGAGGACGTAGCCGAGCGACTCCATGTCGTCGCGGCGCGACTGCTCGACGCCGAGGTGCGTGTTGATCGACGTGTAGCGCGCCGTGCCCGTCAAGTTCTTGTTCTCGCGGTACGGGATGTGCAGGTGCGTCTTCGGGTCGCGGTACTTCTTGGCGAGGCCAAAGTCGATCACGTTGACCTGGTTCCCGCGCTTGCCGATGCCCATGAGGAAATTGTCGGGCTTGATGTCGCGGTGGATGAAGTTGCGGGAGTGGATGTATTCGATGCGAGAGATCTGCGCAACGCGAAAGCGAGGTGAGTAAGCGGGTCGCGAAGCGGAGAGGCCGATTGACGACTCACGAGCTGGTCGGCGAGGAGGAGGGTGGTCTTGAGCGAGAACTTGCGGTTGCAGAAGTTGAAGAGGTCTTCGAGCGAAGGGCCGAGGAGGTCGAGGACCATGGCGTTGTAATCGCACTCGACGCCGAACCACCTCACGAAGGGCACGCCGACGCCTCCCGCGAGCGTCTTGTACACTTTCGCCTCGTACTCGAGCTGCGGGTGTTTCGCCTTGACCGACTCGAGCTTGATCGCAACCTCCTCGCCCGAGATGATGTTGACGCCCAGGTAGATGTCGCCTGCGGATCGCGCGAAGGCGAGTTAGCGAGCAGTCCTCCAGCGTCAAGGCGCGGTGCAAGCGAGGCGTACCGAACTGTCATCGAGACGCGCGCCGAAGCGAGCGAGAGATGTCAGTTTCTGTGCAAGAACCGCGACGAGCCGGAGATACGCACCGATCCACTCCCAATCTTCTTGCCGATGCGGTACTTGCCACCGACACTGCACGCGCAAGGTGTCAGTCCGGACTGCACTGCAGGATTGAGCCGACGCCTGTGCGAGGCGCGGGCTGCGCAGGCATCGCAAGTCGGAACCGCGAGAACGGCGACTCACCGGAGATCCATGGTGGGCTGTGGCAGTCGACTGAGTGAGGGTTACGAAAGGTGGAGAGCAAGGGGGAAAGGGTAATCTGCCTGCGCGAGAGCCGATGCGAGCGAGACGAGTGCGAGCGTCAGCAGCTGGCCGAAGTGCCTCACGATGCCCTCGCCACGGCTCGTCCCGTGCCCGCTGGACCGACAAAAAGACAAGTCCAGCAGTCTGATCCCTGCCATGCCATGCCTGCCAGTCCACCCAGTCGAGCGAGCGAGCGCGCCGAGGAGCGTGCTGGCCTGGGTCACCTCCTGACGAGGCCCCGAGCGCACTCGCACGCCTCGCACCAGCCCGCGCAGCCTCGCAAACCTCCGTACCGTGCTCTTGAGTGTCCGATCTGCGCGTGTGCACCTGTCCGAGCTGGCTCGAGTGCGCTGGGCGAGGCGAGTCACGGGTCGACCGGGGGCGTGGTGTGATGGCGGCGGCGGCAACGCACAGTCTCGGACGCGCGTGGAAGGGAGAGTGGACTCACGCTAGATGTTGTAAGGAGCGGAGACGGGTGTGCAGCAGGTGGCCGGGTGCGAGAAAGCTGAGGAGAGCCGTGTGAGGCGAACAAGAGAGGCGGACGAAGGCGAACGGCGAAGAGGCCTCGACTCGAACAGCTTCCTTGAGGCTGGCGCATGCACACTTGGCTTCGTTACACTCTCCTGATGCTCTCGGTGTCGACCCAAGGCAAAACGAGGCAGCGACGGCAAAGCACCTCCCACAAAGGCCACCCTGGTCGACGTCGCAATCGTCCGTATGCAGGTGAACGAACAGCATCTGTCGGGATGTTCGTATTAGACGGAGGAGCAAGCAACTCGTTGAGTGCCTCGACGGAGAGGGGAGCGAAAAGAGAGCGAAGGAAGAAAGTAAGTTGTTCCTGCAAGTCAAGCATAGCGAGTGCACGGCGTACAGCGGGCTTGATCCCTTCGCCTTCCAATCCAAGAAGCTGGTTCAGTCATTACTGTCGTTGCGCACGAGAAAAGGGAGTCGGAAAGCTCGCAGCATCGGAAGTGCAGGGGGAACGCGCGAGTTGCAGTCGTCCGTATATCGCGCCGCACGTCCAGCGACAACGTTTCTAAGCCTTCTGCAGAATGACAAGCAGTCAGCATACGCTGAAGAAGGGCAGAGAAACCAAACGCACCTCTCCCCGTCCACCAACTTCCTTACAACCCCGCCCACTGCCTCAACGTCCGCACCTGCTCCTCCGACAACCCCGCACCTTCCACTATCGCCTCGAACTCTTCCTCTACTTTCTCCACGTCTGTTGCGCCGACTTGGACCGATTTGCGTAGGGAGAGAGCGCGGAGGACGAAGGGACCGATGTCGACGGGTTCTGCGGCGGCGGGAGAGGGGTCTTCGGTCGTTTCGGAGTTTGCGCTGGGCGCTGTATGGTTTTCGAGTCCAGATGAAGAGTGAGAGCTGTCGGGAAGCGCAGGACCGCGCACAGTGGAGGAGGAAGAGGGAGTTGCCGCGGTCGACGACGAAGCCTGTCCGTCCGCTCCCGTCTGTCCAGCCAAGCGATGCCGCCGGAACGCCTCCTCCAATTCACCCTTCCCTTCTGCGCGCCAGATCTGTCTTGCAGTTTCGAGCGTGTCCTCCAGCTCTCGAATCCGGGAGAGGGCGTCGTCGAGGGTCGTGGGCCGGGCGCGGTCGCTTCGGGAGTTCATGGCGACTGTTGACCAGGCGCGGAGAGTCCGAGAGTGTGGCAGTCGTCTTGTCAAGCAAGAACAACGCGCGAGCATGCGAAGCGGCGCTCTACAAGCCTGCTCTTCTCCCGACACCGATGAACACGGCTTCTCTCCTCACCCGCTAGATGTGGTTCTGGCCTTCTCGGACTGTCCAATGCTTCTACTGCAACACTTCACTCGAGCTCGTACCGCCACACCCGGCTTCGTCGAGTCGGAAGGGCAAGGGTCGCGCGGTTGAAGGACGAGGGGGTGCGGTTGCGGTTGGATCGCGGGACGACTTCTGGTGTAACGTGTGCGGGCAGATGACTCGCAGAGATGAGGTTTGTCCCTTGCTTCCCCGCCATCGCTCGGTGCAGGATTGACACCCTTCGCTTCCTCGCGCAGAACGGCGAAATCGTCTCGGACGATGCAGCATTCTACGATTCGTCCTTGAATGACGAGGCCTTTGCGAAACGAGGTGCGTACGGAGGCCATCCTCGTCAACGAAAGTTGCTGACCTCGTGATCCGCAGGCTCTCCCAGCCGCACCCGACTCCCCTCTTCCTTCCCAACAGCCCAAACAACCCCCTTCTGCCGGCAATGCCTGAACAACCAATCCCTCCAACTACACCTCCTCGCCTCCTACCCCTCCTCGGACGACGAACAAGACCCCTCTGACCCTTTCCCACCTCTTGACGAGTACCGCCGGTCGCTCGATGCGCGTTATCCGCTTGTTTGCGCCAGCTGTGCGCCGAGCGTGGAGGGCGTAATTAGGGAGCGGGATTATAGAGTCAAGACGCAGGCTTTGGGCGCGAGGTTGAGGGAGAGTCAGTTGAGGAGGGAGAGGGAGGAGAGGCTCAGTAGGCAGGTCCGGCGGAGAGACGGCTTCAAGTGGACGGCAGAGGAGTGGGCTTGGCGAGCGCGAGGAGCGGCGTGGGCTTTGACGCATGGGACGACCGTCGTGGGATGCTGGTGCGGTGCGTTTGGCCGTCCTTTCGATCACGTGCGCCAGAGTCGCTCACTCTCGTGTCCTCCAGGCCTTTGGCGAGACGTTGCTATCGCGCCTTCGCAACCGCTGCATCTTGACGTCGCCGCCCAATCCAGCACTCTGCTCCTCGTCGCGGTCGTCTCGCTTCTCTGGTCCTGCTGGGACCCGACCTGGTCGACTCTTCGGAGAGAGCGTGCGCGGGGACGGAATCCGATTGTCACTGGAAGAGCGCCGTACATCGTGCGTGCCGAATCCTACAAACACCCCGAGGTGCGCAGCTGACCGCGCTTCCCGCACAGGCTGTTCAACTGGCCGCCTACGTCTTCCGGATAGGCATCCTTTCCGCACTGCGGTTTCTCGACAATCGCCGGCCAGCACTCCTGCTACTGCTCGCTTTGATATCGATCATCGTGCGTCCTCACTTCGGCTCTGAGCAGCAAGAGACTGACTTTCGCTCCCCCCAGGCCCTCATCTCCGCATTCTACTGTCCTTCCCTTCGCCACCCTCCTCCCATCCGCCTCTCTCGCTCTTCCGGCACCGCAACATCTACCTCTTCCCTATCTACCCGACCTGCCGATCCTCTCGAACCTCTAGCCCACCTCTCGCTCTCCCGCAAAGGAAGCCTTCTCGCTCCGAGTCCGCCCACTACGCCTACCGGTACACGTAGCCCCGTCGATGGCGAATTAGTCTCGATTGGCAGCGCGGCCAGCCTGCGGAACCGGAAGAGCAGTGGGCAAACGAACGGGATTCGTCCGCGTGTACCGTCGTTTAGCCTGCGACCATGGCGAACAGGCTCGATGGCTGTGGCGCAAGCTATGGAGGTCGATGCTGCCGGTTCGGCGGCAACAGGCGACGACGCGGACGGCCCCAACGAGAACAGCATGGACTGGACCGCTACGCCTCCTCCTGCCTCGATTCCCTTTCCCTCCACTTCGTCACGTCCAGCTTCACCTTTCAGCACGCCGATACCAACCGCGAACGGCGGCAATCACGTCAACTTTGCTCGACAGCGGTTCGTCCCGCCCGACTTGCGCAAGCCGACTGGTCTCGAGGGGATGTTTGAGAGGGTTGCGGTGAAGGAGGAAGATGAGCAGAGCGCGCAAGCGGGGAAGGACGTCGAGATGAAAGATGCAGGCGGCGGGAGTAGATGGCTGAGTGGATGGCTCGGGCGCTAATGCGAAACAGAGCGTGTTGCAACGATTCGAGGGTGACAACAAGCAGTCTTGGCTAACTCTATATGCGAGAGGGTCGAGTGTGTTACGAAGACTGTCCCTCAACGTCCTTCGCCCGTTCTTTCCGCTCCTTCCGCTCCTCGATTCGCCGCCACATCCTGCGGGGCTTGGATCAACGCTGCTCGAGTCCTAGAGGCAATAACAACGTACAGTTCGAAGAGGCAGGTCGTGACGACAGACAAGACGGTCCATCTGGTGCGCGGACAAAAAGTCAGTCAGGAAGGTCGAGGGGAAGGACGGCGCGAACAGAACGCTACACACGCTGTGAGCACACCAAAGTTGAGGCCTAACCGATCCCGTGTGCCGTACATGATGTAGCGGGCGCCGGTGATCGAATGGTAGAAAGGCTGTCGAGGCGAAGGAGGATCGAGAGGTCAGCGGGCTGCTCCTCTCTACAGGACGTCCTGTCGCCTCGTATACGCCCAGCCAAGATGCTAGAGATTGCGAAATCGTCAACGCACCATACCGTAGCCGTAGTGGTAGAATTTCTCCGCAAAGGTAGGCGGGAAGAACGACGACGAGATGTTGAGGATGATCCTAGGCAGAGACGGGGTCAGGACGTGCTGTACCGTCTCGGCCAGACGACAAGACGTACCAACTGATGAGGAAGAACGGGAAGAACTTGAGGGTGAGGAGGGTGATCCTGCGACGGCACGTTCGTTAGCGAGGCAAGAATACGGCGGCGAGAACAGCCGCTGCGCACATGGACTCCATAGCGAAGCCGAGCGCAAAGAGCGTCATCAGGTTGAGCATCCAGAAGATCATGAAGCCGCCTTGAGGGCCGAACTTGGCGTATCCGTTGCCGTCGACAGGAATCATGAATGCCTTGTTGATGAGGGAATACCTATGCCGAGTCCATAGTCAGCAAAACTGAGTGCTCAGAGAGAGGGAGAAAGGAAGCTGGGTAGCGAAGAAAACGTACGAAAGCGAGAGAAGAACGTAGGCCGGAAGTGTCGGCAGGAAGCGTAGCGCGCACGTCGACAGCCATGTCATGCGAACTCCCTGCTTCTTGATAGCCCCGAGGAACGGCATGCGGGAGAAGAACTGGAGGAGAAGGATGTCAGCTTCGCGAAGAAGGTGAATTGAAGGAGAGACGGACGAGGAAGATCGAGATGTGGAAGGCGAAGATTGTGTAGTAGATCAAGCCTGCCTCTTGGCTGCGCAGCTCGACCGGGTTAGCAGGCCTCCCCGGGTAAGATGACGGAGGAAAGGGACGTACGGCGCAGCGCCCGACCACTGATTGGGATGAATGGGTCGAAGGTCGGTGTTTTGATAGGAGAACGGCGTCAAAAGTGCGGCTTGCTGAGTCTGTGAGAGACCGCCCAGCGTTGCAGGAGTCACAGTCGAGAGGCATCGCGCAACTGCCTGTCGAGAAGCTTGTTGCGTCGGCGTCCGCATCTGCTCCCCGAGGTACGGCAGGATATAGTCGTCCGTGACTTGGTACCATCTTGCTCCGGAGACGACCAGCGAGATAGCCCCCTCTGGCGCCCACCGCCCGTCCAGCAGACCTCCGGTTCCCGCAACCGCCTCGCGAAAGTTGCTCGTCGCGTTCGCGTTGATAACGACCGCCGCCCACGCCTTCTCACCCACAATCTCTTTCGCAACGTCGTCGAACGTCTTGCCAGTTGGGTCGCGGATGATCACGCCCATGTGGACGGGAGCGTCGAGTGTCGAGCGGAGGTATTGAACGACAGCCGGCCCACGAAGGGGATTCTGACTGGCGGTTGAGTCGAAGTCATAGACGTAGACTTTGGCGTTCGGGAAGTAGTGTTCGAGTAGGTCTGGGTGGCGAGAAGAGGACAGGTGAGCGGGAGACGCTTCCTCGGATAAAGAGAGCCCGCTCACATGTCGAGCCCCAGAAGATGGAGAGACACGCCCATACTGCAGCAGAGCACAGGACAAAGTACATTCCCAGGATCTGCAGAACGACGCGGCGTGGATCAGGCCGGAGCAGGGAGCGGAGCAGGCGGAAGCGGACGCACCTTGAACGTCTGCCGCCGTTGCCCCTTCATGCGTGGGTCCCATAGCGACGTCTCGAAGTCCCGAATCTTCTCCTCGCTCATGCCGGCGGTCGCAATCGAAAGTACGGGCGGAGAGAGAGTGCTGAAGGGGGTGGAGCAGGCAGACAGGAGAGATCACTGCAAGTGCCCGCAACAGCAAAGGACAAGCTTTAACGGCGATGGCGGCACAGACGTCGAGGAGAAGAGACGTGCAAACAGCCGATTCAGCGCTCCGACCGGAAGACAGTTCGGGAGGGACGATGACGGCAGGTCCTCCGCTCGGTCGGCGAGAGGGCGAGGCAATCGAATGCGCCTCCATCTCGCCTTCGTGGCGCTCACTGCTGCTACGAGCCATGTCTACAGACGCTGAACGACGACACTCGAGCTCCTCCACCCTCCACGAGGGTCCAGGGAGCGCGCAGAAAGCGTGGGTCTCCCTTCGCTCGTCGATCGCGACGGATTAGATAGACTCGCCGAGCTGATCCCTCCGAGCAGGCATGGACCGCGACAGGTTCAGCTGTGGGATGCGTCGCTGAAGGGCGCGCGATGGACCTTTGTCAAGTCGGCCGCACTGGTGCGTCCCAGATTGCGAGCGGGAGAAGGGAGATCGCGGTTGTCGATGTACAGGCGGGCTAACCGGGTCTCTGCTGCAGGGAATCGCGTTGACGACGTTCTTCATGTGGGCGTGCTTGCCCATCTACTGTGAGTCTTGCTCGCCGCCCGCTCAGGTGAGTGTGCGGAGTTGACCCTGACTGTCGCTTGCAGGGGGGTCCTACTTCCGACAACCAGAGAACCTCTACCGCCTGACGGTCGGCTTGATCGACCTCGACTCGCCTGGCGCTCAGGCGGCCGGGCGGACACCTGTCGCAGGTCCCGCCCTCCTTGCGGCTCCCGCTCAACTCGCCGGCACGAATCACCTCGGCTTCCGCACGCTCGACAACACCCGCTTTGACGTCAGTAGTGCAACCGGCGGCGCGCCTCGCGGAGTCGACGTGCACGTGTGGGCAGCTGACGCGGTGCAGAACGAGGATTACTTCGGGGTGATCATCGGTGTGTTTCCCTTGGCCCTTCCTTTCAATCACGAGGCCGCGTCGCCCGTCTTGCGTCTTATCTTGACGCCGGCAACGGAGAGCCGCTCTTTCCTGAACGGAGGACTTCGTGCTGACCTTTGCAATTTGCAGCCAATGCCAACGCGACTGTCGCCGCCATCTCCGCCTACGAGGCGCTATCGAGCGGTGCGCAAGCTACGTATGAGGGAATGGGGGCGTACACGATGTACTACAGCGAGGGACGGAACTTCGAAACCGGTTCGCGATGCTGCCTCCTCCTTTCCTTCGCGTTGCTGACAGAGCCTCCTGCAGTCGATCAATGGGTCGCGCCGGGCATGAATCGCTTGTGAGCTTCAGGTCGATCGGGGTCACAGCCTGTAAGCTGACGCTTTGATCGCAGCCTCAACCAATACGTCCTCGGTTCTGCCGCATCTTCCCTCTTCGCCCAGCTTGCGCCTCGACTCGCCTCCCTTTCAGCCACGCAGTATGGCGCCGTCAACCAGACTGCGCTCTCCGCCGTAATCGCCCAGCCCTTCGGTTTCTCGACTTACAACCTGAGGCCAGTCGACGAGTTCGCAGGAATCCCCGCGACGACCGTCGGCATGCTCTACCTCCTGATCTTCACCTACTTCGTGTCGCTCTTCGCCTTCAACGCTCGTTCTCCCCTCGAATCGAAGCTCCCTCTCGGCCAACTCATCGCCTTCCGACTTATCGTGCCGGTGATCCAGTATATCCCCATCTCGCTCTTCATCTCCCTCGTCACCATGGCGTTCAAGGTCTCGTTCCACCGCTTCTACGGTGCCGGTGGATTCCCGTTGTTCTGGCTGTCGAACTTCCTTTGCATGACCGGTGCGGGCATGCCCATGGAGGTCGCGTATGTTCCTCCCCTTCCTCTGCTCACTCTCCCATTGTGCTTGTGCTCACGCTTTCCTCTCCGCAGCCTCACCTTCCTCGGCCCTCGATATACCGCCTTCTTGTGAGTTCACCCTTCTGTCCCTCATCGGCTCACACTGATCCCTCTTGGTCTTCAGCCTCATCTTCTGGGTCATCATCAACGTCTCTGTCGCCTTCCTCGGTACGCCCAGCCAGCATGCGTCTTTTTCGCGGAGAAGAACTGACAGCCTCTCGAGCAGACTTGGCCGATATGGACCACTTCTACTCTTACGGCTTCGTCTTGCCGATCTACCAGGCGGTTCAGGTGCGTCACCACGGGGGAGGGTCACCGGCCCCGCTCTCCCGCTCACGTCCAGTCGCTCGCAGAATGGCAAGACCATCATTTTCGGGACAAAGGCCCGCTTCGGCCAGTACTTTGGCATCGAGGTTGCTTGGGCGCTCGGCGGAATGGCGGCGCTCATGCTTGTCATCATCTTTAAGCGGAGACAGGCGGTCAAGCAGGCGGAGAAGAGGCGGGCGGAGGAGGAGAAGAGTGGGAAGGAGCAGTAGACGCCGCAATAGACGTGTCCCTATGTCTGTCGAAGCTTGAGCAAGCGAGCTTAGAGCGGATTCTGTCCGGTCTCCCTCCAGGATGGGCTCGTCGGCAGTCGAGTGTTTGGCAGGAGGTCAAGGGGAGGAGCCGAAGGGAGGCGACGCTCTACCTCCGCCACATCACAGGTTCGCGCATCCCTCCTTCGTGAAAACGCTACAGAACTCCTCTAGGACCGACTCCAGACAGCTTGTGTGCCCGCCAGCCGCCGACGCCGTGCGACAGACCCTCATCACCAGTCCCTGACAGCCCCGGCTACAACTCCGCAACAACCCCCAAGGGCGCGCTCCGGTAGGCTAAGAAGCCCTTTCCACCATACAAGGTCGCCTTCTGAGCGCCTACGACCTGTCTTGAGCCGTTGACAGGTGCGTCGTTGCGGCTCTCTCCTCGTGACTGCATTTGGCTGCTCAGACCAGCCTGCTTCGCGGTCAAAACGCGAGCTAGTCAGCTAACCCGTGCTTACTCTCTCTTGACCAGCAGCGCGTCCGCCAACCGCCTGCTCTCCCTGCGCCACCACCACACCTCGACCCCCTTCCCTTCCTCTCACTCTCATCCCCCTCACCTAAGCCAAGATGTCGGAACGCAAGGTCTTGAACAAGTACTTCCCGCCGGACTTTGATCCGAGCAAGATCCCTCGGCGGAAGATGCCCAAGGACAAGCAGCAAATCGTTCGTTTGATGGCGCCGTTCAGTATGCGTTGCAAGTGAGTTGCGGCTAGCTGTGTATGGCGAGGAAGAACTAACTGACACGATGCACGTGCAGCACCTGCGGCGAGTACATCTACAAGGGCAAGAAGTTCAACGCGCGGAAAGAGACGGTGCAGGGCGAGGAGTACTACGGGATCAAGGTGCGTGCTGTCGCCCCTGAGCCATCTGGGCTGTTGCTAACCCTTAATGTCGCAGATCTTCCGGTTCTACATCAAGTGCACGCAATGTTCTGCCGAGATTACCTTCAAGACCGATCCCAAGTGAATCTCGCAGCGCGGTCTCTCGCAACGATCTCGCCTGACCACTCACTGCTCGCAGAAACTCCGACTACACCTGCGAGCACGGCGCCCAGCGGAACTTCGAGCCCTGGCGAGCAAAGGAGGACAAGGAGGAGGAGGACAAGCTGGCGCGGCTCGAGGAGGAGGAGAACAACCCGATGGCGGCGCTCGAGAACAAGGCGATCGACTCGAAGCGCGAGATGGACATCCTCGACGCGCTCCAGTCGATCAAGTCGCGGAATGCGCGACTCGAGCGCGCGGCCAAGGGCGACGACGAGCGGATACTCGACCATATCAGCAGCCGAACGGAGGTCGGCGACCGCGAGATCGAGCAGCGGCTGAACGAGTTCGACGCGCAGCGGAAGAAGGAGGAAGAGGAGGACGAGGAGGAGGTGCGGCGGGTATTTGGGCGGGCCTACCTCGACGGCGTACCCGACATCGAGCTCGACGGCGGGCCTTCCGAATCGTCCGGATCCGAGCCGACGACGCCTCGAGACGGCGAGGACCTGCCGACTGCGAGCGGGTCGGGCTCGTCGGCATCGCCTGTGCCCGCCGCCAAAGCCGCCGCCGTCAAAGCCGCCGCCGTCAAGCGCAAGCTGGATGCCGTCGAGCCGTCGGCAGCGTCGCTACTGTCGGAGGAGTCCAAGTCGATCGTGACGAAGAGCTTTGGGACGATGCAGCCGCCGAAGAAGAAGAAGGCGAACAGCGCGCTGGCGAGCAAGCTGGGCATCAAGCTGAAGAAGTGACCGCTGTCGTCCTCGGATTTCGCTCGTTCTGTCGTCGTGTTGCTGCCTTGTTGTAAGACCTTATCTGCATTGCATCGTAGTCCTCGTCGAACTCGTCGTCGCTGTTCGTTGCGAAGTCGACGGCCCTCGAGCACGGAGCAGAGTGCGGCGGTGCTGCCTTTCACTCATCCACTTCGCGCAACTTGCGCTTCTCTCGCTCGTGAGCTTGCTTGAACAGCTGATAGGACCTAGAAACCCCGCTGACTTGCCCCGTCCTTGCCCCGACGACCGCAGCTCCCCTCTTTCCCTTCATCTCTCGCAATGGGCAAACGCGCGTCCTCTCCCGTCGGCGAGCGCCCAGCAGCCAAGTCGGCGGTGGCCCCGGCACAGACTGAGCGTGCGGCAGCGGAGCAGGACGGAATGGGCGAGTTCGAGGACCAGTGGGAGGACGAGTTCGAGGACGATGAGGAGGCGGGGGAAGTCGTTGATGCGGCTGAGAACGAGGACGGCGAGGATGGCGAGATGGAAGTCGACGAGCAGGAACAGCGACCAGCTTCGCCCAAGCCTTACCTCCCTGGCACCAAGCTCGAGGAGGGCGAGTTCCTCGCTCCGGACTTGTCGACCTATCCTCTCCTTCACTCGTTCGTCCCAACCTGGCCCAGTCTTTCCTTCGATATCCTTCGCGACAACGACGGCGAGGAGCGCCGAGGGTACCCGGTGTCGTGTGCGCTTGTTGCCGGCACTCAGGCTGGCGACCCGACTGCGAACGAGGTTACGGTCATGCGGTGGGAAGGCTTGGGCAAGACGAGGCGGGATCCTGGTGCGTCCGCAGACCCTAATGTTATTAGAAGAAGCGCTGACGATCTCACGCTTACAGAGGAGTCGGATGGCGAAGACTCGGACGACGATGACACGGAGGACGACCCTGTCCTCACATTCCGCGCCATCCCGCACAAGGGCGGCGTCAACCGCATTCGCGCACGACCACTCGGCAACCCTCTCTCGCAGGGTCCTCCCCTTCCTCCCGACCCCTACCACGTCGCCACTTTCTCTGAGACCGGCAAGGTCCACATCTTCGACATCGCTCCTCATCTCAACTCGCTCCTCTCTCCCGCCACTGCTTCTGCCTCACTCTCGAAGACTCCCCTCCACACCGTCGACAACCACAGCCGCGCCGAAGGATTCGCTCTCGACTGGTCCAAGCCGTCTGGCTCGTCCACCTCGCACCGTCTCTTGTCCGGCGACATCTACTCCAAGATCTACCTCACCACGCTCTCTCCCTCGTCCATCACCACCTCGCCCAAACCCTTCTCCTCGCACACCGACTCGGTCGAGGACATCCAGTGGTCTCCGCAAGAAGCCACCGTCTTCGCATCGTGCTCGGCGGATCGGAGTATTCACGTCTGGGACATCCGCATGAAGGAGCGCAAGTCGGCGATCGGTGTTGCCGGCGCTCACAGCAGCGATGTCAACGTGATCAGCTGGAACCTCTCGACGCAGTACTTGCTCGCGTCCGGCGGCGACGAGGGAGGCATCAAGGTCTGGGACCTGCGAAATTTCAAGGGGTGCGTTGCGCGCAACTCCAAACTCGCTCGCGACGATACTGACGAAGCGTTTGCTATCTCCCAGCACCTCGGCTCCCGCTCCTACCCCCGTCGTCCACTTCTCCTGGCACACCGCGCCCATCACCTCCATCGAATGGCACCCGACCGACGAGTCGTGTCTCGCAGCTGCAGGCGCCGACGACCAGGTCACCCTGTGGGACCTCTCGGTCGAGGAGGACGAGGACGAGCGGCCGACTGGACCGGACGCCGACCGTCTGCGGGACGTCCCGGCGCAGCTGTTGTTCTGCCACCAGGGCCAGTCGGACGTCAAGGAGGTTCACTGGCACCCGCAGATCCCCGGAACGGTCGTCTCGACGGCGGCGGACGGCTTCAACATCTTCAAGTCGTTGCCGTTCTCGAGCTGAGCTCGTCACTGCGTCGTTCGCTCACGGTTGTACGCCTGTTTTAGACTGTACAGCATGCATTCTTTTCGTTCTTTCGGCGTCGTCTTCTAGGAGAGGAGAGATTGTCCCCGGACTTCTGGCGTGGCGGGCCTTCTGCAGGCCTGCTCAGACCCGTCGCTGCGCCCAGAGAGCTCTCGTGAGCTAGCAATACGACTTTCCCGCCCCGTCGGCGAAAGCAAGAGGTCGACCGCTTCCAGACCGCCCGCAGTCCGCGAAGGCCTCTTGACTTTCTCCACTTCCCACCTCGCTCAGCTGGCTTGTGCTCACTTTCAGCACCGAGACGCTCAGCTCAAGAGTGCACCCGACCGCCGGCTAGCCGCCTCGCGCCATCTCCACTCGACCACCGCCTCATCAGTCTCAACTTCTTCTCCGGCTGTCCAAGGACACCACGCTTCAGGACGGCGACGAGCGGCTCGGTCCGGCCTGCCAGGATGTCTGCACATGCGTCGACGTCGGCTGAGCGTCCGCTCGCTCCCGCCTTGCCCGCTGGGAACGGTAGTCAGGCCGGCGGGATGGTGGAGAAGCAGCCGAAGAAGCGCGGGAGGAAGAGGATCTCTGAGGACTTGACGAACATCAAGGGTGCGTTCGGCCGCACTCGAAGCGGGACGGGTTGGCGGGAGGCTGACTCTTTCCGTTCGTCTCGCTTCCGCAGCGAACGACTCGCTCGATGCGGATGCCAAGCGCAAGCTGCAGAACCGTGCGGCGCAACGAGCGTTCCGCGAGCGCAAGGAGAAGCATCTGGCGGACATGGAGGCGCGGGTCAAGGTGCAGGACGTCGAGCTGGAGGAACTGCGGCAGGCGATTCGGAGGTGAGTTGCAGATCCTTCTCCGCCTTGGTAGCATGTGGTTGATCCATTTGTGCTACAGCCTCGTCGCCGAGAACGAAGCGCTGAGGCGCGGCGAAGATCCACCTCGAACTGTCCTCCCCGCCGCTGCTACACGCCAAGATCCCACACCGAAAGGCGACTTCTTCCCTTCCCCCGGTTCTACCTCATCCGCCCCTCTGCACGCCGACCGCAGCGCCTCGCCAATCGAAACGAAACCCATCATCGCGCGTTCGCCTCGCATCGATTCCAGCCTCCCTCACTCCGTCCCCTCCCTTCCGCAAGACTCGCACTTCGCGCCGGGACCTGCGTCGTTCCTCCCTCCACCCTACAGCGGTCCCCCTGCCGTCTCGGCAACTCAGCTTCCGCCGCCTGTAGCCTCAGTCCAGCCCGTCCCGAGCGCCTTCCAGCCGTTCGCGTCCGGCGACATCGACTTGAACAGGCTCGACGAGCTCAACTTCGACTTTGACGCCCCCTTCGACTTCTCCGAGTCGCTCCCTCTTCCGCCCCTCTTCGCTTCTCTCCTCGACGGCTTCGATTTGCCAGGCGCTGCAACTACCGACAGCGGCAGCAACGCGACGAAGACCACATCCGTACCCTCCTCAGCTACGTCAGAGATGGATGACACCTGCCCAGGTGAAGACGACGACCCTCCGCCACTCCCGAACGGCCGCATCCCCTGCAACAAGCCAGAATGTGACTTCACGTCCGTCTCCTGCGTCTTGCCCATCCCCTGGCGCCCGCCTACCATCGCCGGCGACGACAAGAACCTCTGGGTCGCGCAAAAGTGCTGGGCCAAGCTATGCAGCCACCCGCTTTTCTCGCAGTGCAATACGGTGAGTCTCCCTTTTCCGCTTTTCCGACCGTGCTTTTAGACTGACAAGCGCAACACGTTGCAGGACGAGCTCTGCCAAGAGCTGCGCGACAAGACCCGCTGTTCGCCCGACGGCCGCCTCGTGTGCCACAAGGGCGACGTTTGCGACATCTTCCGCTCGATCCCGCAGAAGGCGAGGATCAGGCAGCAGCAGCTGTCGATGCAGTAGTCTGCGCGCGCATTCCCGCCCTCCTTGTCGTTCGTCTGCCTTGCTTGTTGTCGTATTCTACCCTTCCTCATGCAACTTTGCATCGCTTCCGCTCGTTCCGCCGGGTTCTCGCTTCGTCACACATCGCCGAGGCAAAGTTTGCTGCTCTGCTCTAGCAGGAGACAGCGAGCTGTGCCTCGTCTCGTCGCGGACAATCTCCTCCTCCTTGCCAACCTTCGCAAAGTGGTTTCAATCCGCCCCTTCCCTCTCCTCTTCGACCCCAATGAAAGGTCGCATGCGGGTGCCCGCTCTGGCTTTTTCGCTTGACGTTGAGCATTCGTACAAACCGAAGGAAAGGCTTTCTGACCGAAGGTGACGCAAGTCTGCTTCGACGAGGCGGAGCCCAGTCGACGACTAGCTTCCACTCTCGCTCTCGCTTCTTCTGCGCTCTCTGCACTCTCGCAAGCTCTCAAACGTCGAAACACACACTCTCAACACTGCAAACAGTGCGTCGCTGATCCCATTCGCCCTCCACCGCCCTCCGCTCCGCCCGCTTCTCCCCCGCCCTCGTGCCTCTCACACGACTCGCCAACTGACTCGCCTTCATCTCTCGCGCCTCGCAGTGATCCCCACCGCCCAGGACCGCGCCCCCAAGAACGGCCAGGAGCCAGTCATCGTTGGATCTGGAGGAGCAGTCTCACACGACTCGGCGACGGCGAACGCGACCAACACCCTTCCCGCAACTGAGACTGGTGGCCGCATGGCGCACTCGAACCAGCAGGTTGAGGAGGGAATGCAGCCGAAGCAGACCAGTGCGTCCACACTTGCGGGTTCGAGGAGGGATGGGCAAGCTGACCTCGCTGTGCGTCGCGCAGAGGACCAGGCTCCTTCGTCGGGAGTCGTTGGCGGCGGTGAGGGTGCTGGACGCAACCACTAGGGCGACGAACAGAACGGAAGGAAAAGCATACAGCATGAACCGAGTACATATGACAGCAATACCAGAAGCAGTTCCTCGCACCTCAGCTGTCCCCAGCCAGCTGAATGAACCCGTCTCGCCGCCCACGCAGTCTGCTCCATCCGTTGCGTCTCCCCAAGCGGCCGTTCACGAGCTGTGGTAGCGAGTTGTCGAGTCGCGTTCCGACGAGGTGAAGTCGAGCTGTAGCGGGCTTGCGACGGCGTCCGGCAGGGTCGTCGCGCCACAGCAGGACTGTCAGAGGTCCCCTGGAGCCTGTCAGCAACTGTCCGACGCCCCAGCGAGATGAGCGAGATCGACCTGCCGAGGAGAGTCCGCGCAGTTGCCGTCCTGCTCCTCACCCTCTCGCCGTTCTTCTGCCTCTCTGACACATTCTGCTACCGTACACACCTACAAGACGCGTCCACGCACCCTCCCTAGCGCCGCCCCGCCGTACCCACACCTCTTCGCGCCCGACAATGCTACCCCGGCTTGCGGGACTCGCAGCGCTCGCCGCAACAGCTTCTCTGTGCGTGCACGACTTCCTGAGATATCAGCAGCCCTTTGGGAAGGCAGTGCGAGCCGTTGGCGGGACCTGCGATGCGGAGAGACGATTCGCCAAGCGGCGAGTTGAAGGAGGGACCCTCTGGCGAACGACTGTGAGGGAGGAGACGGGCCGAGCAGGGCGTCCATTTGGCGCATCAACAGCGAACGAACTGATCGCTCACCCCGCCCCGCAGCTTCACAACAGCCGCCGCCCAAACAGCCTGCAACGGCTACTCCGAATACTGCTCGCGCAAATACTCGGAGGTCTCGATTATAGGCGCGCACAACAGCTATGCCGTACAGCATGGTAGCCGTGCGTCTCGCGCCTCGCTTCAAAGGCGAGTGACGAGCTGACTTGGCCTCGAAACAGTCGCGGCGAACCAGAATTATACGGTTGAGACGCAGCTCGACAATGGAATTCGGATGCTGCAGGTGCAGGGACATATGAACAACAACCAGCTGCATCTCTGCCATACCTAGTGAGTCGGCCAGTCCTCGGCGTCGGAACAAGGAACGAGAACTGACGCCCCGACCGCTTGCCCAGCTGCTTCCTCCTCGATGGCGGCACGTTCACGTCGTACCTGACTACAGTCAAGAACTGGCTCGACAAGAACCCAAACGAAGTCGTCACGCTCCTGCTCGTCAACACCGAAGGCGTCGCTCCCTCCGTCTGGGCGCAATCGTACACCGACTCGGGCCTCGCTTCCTACGCCTACACGCCTACGAATGTCCCTATTGCCTACAGCGACTGGCCGACGTATCAGGAGCTCATCGGCAGCGGGAAGAGGGTCGTCAGCTTCTTGGCGCAGAATGCGGACATCTCGAGCGTCCCGTACCTCCTCGACGAGTTTACCAACATCTGGGAGACGCCGTACGACGTCAGTAGAAGCGTCTCATCGTCCGTCTGCACAGTGCTGATTCGCTTGTGCACGCAGCAAACCAACAACGCTTTCCCTTGCACGGTCGACCGGGTGACGGGCTCTGCGCAGAACAAGATGGTGCGTCACGAAGTCCTCAGACAGCGCTCTTGATGACATCCAGCTCACACACTCTCCCCGCAGTACCTCGTCAACCACTACCTCGATGTCAACATGTCGATCGCAGGCTCGACCTTCCCCGTCCCCGCGACCGGCGCGCTCGGCCAGACGAACGCCGTGAGCGGTACGGGCTCGCTCGGCGTGCAGGCGAGCGCGTGTGCGGCACAGCAGGGGTATAACCCGACTTTTACGCTCGTCGACTATTACGACGTCGGGAACGGGAGCGTTTTCGGTGAGTTCTGCGCACGGATTGCTCGTCGCTTCCGTTCTCTCTGGAGCGTAGTGCTAATTCTTAGACGCCTTGACTCGCAGAGTACGCCGCCCAGCTCAACAAGGTCACCTACAAGCCCGTCACCATCGGCAACGGCACGACTTCCTCCTCCTCCTCGTCCGGCTCTTCGCCCTCGTCGTCTGGCAACTCTGGCTCGGTCACCGACAACGGCACGAGCGGCGCGTCGTCGTTGCAGCTGTCGTGGCAGGCGTTTGCGGCGCTGGGAGGAGCGCTGGCGGGTGCAGCGGCGGTCGTTGCGCTGTGAGGACGGTCGAGGCGATCTTCGAAGGACACTCTCCATGCCGCTTGCGAATGGATCTGTTGTGCATTACTCGCGTGTTGGTACAGCGTGAAAGACGTCGCTCGGCTCGTTTGGCGCGGTCTCGGCCACTCGCTCGTCGCCCGGCAAAGTCGCTAGCTCGCTCTCAGCATCACCGGCTCACGCTCTCTCTCCGCTCTCGCTGCGTCTATCCACTCACCGTACTGTGTTCAGCTACCACTCTACAGCTCCCACTCGTCCAGCCAGCCAGCCTCACGCACCCGCAACCCCGCTCTCCGACTCTCATCTCCGAACCTGCCGATAGCACACTATCGTCATTCACCTCACGATGGACCGCCAACCACGCCTGCGCCGCGTATCGACTGCCCCGTCTCTTCCGCTCATCTTCGACCCGGTCAGGCGGGCGAAGGACGCGCAGGTCGCGAGGATCGAGAATGTCCCGCTCGAGGAGATGGGAGCGCGAGGCCGGCGAAGGGAACGGCTCGAGAGGGTCAAGTCGAGACGGTCTGTTACGGCTGGGGGATTGTCGAGCGTACGGAGGCCTTCGCAGGGCAGAAGGAGCGATGTGGGCGAGGCGATAGACTTTCAAGCGGGAGGGCAGGAGGAAGTCGAGGCGGCGCTGGGCGAGGACAGCGACTTTCGGGCGTTCATACGGGCGACTAGTACGCCTGTACACTCCACCATGCGACCAACCGCGCACCGCATCGACTCCCTCGCGCGCCAGCGACCCCTCCCCCTCTCAAGTTCCTCGCTGCCACCGGCTATCGACGCCCCCTCACCGCCAATCTCGCCTTCTTTCGCCTCGTCCGCATATCCCACACGCTCAAACATCCCCTCGACAGACGAAGAAGACGACTCGCCTTCGTCTTTCTGGTCGCCGGAACACCAGACCGCGCGACACATCGCCCAATTCGGCGCAGGCGGCGTCTCCTGCTTCTTGTCCAGGCACGCTTCGTCAACATCTTCTCAGCTCCCCGTCCGCCGACCAAGGCGGATCTCGTACGACGTCCCGGACGATGGCGAAGCCTGGACGCTCGCGCAGGGAATCGTCGACGAGACTTGGACGGCGTCTCGACTCGCGTTGCAGACCTCGTTAGCGCAGGCGCCATATGGTCAGTCGGATGCGTGGAGGGCGGAAGGATCGGACCTGTTCGCGAGACGAAAGGAGGCGGCGGCGAAAAGGTTGGAGATGGTCGCTCAGCAACTCGCGTGGGCTTGAGCTGGTCGACGGAACACAGCATCGGATGGATCTCTCTCGCATAGCAACTCGTCGCCCTTGTCCTGTATCCCTGTATCTTGTACGAGACTTTCCCTCTCGTGTTGTGCATTCCCTCTCCTCCGCATCACAAAGACGCAAAGCACAGCAAGTGTTACACAGTAGTCAAGACGTGCGAGAGTTGCTGCAACAAAAGATGCAAGTACAGAAGCGAAGCGAGAGAAGGAGGACAAACTCGCTCAATCGACATCCTCGATGACCGGTTCCTCGAGACTCTTGTCTTCCTCCTCAACCCTCATCCTCTCCTGCTCCTCTCGCCCCCTCGCTTCCTCCGCCCTCCGTTCCGCCGCCAGCGCCGCCGCTCTCCGCGCCTCCCTCTCACCACTCGTACTCGCACCAGCCTCCACCTCCTCCGGATCCCCATCCACATCCATCGCACCCTCCCCCTCCCCCTCTCCCTCACCCGCAGGCCAAATCCAACTCCCCGGCAGACTCGACCCACCTGCAATCTCGGGGATTCGGGCGGTCGAGGGCGAGAGAGGGTTCAGGGTGCTTTGGCGCGAGGGGAGGGAGGGGCGGCGAGGGGGTTGGTCGGTAGGTGATGAGCTGGGTGAAGTAGAGGTCGAGGTCGAGGCAGTCGGATGCGCGTTCGCCGGATCTCCCGCACCGTCCGTTCCTCCTTCTCCCGCCGCATCGTTCGCGTTCGCGTTCGCCTCATACCCCGGCTGTCCCGGCTGCGGCACAAGCGCAAACCTACAAGTCGGACACGTCCCGCTCGTCTTCAGCCACGGCACGAGACAGTCTTCGTGGTAGAGGTGTTTGCAGGGGAGGGCGACGGCACTGTCGGAGAGCTGGAACGCGTCGAGGCAGATACCGCACGAGTCGACCGTGGACATGTCTGTTTAGGAGTAGAGATAGTGAGTTAATGGGAGTGTGTGTGGGAAAGGAGAGCGAGGAAGCGCACCAAGAAGGTCTTGGCTGACTTTCAGGCGTGGGAGCTTCTCGATCATGTCGTCCGGCGCAGGTTGAGGTCCCGCTCGTCCGGCGGCCTGCGAGCTCGCACCCGTGTCAGCATGGTCGCCTGCTTGAGACTAAACAGCGGCACACGCGAGGAAAAGCCAGACTCGCCTGCTCCATCAAGTCGTTCAAAAGCTGCTGGAAATCCGCCTCGCTCCCCCACGCGTAATCGCCCGCGTTCGCGCGCAGCCCGAATCCGCCGAGTCCGCCACCAAGTACTTGCGTGTTGAGACCGAAGACGTTGAGAAGCGAGAGGAGGTGGTTGAGCGGGTTAGGGGGAGGAGCTGCGCCGTCCCGTTGTTGCTGCTGAGGACCAGCTGCGTTCGGTGAGCCTGGTTGTTGTGCGTCGTCGTTGCGAGGGGTTTCGTGGCCGCCTTCGGCGAAGGGGTTGTTCGCAGGGTCGTCGGTGGGATGAGGTTGTCGAGGACCGCCGCCAAAGGCCTCGCCGAGGAAGCTGCGAGAACGCGAGCATTGGTCAGTACGCTCTTTGGGTGCAGCGGACTCGAATGAGCGAAGAGACGAGCGGAACTCACGCCGCGAGATTCCGCAACGGCACCTGTTCCCGCCTGTCGTCGCCCTCCGCTTCTCCAGCCTGACCCGCCCGAGGCTGCTCCGCCGCCCCCTCGCTCTGTACTCGTCTCAGGGGCGGCGCACGTACACCCTGCGGAGGCGGCGCCATCCCCAGTGCCTGCAACATTGCCATCGTCAAGGGGTTCAAGCCCGCCTGTGCGCCTCCGCCAGCCGTGATAATAGGTGGTCCTCCTCCTGGCTGCGCGATGAACTGGAAGAACGCCGGTCCCCCCGCTCCTACTCCTCCCGCTCCACCTCCACCGAACAAGTTGAATGGCAACCCTCCTCCTCCTCCCTCTTCGCCGTCGTCGTCCGGGTCAAAGTCTCGCGGATCGTCTGCGCCAGACTCGTCTTGAGGGATCTGCGGCAAGCGATGTGGGCGAAGGGGTGGAGTTCTGACGATGTTCGATGAGGGAGGGAGGGGGTGCGCACCTCTTCGACGAACGCGCCTTGACACCGTGGGCAGACGGGGCCCTGTGCGTTTGTGGGGAAGTCGTTGTCCTCGAGTGCGCACTCGTGGCAGAAGTAGCGGGTCATGGTGAGCCAGCCAGCGAGAATGACGGAGGAGAAGGAAGGAGAGAGAGAAGCCGAGTCGACCTCGCTCAGGGTGGTCGGAATTGCTTGTAAGCTACTTGTAATGCCCTTGTAGTGCACTTGCGAGCACTCTAGTGCTGCCAGGCGAGTTGCGACCGCCCTCCTCCTCATCGCTGTCCCCCCTGTCCCGCTCAATCCTCGTCTCTTCACTCGCTCGCTCGAGCTGCTTCGGGCGACGTTCTGACTGACTGTGACTGCGCTTCAAGGCTCTACGTCACTGGCTCAACCAGCCAGCACTGTGGCATCTAGACCCTCCCACCTTCATCGCTCGCTCCCGAATGCGTTCCTCAGGCGACACCACCCCTCGACCACCCGCTCGTACCGCCCAACCAGCCCAGCCAGCTCGCAGGACCACCCAGCGCACCCCAACGAGCCACTCGCACAGCCCAGCGTCGCCCGGATCTCCGTCCAGCTCCACATCCTCTCTTCCTTCCCGCACCTCGTCGACCTCGAGTCCGTTCACTCGCTCGTCGCCTGTCGTGGGAGGGTCACTGCCGAGGAGACACCAGCGTCCGCCACGTCCTGGACCGGTACAGCAGCTTCACGTGGTCGACTGGTCGCGCGAGGGAAACTTCCCGGAGGACAGAGACGAGAAAGGGATGGCACGCTCAGTCGGTTCGGGTGACGGACCGGACTCGCCTGACGCTGAGGGTGGGTCTGGAGGAGTAGGAGGGTTCGCAAAGCCCGCTGCTACGCTCCCGGATATCACCCTCACGACGGACGAACTCGTTGCGGCGCCTCACGAGGTCCTCGTCTCGCTTGTCGAGCGGCATCAGGAGGATTTGGCGAGGCTGAAGGACCGCGTGGAGAAGCTCGAGGAGGAGGGCAGGGAGCGTGACAAGGAGAAGAGGGCGCTCGAGCGCGACTTGGAGAGCACAAAGGGCAGGATGGACGAGTTGTTGACGGACCAGGCGAGAATGTGCGTACTCTGCTGACCTTCTCCAGCCTCTGACTGATGCTGACAGTCCGGGTCTTCGCAGGGAGGAAGAGCTCGCCGGCCGGATCGAAGTGCTCGAAAAGCTTCGCGGGACGGTGCGAGACCTCGAGCGCGAGAAGCGCGAGGCGACCAAGCGGTATCGCGAGCAGGTGCGTCGCCCACTCTTCCGTCCTTCATCTTGCATGCTCTGACGCTTTCCCGCGTTACGCAGGCCGACTCGTTCGACTCGGAGCGCCAATCGTGGTACGACCAAGAACAGCACTACAAGACCCGCATCGCCGGCCTCGCCTCTTCGAGCAAAAAGTCGCGGCGCAAGTCGCCTCCTTCGAGCGGGCGGAAAGCGACATCGGGCTCGGAAGTTGAAGGCGACGAGGCGGACCAGTCGGAGAACGACGGGCCTCCCCGCACGCCTCGCGACCGCCTCGACCTCCCCGCGCGTTCTTCGAGCGCTTCTCCGTCCCCCTCGACTACCTCCGCTCGCTCACTCGACCTCTCGACTCCGGCAACATCCGAAGGACCCTCGACTCCAGGCGGAGCGACCTCTACCGAACTCGCTCTCCGCGCACAACTCGACACGCTCAGTACAGCCCATACCTCACTCTCTCACACGCTTCGCGCGTTGCAGACTGAGATGGCAGACCTCAAGCGCGTCTACCAAGACTTGCAGGAGGAGAACGAGTCGTACGAGATTCTGTTGGGCGAACGGACGCTCAGTGGGGAAGTTAGTCGGACCGAGTTGTTTAGGAAGAGCTTCCAGTGGGGCGAAAGTGGGATTGATGGAGAGGAAGGGGTGGCGGCCTACAGCGGTGCGTTTGGGTTTGCGGGAGGACTCGAAGCGGTGGGTGAGGAGGCAGAGGACGCAGAGTTGGGGCTCAGCAGCGACGATGAGGAGGACGACGAGGACGCGACGGACGCGACGGGCAAGGACAGCGACGAGGTCGAGAAGGTCTTGCTCGAATCGAAGGGCACGGGTGAAGCCGACTCTGTCGCCGTCGCGACCGACTCGGGCCGCAAACGTCGCAAGTCTCGACGCTCGATGCAGGGGTCCGTCTCGGGTGCCGGAGGACTCGATCTCGCGGCTGAGCTTGAGGCGGCGCAGAAGGTCGACGAGATGGACGAGGTCGATCTTGCGCGGCAGAAGCAGCGCGAGGAGCGGAGGAAGAAGCGCGCGGAGGAGAAGGAGCAGAAGCGCAAGGCGGCGCAGGAGGCGAGGAGGGCCAGCTTGGGCGGCGGGACGAACCAGGGTAAGTCGGCAGAGTCGCCTCCGACCATCGTTTCATTCGCTTACGAGCGCCTTGGGGACAGAACTGCACGACGAGATCCGCCGCCTGCACGAGGAGAACAAAGCGCTCGCGCTGTACGTCTCGAAGATCGTCGACCGCGTCTGCTCGCAAGAAGGCTTCGAAAAGGTTCTCGCCGTCGACTTCCGCAACACGCCCAAGGTCGGTGGCGCATCGCCCGGCCCTCCGCAAGCCGAGCCAAAACCTCGTCCTGCCTCGGTCGGCTTCTTTCGCTCACCCGCTGCAACGCCTTCACCTGTCGCGACTCGCAAGGTCGAGCCGTCTACGCCAATGTCGGCTTCTTCTTACACCACCGCCCCGTCCGCCACACCTTCTTCAGCCAACGGCACTTCGCTCTCCACTCCGTCGGGACCGCGAAAGTCGGGCGGGTTTGGCTGGGACTCCGTCTCGAGCGTCTTCAGCAGCTTCTCCCGCTCGACTTCGGCCACGCCCTCGCCCTCCGCCGCCGCACCCATGAAGCCTCTCGTCCTCGCCGAGAGCGCTCGCAAGCTCGAGGTCGGCGAAGAGTACGAAGACGAGGAAGACCGCAAGGAGCGCGCGCGCATCCGGCAGGAGATGGTCCAGCTTGGGTTCGACCCGCCACCCCCGTCTCGCCTCAGTCGACCGCCTACGACACCCTCGCCGAACGCTCACTCGCCTGGAGACGGTGGCTTGCGGAGTGCGGAGCGCGCGAAGGCGCTCGAGGCATTGGCGCGCAACGAGCTGAAGGAAGGGCGGAGCAGCGGGTTCACCGAGCCGCCGCAGAGGCGGATGAGCCTCCTCGCGCAGCGGAGGAACAGCTCGCGCGCGAGTATCGGAGGCGCAAGCGATCTTGGCTTGGGGATCCAGGGCGGCTTGGGGATTGGAGCGGACGGCGTGGAAGGTCGATCTGGGTCCAGCAGCGGTCCGCCAACGCCGAGTCAGGAGAACCCGGAGGAGGAGGCGCCGGGTTATCGCAAGGCGCTCAGGCGTCTCTCGAAGACATTTTCTAGCCCGCCTCTTGGTTGAATCGTGAGGGAATCGATGGACGATCTGCATGGGCGCGAGTAAAAACAACAACGGAGAGAAGCCAAAGAAGAGCAGATATTCTAGAATGCTGCGAGGGAAGCGGCTGCTATGACGGAAGAAGTGTCGGACGGCGGAGGTGCCGAGTAGGTGGACGTCGCGGACGACGGAAGCAGGACCGTGGCGTTGTCGGCGGCGCCGTCGTTGGCAGGCGCGACGGGCGCCGCAGTCTTCACCGGGTTGCCTTGCCCAGCGCGCAGGGCGGCCAAATCGAGCCATGGCGTCGGGGAAAGGAGCAGGTAGCCGTCGATCGCCTCTCGGAAGCGCATCTTGTACTGCTTGGGCGTGATGACGGTGGGTCCTCCTGCCTTGGACGCTCCGCCTGCACAAGGCACCGTCAGAACTCTGCTTCCAGCGAGAGGCAGAAACGAGCGCACCGAGGAATGTCGTCTCCTTGACCCAGCTCTCGATGCGCTTGTCCCAAGTGTACGTCCGGATGTAGTCTGTGGGCGACATGTCAGCGCTCCAATCGACCGCCCTCAAGACGAGCTCCCCTACCGACGATACCAACGACGAGTTCCGACTTGACCGCATCCACGCCCACGACGAGCGAGTAGTCCATGACGTCTGCTAGAGATCTGTCAGTGCGTTCGCATCGAGCGACCTCAGGTTGCAACGCACTTAAGTCCGAGAGGAACTGGCTGTCGTTCCAGACGGCCTGCCTGATGAGCTGCTTCGATTCCTCCCGCACGTAGAAAGGGTTCTTGAGCGAGACTGCGAGAGCGACGGTTCAGCCTGTGGCGCGTGCAGAAAGACTTGAGCGATACTGACGCTCGAGGAGGTTTTCGTCGAGCAAGACCGGGTTGTTCTCGTCAACGCGGCGGTTGCGAGTCGAGCCCTTCAAGTCGAAGATCTGCTTGAGCTGGCGGGCGTAAAAAAGGTTCTGCAGGCGTAGATGTCAGCGAGTCCTACCAGCACGTCGCACGTCCACCGCCGGCCCTCACCTCCATGACGAGAAAGTCGACGTTGCGATACTGCTTGCCGAGGCTGACGCGGTAGATGCCAAAGACCTTGGCGAGCAAAGTCGGTCTCTAGCGTAGGAAGAAGAAGTCAGCACAGAAGGCTGTCGAAGTGCGAGCGGATGGGCTCACGCCCTGAAACAGCGCGTCGGCCATGTACTGGAAGTAGGCGGGTGCGAAACGGGCGAAGACCTCCATCTCGGGCTTGGACAGTTGCTTGACGATGAAGCGGTCGTCTGCGAACAACAACCGTCAGAAGTTGCCTGAAGGACACGCTCGGCAGTCGAGCTCACCGAGAGTCTTGAGGAAGTCGACCTTGGACTTGCCGCCAGCCGCATCCCATTTGAGGCAGCGTGAAAGCGACTCGACGAACTGCGTGTCGCAGCCGCACTGCCGGCGCAAAGCCTCGAATTGCTCAACCCAGAAGACGGTGCACCGAGCAGAGATGTCCCCGAGTTCGAGATCTGTCTCGCGGAATCAGCGCGCAGCCATCGACGACCGAAAGAAGAAACGCACCGCCAAGCTTGAACGACCGTTGCGTGGAGGCTCGCAGCATCTCCTCCACAGCCTTCGAAACGTCCGGTTCCTCGAGCGAAACGATCGAGAACTTCTCGCTCGCGGCGTCATTCCCCGCGCGGAGCCCGTCGCGAATGTGAGGCAGCTCGGGATGCTCGAATGCCTGGTAGTACTTGCGGGAGCTGTACGACGGGACATGTCAGAACCGCTCCATCAATAAGGCGTTGCGACGCACCTCAAGGCATGGGCGATGATGGATGTCGGCTCGTCTTCGCGAACCAGGATGGGGTTGTCGGCGTAAACATGCTCGGTTGGAAGCCTGCAGGCTCTCAAGTCAGTCTCGCTCATAACGACTAAGAGAGGCAGGGCACGCACGTCGGGTAAGCAAGCGGTGAGAAGTCGCCGTTGCGGTAATTCCACAAGCTCGAGAGCGCGTTGAACAGCGATCGACGTTCGGTACCGCTCGATTCGCCTTCAGACATGCGAGGGAAGGTGAAGGAGTCGGCGCCCGTAGGCGAGTGCGGGATGGAGGGGTAGTCGGAATCCGAGCGCTCGCCCGAAGCGTGATCGCTGGAGGACGGCTGAAGGAGCAGGACATCAGAGCGGGCGGCGCTGTTCGAGCGCGCGAGAGCGTCTGCCATCGACGATGTGGCAAGTGTCGGCTGTTGAGGGCGCGGGACCGCCTCCGGCTCGGGAGCAGCTGGACCGTCCACTGCACCTCCAGGCATGTCCTCGGGCTCGGGCGCGTCGTGCTCGTCATCGAACTCGTCGTCGGCTCCGTCGGACTCCTCCGCACTTCGAGCGTCGCTCTGGGCCCCCTCCTCGTCGCTCGAGTCCTCCTTGATCGCGTCGCGAATGTTGTCGAAGATCCTGACGGTTGGCTGCGACGTGATGATGGGCCGAGCTCGTTTTCTCGTGACTGCGCTGCGCTCAGATTGTTCCGCCGCCTTTTCGAAGCGGCGACGCATGGAGCTGACAAAGCGGCCTGTTCCAGTCGAGACGACTCGGCGCGTGGCGATCTTATTCGTCGAGCTCGCCGTTGGGCGGTCTAAGCCAAGCTCGTTGCGCGACCTTGACGACGTGCGGTGGTCGGCGACGCTCGATTCGGATGCAAGAGGAGCTGCCCGGCGGCCGCTTCTGCCTTTGATGGTCGAGCGAGAGGACGACGACGGCTTCAAGGCGGGACGCTGCGGCGCACTATCTCCAGCCGGTGGCGAGCCTGCAGGCTTGCGAGCCGTTACGGGACTCGAAGGGCGAGAGGCAGTTCTGGAGGCAGGCGTCCTTGAAGCGGCACGCGACGAGGGTCGGGTGGAGATTGGCGACGTAGAAGCGGTCCCAGGCGCGCTGGCGCCGTGATCCGTCTCTGCCTTGAGCGGCTTGCGGGCGGGGATGCGGGAGGGTCGGGCGGCAGCGGCAGACAGGGAGCGATCCATGAGGTGAGAGACGCCGACATTCCGAGCATCTGTGGGGTGACGCGTGAGCTCGTCGTACGGAGCTCGAAGGAAGCGAGACTCACAGCTCGTGTCGGTGTCGGACGGCACCTTGTTCGGTCGCGGTCGGATCTTCGCGGAAGACGGCGGCTTGTCGGTCTGAATGCGACGGAAACCTGGACGAGCCGGGGACGACTGCTTCGCCTTGAACGTGCTGTTGCGCGAGAGCGAACCTGCAGCGCCGTCAAAGACGTTGACGAGGCTCGCGATGTTTGGTTCCTGTCGACGTCGCCGGGGTGCGGATTGCTCTGACTCGCTCTCCGCCGCGCTCGTGTCGTCCGTGTGCTGGACTCGTTGGCGGATGAAGAGGGAAGTATTGCGGGTTAGAGTAGCCGTCGGTTCGTCGGCATGGACGGTCGAATCGCTGTCAAGATCGCTGCCGGACAGGGATGCACGGCGGAGCGTCGTCGGCGTGGCGGAGTCGGACACTGAAAGCGGCGCCGTGATTGTCGCCCTGGAGGCAGAGAGCGAATCTGCTGGTCGCGGCGGGGACGGCGGCTCAATCTGAATCTCGGCGTCGCGGACAGATGCCGCAGCGGCGTTTTCTGCCTCCTCGGCAGCCTCGTCGCCTGGTTCTACAGCGGCAGCGGAAGGCTCGACGCCGTCTGCCGACTCGTCGACCTCGAGCGCGGGAGGCAAAGACGACGAGGCGGATCGCTGGGTCGCAGGGCCGATGCCGGCCTCGGGGAAGAAGCGCTTGAGCTGAGCCGTCGACGCCTTGCGCAGGTCGGGCAGTTCCATCGGCATGACGCGCTTGACCAGAGCTGCCCAGTCGGCATCGAAGGCATGGCTCTTCTCCTGCAACAGGCGGCGCACCGAAGTCATCTCGCTCCCATTCGAATCCTCCGTATTGTCGTAGACGGCGAGGAGCAGCCGCTTGATCGCCTGCCTGTCCCCCTCGCAGCGCGACGCGAAGGATGCAAGGACTGTCTTGGACTCCTCGACGAGCTCGGGCGGGACGCCCTCGTACTTGAAAGCGGCGATGCGAGCCTGAGCGGAGTCGAAGAACGAGTCGGTCCGCAGAAGGATCTGGTTGTACTCCAAGTTGCGGAGCTCGAGGCGGCGTTCCGGTCGGACCTTGATCTGGCGGGGCGGCGTTGCGATGTTGCGCAGGTCGATTCGAGCCATCGCGAATGCGACGCGGACGTCGCCGAAGTGCCAGTAGCGGACATGGTCGAGCTGCCCGTCGTGACCGCACGCTTCGTTCGCGCAGGCGAGTTGGTCGGACGGATAGAAGGACAGCTCGAGGAACTTGCCGAAGCTCAGGCGCGTCGTCTCGATGGAGGCACGCACGAGTCGGGCGGTGCACGCGCAGCCGTCGCGGCGACAGATAGCGCTCATGCCGACTGCACCCCGCAAGACCTCGTTGTCCGAGTTTTCCCATCGCACTTTGAGGACGAGCGAGTCGTGGACGAAAATGCGGGCATGGCTGCTCAGGGGCTCGTGGCAAGACGGCGACGGGCACGGTTCTTGCGCGCGAAGGGAGGCGTCGGCGTCTCGCAGGTACTGACCGATGGTCGTGTCGTTCTCGCGGTAGAAGTCGATCATGCGGATCTGCGGCGGCCTGCAAAGTCGATCAGGTTCGCCGTCTTTCCCGACGTGGACGAGCGATTCGAGGACGTAGATGTGCTGGAAGTTGAGAGGGTCGAGCCTGCAGGGATGCGCGTGACGGTAGTCTTCCCATTTGACGAGGTGCTGAGCATGCTCCTCTTCGGCGTCCCGGAAGTCGGTCTCTTTGGCGAGGTCGGCTGGTCGGCGAGGAGTTGAGACGAGGGTAGAATCGAGAGCAGGCGCTACGAGCGCAGCATCGGATGGGTGGACGATACTTGCAGGCTTCGCCGAAGGTGCGACGTCGACAATCGAGGAGCCGCTCGACGCAGTCTCTCCTGACGCCGGGGCAGCGTCGGGAGTCGTACTGGTCGAAAGGCGCGACGCCGTCTCTTCCTCCAGGATCCGGCGCGTCTCCTCCGCCTCGCGCTGCTCGCGCAACTCCCGCAAGACGCGCTCTTCCTCCGCCACTCGCTGAAGCGGGTACGGCGGAGGATACTGAACCAGCGCCGAACTCGATAACGCTGTCGACTCGTAAGGCCTGATGGTCTCGGCGATGCGGTCCGCCATCGCCTCCTTCTCGCTCAGCGAGGACGACACCGTTGCTGCGTCCGCGTTCGCCGGTGAGCCTTCGCTCATCGTGACAGTCGACGGTCTTCGTTGATCGAGTAGCGGCGGAACGACCTCGATGCGCTCGTCGTGCAGAAGGTAGCCTTCGAGGTGGGCGTGATAGACGACGAGCGCGAGCATCTCGATTATCCGCTTGATCTTGCCGAGCACCTCCATGCTTGCGCCGCGCAGTACAATCGTGCAGGCCGCCTGTTGCTCGCCGCCTTCGAAGCGGAGGACGGTCTTCCGCTTGCCGGGGATATCGGGGTGGACAAAGGTCTGGACGCTGAACTTGCGACATCGGCCGAGTTTCGGGTCGAAGAGGGCGTTCGTCGAAGGGAGGATGTCGGCGCCGAACGAACGCGAGATGGCAGCAAGGACCTCCGGCTTGACGTGGCGAGCGACCGCGATGCCGCGATCCTTGAGGTACTCGAGCGCGATACTCGATACGTTACGCTCGCAGAGGACGATCTGGGGAAAGAAGCTGGTGACGCGGGTGATGACGTTGCGGAGGTGCTCGCGCTCTTGGTCGATGACCTTGTCGAGCGAGAAGTATTGAGCGTCGCCGCGCTGGTACTCGAGGCCGAACGAGAGGAGCATGATCTTCGGATTCGACAGCTGCCGAGGCATCCTCTTCTGCATGACGTTCTTCGTGATGACGATGCCATTGACGAACTCGCTGTCTCGAGGGCGGCCGCCGGGGATCCGCTTGATGCGGATGTGGTCGTGTACATCGAACGTCCCGGTATCGACGCTGTCGAGAATGGCGAGCCGGTCGGCGACGGAGAAGAGGAGCCTCTCGAGTTCGACCACCCATGCACTCGGATCCGGGATGTTCTCGCGCTCGAGCGACTGGCGGATCATGAGGCGGATGTGGCTTAGGGCGGCTTGCGAGAGCGGGATATCGACGGCTTCGACAGCACGGAAGGCGTCGGCGTGGTAGATGTCCGGGTTCACAGGCGCGTGGGCGTCGGCAAGGAATTCGGGCAGGTAGTCTAGGAGGTGCGTTGAGAAGCGCGAAGTCGAGCGGCCGAGATTAGGCAGGAAGGAAGATTGGCGTGCTGGAGCTGCTGATGTACCATCGCCGCTGCGCTGGGCCAAGAGGTGCGATCCGTCGACGTCGGATGCTGCGGCAGCCGCCATAACGGAGAACGAGCCCTCCTCGCCGAAATCCAGCCCGAGCCCCGCTGACTCCGGGACGACTCCTTTCTCCCCGTGATCGCCATCGCCGTGGCTCTTCAATCTTCGTCGGCCAGCCTCGTCTTCTGCCTCATCCCCCGCCTCGTCCGCCGTGGGGTGGTCCTCCTCGCCGAGCTCGCGCCTGAACGGCGCTGTGGCCACGGAGAGCGTCGGGCTTTGCAGCCCAGGCTCGATGCCTGAATCGAGCGGCGTATCGCCGTTCACGCTGCGCTGCGCCTGCTGGAGCTGTTCGAGCTGGGCACGATGCATCGAGCTTTTCGGGCTGTGTTGCCGACTTTCGGCGGGACTCGCATCGCCCGCTTCTTCGAACACCGGCGTCGCTGGGCGATCCGAGCCGGCTTCAGAGATGCGGTCGACGGCGAGGTCGACGCGGTGGATCGAGGCGGAGAGGCGACTCTGGCGTTGGCGCAGGCTGGATGGGCGGTACACCTTCGAAACCGTCGCGATGGTTGAAGGGGTCTGAGGGGTTTCGAATGCCGAAATTCGAGGCGGAGAGGCGGGGCGTGCTTTGGGCGGAGGAAGGCGTGAGACGGAGGCAGCATCTTCCCAAGTCGTGGTCGGCGTAATTCGGAGAGCCTCCTTGTTACGACGTTGGGCCATGCAGTGATCGCAGATGCGCACGTTGCGTTCCCTGCCGTACGTTGGCAGCCAGTTTGACGAGCTGCGCGAGAAGGTTAGCAACCACGCTCTCGCCCAGTCACCAAGGGAGATCAGCGCACCAGGCGCCGCAGAACACGTTCCCGCACATGCGGCCTATCAATAGGAGTGATGTGAGCACCGGTCCCGGTGACGAGAGCTGAGATACGCACAGTGATGCCGCCGACGGAGCGCATTGAAGGGTCGATTACAAGCTTCGCACTCGCGCACAGCTTTGTCGGCGATCCAAACCTTCTTGTCCAGAGTCTGAGAAGCAGGAGACGATTAGCCCATGCAGTCACCGCTAACGGCTGTCTGGACGGCGAGCAAGGAGGTAGACGCACCTGCTCCTGCATCTTCCTGATCGCCTCAACTGCTGAAGGACTGCCTTTCGCCGCTCCCGTACCGACGGACCAAACGCTCAACGCATCTTCGTCCTTCGCCTTGACGCTCTTGGCGAGCTGGCCAAGGCCGGCAAGATTGGACGACAACCTCCTCGCACGCTGGCCGAGTGAGGGCCGTCCGCCTGACGCCCCGAGGTCGAAGTCGCTGGCGTTTGGCGAGTCTGGCGTAGGAGTGTAGCGATAGTCGCTGCCGCTGTTTCGCCCAGGCGGGACGGAAACGTTTGGCTCGGCATTCTGCATGTTGACGCTGACGGAAGGAGCAGGCGGCAATGCGCCTGACAGGCGAACAGGGCGTACAGATCGTCGACTTTGAGAGGGTGAGGGCGCGACTCCGGAAGAAGAGGAAGGGAAAGGAATTGGGTCGCGCTGGTCCCGTTGGCGAGTCGGCGAGCGTGACGAGCTGTCGGCAGCGGTCCCTCCAGTCTTCCCGCTGCTGCTCCTTCCCTGAGACTTGCTGCGTGTTCTCGAGGCCGCCCGTTGCGCGACCACCGCGCTGTCGTCGCCATCGAGAGTGTCGCGAGGTGAAGAGCCGGAAAGTTGCTGCTGAAGCGAGACCGCCACGCCTCGCAGGTGCGAGCTGGCGACTGTCGGACGTGGTGGAGAGCTCGCCGCCTCCCTGCCTGCCCCATCGGCCGAGGTTGAACCATCCTCGCCGTCTCCTCCAGTCCCGACAAACAAGCGCTTCAACCGGCCTAGCGCGCCCAGGCCGCCTGTTCCGCCCGTCGAGTCGGCTCCTGTTGCTGAACCATCTCCCTGGCCAGACACGCGCGACCCGAAGCGACGTAGGGCTTGATGCGTCGGTTCATCGGTGCGAGGTGGGGAGAAGGGGAAGGATTCGTACGACGGCGTAGGTTGCTCGGCTTCGTCGGTCATCGCGTGCGCATGCAAGCCATCTAGCAAAGCAGCAGAAAGAAGAGCGCCCGTGGAAGCGAGCGAGAGAAGTCGAGGACGGCGAGAGCTGAGCGCGGAAGCGAAGCTGGCACGACTTCGAGTAACGCTGATAGCACTTCTCGCGTTACCCATACGTTGATGAATGCTGAGATTGCGGGTACAACAAGATGCGCGACGGCAGAGAAAAATGCGGCGGAGTGGGCAGGCGGAGAGAGACAAGGGTCTGGCTGCACCTAGTCGTCCATCTCCCGGGAATGGACCGCGATACCTCTGCCCTCCAGGTCGTAGACGATCTCGTCGGGAAGCTGACCGGTCACTCTGCGGGAGAGGGAGGTGAGGAAAGAAACCTGTTAGTGATCATTGACGGCCTCGTCAACGGAAGGGAGGCGCACCGGACGGCGTAGACCCCTGGAACGTGCTTGTCTGCAAAGCGAGAACGCAACAACGGAAGGAGAGTCAGCCCAGTCCCGAATTCGCCAAGGGGACATGGTCGAGAGAAGCGGAAAATCGAGCCTACCGTTTCTTTGCCATTTCGCCTGTAGCTCAACACATCTCGTCAGCATCAAGCACTCCTGAACGAGCGAGGAGCTGGAACGATACTCACAACCCAGCTCTCCTCAGGATTGATCGCCGCGATGACGCCGTCAAACTGGCCTGTTGTGCAGCTCAGAACGCGATCCGCATCGCCCTTCATCTGCAGGAATCGAAGCCATTCCATATCAGCCTCGAGCAAGGGTGAGGGGTCGAGAATCGGGTGAGGACAGCGACACACCTCCAGCTTGTCCTCGCAGTTCGGGCAACCTTGCTTGCGGAACTCGGCAGGCGTCGCGAGGAAAGAGCACATGAGGCACGCGCGCAGCTTCTTCGTGCTCGACATCGCGATGAACTGGGGATAGAGAGTGTGTCAGGACAGGGCGGTGGCAGAAGAGTCACCACAGCGGCGCGCGACCGAAGGAGGCCAGCTGGACGCATTCGAAAGCTCACCTTCCGTTACTCGAAGGTCGGTTGGAGCGTTCCCAGCGGATGAAGGCGCGAGGGGAACGGGAAGCGATGAGGATGTCGAGGTGTCGAGAGCGGGGGGTGACGGCTACGAGGCGGTCTGAGGACGCCGGGGTGGGTTCTCTGTCCCGGCAGGAGCTGCTGGATGGTCCTCAAAGGGCGTTCCAGCGGTGACAGGTGACTGAATGCTGATCAAGACGCGCTCCTCTCCCTCCCTCTGTTTTGGCGACGAACGAACTGCCAACCTCGCTCGTGCAGGCTTTGCTGGACTCTGCGCTGCACTCGTACGATTTCTACGCCGCTACACACCCTTACGCCCCGCGCGCCCTGCGCTCTCGCGCGGCCACTGGGCTCGCATGACCCGCTCGACTAGGCGCGGGCAAGGCAGCGCCTCTCCTCCGCCGGCAGCGTCGACGAGCACAGCACCACCGCCAGCTACTCGTAGGTCGACGCGGGCGTCGTCCGCCAACCCGCCCGAGGCGTCTGGTTCGAGTGCAGGCGGGACCGGAACCAAGTCGAGGGGATCGACTCCCGCGCGCGAGTTGAGGAGAGGGAGGAGTCGCGGTCCAAGTGTGCCTCCTGCAGACCTCGAGGCGGTCGCAGAGGTGCCGCGCGGACGAAGAAGCAGGAGAGGGTCGACGAACGGACTCGAGGGGAAAGGGAAAGAGAAGGCTGTGGACGAAGCAGAAGAGGGCGACGAGACGGCACAGGACGTTGACGAACAGCCGCTTGAATCGCTGCTCGAGGACGGAGCCGAGGCGGAACCAGCCGTCAAGCCGGAGCCCGTCGACGAGGCAATAGCAGCGGATCCGTCTGGCGACCCCGGCGCGGAGGCAATGGAGCAGGTCGCAGCAGTGTCACCTTCCGCCGAAGCCGCGTCCCACGTCGACGTCGATAAGACGACGGGAACCTCGAGACGGGACTCGACAGCGGCAGAGGATGCGGCGGGAGGGCCTCAGCTAGTCGAGGAGGGGTTGCCGGCGGCGGCGGTCTCACCAGCAGTCGAATCGACCTCTCAGCTCACGTCCAATGCGGTCGTCGACGATCCGATCGCACGCTCGCCGCCCGAGGTTGCGGATGCAGGCGCCAATTCGCAAGCTCTTCTCGCCTATACTTCAGCTTCGAAAGTCGTCTCCCCGCCTCCGATCGACTCCTCCAAACCGACTAGATCCGCCGATGCGCAAAACGGATCCACTGAGGCGGGAAAGGCAGGCGACGACGGTGCGAAAGAGAACTCGGCAGAGGCGGTTGTTGTGGGGGATGCCGAGAACGCAGGCGGTGTCCAGGTTGACGGCGAGGCGAGCGATCTCGGGAAAGAGACGATGAGCACAGCCGCTGAAGAAGCGGTCGGGCAGGCAGAAACAGCAGGCGATGCGGAGGCGTCGCCAGCCCTTCCTGTCGCGAACAAGTCAGCGGACCAGGCCGCAGACATGTCGACCTCCATCGAAGTTCCTCCCAGCAACGAAGCTCCAGCAACGACCGCCGAAGTCGAAACCATCGCCGCAGCCGACTCCGCTCCTGCCGCATCTTCCGCTCCGTCTCCCACTCCCGTCACGGCGCTCGCTCGCGCAACCGCCTCTGCCACAGTCTCCTCGTTTTCTCCTGCCGTCTCGCCTGCCGTCGCCGCAAGTGGTTCGACAACGCCGACAAGCCAGCCGAAGCGGACTCCGCCCGTCCCGGCTGGGGGCATCGCCATGCCGCCCGCGCTGCAGGCGATGACGCCGAAGGACGTGCGCAAACGCTTCAACACGCACAAGATCGCCTGCGTGCAGACTCTCAACGTCGAGCTTATCAAGTGCGTCCCTTCTTTTTTTTTGGGCCGCTCGCGAACGTCGGCTCACGCGATCCTTTCCTCAGGGTCGCCAACGAACTCGTCAAGGAGAAGCCGCTCAAGCAGGTCGAGTATATGCCGTGAGCTGCCTTCGGTCCCTCTCCGAATCACGCCGCCGACGTTGTCCTCGCTCGCAGGCTCATGCAGCGGCTCCAGTCGAATCTGGCATACTTGACGGCCATGTCCGAGATCAACCGGGGGAAGGACAGCGTGCGTTTGACTTCCTGGTACTCGCTCGTCTCGCGTTGAACGCCTTCATCCCTCACAGACTCGCTCATCTCCCCCTCCCCCTATTCTCGAAGCGCCTCCGACCCCCATCCTCGGCCCTCGTCTCGCCGCATCCTACGCGACTCTGAAGGGCTACTTCGTCGCCGCCGAAAAGTACGAGATGCAGTACAAGCGCGGACTGACGATTGTTCCGACTGCCGCGCCTGATGCGACCGGCATCAACTCAGCGGTCAAGGTCGGCGAGCCGAAGCCGCTCAGGTCGGCGGCGGTGAGCGCCACATCAATGCCTGCGCTTGCGTCGGGCGAAGTGAACGGGATTGTGGGAAAGCGGACGAGGGGAGATGAGCCGCCTGGCGGACCCGGAGACGGGACGGAGGGACCGGACGCAAAGAAGGGCAAGCTGGATCTGCCGACGGTGCCAGAAGAGGAGGTCGTGCCGGCGAATCCACCGCCTTCGAACGCTCTCGCACCCCCCGCCAAACTCGTCGCCAACGCGCCGTCAGCAGCGATCGGCTTTTCCACCATACCTACCGACAATGCTGCCCGCTTCAACGCCCCTCCCCCCGACGCAGCCTACGGCATGTCCGGTCCTCCTGCCGTCGCTGCTGCCTCATCCGCGTACAGCCCGGCGATTCCGCCTTCGAGCGTTGCCTCCCTGACAGCGACGCCCGCTCCACCAAATCGCCGGTCTGCAACGCCTTCGCAGCCGTTTGCGACACCACATTCGGCGCCGCCACGCCCAACTTCTGCGCAATCTGGGCAGATGTACGGTTCGGCGATGCCGCCGCACCTTCAGCAGCAGCAGGCTCAGCAGCTTCAGCAATCGCCAACGCCGTACGCCGCGCTCTCGCAGCAGCAGCAGCAGGCCGACATGCGTCAGCCGCAAACCCAAACACCCCAGCGTCCTCCTTCCGCCGCCGCCAATCTCCCTCGACCTGGTTCTGCTATGCAAGGCCAGCAATTCGCCCCTCAGCCGCCACCCGCTTTGGCGCCGCAGCAGCAGTTCCAGCCGCCTCCACCTCGCACGCCCGTCCAGCAGCCTCAGCAAGTCCCGCCAAGCGCGCCGCCCGCTCCGACAGGCGCAACCGGTGTCGGCGGAGACGACCGGCCGATTGCAGAGCAGTACAGCTCCGTCCAGGCGATCATCTCGGCGCCAACCTTTCGTCAGCTTCCGCCCGCACTGCAGCAGCAGATGCAGACTCAGGCTCAGAACCTGCTGTACCAGATGCAGGCGCAGGCTGTTGCGGCAGCGCGCGGCGGAGGGGTCAATCAGGCTCAGCAGCAGCGGATGACCACGCCGGCACCGACCGGACCAGCCACGGTCGCGAGCAGTCCTAGGAACCGCGTTCCCTCGTACTCGCAGAGTCCGCAAGTCGCACACGCCCAGGTACGGCAGGCGAGCGTCGGCGTTCCCGGCACACAGTACGCAGGATCGTACGCCGGAAGCATGGCGGGCAGCCCGCCCGTTATGCAGCAGCTGGCGCATCAGCAGCAGGTCCGCCCCACGTCGGCGACATCGGCGGGCGAAAGCTCGTCGGCTGCTTTCTTCCGCGAGCAGCTCGCCGCCCAGCAGCATGCCCTGCGCTCGAGCACGCCCGCCCAGTACGCCCCGTCGCCACAGCAGCAGCACATGTATGCAGCACCGTCACCGTCGCCTCACATGCAGCCAGCGCGACCGCCGAGCACGCCCGCCAACTACGCCGCTTTCGGTGCACATCAGCGCGTCGCTTCCGGTCAGTACCAACAACAGGCGAACCCGTACTATCAGCAAGCAGCCTCGCCGGCTCAGTACGTCGCAGCGTCTCCGGCTCAACAGCATGCTCCCTCGCCAGCCGGCTATCCCGTTCCTCAACCTCAGCAGCCGTACCAGCAGGCGGGCACAACTGCCCCGCGATCGTTCTCGAATGGTTCGGCAGCCGCAGCACCTTCTCCTCGTGCGCCCAGCCGAGGTCCCGGAACGCCCGGACCCGGCCAGCAGCAACGGCCTCCGCAACAGTATCAATACGTCCCGATGCCTACGCAGCAGCAATACGCGCAGCAGAACTTTGTGCGCATGCCGCTCTCCCTCGTATCGCGGTCGAGCTGACGTCTTCCGTCCGCGCAGACCCAGCAGCAGCAGCCATCCAATTTCCCTCCCCAGGCGACTCCCGCCGGCAGCTTTGCCTCGTCCGCCGTCCCCTCTGCGACTTCATCGATGCCTCCGCCCCCTGCACCGACTGCGACAGCCCAACAACAGCAACTTTCTTCGCAACCTCCGGCCTCCACCTCGACTGCCCTTTCCAGCATACCCGTCTCTACCGCCCCCGGTTCGACTCCCTTCCTTACCGGCACGTCCGCCTCGACTACACTCGCAACAGGCGCTCCATCGACGAACGCATTCGCCACGGGCTCGAGCTGGAACTCGGTCAACCTCGGCACGCCCTCCGTCGGTGTTGGCTTGCCCGGCTCGGATCCTTGGGGCAATCCGCTCGACTCGCTCGGCACGTCGTCGACGACTGGCATCACCGGCAACTCGAGCACCGATATCTCGATGGCGGCGGATGACGATTGGGAGAGTTTCCTCAACCTTTGAGCCGCCTTCGCCTTCGGAAGTTTCTCGCAGCCATCTTAGCCCGATCCCCCACTCTTACTTCTTGTCGATACCACTTCTACTTCCGCGCTTAATGCCTTGCTCGTCCAGTCTGCCGTAGTCCTTCGCCCTTTCCTGTTGTCTTGCCTTCCTCTCCGCGTCATGTAGACCGCGTTTCTCCCTCGCTCAGGCTCCGAGAGAAGGCGAGAGTATGTTCTTTTGCAGGTCAAGTCGAGGCTACACAGTTCGAAGAAGATGTATCAACATGGAAGCGAGGAACCCAGAAGAAGCGAAACTAGTCCTTCCTGCCGAAGCCTGGCGACGCCGGCGTCAACGGGCTCATCAGCTCGATTTCCTCCTCTGCGTCGTCTTCGCCGCGAGCCTGGCGAGCGCGAGAGTAGGTCAAGGTGGGCGAGCTGGGGTCGAGCGAGAAGACTGGCGAGAGAGGCGTGAAGGGGAGGGACGAGGTGGTCGAGGTAGGCGTTGCCGAGCCATCGCTCGTCGAGATGTCACCACCTGGCGAGCCGGCGAAACTCCTCACAAGGGACGTGAGCTCGTGAAGCTCGTGTGCGAGAGGTTCGGGCGTCGGCGTCGTCGGGAATCGCTCGCCTGCCACGGCATAGTCGGGCGAGGTGTTCGCCGTGTCGTATGACGAGGTCTCACGAAGGGACTGCTGGTCGGCAAAGGAAGCGGACGGCATCGTGACTGGGACGGCGACTCGAGCACTGACTTTGGGGCTGCCCCGACTACGAGTCGAACGAGGGCTGCCTCCGCTGAGCCTGGACGGAAGGTGAAAGATGGAGGAGCCGATGGGCGAGAAGTCGCTGATGGTCGGCAGTTCAAAGCGGCTTGACGGCGGAGGAGTCGAAGGGACAGGTGGAAGAGGGAGAGGCAGCGAGACGCTCCTGATGTGGCCGGACGACGAACCGCCGGCACCTCCTTCAATTTCCGATGCCTGAAGGTAGCGAGCAGCGCTCGAGCCGGATCCGTACGAAGGGGGCCGCGAGTAACTTCCCGAGCTGCGAGCCGGGGCAGAAGTGCGACGGATACGCCCCGAGGCGAGCGAGTTCTGGCGGTAAAGCGTGGTTGGCCTGCTTGCGGACGGAAGCTGTTTCCACCAGGCGTTGCGACTACCCTTCGAGGTGCGCGAGCGACGCTTCATCCTTGCGCTTGAAGGCATCTCACCCTTCTCAACCTCGTCGCCGGTCTGCGAAGGGCGAGCAGGAGCGACGAAAGGGGGCAGAGTATTGGCGAGGGAGACGTTGAAGTCGCTCGAGCTGTCGACGAGTCCACGACAAGCGAAGGAGAGGTCGGAAGACTCGGACGGGCGGTTGGACGGGACGGGCGAGGGCGAGCGACGAGGCGTCGTAATCCTACGTAGGGACGCGAAAGCGGGCGATGAGAAGAGCGTGTTGGACGAGGCGCTGACTGTCGACGAGCGAGTTGGGAGGAGGCTGAAGCTGGGCGAGCGGCGCTGCGGAGTTGCGTTGCTGGCCGGCGAAGTGGAGAACGCGCTGTTAGAGCGGAGCGAGAGTATCGACGGGCGTTTCTGGCGCGAGAGGCGGCGAGGGAGGCGCGACGCCTTGGGCGTAATCGAGGGCGACGAGGTCCTGGTCGAGGTGGGCGTCGGACTCGCGACTTGCTGCGGGGTCGACGGGTCGTTCGCCCCTTCGCTCGCCACGCGCCTCGGCAGCATGAGCGGCGAGATCATCGCGTCCGTCCTCCTCCTCGGCGCAAGAACAGGCGACGAAGGGACCGACGCGCGTCCTCCTCCGAACGCCGCGAAAGTCGAGAGCGCCAGCGACGAGCTCGGCGAGGGAGGAGGCATGCTCGAGGTGTCTCCATCGGTCGTGTCGAGGTGCTCGCGGAAGACGCTGCCGCTGCTGGATTGCGAGGCGCTCCTTGCGCGGTAGGCGTACGCAATGGACGAAGCAGCCGAGGGCGAGTGCTTGTGGCGCGAGTCGAAGTCCTCGATGTGCGGCGGAGGAGGCGTGAGCATGCGTTTCATCTCGTCGTCGTCGACTCTGCGCGTGGGCGAAGCGAGTGCGGCGTCCCCTCCGTCTGGCTCCTGGATCGCTTCGAGGAGAGCCTTCTTCAGCCTCAGAGGCGTGACTGCTCCACTTCCTTCGTCGGTACTCGGCTCGCCGTCCGTCGAAGCGCGGGACATCGACACGCTCGACGAAGCGAGAGAAAGAGGCAGCGGCGGAGCCGAGCGGACGAACGGGTCGTCCTCTTCCTCGTTCGGCTCGACGTCCCACCACAATCCTTGTCCAGCCGCATCAGACGCCTTCGTCTCCATCGAAGGACGCCCGCCCGTTCCAGCAGCGAAAGAGCGCAAGATCGACCCCACCGAACCGCTACGCCTCCTCCCCGTCGCGCGCGAGATGGACGAAGCAGGCGTGTTCGTCCCTTTCTCCCTCTCGGCATCGAGCGCGAGAGGCGGACCGAGCGAGAGCGTCGGGACGGAGGAGACGGACGCGCCGCGTCCGCGACGCAGTTTGCGAGGGGACGGAGGGGCGGAAGTCTTCCCAGCCGTTGGCGACGGAGGGACCGAGGGAGACTTGTCTTCCGACGAGCGAGGGAGGCGCCAGCGCGAGAGAGTCGGCGAGGTCGATCCTGCGCGCGAGAGGGGCGGAGAACGCTCGTCGTTCGGCGTGACGGGCGTGAGGAGCGGGGTGAACGGACGACTTGGGGGTTCGCCGGTGAGGAGCGTGGGCAGGGAGCGGTGAGGGCGGTGCCGCGAGAGGGGGGAGCCGGTTGGAGTCGTAAGGAGCGGGAGGGACACGAGAGGCGGAAGAGAGGGCGAGAGTCGACCAGCCTGCCTGACCGGGAGCGACGGGACGACGACGAGGTCTTCCTCCTTCGGCTCGACCTCCATCTCAGGCTGCGCATGCGCAATGCTGGGCTGGAACGTCCCTCCTTCGTCCTCTGCGTCCATCTCCAGCAACAAGAACGACGACCCGACCGATCCCTGACCCGGCGTACCACCCGCGCCCCTCTTCTCCATACTCTTCCTCTCGCGAGTTTGCTGAACTTGTGCGCGGGAAGAGGGGAGACGTTCGTAGCGCGGCGAAGGGGGAGTGGTGGGAAGGTCGGGGAGAGGGCGGAGCGAGGGCGTGGGAGTCGGAGGGAGAGAGTGAGGGTGGTGGTATAGGGCCGTGTCGAGGTGCGTTGAGGTCGGTGGAAGGTCGGTCGGGCGAGTTCGGGCGGAGAGAGCTATGTCAAGCGAAGACAGCGTGAGTCAGGGTTTCGCGGAGGAAAGCGAAGCGAGACGTACCCGCAACGACTTCAACCATCCCCGTCCACCTCACCCACGCCATCGCCGACATGACCAAGTTTCCGACGGGCGAAGTCGCCGAACCGAAGAGGCGAAGCTGCGGGGCTGTCTTGTTGGTGGTGGACGAGCGCAGTGGGAGGGCGGCGGACAGGATGTCGAGTGCGACGGCGAGGAGTTGGAGGGCAAGGAAGGAGACCTGTGAATCCATCGACGGTCAGCGAAACAGTCTCGATCAGCGAGGAGCCAAAGTCGGACGCACTGCGAGCGAGCGGACGGTCTTGAGCGAAGCCAGCGCATCTCGTCCAGCTTCGACGTCCGTCGGCGCCGAGACATCTCCCCATCCCTGGCTCGGCAATCTCGCCTGTACACACGCACGAAACGATCTGCGTCAGCCCTCGCGCGACTTGAAGGAAAGCGAGCGGAACGCACTTCTTCCCCTCTCTCTCGCTTCTCTCCCTCTTTCCACCTCATCAAGCCCCAGAGGACGACCGTCCCCTCAAAGAGGGCATGTAACGCCCCGCGAGCGACCGCCAGAGTCTTGAGGTTCGAGTAAGGGAGGGAGGGGAGGCAGAGGAGTGCGACGTGGAGGGTTGTGGCTGCGTTTCCAGACACGTTAGCGGTGACGGTTATGAGGAAAAGGAGAGTGAGAGAGGACGCGAACGTACAGGAGAGGAAAAGCGTGAGGAGGAGGGCGAGGAGCAAGAGCGAGAGGAAGGAACGAGGTGGGCGTCCACGAGTCAGAGAAGACGAGTCGGGCGGGCGGGAGACCTCGGTGAGCGTGTGGGCGAGCGAGAGAATCGACAGATCCCCTGTGCGAAACGACAGACCGTCAGTCAGGGATGTTTGTCGCGAGGGGGTCGGAATCGCTCGATTGAGCGAAAGGTGCGTCGAGGCCCCGCTCTGCTCGCCGTGCAGGCGCATACACCCGCCCGACATCCTCGAGAAACAGAACTCACTCAGGATCAATGCGACGCAAGCGAGCGTCCCACCGAGGAGTGTCCAAGTCCGCTCGCGGTCTTTGTTGACGAGCGCGACGAATGCGAATGAGGCTGCGACGGCGAGAGCAAGGGTCGAGGCGAGTACGAGGGCTGTAACGAGTGTGAAGGGGGCGAAGGAGCGACGGAGGCGTAGGAGCGCGAGGGGAAAGAGCGTGAGGAGGAGGACTGAGGAGGTTGCTGAGAGAACGAGGGACGTGGGAGGGGAAGAAGCGGTCGACATGGCGAGTGTCGCCTTTGTTCAGGCTGCTCGCGCGTCGGTGAACGAGTGTGGGTGGGTTGGTCGGCGGTGAGGAGGGAGAGGGAAAGCAAGGATTGCACGTTAGAAGGCGAGCGAGCCAAACAACGGGTCCAGTGCGGCGGCCCACCCTGGATTCGAGGGTGCGTCTCCTTTCATAGCCTCGTCAGCAGAGGCGGCCGGTGCGCGGGAGTTGCGGGTGCAGCGGCGAAACGAGGGCAGCGAAGGCGAGCAGTCTGCACGCTGAGCTGTACGAACCAGTATGCGCGAGTTCGCCCGCAAGAAACCCTCGTCGTCGTCGCTGTGCTGCACCGCGGCCCCATCCGCGGCGGGTCATCACTGCACTCCTGATCGAGAGGAGGCCAAAGTCGGGTTCGCTAGCGTCGTGGGAGGGAAAGCTTGTTGGTCGGCGGTGCGGTGTCGTCGTTTGTGCGGGTAAGCGGTTCAGTAGCGAACAGCACGGGCCCGTACGAGTCGTAGTGAGCCAGTAAGATGACGAGTGACGAGGAGGAGCAGGAGGCGAGCGGAGACCGCGCGAACAAGCGGGGCCGACTTTGAGTAGGGTAACACGACCGTGCGAGTTCAGTGGTGCAGTCAGTGAAGCCTCGGAAGGAGGAGAAAGGCGAGGACGAGGTTCAAGGTGATGAGGGAGCGTTGCTCTCGTCGCGTCGCGCTCGCCTCGTCACCTTGTCCTCGTCGTCGCTCTCTCTCTCTCGCTCTCTCTCTGCTTCTTTACTCTCTTTCTTACTCTTCTTACAACGCTTAGGACTGCTACAACGCACCGACACTCACCCACGATGCCCCTCCTCGCACAGCAGCTCAAACCGCGCACCCCGACCCGCATCATCCCTCAGGACCCCTCCACCTCGCTCAGCACCTCTGCACCAGCTGCAGCACCCACCGAGCCCATTCCTTCACGCACACCGACCAAGCGCACCCGCCCTCGCTCACCCTCGCCCTCGCTGTCACCCGACCAACGCACCCGCTCTCCATCACCTCCCCCTCGCGCACCGACTCGCCGCATGTCTACCCCCTCGACACCCTCCAAGCCCAACCGCACTCCCTCGAAACGCACTCCCACAGTCGAGCCAGAAGAAACGCGCCGCTCGACGCGATCAACGGGCAAGGCGGACCATTTCCAGCCGCTTCAAGGCGCGCCCGTCACGCCTCGCTCGAACGGGAAGAGGGCGCGTCAGCCGGCTGTGAAAAAGCAGGTTGTGCGCAAGTTGGTGGACAGTAGCAGCGAGAGCGAGGAGGATGAGGTCGTCGTCACACCGCGCGCGAAGAGGGGGAGGGCGGCTTCGACCAAGACGGCAGCGAAGAAGCCGACTCGTGCGCCGCCGAAGAAGCGCGTCAAAGTCGAGGACGAGGAGGACGAGCCTGCGCCCGAGCCGGAGAAGACGCGCGGGACAGCGCGCAAGACTCAGCGCCCTCCTTCTCCCGACCCGAACTCCTCATCCGACGACGAGGAAGACGCAGCCTCCACCACCACCGCCGCCGAGATCGAGTCCATGCTCGTCTCGTCCCCACCGCCGCGCAAGCGCGCCACTCGCACAGTCGACCTCGACCTCCCTCCTTCGCCCGCAAAGACGCCTACAAAGCTTGTTCGGCAGACATCGTCGTACGCGCCCAAGGTCCCTTCGCCGCTCAAGCCGCGTCCGAGGCGCGAGGCGAGCGAGTTTGACGTCGACGTCGATGCGGCCGCCGAGGACAACGTCTTCACTTCTCCCTCACGCGCGTCCTCCCCCTCCTCCTCAACTCCCCGCAAATCTACCACCTCCACACCCCTTACGACTCCCACCTCCCGGCGCTCCTCCAGCCTCACTCCCTCCCGCTCCTCCTCTCGAATCCGCCATCTCCCTCCTTCGTTGAAAGAGATCGCGAACGCTCCTGCGAGTTTGAGGAATCGGTTGGTTGGGTTCCATATGGAGGATGAGGGGTATGGGGTTGATGTTCGTCAGGAGGAGGAGCAGGAGGAGAGTGGCAGTGAGGAGGAGGACGAGGAGGAGAGGAAGAGGAAGAGGAGGGAGAAGGGGAAGGAGAGGATGGTTGAGGAGGCGGATGGGGAGGATCTTGAGATGCGTGATGAGGAGGACGAGGAGATGGAGGTGGAGGAGATGGAGATCTCGCAGCCGGCTTTCGCGCCTTCGCGACTCGCGACTTCCGCCTCCGCCTCCACCGCTCTCAGCTCGACTTCCCACCCTCTCATCCCAACCGTCCCAAACGCAGCTTACCTCTCCTCCCCACTCCGTACCCAAATCCTCACCCTCCTCTCGACCCTCTCCGGCTCTCGCCTTCCCTTCCCCTTCCCCTCGCCCAACGCATCCTCCATCCTTTCGCTCCCCTACCTCGAAGGCGGCTACGACGAATGGGAGCGACCGCTCCGCGCGTCGTTGGAGGAATGTGTGTTGAAGGGGATGGGGAACGCGGTGATGCTGCTTGGTCCGAGGGGGGTGGGGAAGACGATGGTGCGCCCTTCTCCCTTGTTTTCCTCGCTCCCAACGTATCGAAACTGACGCGACTAGCACTCGACTCGCAGCTAATCAACCGCACCCTCGCCCTCCTCTCTTCCACCCACGGCTCCGACGCGTTCGTCACGGTCCGCCTGTCGGGACTTGTGCATACGACGGATAGGCTGGCGATGAGGAGTATTGCGGTTCAGTTGAGGGACCAGGGGTTCGGAGGAATGGATGTGGAGGGTGAGATGGAGGGTGATTACGTGCGTTTCCACTCTCTGCTGCTCTCGCCGCTGGAAGAAGAGGAAGAGAAACTGACGAGGATGGTGCCGCGTAGTCGAGCAACTCGGCAACGATGTCCACCCTCCTCCGCCTCCTCGAACCCTCCTCCTCCACCACGTCCTCCTCCACCAACACGACCACGCAAAGCAAGCCCCTCATCCTGATCGTCGACGAATTCGACCTCTTCGCCCAACACCCACGGCAGAGCTTCCTGTATTGCTTGCTGGATATCGTCCAGGGGAATCGGCGGAGGGGCGGAGTAGCGGTTGTGGGCGTCTCATCGCGTGTTGTGCGTCACCGTCTTTCACAGTCCGTCACCTGCGAAGGCGTCAGCAGCAGTGGCTGACTTGACTGGTGGACCTTGAACGCACAGGACTGCCTCTCGCTCCTCGAGAAACGCGTCCGCTCGCGCTGCCAATCGCACGTCCTCCAACTCATTCCTCCTTCGTCCTTCTCCGCCTTTATGGACCTCGCCAAGCGGCTCCTTCGTGCGGATGAGCGCGTTTGGGAGGAGAAGACGGGCGAGGAGGGGAGGGAGTGGGCGGGGAAGTGGAATGAGGAGGTCGAGGTGAGTTCGCTGCTTCGAACGCTTTCGGCTCTTCCTCTGTCGCAAGGATGTGGCTGATGCACGGGAATTTCGAACCACAGCGCTTCTTGAAGAAGGAGAAGGTCGTCGACTACTTCACCCGCATGTGGCAGATCCACGGCAACGTCCCAACCGAGCTGCGCTCCTCCCTCGTGCGTTCGCTCCCCCTCTCCGTTTGAGCTACAACTGACGGTCCCGGTCTCTAGTCCGATCTCTTGTACCGCCTCGACTACCTCGGACGCTTGAACGGCTTGGCCGACTCGAACGGGGTCCCCCAACTTGGCGTCGAGATGCTCAAGCCGCAGCCGAAGGGCGAGGAGAAGTCTCGCGACGCGGTGCTTAAGCGTGAGTCGCCCACTCTTCGTTCTGCCGAGCTCCAAGCTGACGAGCGCCCTCGCAGACCTCTCGATCCCGGAACTCACGGTCCTCATCGCGTGCAAGCACCTCTCGACCTCGACGGTGGACCGCCACTCTGGTTTCAACTTTGAGCAAGTCTACGACGCGTACCTCTCGCACGCTCGCCGCGTCTCAGCCTCGACCGCCTCGGCACTCTCGATGTCGACCAAGCCGCTCTCGAAGCCTGCGATGCGCGTCGCGTTCGACTCGCTCAGGGAACACGAGCTCCTCTTGCCGCGCACGTCGTCTGGCAGCGCGGGCTCGTCCAGCGGAGGAGGAGGAGCGGCACCGACGTCGGGATCAGGGATGCCCGTCTCGGTCCCCTCGCTCGCCTACAAGTCGCCCACCGCGCGCGACCCGTGGAAGATGTACAGGTTGACGGCCTGGGCGAAGGACGTTGATCGTGAGGTTGAGGCGAGGGGAGGAGAGTGCCCGTTGGCGCTGAGGCGGTGGTGCAAGAACTGGTTGGATTAAGCTCCTGTTGTTGCATTAACTATACGCGCATCTTATTCTCACTCCATACCAGTCGAGAGAGTCGCGGTAGAGGAGGAAGCGAGATTGGGAAGGTCGTCGTTCGCATCGCAAGCTACTCGTCCTCCTCGCCATACAACCCACGCACACCGTACAATACCTCGTCCTGCTGGTCCTCCCACTCCCTCTCTGCCGCAGCCCAGCGCTCCTCAGCCTCCTTGAGCGAGCCGTCCTCGTCCTCGACCTCGAACAACGCGCGCAGCGAGTACAAGACTTCCTCGCGGCGCTCCTGGAGGTACTCCTCTTCCCTCTCCCGCAAAGCCTCGACTTCGATCGCTTGAAGCAGCCGGCCCTCGATCTTGACGCCGACCTTCTGCCCGACGGCGACGAGCTCCTTCGCGTCCGCCAGCGTAAAGTCGTTCGTCCAAGTCGGGAGATGCCACCATTCCGAGATCTTGAAAGTCCCGGCGCGGACTTCAGGCTTGTGTGGCATCTCAGAGGGGATTGGGCTCGCGCGAGCGTCGAACGCATCGACCTTCACGCGTTCGAGCGCGGGTGAAACCCCTCCGCCTCTGGCTGCGACGTAGGCTATGAGCTTGGCAGCGACGAGCTCGCAGTCTTCGCCAAGCTCGAGTGCGCGCAGGTTGTGAAGATGGGCGGCGAGGATGGGGAAGAGCTCGCAGGATCGCGACAAGGTGTCGCGGCCGAGAGCGAGGTGCTGGAGGTTTGCGAAGCGCGCGAGATCGGCGTCGATGGGGGAGAAAGAGTCGTCTCCGTCGATATCGAACCAGTCGACGAAGTAGACTTGCAGTTCCGTCAAGTGCTCGGTCGGACACGCTTGCAGGAATGAGCCGAGGTCGACCAGGTCCTCGAGCTCGAGGCGGAGTCGCTCAAGGTTCGGGAGATGCGAGATGAAGTTGCGGGCGGCGGGAGAATTGAGCGAAGGGCCGGCGTCAAGGTGGAGAGACGTAATGTACCGCAGAGGACGAGCCTTGACTGGCTTGGCGATGTCGACCTCGTCTTCCCAATCCGACTCGATATGCAGTTCGAGGCGATGCAAAGAGCGGAAGCGGTTGAGGCGGGACAAACGCGACATGTTGAAGAGGTCGTCGAATTCGCTGTCGAGCTCGACAAGTCGGAGAGTCGTCAGGTGAGGGAGAAAAACGCCTCCGCGCTTCGACGGCAGCAAGACACGGAGGAGCCCGGATCCACTGAGAGTCATCTCGGTGCAATTGCGCACGAGAGACAGGATCTCGCGCATCGCGACTGTCCTGCCAGAGTCGTCGTCTTGCGGGCACTCGACATACTCGAGCTGCTGGGTGCACTTAAGCGTCCGCACCATGAGACCGAGGGCCTTGTCGTCCTTTGTCGAGTTGGCGAGACGGAGCGCGTTCTTGGGCTTCGGAGGAGACAGAAGATGGTGAAAGCGGTCGATGGCACGTCCCGGCGCGAGATTGACCGTGCGGAACAGATTTCGCCGAGTGAAGGGCAAAAAGGCGCGGCAGATGTGGCGCTTGCCGGCCTTATCGAGGGCGAGGAAGGAGAAGATGTGTTCGTGAAGTTCGGGAGGGAGGGAGAGGATGTTCGTGGTCGCGGCGGGTTGTGTCATCGCGGGCGGCTCGGCAGTGTTGTCAAGGACCGTCTCGCACTGCATACAAGGGAGGAAAGCCGCAAAGAGGGTCCACGGCGACACCGAGCGAGAAGTGGGGCGGAAGAGGAGGTGGTCGAAGTCAGCGAGCAGGGTCAGCGGGGCGTCGCGTGAGTGATTTGGGAGCGTGTCTACACACCTTCTGAACAGCATTGCCAGCCACACGAACCATTCTGAGCGAGTCGAGTGAAGAGGAGGAGTCCACTCTCCCGCGAGCTGATGAGGACAGGTTGCGCTCCCACCCTTCGCGCACGTCGCAAGGAGGTGCTAGAGCTTGTCTCTGCTAGGCGCACTGCTCTCTCCTGTCGCCGGCTCTGCCGCTCCCGCTCTTCCCGCAGCTCTTCCGCGTTCGGTTCCCTCACTGAACCCGCCTCGATGGCCGGCGACAACCCTCCTCTCTTCGTGCCGCTTGAGGGGGAGACGCCGTACGCCCACTACCTGAACAAGCTACACGCCGCCGTGCCGTCCGCCATCCTGCACGAACCGACGCCGACCAGGGAGCAGGCGCAGGCTGCGACAGATGTCTTTTTTGCCTACCAGAAGGTGCCGGGGGAGGCGATGGAGGAAAGTGCGTCTGCCACACAACACCCGTGCGCGATACGCGGTCACCGACTCTCACTCGCGCTGCAGAGGACAAGGAGAACTTTGCGATCAACAGGGATGCGGCCTTGCGGGCCTTTGGCGCAGTCACGACTCGTCGCGGACTAGGTCCAGGATTAGGGTTGCAGATTGAGAAGGGCAGAGAGAAGCGAGGTGGGAGGAGGAGCGTCGGCGGTGCGGGTGAGGCCGACGAGGAGGAGAATGACACACCGGCCACGAAGCGCAGGAAAGGTGCGTCCACGCTGCTCAGCCTTCCACCTTCAGCGCCCTTCGTGTCTCGGACCGGAACGGGACCGCCTTGCTGGGGCGGGTCCGCTGACTCTGCGTGTGCCAATGATTCTGCAGGCGCGCAGAACGTCTCGCTCGAGGACCTCTACCAGAAGCTCGACGAGCTCGCGTCGCACGTCAAGACCCGCTGCATCACTAAGGACGATCTCAAGCACCTCGCGACCAAAGAAGACCTCAAGACGCTCGCAACGAAGGTCGAGGCGCTCGAAGATACGGTCAAGGATCGCAACAAGAAAGTCGAGAGCCTCGAGAAGACGGTCAAGGATGTCAAACAGAAGGTCGAGGCGCTCGAGAAGACGGTCAAGGACGTCAACAGGAAGGTCGAGGGCCTCGAGAACGCGGTCAAGGACATGAACAAGAAGGTCGGCGCGCTTGAGGAGACGGTCAAGGGTCTCGGCGTCAAGGTCGACGAGGCGCTCAAGAAGGACGGAACGCTCGACAAGGCGTTCGCAACGGTCCAGACGGACTTGACGGACCTCAAGCAGGCGATCATCGACTTGCAGACGGTCGTACAGGTCTTGCCGGGCCTTCAGCGCAGTCTCGCCGACATCGAGAACTATGTGAAGACGCGACGCGCGGTGAGTTTCGTTCGTATGTGCTTCCAGACGGTACTGACGGTATTGCACCTTAGGACATCAAGGATACTTGACAGGCGTCGACTCGAGCTTTTTAGGAGGAGCACGCGGAGGAGGAGGGTCACCTGCATCCCGTTTTACCTTGTTGTTGCTTTCTTTGTCTTGCATTGCATCTCTTGAGCTCCGTACCAGCATCCACGACGTGCGAGTTTCGCGAAAGTCGTTTCACGCGTTCACCGTTCACCTTCTCCCCTCTCCCCGCCGCCATGGCTCCGCTCGACCAGGACAAGCTCGCAGACTACAAGCAACAGGCTATGAAGGAGGTTGAGGCCGCCGTGCGTCCCCGCGCGCTCTCCTCGCGCTGCCTGACCTCATACTTACCTTGAGGGACTCGCAGCAAGCCTACCTCTCCGACAAGGGCGCAGAGTGAGTGGACGCGTGTCCGAGTGGGCTAAACAGGGCTGACCGACGCTCTCACAGCCTGCAGACCCGCTACGTCGAGCCCGCGCTCACCACCTTCCGCCATCATGCCGAACAAGGACCCCTCTTCACCACCTTTGCCCTCGTCTTCGGCCTCCTCTCGTTCTTCCCCGTTCTGCTCTTCACGCTCTTCGCCGCCGGCACCGTTCTCGCCGTCGGAGGAGCTGCTTTGGTGGGAGCGGCAGTCGTGATCGCTTGGCTCGTTGGCTCTGCGGGTGCGTTTCCCTCCAACGGCTCGCAGATCAAGCCGAAGAAGTGACACTCGTTACGCTGGTACAGCCCTCCTCCTCGTCGGGACGCTCGCGGTCGTCGGCTTCATCAGCGCCGTCGCGACGTTCTGGATCGGCGCCTCTTACGCCGCCCTCCGCCTCCTGCACCACCTCAGGACCGCCGACACGCTGCCCGACGCCATCCAGGTGCGTGGGGATCGGACGGCGAGAATCAGGAGTTGCGAGACGGAACTGACGCTTTCTCGCTCGCAGGACTTCCGCTCCGAAGCAACCGATCTCTTGTCCGGCTCGAGCGCGTCGGCGAAGCACAACGGCACGAACGGGTACACCAAGGTGCACTTCGACTCTGTCGTCAAGCAGGAGGGCGAGAAGGATGTCCCGGTCAAGAACGGCGACTCCTGAAGGAGAGGATTTGCTTGAAGAGAAGGGGGAGGCGCCGCTTGCCGTTGTACCGTACATTTCGCCGCATCGTCTCTGCAGTACATGAGTCTTGTTCCACCATTTCGCTTGTTTTGCTTGATCAGTGACTGTATGCGTCGAGGTCATTGCAAGCCGACGTTGCTCGCGAGTCGTCTCCTCGCTTTGCCTCGTCCGCCTCTCTCGCTCACTGGAAAGCATGTCACGCACACTGCTCACCTCGGGTTACGGCGGCAAGATCTACACCCTGGCCTTCGACCCCGCCTCGTCCTCACTCCGCACCTCCTCAACCGTCTCCTGCGGCAAAGCCCCGACCTGGCTGACTTTGTCCGGTCAACACCCCATCGTCTACACCGGTGACGAATTCTCCCAACCCGACGGCATCCTCCATGCGTTCCGCTTCGACGCATCCGGCTCGCTCGACTCGCTCTCAACGGCCAAAGTCGCGGAGGGACCGGTCCATTTCTGCCTCTCGAGTGACGGGAGGAGGATGTTTACGGCAAACTATGCCAGTGGGACTTTGAGTGTCGTTGGGATCAAGGAGGACGGGACGTTTGACGAGGAGGGAAAGGTCGAGACGAGGGTTTTCAAGGGTACTGGGCCAAAGAAGGACAGGCAGGAGGCGCCGCACGTTCATGGAGTGTGCGTCGAGGCTTTCTTCGAGGCTCGCGAGGCGTGGGAGGAAGCTGACACAGTTCCGACGTTCCTTTTCTGCAGCTACCTCGACCCGACAAACCGCTACCTCTTCGCTGCCGACCTCGGCGCCGACGTCCTCCGCGTCTTCGACGTCTCCTCCCCCGACAAGCTCGAGCAACTCCCGGCAATCACCATGCCCGCCGGCAACGGTCCCCGTCACCTCGTCTTCACCACTCCAGGCGAGAACTCGTCCCGCACGGTCCTTTACTTGATGGAGGAGATCCGGTCGACGATTGCGGTGTTTGAAGTGGAGTATCCGTCGGAGAAGAGCCCGGACTTGAGCTTGAAGGCATTGCAGAAGGAGGTCTCGATCCTTCCGCCGGACTTCACGGACCAGTGCGTCACGTCTCTCCGCTTCGTTCCCGCTGCGCTGGACGTCGCCCATCGTCAGAGCGGTGCAAGACGGTACTGGCCCGGAAAGCTAACCCGCACCTTATATCCTGCAGCCAAGGCGACTGGACTGGCGCGGAGCTCGCCATCTCGCCCAGCGGCCGCTACCTCTACGCCTCGAACCGCTGTCCCGTCGACAAACCTGCACCCTACGACACCCTCGCCATCTTCGAACTCACTGCCGCCGGCACGCTCAACACGAACGTCTCGCCCGTCCAATTCGACCTCGGTGGACGAGGACCGCGACACTTTGCGCTCAGCCCGAAGAAGGACGACGAGAGGGAGGGCAAGTACATGGCTGTTGCGCTGGAACGGACGAGCGAGGTGGTCGTGTACGAGGTGGACGAGGACAAGCAGGATCGGTTGACGGAGGTTGCCCGCCTGAAGGATATCGACCAGCCGACGTGCATTCAGTGGCTGCCGTAGAGTCGTAACTAAACGCATGCGAATAGACTTGTACATAGAAGGATTGCTCTCGCTGTTCCCCCTCGAGATTGAGCGGACCAGAGGCAGCCGACGGAACTCGCGACGTCCCTCATCGATTCTCCTCTCGTCTTGACTCGCTGGGACTCGCAGGCTCCGCTGCTGTTCGTGCTGGATATGGCACCCTACTTGCTGTACGCGGGCGGCTACGAAGGCCGCATCCTCACGCTCTCGTTCGACCCGTCCGCTCTGAAGGCAGAGGAGCGACTGAAGGTCGTGGGCGAGGTGGAGTGCGGGGCGGCGCCTACCTGGCTGACGTTCTCGCAGGACGGTGCGTCTCTTGCGACATTCGGCTGTTTGCGCAAGCTGACTGTCGTCGTCGCAGGCAAGCACCTCTATGCCGCCGACGAGTGGGGGGAGGACGAGGGAACGCTCACGGCGCTCAGCGTGTCCGATGAGGGCGTGCTGAAACCATTGTCGACCGTCAAGACGGGTGCGTACACTCCAGCCGCTTCCGCCGCCATTGACGCTGACCCCCTCCTCCTCGCGCAGGCGGACTGTGGCCTTGTCACTCCTGCCTCTTCTCCTCGAACCCTCCTCAGATCCTCACAACCAACTACAAAGGCGCCTCTATCCATTCTATTGTCCCTTCTCCCCCAGGCGACCTCGACCCGACCGCCTCCTCCCTCCTCTCCGTCCTCGATACCGGCTCAGCTCTTGGACCTATCGAATGGCGGCAAGAGCAAGCGCACCCTCACGGTGCGCACCCTGACCCGCTTGGACAGGTCATCGTCGTCCCCGACCTCGGTACGGACGACCTGCGCATCCTCGCTCCTTCACCCGACGACTCCAGCAAATGGGAAGAACGCGAGCGGGTGCACCTCACGCCCGGCGACGGACCACGCCACGTCCTCTTCGGTCCTTTGCGACCCAGCAACCGCCCCGGCGTCGCGAAAGTCGCGCGCCTCTACGTCCTCAACGAGCTGAACAACTCGATCTCCGTCCTGTCCGTCTCGTACCCCTCCGACCCGACTTCGCCCGTCCCAACAATCACGATCCTCCAATCACGTATCTCCCTTCTTCCGCCTGGACCGATGCCGCACCAATCCGACTTTTCCTCCTGGCACGCCGCAGAACTTGTGCTCTCGCCTACTGGACGGACTTTGATCGCCTCGAACCGCGCGGAAGCGCACGACCCGCTCAATGGCACCTCGGAGGGACCGGAAGACTTGCTCGCGGTGTTTGAGGTGGACGAGGAAGGGTTGGTAGTGGAGGAAAGTCGGAAGCTCGTTGGGAGCGGCGGACGCGCACCGAGGCATATGAGTTTGTCGAGCGAGTCTTTGCGCTGCAAGGGCAAGGGAGACGAGGCGATTGAGGAGGGGAGGTGGTTGGCTGTTGCACTACATGATTCGGATGAGGTGGTTGTCTTCGAGCGGGTGGGAGGGGTCGATGGGAGGGAGTTGAGGGAGGTGGCGAGGTTGAGGGGTGCGGGGAGGCCCGGTATCGTGCTTTGGGCGTGAGAGGTCGCTCTCAGTGGGCGAGAATGGAGGAAGACCTCTCGCAACACGAACGAAGGTAGACAAGTAGAACTAGATTGCCAACAAGAGACGGGTTACGAGTACATCAAGCGAGGCTACGGGAAAGTACGACAGCTGGAAACGGGGAAGGGGAAGCAGGCCGCTTCACTCGTGCTTGGGGTTCTCGGGCGACTTCTGCGAGTGCGAGGTCGAGGAGGAGAAGCGTCAGTTGCCCTACTTGCCGAATACGGACCAGCTGGACGCGCCTTCCACTCGTCCGCAATCTGCCTCTGGCGCTCACGGCCGTCCTGCGCGTGTGTCGAGCGTAGGATCAGCTCGACTCGAGGTTGAGAAGGTCCCGATTTCTCAGCCTCTACTGCAACCAGCGCCCTCAAATGGCGGTTCTTACCCACTCGAATAGCGCTTGAGGCAGTGAGGAGAGACAGCGGGACGCACCTGGTCCGGGTCCGCCTTCTTCAGCTCCTCCGTCCTCCTCTTCCTGAAGTCCTGCCAGAGCGACTGCTGTTCGGACAGCTCTTTGGGCTCTTTGGTCTTGGTGGTGGCGGCTGTTGTCGTGGAGAATTGGGCGGATAAGCACCGAAGGGTAGGGGAGGAAGGGGGAAGTCGAAGCGAGAAGTGCGCGGGTGAGCAAGGGAGAGGCGGGAGAGCAAGCGAGGGTCAGCGGAGGTTTTTGGGACGGTCCGAAGGTGACGCACTCTTGCCCATGTTGACGGCGGCGAGGTAGTCTGCGAGACGAGCGACGCGGACGAGTCGAGGTCAGTGGGACGAGCAGAACGAGGCGAGAGGAAGCGGAGCGCACTCTTTTCGAGTTGGTGCGGGTTGGCGGTGACTGCGAGGATGCTCTCGTGCGCTCGAGAGTACGTTCGCGCGGTCAGATCGTCGTCGAGTGAAGGGAAGGAGGGCAAGAGAGGCCAGTCGATGTCGAGGGGGCGTCACCGGGCCAGCGACGCGCTCGACGCGGGATTGACATCTCTCTGCAGCATTGACAAGTCCTCATCGGTCCCTCGAGCCTATCTAGGCCACACAGGAAAGTCGACGACGGCGTGAACAGGCTCTTCAACGCGTCCAGGAGTGTCGACGAGGTCAGTCGAGGAGAGCGGGTCGTGCAGACCTCCGTTCGACGCCGTTCGACCAGCAAATGAGAGCTACGAGTCCACGGGTGCCATTGAGCGAGTGCAAGCTGTCCCATGTCGTGGTCGATGGGAACCGCTCTCATCTCACGGCGTTGTGAGGCAGGGCGGTGAAGGCGCGTCGCTCAACCCTCGACCACACCCGCTCACTCGCTCTGCTACACTCGCTAGGACACTCGCTGGCATCGGATAGAGACTACGACGCGATCTGGCCAACGCGCGCCAACCGCTGGGATGGCAGACGACCTCCTTGCGGCGCCCATACCTCGAGGACCGCCTGCTCAGTTCGCCCTCGACGCGACAGACTCGCCAGGACCAACTCCAGCTGCGACCCCCCCATCTCACTCGCGATCCTCGTCCTCGCTCATCCCCCCGCCGCCCGCGTCGCCCGCTCGAACGCCCGCACCCGTCAGATCGGCCTCCTCGTACGGCACAGCGGCACGAGATGCGCAGCCAGGGATGAGCTTGTTCCGCTACAGCGACGACGAGGACGAGCTCATCGCGTCGGGGCCGTACGAGCGATCCCGGTCGGCCGACTACTACCCTCCCAAACCTCTCGCCTCGTCGACCTCTTCGCGCGAGGTACACTTCGACATGGACTCGGAGGAGATTGATGACCGGGATCTGGACACGCCGTTGATGGAGGGCCTTGTGCATACGGGGCTGCGGCGGCAGAGTCTCGACTTGCGCGGCGAGGCACGGCGGTTGAAGGAGATGGAGGTCGAGGGGGAGGAGGCAGAGCCGCCAGATTGGCTGTTGAGGGGTGGTGGGATCTTTGCGGGTATAGCGAACATGTCGAACTCGATCCTGGGCGCGGGAATCATCGGTGCGTTGCCCTCTTTGCCTTCGTCCTCCCCCTCGCGCTGATAATCACTTCCTCGTGGCGACTTTCGCTTCGTCTCACAGGTCTGCCCTACGCACTAAGAGAAGCAGGCTTCCTCACCGGCATCCTCCTCCTCATCTTCCTCGGCGTCGTCACAGACTGGACGATCCGCCTCATCGTCCTGAACGCAAAAATGAGCGGCCGAAGATCCTACATCGACATCCTCGACTCGTGCTTCGGCAAGCCCGGTCGAGCAGCTGTCTCGTTCTTCCAGTTCGCTTTCGCGTTTGGCGGAATGTGCGCGTTCTGCGTCATTCTCGGCGACACGATTCCTCGGGTCCTCCTCGCCCTCGTCGGTCCCGATACGAGCTCCGTCGTCTCGTTCTTCATCTCCCGACCCATCGTCACGACCGTCCTCACAATCGGCATCTCGTACCCGCTCTCCCTCTTCCGCGACATCGAGAAACTCTCTCACGCTTCCACACTCGCTCTCATCAGGTGCGTTCGCTGGTTTGCTCCTGCCTCGTTAAATGAGTAGCCCTACTGACACGGTCTTGTCGCGCAGTATGGTCGTCATCGTGGTCAGCGTCGGGGTGCGAGGACCGGGAGTCGAGGACAGCTTGAAGGGCGATCCCTCGCAGCGGTGGACAACGCTCGAGCCGGGCGTTTTCGGGGCTATTTCAGTGATTTCGTTCGCCTTCGTGTGAGTACCTGAACGCTCTGCATGACTTCAAAGCGAAGCTGACGACCCCGCGCGCAGCTGCCACCACAACTCGCTCCTCATCTACGGCTCCCTCCGCACGCCCACGCTCGACCGCTTCGCCCGCGTAACACACATCTCGACCACCCTCTCCGTCATCGCCTGCCTCTGCATGTCCATATCCGGCTTCCTCGTCTTCACCGACCGGACGCAGGGGAACATCCTCAACAATTTCGCCGAGGACGACACGTTGATCAACATTGCTCGAGCTTGCGTGCGTCTGCATTCCTTCTATAGACGGTACTGAGACGCAGCTGACGATGGCGAGCGCAGTTCGGCTTGAACATGTTCACGACCCTCCCGCTCGAGGCTTTCGTCTGCCGCGAAGTCGCAGAGACGTACTTCTGGCCCGACGACCTCGTCTTCAACAAGCGAAGACACGTCCTCATCACCACCGCCCTCGTTTTCAGCGCGCTCGTCGGTGCGTCCGTCCCTTTCTCGTCGCCCGAAGCAAGACTGACCCTTCTCCGTTTCGGCCACAGTCTCACTCATCACCTGCGACCTAGGCTTTATCCTCGAACTAGCAGGCGGTTTCTCCGCCACCGCACTCGCCTACCTATTCCGTTCGTCCCTCCCTGCTCCCTCCTCCCTCCTCTTCCCAACTAACCTCTTCCCCTTCCCTCGCAGCCGCAGCATGCTTCCTCCGCCTCTCCGGCTCAGGTCGCCAACTCGCCCCTCAACGAGTCGCAGCCTGGGCGTGCGCGGCGTTCGGGGTGCTCGTGATGGTCCTCTCGACGTTTTTGAGCATCAGGAAGGCGTTGACGGGGGAGGCGCACAAGCAGTGTTGAAATGCGACGGCAGAAATGTCTACTACGTCACAGTGGGCTGCTTGTCTGTGCGAGCGTGAACCACCGACCCGACCCGTCCCTCGCTCTTTCTCCAGCGCTTCACCGCTCATTCGCGAACTGCTCGCAAGACCTCGCCCTCTCCTCCGCGCTCTCATCTGCTTGCTTTACGCGTTGCCATCTCGCTGTACTGCCCCTGCGACAGCCTGGACACCAGTCTTCATCACTCATCTCCCTCGTTCGCGACCACTGATTGTCATGCCCGCTCTCTCGTCCGTCCTGGCCTGTGCGATGCCATCTTCTTCGCCAGTCGAAGCCCCCGTACCGCCTGGGGGTCACTGCGGGTCTGCCCCACCAGACTTGTCGGACCATCAGTCCAATCCCCTCTACCTCCCCCGCTTCATCCTCTTCAAGCCGGATCTAGCCCCTTTGATTGATGCGACGGTGCAAGAGAAGGTGCGCAAGGCGGAGGAGAAGAAGATCGCTGCGGGCGAGACGGTCGACGTCGTCTCGGAAGGGACGGCGAGCCAGTTTGCCAGGTTGCTCGACGACTTCGCCATGCCCCTTCCCTTCTACATCGAGTCGTCAGTCGACCAGGCGATGCAATTCCTCTTGCGCGCGGTCATCGCTCTCGTCAACCCTCTCTACGCTCTCTTCGACCTTCCTTCGCCGCCGCGACACTTTGTTCAGCCCAAGCTCTTGCTTCCGCCTACCGACAGTCACGGCAAGCAGCACAACCTCAAACTCGAGATCGACTTGTCCATTCAGCGCTTCGTTGCGGCCACCGCCGACACGGGCCTTCACACGACTGCTCCTCAGCCTGCGCAGAGCTGGCGTCATCGCTTCCTCTCCTGCTTGACGATCAGGACGCCCGATGCTTCGCGTCCTGCGACAGCCGCGCGAACCGCCAGCGGAGCCGGCGAGGAGGGAATCTACCGCCAGCTGATTCGCTGCATGCGACAGTCTCCTTGTCTCTCCCCTCAGCAAGTCAACTCACAAGTAACTGACTTCGCGGCCAGCTCATGCTTGCTTCAGGTACGTCAATCCGTACCGCCGGCAGACTTTCGCAAGCGACGCGGAGCTGACCTACGGCTTGGACGATGCGACAGGCGATACAAGGAGCGCGACTCGCCGGCGTGACTTCATTCGTACTTGTGGACGGTCTCTCGTTCGTGATCGGCGAGCTGGTTGATCTCGAATCAGGCGGGTTTGACGTCTTCCTTTCGGGCCTTCATCCTATCGCATCCACCGATCCGACGCAGCCGAGCCTACTCCGCATACTGCTTCGCTCAATCCTTCCAGAACAGCTTGGGGTTGCCTCGCTGCATGGCGACGACTTGGCAGGCGCCGCGTTCGACGAGGATCGACAAGCTCTTCTGGTTGAGGCGGTCGGGGAGGATCGCAACCTGTCGTCCAGCTCAAGCGAGGGGGACGTGTCTATCGCGAGGAAGGCCGGTGTGCCGGATCATCAGGACTTGCAGTCAGCTCGCTCTGAAGTGCGTGTCGTCTCTCCGCTGCTGTTGCGACCACGCTGACGCCGTAATCCCGCAGCGATGGTTGCTCACCTGCACATACCCCGACGGAGTCTCTTTGGTCGGCCGGTCTCTTAGCGCTGTTTCGACAACTTCGTCTGCTGAGTCCACCACATCTTGCGATTCACGACCTGCCACGCCTGCCGCAACCTCTCCATTCTCCGTCTCTCCAGACTACTACAACTCGCCCATCGCTCTCGTCTCGCTTGTAGGCCGAGGCGCTGTGGGACACGTTTATCGCGGAACGGACAGCGTAGGAAATGCGGTTGCGGTCAAGATCGCTCGACCCGGGATGGAGGACTACCTTCGAGATGAAGCTCTTCTCGGTCGCGACCTCCGCGCCTACAACGAGGACGTTCTCACGTTCGAAGGATTATTTGAACGACACGACGGACGCTTGTTCGCGGTGATGCAGGACGGAGGTGAAGCGCCCGAAGATTGGAGGGAGGTTTCGTTGGAGACCCGGTGCGTTCGCGCATCTCTCCCTCGCGACACGCACACGCACTAATCAGCTTCATTCGCTAGGCTGTCGCTGTTCGTCTCCCTCCTGCGACTCCACCAGAAAGCCGGCATCCTTCACGGCGAGATCGCACCTCGGAACTGCGTCCTTGCTCCGCCTTTCGCCCGCCTCTTCACGTGTCTACGCTCGCTGGATAGACCTCTCAAAGGCGACGACTGGTCATAAATGTCCTGGGCGCGGCTGCACAGAGCTGAAGTGGGCGGCTGTTGAGATGGGCCTCGTGGCGGCGGAGGAGGCGGGTGTCATCGTGGCGAGAGCTTCAAGCGAAGAGCTAGTATGGTAGAACCTCTGCAGTCTCGTTTGCGAAACGCAGCTAGGCATGGTGCAAAGCGTTTGCGAAACAACATTCTACGAATGAGATGCGAGAACAAGCCTCCGTCTCTTCCTCCTCCTCTGCCCGCCGCACGCTCAACCCGACAACGGCAACCCACACACCTCGCAGTCCGCCCCCGCGTCAGGCGGGTTCTCGAACGTACAATGCGGGCAGACCTTTGCTCCTCCCGCTGCGCCCAAGTCGGCTGCAGCGCCGGAGCCGGAAGCAGACGTCTCGGGAGGCATGTCGATGTCGGGAGGGATGTCGAAGCCGTCGAGCGTCTGAGTCGGCTGTTGTTGGGCGGAGGAGTCGGAACCGCCGGGATAGGTGCGAGGCGGAGGGGCAGGGGCTGCGACAAGCGATTCGAGGTGAGCCACAGTGATGGAGGCAGAGAGGAGAGAGGGACGCACCCTGCTCTTGCGCGACAACCATGAAGGTCTGCCAACCTGGCGAAGCGAACAGCTGCGCCAGGACGGTCGCAAGCTCGCGCTGCGAGGCGATCGAGCGGTCTGTCGGGCGGATGGTCGCGATGCGGCACATCAGGCGGAGATCGTTCTGCGGTGACTCACTCGGGTCAGTCGAGGGTCATGGCGCAGGGAGAGAAGCGCGACACACCTCTTCGAACATGCCGCAGTCAGTCAAGAAACGCAACAAGTGCCAGTCGCTCAGCCACCTCGCCACCTTTTCCACCCCCTCATCCGCGCTCAGCACCTCCAGCTCCTTCTCCCTCTCGCCCGGATCCGCATTCGTGCCAACCGTGCCCGACAAGAGTTCCGCCGGGATGTCCTTTGCGAGTGCGAGGAAGGACGAGGCGACCGAGGAGAGGGTCTGGTCTTGCAGTCCTGCGCGGTTCTCGTGCGTGAAGGGCGTGGGGGAGGTGAAGAGCGGGTTGGGCGAGACGGGGAAGCCGTGCGTGACCTGCGTAACGACGGATTCGTCAGCTTGCACGCGCCTGACGAGGTAGAGCGCACGACGCACGTTGACGAGGAGATACTCGACCGGGAAGCACGGCTTGGCGCTCTCCTTGACCTCGAGTCCGTACTTGTTCTTGTAGCGGTAAAACACGTCGGGGATGTACCTCGTCGGACCCTCCTCCTTGACGCGTACGATTCCCGGGTCGACACTCGCCTCCACCATGTCGGCGTCGACCATGGCCATCGCCTGGTCCGAGACTTGGTACGCCTCGACAGCGATCTGGCCCTGGATGTCGCCCGACAAGACGCATGTCACGAAGCGAGACGAGAAACGGCCGGTCATCGAGAAGCGCGAGGCGGTGGGGTGTTTGCGCTGCAGCGAAGCGGAGAAGAGGACCTCCAGACTCGACAGGAAGAACGAGTTGGCGTGCCGCTTCGCGACGACCTTGTCCGCCTTCTTCGCGTCCTCGGAAGAGGTGTCGGGCGTCAAGTCGGTAAAGATGACGCCGACAATCTGCAGCCCGCACGCGTCTGCGAGCGCCTGGACCTTCGCCTCCTCCTCCCAAGGAAAGCCAACCGTGATGCCGTCCGCATGCGGTTCCTGCGGCGGCTCGTGGATCGCCTCAACGACCGCCTTGACGCCCATCGGAACCTCCTCATACGGCGCGTACGTTCCAAGGAGGTACCCAAACCGCTGTGTGCCCGTTTGGCGCCAGAATCCGAGGAGACCGTCGATGAGAGCTGGATTGGCGAATTCGACATGGTCGACCATTCGGTATTGCTGGCGCGTCAAGGTGATGGCGGAAGGCTGGCACTTTGTGCAGATACCGGCGGGCCAGGGAGGGTGCGAGCCGGATGAACAAGGGACGGCGACGCGGTAGGATTCTTCCGAGAGGGGAGGGATGTAGGTCGAGGATTGTGCTGAGGATGGGATCGAGGCGTGCAGCTTCTTCAGGTAGGCGTGGTACGAGAGGTGCTTGATGTTATGCGAAGCGTGGTATTCGGCGTCGAAGGGCTGCACGCGAAATCGGTCAGCTCATCCCGCGCACGAAAGCCGACTCGGACGCACCTCGAGCGGCATGCAGTGATTACACATGCTCTTCGGCCCACATCTGCACCCATGCTGACCCTTCGGCCTCGCAATCTTGCCATCCTTCTGCTCCCAATACCGGTCGACCTCGTCCTCCTTCGCCTCTTCCCACGGTCTCCTCACAGCAGTCTGCTTGTCGTTCGATCCATTCGCGAGAGAAGTCGAGGCAGAGGCGGAAGTTGAGGCGATGGGGAGCGAGTCGAGCGGGACGGGCTTGCCGGAGAGGGTTGCGGCGTGAGAGGAGGAAGAGGTGGTCGGAGTTGCTGTGCCGGAAGCGGGATGGGACGAGAGGGCAGAGGGTGCTGCTCGGGTCTTGTAGGAAGCAAAGAGGAGGTCTCCGTGGCTGTTGCGCTCGATCCAGTCAGCACGCTTCGGAGGATGCGAGCAAGTGAAAGAAGCGCACCTGATCCCGAGGGAAGCCAAGTCGCCCGTGATGCCCGAGACGGGGTTCTCTCCTCCTCGCGGCTGGTTCGAGAGCGCAAGCGTGTCGGGGTCGATCTCGTTCGACGTCTCGAGGATCTGGGAGGTGGGGAGGAGACGATGGTCAGCGCTGAGTCGTCCCGGAATGCGATTGCGGGTACACGGTGTGCTCAAGAGAGCTCAACACGACTATCCAGAGTCCAGCCAGTCCGCTCCGTCGAGTCCTGGTGGTACTCGCAACGATGACGAGTCTCTCGAGGCGACCCGCTCGTCCTCGCCCCCTCGCCCCTCCTGTGCCCGTCGGACCAGCTCGGGAGCACTCCAGAGCGAGAAACAACGTTGTCACCTTTTGCACGAGCACGCTGATGTCGTCCGAGGGTTCGAGGGTGAACCTGTGGTTGCCGTTGGGTGCGCGGATGCGGACGAGCTGCGATTTCGACGCCGTCAGCCTTCTAGTGCGCTGTAGGTTTCCTGCAGTGCTCACCATTGCGCCTGACTCGCTGTGTGGTCAAAGTCGAGTGAGCTGGCGAGGGTGGGGCTGTGCGGCGAAAGCTCGACGGGCGGAAGTGGCTTGGTCTCCCTCGTTCGCTCTCGCTGGCTGGGCTGCTGACACGCTAGAACGACTCGCTGAAACTACGGCACCATGGGCATCAAAAAACTAAAGCTCAACGAGCAGAAGCGGCAGCACAGGCGCGTCCTCTCCTCGTCCTCATCTCTGCACTCCCTAGGCTAACACGGCGATGGACGGGACAGGGAGCGCTCGCAGCCCGCCAACAGGAGCAAGCTCGGCCTGCTCGAGAAGCACAAGGACTATGTGCAGCGCGCGAGGGACTTTCACTCCAAGGAGGACCGCATCCAGCGGTTGAGGGAGAAGGCCAGCTTGCGAAACAAGGACGAGTTCTACTTTGGCATGATCAAGAGCAGTACAAAGGTGCGCACTAGCGGTCCTGGCTTGCGCCCGAGCTGAAGCTGACGACGTTCGTTTCCTCCGCCCGCAGAAAGGCGTCCATGTCCAGTCGAGGGGCAACGAGCCGCTCCCGACCGACCTCGTCACGGCGCTCAAAACCCAGGACGCAACCTACATCCGCATGCAGGCGACGATGGAGCAGGGTGTGCGTCCTCTCTCTCGCCTCTGTCTCTCGCCCGCTTGCCGAAATTCATGCTCGTCTCCCCGCAGCGCGTCCAACGATTGAAGGAACAACTCGCCGCACTGGTCGATACCGCGCTTCCCTCGTCGGTGAAGGGCAAAGCGAGCGCGCAGGATGAGGACGACGAGATGGACGATTGGGACTTGTACGACGACGAGCCAGTTGCTTCGACGTCTGCGGCGGGCGTCAAGCGGAATCATGTCGTCTTCACGGACAGTTTGGATGCAGGTGCGTGGCTAGTTCGCTCGCTTCACAGATTCTAAAGGCTAACGCGCCTTGCGCGCAGTCCGCTCCGGCACCGTCGAGACACTCCTGCGAAAACGCGCAACACCTACCGCCCTTCCCGCCTCCGCCACTGCCTCCGACGCTTCTTCTACTGCCAAGCGACGGCCCTCTAAGCCCAAGCCCGCTTCTGCCGACGCACACCCAGAAACCGACATCTCCACCCTCTCCTCCGAACTCCTCGCCTCCGCCACCGCCCACCGCACGCGCCTCGAATCCGAGCTCGCACAACGGGAAGCCCGTCTCGTGCAGCTCAAACGCGCAGCGCGCGAGTTGGAGCTCCAGCGATCTTTGATGGGCAAAGGAGCGAAGGAGGTTGTGCGCGCGAAGGGCGATCGGAAGGCAGGAGAGGAGGAGTGGTGGTTGCAGGGCGTCAAGGGTGCGAGGAAGGGCAAGGGTGGGGCGAGCGCGGAGCAGGAGGATGGCAAGTTGCCCATGGCGGAGGAGGGCGTTGCGACTGGTGCGAGGGTCTGGGTGCGTCTGCGAGTCCTTGTCCGTCCTATCCCGGTTCAGCGGCTGACCATCCGTGTTCGCCGTCGTTCGCAGAAGTGGAAGGCGCAGCGCAAACGGTAGATCCCTCTCCATCTCGTCCCGCTCCCTTCTCTCGCAATTCGCATGCCCGTGTTGTCCTGTTACTGCGTGCCCGGTCCGCAAGCGAGTCTGCGGTCTTTGCAGCAGTCGTTTCTGAGAGTCAGTCTGTGCATCGATCAGCCCCATTGGTCGAGAGAATGCCCGCGAGCGGGATGCGGCGGCATCGTGCCGAAGAGGAGGACGTCCCGGACAGCGACCACAACACAGGCTGGTTTGGTCGAAGCGAGAGCGTAGTCATAGCAGTCTCTGAACCGCATCCCGCAGCGTCAACGCCCGCAAGAGAGCCGTCGCCGCCAGATCCGTTCATCTCGAGGTGTTCGCACAAACCCAACCTCGGTTGGCTCCCGCCGCGTCGCTCCCAGCCACTCTCTGTGCGTCTAGCGAAATCGAGCACGGCGAGGAAGAAGCCTACTGACCATCTCGAGCCACCCTCGCGCAGCTCCCGCCCTTCGAGGTTCTCCTCTCGTCCCCCAACTCGCTCGAAATGATCCGCAACCTCGTCGCCCAGCGGGCACGCGCCTGCGCCCGCACCCAGGCGGTCCGCCGTGCGTCTACCAGCCCGTGCCGTGTGCCGCTCGAAGCGCCAGCTGACCTCGTTCGAACGCCGCTCTGATCCCGCCGCATCCTCTTGATCCCATCTCTCTGCGCCCGCTCTCGACTGCCTGATACGATGCACGCGCCGCAGAGTTCCATGCGACCCCTTGCGCTGCGGCTCTCACCAAGTTCCTCTTCCCCGCCATGTTCGTCCTCCCTACTACTCTGGAGGCATTCGAAGCCGAGCTGATCGCATCTCCTCTCCTCGCCCCACTCCTTGCGGTATGTGTCCGGATGCAGGTCCCCTACGATGACTGAGGGAGGCATCGCCCAGTGGAAGAAGAAGGAGGGCGAGTCGTTCGCGCCCGGAGACGTTCTCCTCGAGATTGTGCGTTCGCTCTCGTTCGTGGCAGTCTGAGTGCAGCCTACTGACTGTCATTCTTGCACACGAACAGGAGACGGACAAGGCTACGATGGACGTCGAGGCGCAGGACGAAGGTGTTCTTGGCAAGATCTTGGTGAGTTTGCGACTCCCCGACACTTCTTACCTGCTGCGAGCTTACCTTCTCTCGCACACACAGGTTGGCGACGGCTCCAAGGCTGTTCAGGTCGGCTCGCCGGTCGCCGTCATCGGTGAGGAGGGCGACGACTTCTCGGAGGAGCAGATCCAGTCCGTCTTGAAGGAGGCACCCTCGGGCGGCGACGTTGCCGAGCCGAAGCAGGAGTCGAAGCAGGAGAAGAAGGCCGAGGAGCCTAAGAAGGAGGAGCCGAAGAAGGAGGAGGCTGCGCCCAAGAAGCAGGAGTCGAAGAAGCAGTCTTCGCTCGAGCTTTCGTCCGACCGCCCCATCATCCTCGCTTCCCCCATGGCCAAGCGCCTCGCACTCGAGAACGGCGTCCCCCTCGCCAAGGTCAAGGGCACCGGCCCCGACGGCCGCATCCTCGCCGAGGACGTCGAGAAGTACAAGGCGTCGGCTCCCTCTGCCGCCGCTGCTGGACCGGCCGCCGCTGCCAAGGCCTCGCCTGCCGCTGGCGCCGGCGCTGCCTACACCGACACGCCCGTCTCGAACATGCGCCGCACCATCGCCTCGCGCCTGACCGAGTCCAAGTCGGGCACGCCCCACTACTACCTCACCGCCGAGATCAACATGGACCGCGTCAACAAGCTCCGCGAGGCGTTCAACACGGCCGCCAAGGCTGCCGACGCTGCTGGCGCATCCAAGGATGGCGTCAAGGGTGGTGTCAAGCTCTCGGTCAACGACTTCATCGTCAAGGCCTCGGCGCTCGCGCTCCAGGACGTCCCCGAGGTCAACTCCGGCTGGCACGGCGACTTCATCCGCGAGTACGCGACTCAGGACATCTGCGTCGCCGTCGCGACTTCCAACGGCCTCATCACGCCCATCGTCGCCGACGCCGGCCGCAAGGGCCTCGCGACCATCTCGTCGCAGGCCAAGCAGCTCGCTGCCAAGGCGCGCGACGGCAAGCTCAAGCCTGAGGAGTACCAGGGCGGCTCGTTCACCATCTCGAACCTCGGCATGATGGGCATCGAGTCGTTCACGGCCATCATCAACCCGCCCCAGTCGTGCATCCTCGCCATCGGCGCGAGCGAGAAGAAGCTCGTCATCGACCCCGCGAGCGAGAAGGGCTTCAAGGAGGTCTCGGTCATGAAGGCGACTCTCTCGTGCGACCACCGCGTCGTGGACGGCGCTGTCGGCGCAAGGTGGATGAAGGCGTTCAAGTCGTACTTGGAGGTGCGTCCGCTGCCTCTGCCTGCCCGTCTCTCGCACGCTGACCCTGCTTGCCTGCGCAGTCTCCCCTCTCGTTCATGCTGTAAACATCCTTATCACCCGTTCCTCTTCCCTCTCTCTCCTTGACGGATTCTCTTGATGCACCCCTCTTCGTTTCGCGGCATTTCTTCGTTCTCTCTCTTTCTTTTGGCACACTCTTCTTTCCTCGAAAACCCATCGTAGGAATGGCAATCTCAGCTCATCTAGACGTTCGCTCCATCCCCTCATCGCGGGTCGCCAGAAGTCCGCGGACGTTCCGGCCCCAGCTCTTCGCCTCTCTCTTCCTTCCTCTACTCCCTCACACAGAAGGCTCATGCGCGCATGGAGCGCGGACATGCTCGCTTGCCGTCGACGGACGACGACACGGACTCGAGCGACGATGGCCATTCCAGCGCTTCCTCTCGCTCTTCGCGATCGAGTAGATTTCCCAGCAGTAGTGACAGGGATTCAGACGACGATGCGCAGGACATGGACGACGAGGAGGTGGAAGAGCATGTGCGTGCGCCTTCCCACTCTTCGCGAACTGTTGGCGCTGACCGCTCGTCCGGTCCATCAGCCCCGTCGACGCCGACGACGCAGCAATATCCTCCTTGTCGTTCTCCTGCTTCTGCTGCTCTGCGGAGCACTTGGTGTTGCCGGCTGGTTCTGGTGGACCAAGTCTGGCTCCTCGTCGACGAGCGCGAGCGATGCTGCTTCGACAGTCACTGCGACTGCATCTCCTGCGGCGGGGACTGAAGCAGGGAGTAGCGATGGCGAGATGGGACAGTCGACGGCTGATGCGCTGGCGACGGGTGGAGCAGATGCTGGTGACTCGGTGCGTTCTACCGTCTCTCGCCTGCGGCGACTTCGTCCCGCTGTAGACTCCGTTTCAGCACGTACTGACCTCCCTTGCGTTTTGCAGAATCCGTACGTTCGACTGCTCATACGAGTCTAGACCTACGAGAAGTGAATCTGCTCTTGACATCCGTCCACTGCTCGCAGCAACCCTACAACGCACAACACAGCTTTTCCGGCCGGTACCGGCTCCAACACAAGTCCTCAGCCCTCGAACGGCGGTTCTCAGCAACCAGCCTCGTCCTCCAAGACCTCTGCCTCCGCCGGCTCTGCTTCCTCCCCGACGAAAGCAGCCTCGACGAACCTAAAGACCTGCAAGAAAGGCACCGGATACAACGACGCCAAGCTTACGCTCCAGCTGAACCTGTGCTGGGCGTACAATTGGGCTTCGACAGCCGGCGGATCGCTCGGAGACGGCGTGATGTACGTGCCGATGTTGTGAGTGCGGTCCAGCCTCTTCCTCTTTCTTTCGATCATGTTGACATGCCTTTCGCGCAGATGGGGCAGCAGCGACCAGTACACGAAGGATTGGGATGAAAACGCCCGCGCAGCAATCGCCGCCGGAGCGACGCACGTCTTTGGGTGAGGCGCCTCCCTTTGTCTGTTCCGTAGGCTCGCTCTCTGACTATACGCATCTCTCGCAGCTTCAACGAGCCCGACCTCGCCGAACAGTCGAACATCTCGCCGAAAGACGCCGCCGACGCGTGGAAACAGCACATCCAGCCTCTCGCTGGCTTGGCAAAGCTCGTCTCGCCAGGTGTAACGAACGGCGTCAAGACCGCTACCGGTGCGCCAATAGGAGTTGCGTGGCTCAAGGAGTTCATGGCGGCGTGCGACGGATGTACGATCGACGCTGTTGCGGTGCGCCCGACACCTTCTCTCTTTCGCAAGGGATGCAGGTCACTGAGCGTTTGTTTTGGGGGCTTGCAGCTGCATTGGTACGACGCTGCGAGGTGCGTCCTGCCGTGGTTGCAACGCTTTCTAGGCGGGAAGATTGCTGACCTTCCTAACGTTGGCTTCCATCTCTCGCCTGCGCAGCAACACCGCCTACTTTACCTCGTACCTCGAGCAGACGTACAAGAATCTGAGCAAGCCGATCTGGCTGACCGAGGTGCGTTCGCAAACTCCGACTTCCTCGAATCTCCTGCTCGCCTGCTCACCCTTGTTTGCGTGTGCAGTTCATGGGTACCGGCTCGTCCACGGACCAGGCGACGTTCCTAAAGTTTGCGGACCCGTGGCTAGAGAAGCAGACCTTTATCGAAAAGTATGCGGCGTTTGGTGGGTCCGCCTCTCTCCTTCGCCTGTTCCTTGCCTGACGCTTTCTCCGACAGGCGACTTCGCTAGCAACCCAGTAGCGGTCTTTGTAGACAAAGATGGGACGCCCAACGACCTGGGCAAGGTGTATGCGGGCGGGTAGACGCGATTGTACTGGACAGGCATGTTATATCTCAGAATCTCAGGTCTCGACGATCTTGCCTGTGCTACGAGACGAGAGGCCGTTTGTATGACGTAGCAATGCGTGGAGATGTAGTGCAAGATGTGTACAACAACGATAAATGCGATGCGGGTGGAGGACGTGAATGTTGCTAAGTTTCCGTCGCCAGATTCGCCAACCACGCCAAGCCCAGCTCCTCCAGAGTGCGCTGTCCGCACACTGCGTCTGGCGGCTGCTCCCTCGCGGCCGCCCGCTCCGCACTCATTGCTTCAACAACCTCCTGCCGTTCCTTCGCTTCTCGCGCCTTCGCCTCCGCAGCCTTCATCCGCCTTAGCTTGCTAGCCCGCTGATAGCAGTTATCGCCCGTTCGTGGCGGGTCGAGCGACTTGCCCACCGCGCTCCAGTCAACTCGGGTGTTGGAGAGGATGAGCGAGAGGAGATGGGCGTCGTCGGCTGCTGAATAAAGGTAGCGCTGGCGTGGTGCTGCAGAACGGTATCCGTGAGTATGAAGTGGGGAGAGCCGGGAGGAAAGCGTGCTGACCTGGACGGAAAGCTGCTGCATCTGGCGGACTCGCTTCGTGTTCCGCTCGTCGCACTGCACAAGCGTACGTCGTCAGCCGCAGCAGGAGAAGTACAAGCTTGAAAAGAGACGCACAGTCCCGCTTGTCCTTCAAGATCAGATACCTCGCCCTACACTCCTTCCCCGTCCGACCCAATCCCGCCTTCCTCGCAATCGCAACCCACGACAACTTCCGATTCACCGGCGCCTCCTTCACGCTCATCAGCAACTCGTCTTCCTGCGCTGTCCAGTAGACTCGGACGCGGCGGACGGGTTGATCGGTGGATGTCGAGGTTGAGGGAGTTGGAGAGAAGTCGGTCGAGGGCGTGAGAGCTGGAGTTGGCGGGAAGTCGATGGTCGTAGCGGGCGTAATGAGCGCAGAAGAAGCGAAGGGAGAGTCAATGAAGGTGGTGGCGGGCGTAGCGGAGAAGTTAGAGAGGGTCGAGGAGGAGTCGAAGGCGGAGAACGGGATTGGTAGGTCGGGAAGGACTGCGCCGGCTTGCCCGCTGGATGCGTTATCGGTCCAAGGTCCTTCAGCACTGAGCAAGCGCTCTATGCGGGCGGAAGAGCGTGATCAGCCGCCACACCTCGCTTCGACAGATGAAGAAGAAGCGACGCACCCAACTCCACCGCATCCAACTGTGCCGGGCCAGTCTCGTCCATACATCCTCCCAGCAACACCTCCCAGTCCACCACGATATCCTCCTCCACCGCAACCGTCTTGCTGAGCTCGTCGCAGGCGATTTGTGGCGTCCCTTCGAAAGTCGAGACCGGCGCTACAAGGACCGCCGGAGTCGCGGGGGGTGTCAAGACTTGTACATCGAGGTCTCGGCGGCTGGTGCTGGTCATGCAGCGCGGGAAGCGGGACGGATGGAGGGTGGGAGAAGGGAGAGAAGCGAAGGCGGGCGGGATGAGAATGTTCAGAGGGATAGGAGGGGCTCGCTGCTTGCGTTTTTTACGGCGCCAAGGGAAGCGAGAAGTGGCTACATGGCACGCTAGATCAGGCGCAGTGGAGACACGAATGGAAACTAGACGAGGAGGCGGATGTACAGGTCAAAGAGGTCGAGGAGGCGCGAATGGGAGACAACAAACGGTGTACGGATGCGTGAATAGGACGATGAGCACGTAGGGAGAGAGACGACAAACACGAGGCAAAGAACCCGAACCTAAACCGAGAACCAGAATGAAGCACACCCTCCCTTCCTTTCCCCGCTCAGAGCAACTCATCACACGCCCTCTCGACCATCCTCGACAACCCCCTCCCATTCGACTCGCACCACACATCCGTAAGCGCGATCCTCGTTGCGTGCTCGCTGACGTCGAAGCCGAGTTCGGCGGCGGCGAGGAGGAACTTGGTGAGGAGGATAGGCTTGTCGTCGTCTGACGCCGAGGATGAGGTCGACGTCGAGGAAGTGGACGAGGAAGAGGAGGCGGGCGAGGCCGGGTAGGCGGGGTTGTACGCCGGCGTCGACGTCGACTCCGCGACGAACGGCTGCTGGACCGAAGCCGCCGGAACAGCGAACGAAGCCGGCATGCCCCCGGGCATGCAACTCATCTCGACTCCCTCCTGACCCTCCCTCTCCTGACCCATCGACTCCCTCGAAGCCTTCAACAGATCGTCCTGCGCGCGCGCCAGGAGCTCCGCCTCGCGTTCCTTCTTCGCGCGGCGCTCGAGCTTGCGCTGGGCCTTCTCGAGCCGACGGGCGGCTTTGTGTTGCTTCTTCGCTTGGCGGATCGCGCGGCGTGCGGCGCGTGCGGCGGAGGACTCCAGGTCCACGTCGGCGTCCGCAGCTGGGGCGGGATCAGTCGAAGTAGCCGTGCTCGTCGACACCGGCACGCCCTGCGCCGCCCTAGCCTGCTCCATCGCTCTCCTAACCTCCTCCTCAAACCTCCTCTTCTCCCTCTCAAACTCGCCCCTCAACTCGTCAAACTCGTGCCTGACGCCGTCCGCCTCCTTCCTCACGCCTTCAACGACTTCCCCGATCGCACGTGTGAGGTCTTGTCCCACCGCAGCAAGCGAGGCGCTCAGGTCGCGCAAGTCGAAAGAGGGAGAAGGGAATTCCGAAGTCGGGTTTTGCAGGAGGGAGGAGAGGCGGCCCAAAGCCGAGTCGGGGGAGGTGAGGAGCGTAGAGAGGTGTGAGGAGAGTGAGGTGGCGTGCGAAGGGAGGCCGGAGAGTAGGCCCGACAGCGAGGAAGGGAGGGTCGTGAATGCCGGAGGAGCATCTTCACTGGCGGCGGCGGGGATGGGCTCGTCGGCGGGATCCTCCGCGACGGGAGGCGTAGAGGAAGGACGCGGGAACTCGGACTCGATCATCGCGCGCGGCTTGTCCGCTAGCGAACTCGTCTCCGCATTCGTATTGAGCGGAGCCTCGGCGGGATCCTCAAAGTCGAAGGGATCCTCCAAGTCGAAGAGGAGTGTGGGCGTCCCGACGGGCGTGTGCTCGTCCGCCTGCGAGTTCTGGAGACTCGTGTCCCCTGGCGTACCGACGTCGAGCCATTCGTCTGCCGAGGTGTACTCGCGTTCGCCGCCGGACGACTGCTGAGGCGTTTCGGCGGGTGAGACGGGCGCGCGCTGGCTCGCCGGCGTCGTGAGTTGGAGGCGGACAGTACGCGTGTTGCCGTCGAGCGACTGGAGCAACTCCTGCAACTCTTCCTCGCACGACTACATCCGACCCCCCTCGAAACGCGTCAGCAAGTCCAAGTGGCGACACTCGCCTGGGAGCGGCGCAAGACTCACAAGCACGATCCAATCCCCCTCTTCATCCAGATAACACAGTTCCACGTCCCCCTCCTCTGCGAGTCCAAAGCGCTGCCGGATCGCGTGCGAGAGGTGGGCGAAGTGGAGCGGCGAGGTTGGGGAGTGAGGGAGGGTGAGTTTGCGGAGCTGAGGAGGGCCGGAGGGAGTCGGGGCGGAGATCTTGAATGTGAGAGTGGACATTGTGGCTCTCCGATAGGTGCGGGAGAGGGACTGAGGGGAGGAGGACGAGGGTCATCGCAACTGCGGCATGAAATGGCTTCGAGTCTCTCTAAGGCTTGTTTGGCTTTGCAAAGATGCTTGCAATGCTCTGAGGATCATCGACATGGAACGCGGCGCAATGGCGGTGGGTCGAAGCGAAGGAACCCTTCGAATTCGTTGCAGACCCGTAAGAGAGAGCTCGGAAGCCTTCCCTTCGCTTTGAATAGCCATACGACCGGTCGACATACTCGGCAAGACTGATCCGGCGAGAACCTGGCCCGAAAATGGGAGGAGGGTGAACGAGAGAGCGAGAGGACAGGGCGGAAGAGCGGGAAGAATCGTCTCGTATCGCAGCGACGCGATCTGGTTCGGAAAGCGCCTAGTAAGCAGTTGCACTACAGGTCGCAGACTCGTCAGGAGCCGACGGGACAGCTCGGCGAGCAGGACCTGGCGACGGAGGTGAGCCGCCGGAGGAGGAGGAATAGTGCAAGCAGCGCGGGCAACGCCCTCCTTGGTTCGCTGGTGACGGTTCACGCTCGAGTCCGGGCCTGTGAGCATGGCCACAACTGCGAGCGTACCTGCCCACAAACGAACGAGCAAGGAGGAGCTGATGCGCGTCGAACAGCGTTCGAGCCGGCTGTAAGGGCGAGGTAGCGTAGACGGCGGGTGCGGCGTGGCGTACGTGTCCAGCTTGTCGTTGTCGTGGCTGTAGTCGGCCGTCTGCTGCGTACTCGAGCGAGGAAAGGTGTGGCCGAGGGAGGTGAATGGTCGGAAGGGTAGGAGAGCTCGCGAGGTCGCTGAGAGCCGCGCGAGTGCTGCCGGGTCCTCGTATGGGCCAGCATTGACAGCCACAGAGCGAGGACTGGCGAGCAACAGAGGGAGGCGCGGGTTCGGGCTGCGAGGGTCGAGGCACACTCCGGCTGCCCCTTCCAATCGGGGAAAGTGCGAGTGTGCCAAGAGACTGCCAACTCTCGTCCTCGCCCAGTCTTGTCCAAATCCTCCGCCGCCCTCCTCGCTCTGCGTCCCAGCCTCGCTCACTCTGCACGCACGCACACACTCGGACCACGTGACTAGACGAGCATCCACACACACAGCCAATACACGTGAGTCTCACACACCCACTCGGACAAACTGCCCCCGGCCAATCCCCCTCGCCGCCATCCACCCGCGCCAAGACCCCCCTGCTGCAACCCATTGCGACCGCTCGACCACCCACAGCAAGCCAGCCACAGCGTCCGTGTCACTCTTGCTACTCAGCCAAGCCGTGACGGCTCCGCATTTCAGACGGCGCGGGCGGGTGCTGCGAGACGGAGGACGGCGTGGTGTTCGCAGGGGCGTGCCGCTGGTGTGGGTCGCTTGCGGGAGTGCGCATGGGTTGCTCGGGGTGTTCTACGAGGACGTGCATGGCTTCGCATGCTCGCGCCAGACTCTGCGCCATGTCGACCCCTCGCCAAGACTCACCCGTCAACTACTCGGCTCGCTCAGAACTCTGCGCTGGACTGACCACGCTCTCTCGTGCTCTCACACAGCTCACACGCAGCACGCACACGATGCCCAAGAAGGAGGAGAACGAGGACAACTTCTGCCACTGGGAAGAGTGCGGCCTCCAGTTCGAGACGGCCGAGGCGCTCTTCAACCACGTCTGCTCGACCCACATCGGTGCGCAGCGCTCGTCTTACTCCCCCAGAGTGACTGTACTGACGCTGTGACGACACGAGCAGGCCGCAAGAGCGCGGGGACGCTCTCGCTCGAGTGCAAGTGGACCGGCTGCCATGCCAAGGCTTCGAAGCGCGACCACCTCACCTCGCACTGCCGCGTCCACATCGCTCTCAAGCCTCACGTCTGCTCCGTGCGTACCCTCCCACCCAACTCCCGCGACTGACGCTAACGCCCGCGCACGCAGGTCTGCACCAAGGCGTTCAAGCGCCCGCAGGACTTGAAGAAGCACGAGAAGATTCACACGGAGGAGCATCAGGCGCAGCACCGCTCGAACAAGGTCCTCGCGTCGTCGGTCAAGCCCGAACCCGCCGGCGCCGACTCGCTCCACCGCCACCCTCACCAGCAGCCGCAGCAGCAGCCTCCTCCCGCTCATGCCCAACAAGCGCCTTTCCCCGTCTTCCCCTCGACGCTCGGCTACCCTTACGTCTTTGGCGCGCCTCAGCAACAGCCGCAACAGGCGCAGGCGAACTTTGGCGCCGCCCTCCCCTTCAACCTCGCCAACATGAACCTCGCGAGCCTCACGCCGGACCAGATCACCCAAATCGTCACCTTCCAACAAACGCTCAACAACCAAGCCCTCCAGCTCGTCAACGCCGGATTGATGCAGACTCAGCAGGCCGCTCCCGCCCAGGCGGCAGCGCAAGCTGCGTACGCCCTCCAGCTCCCGCAGGGCATCCAGATCCTCCCCCAAGGCGCCGCCGTCTTTCCGAACTTTTCGTTCTCGGCTGCTCCGACGCAAGGCATGACCGCGACTCCGCCGTCGTCGTCGTTGCCCACTCTTCCCGGTCAGGCGTCGTCGCTCTACCCTACGCTACCGACGTCGCTCCACGGCCTCGCACCCCTCGCTGCGTCGATGCCTCCTCCCGCCGCGCCCACCGGCGTAGCGAAGATGCCTCCTCCCTCTCGGCATCACGAAATCAAGCAGGAAGACCTCCCTTCGCCCGCCAACTCTGCCCGCTCGCACAAGTCGTCCTACACGTCTTCCCTCTCGCCGAGCAACGTCCCCGCCCTCTCGCCCGGCTCGTCGTTCTCGCCCTCCCCCGTGCCAGGCACAACTACGACCGCCACGAGTCGCCGCTCGACGAACGGCAATGTCGTAGCGGGCAAGAAGCGCGGGTTCGAAGAAGCGACAGGCCAGTTTCTGGAGCAGCTCACGAATAAAAAGTTCCACGACGCAGACTCGATCGACGCCCAGCTCGACTCGCTCGCGTCGTTCATCCTCACGCCTGAACTCGAGACTCATTCGTTGCCCCTCCCGGGTGTCGGCGTCGGTGCGGCGGGGGAGGACTCGGGCTCGTCGTCAAGTGGGTCGGAGTACGGAGGTGGACCGCAGCTCGAGGCGGAGAACGTCGAGCACTTCAACGATTTCCTGCTTCAATGCGGGCAGAAATTCGATGCCGACCTCGCGCAGACGGCGCAGTCGCTCTCGAACGCCGGGTACGGGTCGCAGACGCCTCAGCAGCAGCAGCAGACGCAGTACCCGTATACGGCGCTCTCTTTCGACTTCTCCTCCTCCGCGCCGAACCTCCTCTCGCAGTCGAGCACGCCCGCCGGCTTGCCCGCCCCGTACTCGACGCAATCGCAGCAGTCGTCCTCGTCGTCCCTGTACCCTTCGCTCCCGCCGCTCGACCGCTCACTCAACTCCCTCTCCTCGGCCTACCCATCCGTCTCCTCCGCTCTCCCGCCTCAACCGTCCTCCTACCCTCTCTACTCCTCCTACGACCCGCAAGTCCGCCTCTCGAAGCCCGTCGCGGCGCCCACAATCTCGAGCGACTACCGCCCGACACAGTATCACCATGTCGAGCGGTTGCAGCGCGCCGCACCGGTTGCCGAGGAGCAGCACCTGGGCGAGGAGGACGACATGGAGGTTGATGACGAGGTCAAGGATGCAGCGGCGGCGCTGTTGCTTGGCTTTGCCAAGGGTCGCGAGGCCCAGGCGGCGGCTAACGACCGGCCGCAGCTACCCTCGCTCGCGAGCCTCCGTCTCCCGCCTATCGGCCAGTCCGCCTCGCCCTCTCGTCTCCCACCACTGCGAGACCTCCTCACCGCCCGCCCCTCGCAACCCTCCGACACGCTCGACTCGCCCGTCTCCCCGTCCACCTCCTCGCGCGCCACCCCTCTCTACCCCTCCCTTGCCTCTCTCACGCCCTCGTCCTCGTCCCGGCCCGTCTCAGCAGGCGGCGTCGAGCGCCTCACGCACCGCGTTCACAAGCTCCGCATCCCGGAGAAATCGGTGCATGAGGCGGATTTGGCGCAGAGCTCGGGCGAGGAAGATGAAGATCACCCGACGTGCTTCAAGAAGTCTAGGGTCGAGTCGCCTGTTCCGGTCGAGGCTGAGGTGAAGGCGGAGGATCAGGGCGAGGAGGAGTTCGACGAGGAAGAGGACGAGGACGTCAAGCCCAAGACGGATGACGAGGAGGAGGACGACGACGAGGTCCGGCTGCAGCGCGAAGAAGCCGAAGCGCGTATCAAGGCCATCGCGCGCCGCAAAGCCGTCCTCGCCTACCTCGCCATTTACGTCAACACGGCCTACCGCGCTCAGCTCGCCAAGAAGAGTATGGGACAGGTCCGCAAGGCGCTCAAGAAGCCGTCGTCGCTGTCGCAGAGCGTCAAGGTTGAGCACTGAGCCGAGCTCGCTTTCGTTCTTTCCGCTGTGTCTATAGCTCCGTTTCCGCCCTTCGTCCCTTCGTTCTTCAGTGCCTGTTGATCCTTGTAGCCAATTGTCCGCACTTTGCCAACTAGACGTTTGTGACGACCGAAGCACGCGCGCACGAGAGAAGGGAAGTGAAGGGGTATTTGCACACGGAAAACGAACGACGACACTACTCATGCGATGGCGTTGACGACGAGCTGCGCGGCGCCTTCTTGCTCCGCCCGCACCGTCAGCTCCATCGTCACGCCCTTGCCCGTCTGGAACGTCATCCTCGCCCGCGCCAACACCTTTCCGCCGCCGCCCGCGACGAGTCCAGACATGTTCAGCGTGTGCACCGTCGGCGACGTAGGCGCCTCGGTACCTCCCAGCGCCTCCATGCCGAGAATCTCGATGACCGAGTCGCACGCCGTCTTGAGGCTGTCGAGCGCCGTGAGCGCAAACGTCTCTTGCGCCGTCGCTCCGCTTCGCAGGCGGTCCCATTCGGTCGCGAACGCCGCATAGGAAGGCACGATGTAGTCCGCCGCGCCAAGGTCGAGCTCCTCGAGCGAGTACTCGTCGTCGTAGCCGTCCTCTTCGGGCTCGCCCGTGTCCGGGTCGATCTCCTTCGAGAGGAAGCGGAGGGTGTTGCCGAACGAACCGGTCGCGTAGGTAGACGGGTTGTTTCGGGTGAACGAGACGTAGACGACGCCGTCCGAGTTCGGGCCGAGAGAGGCGACGGGAATGATGAAATCCTCGGTGAGATCCGCCTCTTCCGACGGCTGCATGACGACGACGACGTTCTCGAGGTGGACGGCGTCGACCGTGTTTCGGACGTTGAACTGCGGGAGAGGGAAGTCAGCGTCAATAGGTTGGCAGAATTGACAGCGAGGGAGCGCACCTGGAAGACGACATGCTCGGCAAAGACATGCTTGACGGCCGAGACTACATACTCGGTCTCGCGCTCGGTGAGCTCGACAGGCTTGCGCGTGCTCTTGAAGACCGGGCCGTAGCTGGCAAACTCGGGCACCTCGGTGAGCTGCTTCTCGTACGCCGACTGGGTCTCGCTCGCGGATGGGACGGCGGCAGAGGTGCTTGCGACGCCGCTCGCTTCGGAAGCCATCGCAACCGAGTCAATCGCGTCCTTGCGCGAATCTGTGAGCGGATGAACGGTGAGGACTGATCACGCATGCCCACGCGAGCGAAAGCCAGACGTACGCCGTGCAGCCTCAAGCGCCTGCTCCTTGCTGATCTTGGGGACGGCAGTAAAGTCGAAGGGCTGCTCGAGCGCGGACGAGTCGGCCATGTATGAGGTCAACCGTGCTTCGAGGGTGTCGAGGGAGAAGGTGGAGTCTGTTCGGTCGCAAGCGTCAACACCCAATCAACCCCACTTCAGGGAAGGGTGCGCACCATCGCGAACGAAGGTGTTGGCGAGCGGCTCGTCCTGCATAAGCTTGAGGTTGAAGGCCGCACGATCGCGAACCTCGTCGTCAACATCGTCGAGGCAGCTGCAGGAGCGTAAGGGCGTCAGCCACATCCGCGAGTCGCACGTACGACCAACTCACCGAGTCAAGAGGACCTTGATGCTGCGCTTGACCGCATTGTCCGCGACGTTGATGCCGAACTTGGCGAGCGACGACACCGCAGCGGCACGGACGATGGCGTTCTCGAGGATGACGCGGTTGTAGATGTAGCGGATGTACTTGCTCGGCTGCGGTGACTTGGGGCCCTCGACACCGAGGAGATGGAGGATGCGGACCGAGAGCTTGGTAAACTCGCAGTCCTCGATGAACTCGCAGAGTTGGGCGAGGGCTGTTTGAAGGAGTGTCAGCGCGAACTCAATCGCTTTGGACAGACGAACGACCACTCACCGGCCTCCTTAGAGTCGGCGATGAACTTGATCATGTCGAAGATGGCCTCGACAACGGCGCGCTTGAAGTCGTAGCCGCCCTCGTCGCGGAGGACGCCCGAGAGGAAGGTGAGCATGACCGACTGCTTGGCGGGGAACTTGAGGCAGAGGGCGCGGATCGCGTTGACCACGATGACCTTGAACTCGTCCGAGATCTCTGACATGAACGCCGAGATCTGCTTCATCAGGCGGTCGACGGAGGCCTCGTTGCCGGTCTGGGAGGGATCACGAGGGTCAGCGTTTGGTGTTGCGGAAGAACGGAGACGGATCGCTCACCTTGAGAAGGGTGGTGATGGCAAAGGTCGCGACACTGCGGTTGTCGTCGTTGATGAGCTTCTCCATGTCGAGATTGACGGCAGCAACGGCGTTCGGGTGGGTCTGCGCGAGCTTGGCGAGGGTGCGGATGGCGGAGAACTTGAGGGCGGCTTTGGGTGAGGAGAGGAAGAGCTGGAGGACTGCGGACGGAAGATTCGTTAGTCGCGCAGGTTGCGCGGAGTAGATGAGACAACGCACCAGAGATAGGACGGTGCAGCTCGGCCACGCTGACGTTCTTCATCTCGCAGATCGCGCGTGCCGCCTCGAGGTTGACCATGTCGCTCTTGTGCTTCAGGTAGCCGTCGATGAGGTCGTACATGGCGCGTTGGACGCTGTGGGCCAATCATGTGATCAGTACGAGCCTCGTGGACGAGGGAAGGACGTGCAGACACACTTGGGGTCCTCCTCCATGACCTTGGCGGCGTAGCGAATGACCATGCAGATCGCATACGGGTTGCGGAGGGTTCCGCCCGAGCCCTTGACGCCAGCGAGCTGCTGAATCATCTTGGTGACAGCCATACGGTCACCCTGGCGGATGAGGTAGAGCAAGCCGAGCGCGTGGTACTGGATGATCGAGCTCGTCGGGCCAGTGGCGTAGCCTTGTCCGCCGTACGTGGAGAAGGACGACGACTTGTTCTGCACGGCTTCGTTCGCCTCGTTCGCCCAGCGCTTGATCACGTCGCGCGCGATGGGCTGGAGGTGGTACGAGGAGACGAGGGCGGCGGATGCGATCGAGACGTTCCGGTCGACGATGGCGGCCTTGAAGAAGCGCTCGAGACCGACAATCATGGAGCCCTGTGAGAAAGACCAGTCAGCTTTGATAGACGCTAGGAGGACCGGGAAGCAACGCACGTCAATGACCCGGCACAAGGCGCGAATGGCGTTCGGGCGGTAGATGACCTCAAGGTTCGGCTGCATGTCCTTCATGATCGACGACGTAACCATGATGACATCCTCCGCGATGCCGGACAACTCCTTGATGACCAGGTAGACCATCTGTCGCAAGGCGCTCTGCGGGAGGAAGAGGCGATGAGCGAGGTAAGGGAGTCGCAGGGGAGCGGCTCGCAACGCACGTCCTTGTGCTGAAAGAGCTTGGTGACGCCGAAGAAGAGCGTCGTCGCCTCCTGCGTGCCGAAGGTCTCGCCCACATAGAGGAGGTACACAATCTTGGTCAAGAGAATGCGGCACTTGCGGGGGCTGATCGGCGTCTCGTTGAACACGCGTGCCTCCTGAATGACGGTCTGCAGGAACGAAACGACGCCGAACGAGCCGAGGGCGCGTGTCAGCTTCTTGGTCGGCGGGACGTGTCGCGATGAGAGCGGGAGAGGAAGCGCACCGTCTTGTCCTGGAAGAACGAGCCAACGCCGCTCTCCTCGTCCTTCTTATAGCCGGACATGCTTCACTGGACACGCTCGAGTGGGAGAAGGTAGTTGTTGCGCGGGTCGGAGGAGTGGTTGCGAGATGGGGGAGGTGCGCGCGTCGAAGCGGGGTGTTCGGGTCCGTAGCGGTGCGCAGGTGTTAAGCGGTCCTTACGCAAGCCTGCGAGCCGGTCCAGCAGTCCCTCTAGCGGGTTGCGAGCGTGTAGCGGATGCTGAGGTTCGCGAGGCGACTCGCTCGCTCCCTTGGCCTCGTCCACCTCACTCGCTCTCGCTCGAATGCGCTCTGGAGGCGTGGATCCCGCTTCAGGGAGTCCATACGGATAGTCGCACACCTGCTTTGCCGGCTTCGTTACTCGCACGCTTAGCCCTCACCGTCTCCCCTTGCCGGTCTGCTTATGGCTCGTGGCTTCGTCGCGACGGTTGAGCGCCGGTCATGACAGACTGGACTATTGCACGGGCAACGGAGGGACCAGGTCCTGTTGGGCTTGCTGAGGGCGTCGGAGCGAAGAGTTCCGTCTCCTACGGGTCTTCGAAGTAGGAGCACGAACGGCGCGGGCTAAGCTGCCGGACGCCAGCAGATTAAGCAGATTGTGAAGGAGCAGGCAGCTGGGGCGAGGCCAGTCATGCGGTCTGGCAAGCTCCGTTTCTGCTTCGAAACCGCTTCCACCGAGGCTCGCGCCTATCTCTGTCAGCTCGACCCTGTCAATCCTGCATCGTCCCTCACCTGCTGCGACGCTTCGCAGGATGCAGTTTCGTCGCTGCAGGTCGCCCAAGCTGCGAAGAATACATCTGCGAATTCTTGCTCCAGCGCCTTTGCGCTGGCGGTCTACTTCTTTGCTCCTTTGACGTCCTACGGCTCTCGGCAAGGATGTTGATCACATTTAAACCCCGGGCGCAATGCAGCGCGAGGACTGAGCAGGGGAGCGGAGCAAGAGCGGGCGGAGGAACGGGATGAACGACTTGACGAGACTGCTTCGACCCGCTCCGACAATCTCCTGAACAGTTGTAACTCGTTCACCCCTTCTCGTGTACGCCGCAGAGCATTCAAACGAGAGAAACGGAAGAGCTGTTTCGACAAAGCGAGCAACCCCTGTTCCGCAGTCCGCTCCTCGTCCCCCTCATCCTCTAGCGCCTCTTCCAGGCCAGACGCCGCCCATGCGCATCGTTATGCCATCCTCAAGCACTCGAATTGTTGCACGGCTCCAGCCCTCGCCCATCGCCCTGCCACGGACCCCTGCTCCCTCCTCGCCGTTTGCTCACTGATTGAACGTCTGGCGTGCTGTACGCGGGCGGGACGACCTGGAGCGACCTGGATGAGCGTGCAACAGCCCTGCTGGATCGCGGGACAGCCCCTTCAGTGGAGCCAAGGCCGTTCTCGACCCCTTGCACATCCTCCCAAGCACGCCTTCTACTGCGGCGCTTCCACCATCCGTCCGCCCTCGCCTGATCGGCTCGAGATTGGATAGCGCCATGCAGAGTTGGCGCACGGCGGCGTTTCGAAAAGTCGTGCTCGCTCGCTTCTCCTGCCAGCTCGTTCCCGCCGTCGCCGCTTTCTCTCTCCTCTCTCTCAGTCCGCGGCCCTCCTCGTGCTCAGTTCTCCTGACGAGCGATCTTCTCGGTCTGTCCGGCTGTCCTGTTGATCGCGCTCCTTTCACTTCGACCGTCGACTCGCTGCATTCGCCATGAGCCTCTCCTACAAGCAGCGACTTGCCAAGTGGCTTGGACACGACCCGGTTATCACTGAAGCAGCTTCCACCGTCGGTGCGTGATCTGTTAATCCCTTCGCAGCAATACTAGCTGACCCAGTTTCGGACGGCAGATTACATCAAGGATCACTCGCGAGACCTCCCCTCCGCTTCCGTCGATTATGTCAAGCGACTGCTGCCCATCCACCGATGGATCTTGAACTACAACCTGCGGTGGGCCGTTGGCGACCTCATCGCCGGCTTTACGGTACGTCCGCTGTGCGGCGAAGCGCAGCTCGATACCGCGGCGAGTGGTCTTCAAGGCTGACTTGCCGTTTCCTGTACACAGGTCGGCATGGTCGTCGTGCCTCAGTCCATGAGTTACGCCAAGATCGCGACGCTGAGCCCCGAGTTCGGGCTGTACTCGTCCTTCGTCGGGTACGTTAGCCGGATGTCTCCCTCAGCCATCCTCAGCTGTCCGCCTCCTTCGCTCTACTGATCTTCTTCCCTTTTGCAGCGTCATGATCTACGCCCTGTTTGCGACGAGTAAGGACGTGACGATCGGACCCGTCGCCGTTATGTCCCTTCAAGTCTCAAAGGTCATCAAGCACGTCCAGGCGAAGCCCGACGGTGCCAACATCCCCGCCAACGTCATCGCCACCGCCCTCGCTCTCATCTGCGGCATCATCGTTACCGGGCTAGGCCTCCTCCGTCTCGGCTGGATTGTCGAGGTGAGTTGGCGGATCTCAACCGGTTCGCTCCGAGATTTGCTGACCTCATTCGTCCTCGCAGTTCATCTCTGCACCCGCCATCAGCGGCTTCATGACCGGCAGCGCCATCTCCATCGCCGCCGGCCAGGTACCGGGTCTCATGGGCTACTCGAAGAAGTTCGACACGCGCGCCGAGACCTACAAGGTGATCATCAACTCCTTCAAGCACCTCCCCGACACGACTCGCGACGCCGCATTCGGTCTCGTCGGCCTCGCCTTCCTCTACATCACCCGCTTCATCCTCAACCGCGTCGAGCGGAACGCCAAGAGCCCCGGCGTCCGTCGCGCCGCCTTCTTCGCCAACACCTTCCGCACGGCCTTCCTCGTCATCTTCGAGACGGTCTTTGCGTGGGTGTATTTACGCCACAAGAACCCGAAGAAGTACCCCATCTCGATCCTCGGCAAAGTGTGCGTTCTTCTCGCTCCTCTCTTTTCCTTCCCCTCGGGCTGACCTCTGAAACTTCGCAGTCCGTCCGGCTTCAAGCACATGGGTGTCCCCGACTTCAACAGCAAGCTGCTGAGGCTCCTGGCCAGCGAGATCCCCGTGTCGACCATTCTCGTCTTCCTCGAGCACATCGCCATCTCGAAGGTGCGCTTATCGACTGCGCCCACTCTCCTCACTCAAATAGATGTCTGACTTGCGCATTACCTGGCAGTCCTTCGGTCGGGTCAACAACTGTGAGCCGACGCGCTCGTCCTCGACTGACCCGCTTCAAAGCGGAGGGCTGACTCGCTCCCTGCTTCTCTCCACAGACAAGATCGACCCGAACCAGGAGCTTGTTGCAATCGGCGTCAACAACATCTTCAGCTCATTCTTCGGCGCTTGTGAGTTGCCCGCCTGGCAATCTGCAGACTCGCGACTGACCGCTCACTGCAGACCCTTCGACCGGTTCCTTCTCGCGCACGGCCATCAAATCGAGAGCAGGCGTCCGAACTCCAATCGCGGGCTGGGTTACCGGCGTCGTCGTCGTCGTCGCGCTCTACGGCTTGACGCCCGCCTTCTACTGGATCCCGAATGCCGGCCTCTCTGCCGTCATCATCGAAGCCGTCGGCGGCCTAATCGCCTCGCCGCAGCAGTCGTACCGGTACTGGCTCGTCTCGCCCCTGGAGTTCGTGATCTTTATCGCGGCCGTGTTCATTACAATTTTCTCGTCCATGGAGAACGGCATCTACTTCTCCATCGCCGCCTCCGCCGCCCTCCTCCTCGTCCGCATCGCCAAGCCCCGAGGCAAGATCTTGGGTCGCGTCCGCGTCCGCAACGATGACTCGGCTGGGTCGACCTCGACTCGCGACGTCTACCTCCCTCTCCACCCCGATGGCGTGCGCAACCCCGACGTCATCGTCGAGCCGCCTCCTGCAGGTGTCATCGTCTTCCGCATGGAGGAGAGCTTCCTTTACATCAACTCGGCAAACTACACCGACCAGGTCGTCGACTATGCGCACCAGTCTACCCGCAACGGACAAGACTACTCGCTTGTTCCGCAGGGCGACAGGCCGTGGGCCGATCCCGGACCTAATCGCTTCCAGATGAAGGGCCCGCGCGCCAAGCTGGAGCAGGCAAAGTCGGAGGCGAACGCGGCGAAGCCTCTGCTCAAGGCGGTCGTCTTCGACTTTGCGGGCGTCTCGGCTGTCGACACGACGTCGGTACAGGCGCTCGTCGACTTGCACAAGGTCCTGTCGCGCTACGCCGGCCAGCCAGTCACCTTCCACTTCGCCACGATTCTCTCTCCCTGGATCAAGCGCGCGCTTCTCGCCGGTGGTTTCGGTCGGGACGTCGATGCGACTGGTCCGCAGATCGAGGTTGGCGACGTCGTCCAGCAGCAGGAGAACGCGGACCAGTTCTCCCAGATCCAGCGACCGCCCCTCTCGCGCGACGTCTCGGCGCACGACATCAAGGAGGTCGACGTCGAGCAGGGTGGCACCCCTCCGCGTAGCCCCAGCCTTGACGAGAAGGTGCCGTACGCCGAGTCGGCCGCCGGAACGATCGTCGACTCGAGCCTCGCGTACTTCCACCTCGACCTTCCCTCCGCCGTCGCTGCCGCCGCCGCGACCAAGGCCTAATCTCTGGCGTCCTACTACGTCTGTCTAGTTATCTCTCGTGTTGGATCTGTATCGGCGTCGTTCAATCTGTTCGCCTGTGTAGACTGCATCTCGCCGCCTTTTCCCCTTTCCATAGGTTGGCTCGCTGGGGTGCGCTGTCGCAGCTTTGGCTTTGCCGTAGAACCGCAAAGGAAAGCCTGGCGAGTCACCTTGACGACTTTCGGACGCCTCTTCGGCAACTGCGAGGGATCCGCGCGAGGCTTTCCGCTCTTCCTCTACTCCTCACCGCGTCTGCTGGATTGCCACATCGCTCGAACTGCCCTGCACACTCGTCAGCACACTCAGCGCCAGCTCACGCACCAGTTGAACGCACCTTCCCCGATCCTGATACCCTCTTGCCTTTCATCAGTCGGAGTCTCGGGCGGCGCGAACAAGGCTTTGGGCGGTCGGGCTGCGATGCAGACGCAGCCAGAAGACGCTGAAATGGCCGAGGAAATCGCTTGGAGGGCTAGAAAGGGTGAGCTTCTCGTCTCACGCGACCCGACATCGTCGAGGTTCCCTCGAGTCGAGGCCATTCGCTGCGCGACTCGCTGGATGTTCGCGCAGACGCCCGGTGTATCTCTGAGGCATGGCGCTGATCACAATGAACGTTGCAGGTCTACCACTCGCCGTCGACCCCAAGACGGGTTCGAGCACTATAACTCCCACGCTCAGCACCTCCCTCTCCCCCCGATCCTACAGCTCCGGTTCTCCCACCATCCGCGCACTAAGCCCACGAACGGAGCCGATCGCCATCTCGAGCTCGTCCTCTACCTTCTCCGCCGTCCCTCGCACGCCTCCCTCGTACGACTCGGCCGCCTCCTTCGCCGGTGCAGCTCCGCTCGATGGACCGCTCACTGAGTTGATGCCAGCTCTTGCAATCTCGGCGAGCGTGTCGAGTTCGGGCGACAGCTTCCGGTCCCCGCCTCAAACCACTCCTTCACACTGGACGAGCGGTCCTCGGCGAAGAGTTGCGTCCGGCCCGTCGTTTCTCGTCTCCTCGCCTCCACGGAGCTCGCCCTTGTCGCGCAGCGTCGGCCCGTACGACGATAGCGGAAGTGACGACGACGCGCCTTGGCGACACTTTCGACCGCAAGCAGCCGTTCCCTTCGGGCAGCCGTCGGGCGATCCTGCACGAGACGACCTCCTTAGCCTGCGGCAGAGCCGGCGACGCTCCTCGATCTCGCTCTCGTCGTCGGTGACGTCGGCCACACCCTGCGCCTCGTTCGTCGGCAGCTTCGAAGACTCGCTTCTGAGCGGCCGGATGTCGTCTCGCCCCTCAGCGCCGTTCCCGTTCGTCGCCTCCATCGGTGTGCTCGGTAGCAACGACGCCCCACTACGACTGCGATGTCCGGCGCACCTGCACATTCCCTTTGACGCCGTCTTCTACCCTTCCTCCGGCGAAGCGATGACCAGCCCCTACGTCGGAACCGTCGACATCGAAGGCCACTACTTCTCGCTCCTCTCTGCGCCTCCAGCACCGTGCGAGTCGCGCAAGATCCCCAAGTTCCCCGGCTACCAAGTTCCTGCGCGCGGTCAGATCCAGCTCGTCCTCAAGAACTCGCAACACACCGCCTTCAAGCCGTTCCTGATTCCGTACGACCTGACCGGCCTCGAACGCGATGGCGCCGGCGGACGGACGTTCCTGCGGCAAAAGTCGTACAGCGTTGAAGGAGCGGACAACAAGGGCAAGCTTCGGTTCGCCGTCCACCTCGTCTTCTGCTCGCCCCCCGCCAGCTCGCACAAGAAGAGCGGAAAGGACGGCTCGACGCCGAAGTACTACCTGTACCGCTCGATCCGCCTCGTCTTTGCCTCGCGCGGCCTCGACCTGTCCGACAAGCTGCGCGTCGTTCACGAAGGGCCCGCGCAGGCTGGCGGCGACGCGCTCGGCTTGCGCATGGACGGCGACTTCAGCGACTATGCTGGACCAGGCGCGGATTGGGATCTTGCGCGCAAGAAGGCGAAGGAGCGCCTCAAGGTCCTCGCAGCTCAAGCCGCCGTCGAGACAACCATTCCAGCAAATCCATACCCGGCACCTACGCCACAACATGATACCCCAGACCGCCTTTACCCTCCACCGACTGTATCACTGGCATCCGCAACTTCCGTTTCAGCCTTTCCGACATCCGTTGTTGTTCCTCCTCTCGCCTCGCATTCGACTGTATCGACCACTCGCACATCGCCTCCTCACACGCTTCTCGACCTCCCCTCTTCGCCTCTCGACCCGGCCTTCTCTTCGACGCTTACCTTCGACCGTGTCCCCTCGCCTCGACCCGCCCTCGCGCTTCGCGACCGCACAACGAGCCAGTCCGGCTTGTCTGCCTCGCGTCCGCCTAGCCGTCTTGCTCACGAGCGGAGTCAGAGTCGGGACAGGGAGGTCTGCGGACGGTAGACAGCGATTCTTTGAGGGCAAGCTCGCGAGGAACCCCTGTTATCGCATTTCTCGTTCAGCTCGCGCTTAGCATTCCGCCCGAGACTCGTCCGTTGGCTGTACGATGCGTGTCAGCATGCTCGAGCGCTTGTTGGCCCAAAGGAAGAGTAAGAAAAGGCCAGTCGACCGCTGCTCACCACGCTGAGCTCGTTCGCGCGGCTCTCCCTCGTTCACCTCACTCGCTCACTTTGAACCCGCTTCTTAGGCTGATCAGCCACGCTCAGCCATGTCTGTGACTGCTGATCTCGGCCAGCCCGTCGCCAGCACCTCGACCGCGACCCTCAACGGCGGCGAGGAGAAGCAGATTGCGATCCGCCTCAGCACCAAGGACCCGAACTACCAGATCCCGCCGGCCAAGTTCCTCGTGCCCGCCAGCTGGAGGCGCTTCCACTTGTCCGAACTCATCAACAAGGTCCTCGAGAATGGTGAGTCCCCGTCGCTATCTGAGCTCGCTTCGGTTTCCCCGTCTCGTGGGCTGCGACGGACGGTCCTGCGCTGCGCTGGTACACTGCACTAGCTTGCGGCAGCTGGTCCAGAGGAGTCAAGTCCGCGCACGAGGACCGGACTGTCACCTTTGCTCGGAAGGAGTGAGGGTCGTCTCCTGCTCGCACACGCGCGCACGAGCGCAAAAGGGATGGCAATGACGATACAAACTACATGACATTGGTATTCTTCGTTCAGCTAGTCTTCGAGGTTTCTCAGACGATGTCGAATCTATTTTCTTCACTTCCTGATGCCATCCCTTGCGCTCGCATGGTGTGCGGGTTACGACCAGCAGCAGAACTCGTAGTAGAGCCCGAGCTGACCCGTTCCCGCACTCGCAGAGTCACCCGTCCCGTTCGACTTCTTGATCGACCAGACCTTGCTCCGGTCTTCGCTCGGCGCTTACTGCGCTGCGACGGGAACGAGCGAGGAAGTTGTGCTCGAGGTCGAATTCCTGCCGTCCACCCTCCCTCCTCGGCTCGAGAGCACGCAGCCGAGCGAGGACTGGGTGAGCGACGTCTCGTCGGCCGTGCGAGGGTGCGTCGACCCGTTCTTTCGCATTGCGGTAGTCTCTGCCGCAAGCATGCAATCTCAGTCGCTCATGCCGTCCCTTGTTTTTGCCTGCGAGTCAATAGAGCCGTCCTTACCGCCTCGTACGCCGGCACGCTCTCGCTTCAATCCAGCGACCTGCCTCCGCCTTCGACCCTCACTTTCACCGGCCACGACCTCTCTGCCCTCTCCGCCACCTACGTACCTCACCCGCTCGGCTCGGAAGACAAGCGATGGGTCGCAAGCGGAGGAATGGACCGCGTCGGACGGGTATGGGAGTACACGGTGAGTCTGGGCGTCTTTCCCCTCGCGACCGCTGCTCACGCTTGTCCTCGCGCAGGTCCCGCCTCCTTCCCTTGCTGCTCCCGCCGAGCTCACCCCGCCTAAGACCCTCTACACCCTCTCCCTTCACCAAGCCCCTATCGCCTCCGTCCGCTCCCGCCCTCTTCCCTCTTCCTCCTCGACCGCAACTCCCGCGCCTCACCTGCTCACCGCCGGCTGGGACGGTCTCGTCGGTCTTTGGGACCTCACGCCGGGCGTCAACGAGGGTGACGTCGAGCTGGAAGGCGGCGAGCGGAAGAAGAAGCGGAGAAAGCAGTCCGGCGCGGTCGTCAACAAGGTGCGTTTCCGGCTGCTGCTCTCGCTGCAGCCTGTCGACTGACTTTCTGACTTGCGCAGACTCCGATGGCTGTCTTGCGAGGCCACACGGGCAAGGTCTCGCGTGCTGTCTTTGACCGCAGCGACGTGACCAAGGCGTACTCGGCTGGCTGGGACCACTCGGTCCGCAGCTGGGACTTGACGATCGGTGCTGAGACGAGCAGCAAGGTGCGAAGCAGGCGTCGAACGACGGGAAGACGCGAGACTGACCAGCTCCACCTGCACAGACGAGCGCCAAGGTCCTCCTTGCGATGGCGCAGCTCACCTCGCCCAACCTCCTCGCGACGGGTTCGACCGACCGCCTAATCTGCCTCTGGGACCTCCGCACCGACGCGACGCAGAACATCTCGCTCACCCTCGCGGGGCACACGGCGCCCGTCTCGTCCGTCGCCGCGCACCCGACTTCGCCGCTCCTCTTCGCTTCGGGGTCGTACGACTCGACTGTGCGTATCTGGGACGCGAGGAGCGCGAAGCAGGCGTTGTTTACGCTGCCGGTGCCGAAGAAGGAGGGCGACGAGGACAGGAAGGAGCCGGAGAAGGTGCTCGCGATCGACTGGGACGGCGAGAGGCTCGTTGCGGGTGGGGAGGGGTCGCGCGTCATCACTTGGCGGGTCAGCGGGCAGGAGAGCAGTGCGCCGGCGGCGCAGTAGACTTGTCAGTTTCCCGCAATTCGCACTTTCTCCGCCCAAAACCTTGTCAAGCGGTTTCGCGAGATGTGCGTGATTAGCTACATTGCCTCTATGCTCCCAAGGCGTCTACGTATATACAGCGAGAACCGCGAGCCGTCAGAAAGGCGCGCTTGCGCCCAAGTACATCCGGATCGCAGAAGGCGGGACGTTTATTATCCGTCCGGGAATCGTCTCGCTCTTGAGCCGCTTGTGCGCCTCATACCTGCGTCCCTCTCGTTCGTTAGTGAGCGAGCTAATGGATCGAGTGGATTGGAGGCGCACCGGTGACATCCTCCAAAGGCGAAAAAATACTTCTGTCCGTCGGGCGCGACGCAGCGCAGGACCTCTATAGGCGTCAAGTCATCTCCTTTCTGCTCGTTTGGACGGAGGATCAAGAATTCAAGAATAGCGAAGGAGTCGTTGCAGAGGGGAGGAAGGGGGGGGGAGACGAGCGGAAAGTCAGCCCGCTTCCGCACCGCTCAAGTCGGCACAGGACGCACCTGGATGTCCTCCATGAACCTCAACACCTTGCCCTCGTCCAGCTGCGACGGTACTGGTCGATTTATGACCGCCAGCGGGACGTCGACAGTTGGCGAGGTGGGCGTTGCGAATTTGGAGAAGTTGACGTGCTGGGCGGCGGGTGCAGCCTGTGCGTTGGTCATTGCGCGTGTGTGAGCGGTGTCGGTGAGCGGGAGGAGGGAGAGCGCCGTCGTCGCCGTCGCGGGGCTTTTTTGTCATTCGGAGATGTCGGCGAGGCTATGCACCTGGACGCCGCCAAACGAGGAGGAGTTGCGAGCGTGCGAGGCGTTCAGCAGAGCCCTAGAAGGATGTATACGACTCATAGAAGAGCGTGTGAGCCAATCTGGGAGAAAGCGAGGAGGGCGACCCGCTCCGTGACTTCGTCTCTTGCCCTCCTTCGCTTCACTCGGCTGAGACTTCTTCGACGCTGAACCGTTCGTACACGCTGCCTGCTACGCTTCCAGACTCAGCAATGCCCGCCACTTTACCCCGCCTGCCCGTCGAGCTCCTGCGCCGCATCCTCGACGAGGTTACCAGAGGAGAGGACGCTGCGGAGCCTGAGGACTTGGGGAGGATTGTCGCGCGGGTCTGCAGCGAATGGAAGGACGTGGGACAAGAGCTGGCGTTTCGGAGGCCCGTATTCTTGGGCTACTACCGCTCGGGAGCTGTTCCCGCCCTCATCCGCCATCTCCACGCCTTTCCTCACCTCGCCAACTACGTGCGAGAGATCGTCCTAGGTTCTCAGCTCGAGGCAGAGAAGTGCACGACCGAGTCTCTCCGCCAGCTCTTCCAGATCTGCCAGGGCGTCACGCACGTCGACTGGAGCTTCAAGTCGCCGGATCTTCTCGACGCTACTTTCCCTCACCTCCCCTTTGCGAACCTCATTTCCCTCGCCGTCTCTCGCGCGGGACTCTGGGACCCATCACCCCTCCTTGCTGTCCTCCCAAAGTGCATGCGCCTTCGCCGCTTCCAGCTCAACACATCCCTGGAGAGCTCGTTCTTTCCGCCCAAGGCGCCTTCCCCGGAGCCCACCGCACCTCCGCAGCCTCTCCGCAGCCTCTCTCTTTACGTCAGCAGACAGCCTATGTCCCTCAACGAGTTATGCGCGCCAGAAACCGAGCAATCTGTCTCCAGCGCTTCCTCAGCCTGTTCGACCCCGCCTCGCTCACGAGTCTCCGCGTCTCTTGTCAATCACCCAACGTCGTCGGAGTGGCAGAATGGATCGCCCGCTGTGTCAACCTCCTTTCCCTCGACCTACGACTCGCAACAGGCCTCAACACGGGACGGTCCTGCCACATCGAGACCTACACGAGGATGTTGCGGAGCCTCCGACGTCTCGAGTCGCTCTGCCTTTCAGACAACCTGTACGACCTCGACGCACACGGCGACCGTACCCGACGTCAAGCCTTACTGTCCGGCTTCCTCGCCGCCTTGCCCGACACGCTCGTCGAGCTGGTTCTCGGCTTTGAGATACCCCTAGGCGCATGCTATGAGATCCTCGCAGCGTTCCTCGAGACGAGGTTGATTGCGTCGCCATTGTTGAGGGTCGAGTTCTGGACGACTCTCCGCAAAGAGGGCTTTGTTAACGTGACGGCGACGAAGCAGGTGTTGTTGATTGAAGACTACGACAGCGATGATGAGGATGACGAAGAACGCGACTACGTGTGGATCTCCCATGAGTGGGAAGAAGCAGGTCGGGCGGATGCGAAGGATCTGGCAGACGAATTGGCAAACGTGCTGAGGATCCTCCCAGACGAGAGTATTGTTGCCGGGCGCCGATGGTGCATGGTGCGCTCTCATGTCCCTCCCTCACTGTTGCTCACCAAGACTGACCTTTCGTACTGGATCCGCAGAGCTTCGATAATACCGAGGGGACGTGCAGCTGGTGCATGAGCGGTGATGCCGGATGGTGGGTATTGGGAAGTGAGGAAGCTCGTAGGTACGAGCTGGAGGAGCCAGGTGGGCAGGCGGAGGATTCTGAGTCGGAATGGGAGTCGGAGGACGAGTCGGAGGAGGAGGAGGAGTCGGAAGAGGAGGAGGAGGCGGACGAGGAGGAGGAGGAGGAGGAGGAGGAGGAGGAGGAGGAGTAGCTTCCCAAAAGCAATGCAAGGGTGGGTGACGCGCGCTCCAATTGTAAGCAGCTCTCAGTCACACAGCTGCGACCCTCGACGAAGAAGGCGAACGATGGATCCTCGGCGGGCAAGGGCGAAGCGCTGCGAGATGGATCCGTCAAAGAGGTACGACCGGACGACGTAGCAGATGAATGCATTTCAAGCGATGCTGGCCTATGCTCGACGATTCGAAGAGCGCAGAACCAGGAGGACGTGACGATGCGGCGAAGCCTGTACATTCCTGTTTTCAGTCTACATCATAGCAGCCGCGATCCGGGCGGTACGGAGCGTAGTCAAAGTCGATAACGTCGCCCTTCCCCTCGAGGCCAATCTCCTCCAAGTCGCAGAACTCGGTCAAGATCGTGTCCCATCCCCAAACGACGACGTCCTCCTCCTTCCCCGCGTCGTCCGGGACATGGAACGTCGCCTTCAGGTCCTTTGCGTCCCATCCGCTGTGTTCTGCTGCCGCGTCAAATACTCGCGCGAGTGTGAGACCGAGCGTCACGTCGCCCCTCGCTTGCTGCATGAAGAGCAAGACCGGCTTGAGCGGACCCAAGTTGGGAGGTGCGGTCGGCCAATTTGGGAGTCGGATCCAGTAGTGGAAGCGCTCGCTGCGGCCGAGAGGCGGGATCGAGACGCGAGGGCGAGAGAGCGCTTCACGACGCTTGTCGGACCATGATTTTCGGGCCGTTGACGACCTCTGCGAGGCGGGCGGAGGCGGCGGAGTGTCTTGCGCGACGTATGGCGACGTTCGGTGTAGGTGAGAGCGTGCGGGAGAACTAGGCGCCGCTCGGCCGGCTCGAGGCGTCGTCTGTGCGACGCGCTTGTTCGGCGCGGCGTCCGGGGAGGACGATCTTGCTCGTTTGACCACAGGGGGGTGGATGGAGGAAAGGGCGGGCGAGGCGGAACTGCTGGCTGAGCCGCAGGAGAGGTTGGGGATCGAGCGAGATGACGAAAGGCCGGATGAGCTGGCGGAGGTCGAGGCTTCGCCGGAGATGCGAGGGTTGAGGGAAGTCGTTCGCCATATCGACATGTCGGAACTGCCGCTTGTCGACGCAACGGGACCCTTTGCCGGCGACGAAACCTCCTTCTTGACGGCCTTCTTGGCTGGCGAGGCTGCGACCGGCTCGTATGCCCGCTCCTTGCCTTTTCGCGACTGTGCGGCAGTTGCGGATCGTGACGTGGGAGACCAGGGCGCAGGCGAAGGGGCGACGAAGGCGACGTTGCCGTTCGCGTCAAGTCCCACTCGGAAAGACGCCTCAGAGTCTGCGCTGGTGCGAGACGCGCGAGGAGTTCCGTCGAGGGTGCGGGATTGAGCGGACCCAGACGAGTCGTGCTGATTGGAGGTTGACTCTGCGACGCGCTCCTCGCCTTCCGACTCCTCGATGCGACGTCGCAAGTCCGCCTTGATGCGTCCGTTCCGACTGGAAAGGGTCGAAGGGGATGGCGATGCAGACCGCGCGCGTTGAGCGGCGTTGTGTCGCGGATCGTCCGCCTGGAAGCCGTCGCCGCCATGTTCACCTTCGCCAGCAAGCCCGCTCGGCCTCGGTCCGAAGAGTCCCCCTCGCAGCGCAATGCTATCGTCCTCGCTGTCACTGACTTCGACATCCGAGTCGTCGGTGTTGCTGGGAGTGGCGGGAGCGTGGAAGCTGGTCGCTTGCGAGCTGGCGACCTGGCTTCGGACGGTAGACGGCGGGAGGGACGCCTCGCGCGCAGCTGCTCCTTCTGCTGACGAACTTGGGTCCTCGAGCTTTATGATTGCCGGGACATCGACAACTGGCTTGACCTGTCCTTTCGGCGTAACGACGAATTCGAGGTGCGAGCCGGGCGGAAGGAGTTCCCAGGCTGAAGGGGCGACGATGAACGGCTTGTCACGGTGCGGGGGACGCTGAGCAAAGCAGCAGTCGTAGGTCGTCTCGGAAATTCTGAAGGACGAGTGAACCTCACGCAGAGCAGCCTGAGAAAGCAAGTCAAGGTCAGCTGGGTCAGTCAACCTCGACGAGGAGCGCTTCAACAGCTGCGCACCTCGTACGACTGGTCCGCCCGGATCACTACTCCACCACGATCATGCCTGGTGGCCTCGTCCGTCCCTGGTGTCGTCGCGAGCTCGATGTAGAGAAGGCCGGGCATCTGGAGATGAGGACGGACGAAAGGGGAGCGTGCAGGGCGTGGGGCGGGTCGCGTGTGGGTCGTAGTAATTCAAGCAGACTAGAAACCCTCTGGTGGTGTCCAGCGAGCCGTACACTGGCTGTGAGCGAGTTGGGCCGAGGGAGGACCAGCGCGATGTCAACTTGGGAAGACTGACTTGGCTGTTGAGCGGTGAAAAGCAGTGCAGGGCGCAGAACAGGCTGCGCGGACCATCATAACGCTCACATAATCACTTCGGCTCACTCACGAGGAGTTGAGGCGTCGTTGTCCCCCGCTTCGCTCCTTCTCCTCCTGCTCCTCAGTGCATCTTCACTGGCTTGTACTGCTAGGCTGCGCCGCTGGCTGTGACGGCTTGAAGACTTGCTCCCTCAGCTCTGCTGCGTTCACAGCGCCCAAGCGCTCGTGGTTGCCGACTTCGGCCCCCAGCGCACTTCATCGCCTTGTCCTCCTCCCACCCCTCAGAGCCGCCCAGACGCACCTTCGGCACCGTCAGCGGCCTAGAATGGACCTGCTCCTCCGCCACTCCCGCGGCGAGACTCGTAGCAAGCTAGGACAACCGCCTGTTCCGCCAGACCGAGGTGAGCTGCTTCCAATCCTCCTTCCACGCAGTGGATCACCTTCCAACTTATCCTTTGTACTCCACAGGCCTCTGCTGAGGCGTCGTGACCGACAACTGACGAGCTGGACGTGGGTGCCTTGCTCTTACCACCAAAATTTTGTTTGTAGACGCAACTTTTTTTCGGGCGCCTCCAGTCAAGCGTCTTAGCGCAGTCGGTAGCGCGTCGGGCTCATACTGCACCAAAAGATCACCCGAAGGTCCCTGGATCAAGACCAGGAGACGCTAATATGTTTTTGGCGTCTCCTGGACACGTTGGCCTGCTCAGCTTCGCCCTACGCCTGCCTCCCCTCTCGACCAACGAGTCTCTGCGGCTTCTTCTCAGCTGGACTTGCTCACTTCTGTCGAGCGACGTCGCTCAGCCTCGTCGGGCTACCCTGGCCAGGACAGCACCTCGACCCGGACAGACACCGCACGAACGGAGCTCGCTTGCTCGGGCCCGGCCACGCTCTCCCCTTTCGCTTGCTTCCAATCTGCTGTCGCACTCCCGAAGACTGTCGAGGCGCTCGAGGGAGGCAGGGCCACACGGACGAGCGACGGACGAGAGAAAATGCGAGTTACAATGAATGCGAGTGAAAGGGAAGGAAACGATGGAAAGGACAACATGCGAGGGTGCGGTACAGTCACAGAACAAGCAAGAGAGCATGAGAGCACACGCTCATCGCCTCCCGCCCTTTGCGGCCTTCTCAGCCTTCTTCGCTAGGCGCTCCTCCTCGCGCTTCCTCTTGCGCTCCGCTTCTTCGGCGCGGAAGATCTCCCTACCGACGGTCAAGAAAGTGTCAGCAAACCTATGAGAAAGAGAGCACGAGAGGAGCGCACATCTCTGCCTTGGTGCGTCGTTTCCGCTTCGCCTTGGGCTGGCCGTTCTCGTCGAGCTCGACCTCCCTCTTCCGCGGTGCCTTCGGCTTCGGTTGCGGCTGCGGCGTCTCGGTCCCGCTGCCGGCGGGCTGCTCGGCATCGTCGTCGTTCGCAGCCGTCTGATTGACGTCGGCGAAGAAGGAGAAGCCGTCTGCGAAAGCGAGAGCGGCGTCAGCAGATGCTCGTTTCGCACGAACACCTCGCAACGCACCCTCCTCGTCGTCCATGCCCATGCCGCTCGGTTTGAGCGCCTGCTCCGCGTCAGCCGCCTTCTTCTGCCTGCGGTTGTCCTCACGCTTGGCGGCGCCCCTCTGGCCTGCATCGCGCTTCGTTTCCTCGAGGCGCTTGCGACGCTTCTCGGCCTGACGGAGACTCTCCTCCAGCTCGTCGTCGTTGAGAAGCAGCGAGACGACCTCGTTCGCCTTGGCCGGACCTTCGCTCGGAGCGGCAGCGCCCGACGAGCCAACGACGGCATCCTGAACGAGCTTCTTGTTCCTGCAGGTGAAACACCGTGAGCTAGCAGACGAGGAAGGATGCGTGGACGGGAAACGCACCTCGCAAGCTGGACGATCCGCTCGTCGACCGTGTCCTTCGTGATGAGGCGGTAGACGGTGACCTGCTTCGTCTGTCCGAGGCGGTGTGCGCGGTCCATGGCTTGCGCGTCGTTCTGCGAGAGCGTGGTCAGCGTTCAGGATATGAGGACACAAAGAGGCGCACGCACCGAAGGGTTCCAGTCCGAGTCGTAGAAGATGACGGTGTCGGCGGCCGTCAGGTTGATGCCGAGACCACCGGCACGAGTCGAGAGAAGGAAGATGAACAGCTCGGGTTTGGTCTGCCAGTCGGTGACCATGTCGCGACGCTCCGAGATGGTCGAGCTGCCGTCGAGGCGGAGGTATTTGTACTGGCGGAAGGCGAGGTACTCTTCGAACAGGTCGATCATGCGCGTCATCTGGAAGTAGATGAGGCACCGGTGACCCTCGGCCTTGAGCTTCGTGAGGAGCGCATCGAGCTTGGCGAGCTTGCCCGAGTCGAGGATGAGCTTCTGCAGCTGCGGGACCTGCATGGACGGCAGCGGCAGGTGCGAGGGTTCGGTGAGGTCGACGACGCCCTGCGGCGAGAAGCCTGGCATGGCATCCTCGTACTCCTGGATCGCCGCGCGCGACTCCCGTGACGAGGGCGGCAGGCCGAAGAAGGCGGCGTGGAAGAGGTCGTCGAAGCGCTCCTGCTCGTTCTCGTACGCGAACGAGCGATCACTGCAGGAGATGTCGATAGCGGGCGCGACGGCTGCGTCGTAGTAGAAGCGCGCGTCGGGATGAAGGAGAGGCGAGGAGCGGGAGAAGTTGCGCTCGATCTCGGCGAGCGGCGTCAAGCCGTGCTGTCGGCCAGAGACGTTCGCAGTGACTTTGGCGGCGGGAGAGGAGAGGACGAGGCTGCAGAGACCTTTGCGGGCGGGAGCGTCGGTGTCGTCGATGGACCTGCTCAAGCGGGGTTAGCAGGCGTGCGCAGCGGCGAAACGAAGGTCGACTCACGATTCGTACAAGACGGTGGCATCAACATCTGCTTGACGCTTCATGGCGAGACCGAGCCGGAGGATGCCATGTGCCGAGACCGCCTGGTACAGCTCGGCTGGGCTGAGGTCGAGCGCGCGGGCAAAGGCGAATGGTGACTCTGTGGAAGCGGCACTATCAGCGAGAGCACATACCAGCTCGTTCACTCCAACTCACCGTTCTCCTTGAGTGAGCTGTGCACATGATCGGGACGCCAGATGTTGAGGAGACGATCAAGGTAGAAGCTGTCGCTGCCGGCGCGAGAGCCCGTCCCGGGAACGTGAAGCAAGCCGCCGTCGCGATACAGCATCTTCGGAAGCGTGAACTCGATGGCGCTGTGCGTGGCGTACGGGACCTCGAGGACGTCCGGATCGCGGATCAAGCTCGCCGTTTTGTTGTAGTCGGCCAAGGCGAACGGCGCAGTGACGTCGGCGCGTTCGAACAACTCGGGGTGGTTGCAGACCTTGCGGAACTGCATGATGAGGTTCATGAGGCGCTTGACGCTGTCATCGTCATTGAGAGTCGAGGCGCGAGCGACGAGGTCGGTGATCGAAATGTTCTCCTTGAGCGTGCGGTACATCGCCTTCTGTCGAGGTGTCAGGTCGCAGTAGACGTCGACCTCGATCTGCGTGCGTCGTAAGGTGAGCGAGACGCTCGCGTAGCCGGTCAAGCCAAACGCACCTTGTCGCCGAGCTCGTTCTGCACGTTCTTCTTGATACGACGAAGCATGAACGGCTTGAGGATCATGTGCAGGCGGCGAAGCTGGTGCTCGTTCATCGCGCCCTTGTTCTCGGCGCTGCCCTCGATGTCCTTCGAGAACCACTCGCTGAACTCGTCGTGCGAGTCGAAGAGCGAGGGCATGATGAAGTGGAGGAGGGCCCACAGCTCGTGCATCGAGTTCTGGATCGGCGTGCCGGTGAGAAGAAGGCGGTTACGGCAGCGGAAGCCGAGGAGCGTCTTCCAGCGAGCCGACGACGCCGACTTGATCGCCTGCGCCTCGTCGAGCACCATGTACTGCCACTTGACCTGATTAAAGTACTTCTCATCCGCGACGGCCTGCGGGAGGAAGCGGTCAGCAAGCGCGCGATTGCTGGATGATCGTTTCGGGTGCTCACGAGCTGGTACGATGTGACGACGACGTGGAAGGGTGCATCCTTGTCGTAGCGGATCGACTTGCGGTTCCAGAACTTGCGCAGAACGGCGCGGTCCTTCGTGTTGCCCCAGTAGGGCAGCGCCTTGAGGTTCGGGACGAACTTGGTGATCTCTTGTTGCCAGTTATGCAGGGTCGACGCGGGCGAGATGACGAGGAACGGGCCCCAGATGTTGTGCACCTCGGCGAGGTAGGCCATGAGCGCGATCGACTGGACCGTCTTGCCGAGACCCATCTCGTCGGCAAGGATACCGTTGATGCCCTGCTCGTACAGGTTCGCCAGCCAGTTGAGACCCTTGAGCTGGTACTCCTTCAGCGTGCACGCGAGCATCTTGGGCTGCTTGACGACGACGCGCTCGCCGCCGGTCTCGGGGTTCTGAAAGTTGAGGTCGTCGCCGTCAAAGTCGAGGGGGGCGTTCGAGGTGGACGCGGCAGGCTGAGCAGCCTCTTTCGCCGTAGCATCGAATGCGGAAGCAGCTTGGCGAGCCTTGTCGACGGCAGCTTGGGCGTTCCGACGAGCGTGCAGCGCGGCGTTCTCCTCGTCGTCTGCCGTGCGCAAGTTCGTCAGCCGACTTTCCTTCGTCCGACCACGGCGCCGGCACTCACCTTCGTCAAAGTTGAGGTCACGCAGCTCGCCCTGCGTATCGCGAGCAGCCATCGCAGCCTTGAGTGAGGCGCTGGGCTCGGCGGCGACGGGAGCCTTGGCCTCGCCCGCAGTGTCGGCAGACTCTTCCGCCTCGCTCGCTGTGGGTAGGCGAGTCAGTATGCGCCCTTGGGAAGCGGCAACGAACGCTCTCTCGATCTTGTTCCCGATAAAGTGCGAGTAGAGCTCAGTCTGGGTGATGAGGAAGTTGAGCTTCCTCGCCTGCCTCTTGGCCTCGCGCACCTCCTCCTCCTTCCTCGCCTTCTCGAGCGCCTCCTTCTCCGCCTTCTTGCGCGCCTCGCGCTCGCGCTTCTCGTTGCCCTTCATGTACAGCATCAGCTCGCGCATGACGCGCTTGGCGCGGGTCTGGACGTCCTTGGTCGGCTTCGAGCGGGTTGCTGCGCGACGAGCCTCACGAGAGACGACGGTCGCGAGTCGCTTGGAGAAGAACTGCCGAGATGTCGTCTGCTGCTGCTGGACCTTGGAGACCTGCGAGAGCGTAAGGGTCAGCGACGACATGACACGCGGCAGACGGCTCGATTGCTCACCTTGGGGATGTCCTTGCGAGCAATCTGCACCCAGATCTTGCGCTCCAGCTCTTCGGGCGACAGCTTGACCTTCTTCTTTCCCGGACCCTTGGCGGCCTCGCCCTCGTACACGTCGTCGTCTCCGACCATGGGCGACTCGGAGATGCGAGGAGGAGGCCAGGCGAGCGCATTGCCCGAGGCGTCGTAGTACTGGCCGTCGGGTCCGGCGTAGGCGCCGGGCGGGAGGACAGGCGTGTCGACAGCAAGCGACGAGGACCGCCTCGATGCGCCCTTACCCTTGCGGCTCTTCGCATCCGGCGCCTGGAAGACGCCGCTGTCGTCTTCGTCGTCGAAATCGTCGTACTCGGCGTACATGCCGAATGACGAGAGGGCGTCCGCCGCATCCGCCTCGAGGTCCTCGCCCGGCCGTCTGCGCTTGCGCGCACCGCGGCCGCTCGTTAACAGCTCCTCCTCCATCTCGCGCATGCGTTGCGCAGCCTCCTCGCGCTCGCGCGCCAGCTTCTCTGCCAAAGCCCTGTCCTCCGCCTCGCGCTCCTCGGGCGTCAACTTGGCCTTGCGCTCCGCCTCCTGCAACTTGGCGATCCTCGCCTCCTCCGCGCGCGCCTTGCGCTGCTCGTTCTCGTGCTCGCGCTTGAGGCGGTCCTCCTCGCGCTTGCGCCTCGCCGCCTCGCGCTGCTTCTTCAACCGCTCCTCCTTCTCCTGCTCCTTCTTGACGCGCTTCGAGTCCTCCTCCTCCGCCTTGGTACGTGCGATCTCTTCCTCCCGCGCACGCACCTCGGTTTCATGCTCGAGTTCGACGAGCCGGACAACCCTCCTCTCGCGCATCGCCGGGATACGCTTCTCCGCCATCTCGACCGCCCTCGCCGCAACAAGGAACTTGCGACTCGCTTCGTCGTCCTCGACGTCCCGCTCGACCTGGCGTCGCCGCGCATGCAAGTTGTAGACATACGTCTTGAGCGGCTCGCGCCAGATGTGCGAGGTCGAGCGCAAGAGGCCGTCGCCTTCTTCGTCGGAGGCGACTTCTTCGCCGTTTTGGGTGTAGATGGCGGCGGAGGAGGAGCGGCCGTTGCTGCGCCCGAGGAACCCGTCGCCGTCGTCGTACAGCTCGTCGTTGTAACGGCGAGCTGGGCGGGTCGACTGGCGCAGCGAGGACTGTGGATGGGACCAGCACAGTCAGGAGGATCCCAAGCACGCCAGACCACGACTTTGTACGTACCCTGCGGTTGGCAATGTCCTCCTCGTCGATGAAGGCGGCGGCGGCCCTGCTGGGCCTCTTGCGCTTGGGCGGCGGAGCAGCCATCGGAGCCGGCGCTGGCTGGGTGGAAGAGGAAGCGATGGACGATGCGGCGTAACCGTTCGCACCTTCGGGCCCGTCGAGCAGTCGGGAGAGAGAGGTCATTGGTGGGGGGAAGGGAAAGAAGGGCAAGCTGGACGGCGGGAGACCTCCTTCTGCTTTTGTTGGACAGTCAAGAGGTCACGACGGCGATGCTGGCTGCTCGGACGGAGTCTGCTTGCCGAAAGAATCGGTGGTGACACGGTGGAGGGTGGTCGGAGGGGGTCAGCCTGTGAAGACGGCGGACAGGTGCTGGTGGGCGACTGGCGGCTCACCTGCGTTTCTCTGGGCCCCTGCACCCCTGTAAGTGGTCGGCGCGCACTCTGGTGGTGGCAGTGAGCCGTGCGATGCGGTGAAGGCCTCGCTCTGGGCGACTTCGCTCGCGTCGCTGGCGGTGAAAGAGTGTGCGAGTGGGTGCTGAGCGGTGGGCGATCAGTGAGCGGGTGTGAGAGCGCACTCGTAGCCCTGCACGGCAGCAGCAGTCAGCCAGTTCGCAGGCAAAGCCAGCTGGCCGAGGTGCTGTTGGCTCGTGGTCGCCTCGCCGCAACCTTGCGCCGGGCGGAGCACCTCGCATGCATCCACCTCAGCTCGTCGGGAACGCCTCCTGATGCGCTGGAAGGACTGACAACGTCTCGCTGAAGAGCAACTGACCCAGCAGACCGAGCGGGAGAGCGTTGAGAGCGCGGGAGAGGCCGCCAGACCTGCGAAAGAGCCGACTCCTCTAGACAACGGCGGTGAAACGGACTTCTGTGCACATGCGAAGGGAGAACAAGGCAGACAACACGAGGAGAAACATGGGCCAGGGAACGTGCGGGTACTGCGAGTGGGCGGGAGTCGGACAAGCGAGAGATGGAAGAGGAAACGAGGCGGAGGGAGCGACCAGCGCTCAGCGGCCGTGGGCGAGGGCGCCTGCGCGACGCAAATGTCAGCGTGAGAATGATCAAGCTGCTCGAGAGAGGCTGACGCACCCTGCGAACGCTTCGGGTCCTCGAGCTTGTTGACCTTGACCTCCGGGCCCCAAGTGATGCTCTGCGTCGGACAGGGTTGTCAGCGCGCCCTTCGCCGGTGAGAAACGGGGGACTCGGGACGCACGCTCATCTCCTGCGGCGTGATGAGGATGAACTGCGTCTGGTCGGCCGTCTTGGCTGTGTCGATCATCATGCGCATGGCGATGCGACGGTTGACGGCGTCCTGCGGGCGGGAAAAGTGAGCACAAGCTCAGAGAGCACTCGGGGCGGCTGTCGCACCATGAAGACGTCCTGCGAGCGCGTGAAGCGGTCAGCGTGATGCGGGAAAAGGCGAACGACGAGACGACGGCGACAACTCACAAACTCGTCGAGGCAGCGCAGCGGGCACCCGACCGCCTCCCACATCGTCAAGAGGAAGCAGATGGTCGAGAACGACTTCTCTCCGCCCGAGAGACTCTTCGTGTCCTTCTGCTTGGCCTTCTGGCCCTCCTGCGCGTCCTCGGTCTGGACAACGATGTTGAGGCGGCACTTGTTGTGATCAAACTTGAGCTTGCCGTTGAAGCCGCGCTGCCGGAGGTGGTGCTGGAACTGGCTCTTTGCGCGCTGCGCGATGTGCGAGCGGAAGTCGGTCCAGCGTCCAACGCGATTGTCGTACGCGGTCGAGAGAGCCTCCGAGAGGCGAAAGAACGGTTTCAGCAGCTTGCCCTGCGAGCGAGAGGAAGACGCGCGTTGAGCGGGAATGGTCGGGAACGCACTTTGATCAGGGTGGCAATCTCGTTGGTCGACTTAACTGCCTCTTGCGCGACTTGCTTGCGCTTCTCGAGCTCCTCGAGGATCTGCTCAATCGATGCGCCTTGACGCTTCTCGCGCTCCTTCAGCGCACGCTCGATCTGGTCAATCTCCTTCTGCAGCTTCTTCGCGTCCTTCGGCTTGGCAACCTCGGGGCGCGGGCAGATCTCGATCGCCATGTCGTAGCGTTCCTACGGTGTGCGCAAACCACTTGTCAGCGAGTAAACCGCACATCGAGGAGACAGGCGAACGCACCTGGCGCATCTGCTTCGTCGCCTCGAGCTCTTCGTTGAACTGCTCGATCCGCTTCTCGGACGTCGTCTTGGCCTTGTCGACGAGCGCGATCCTCGACTTGAGGCCGCTGATCTCGGAATGAACCCTCTCCGTTTGGTTCTGCGTGCCGGGACGAAACGAGTGTCAGCGAGGAGGAGCAGTCGGATGGTGTGCCGAAGACTTGCCGTCATGCGAGAGAGCAGCTTCTCGCGACCCTTGATAACGTTCTCGAGTTCGGCCTTCTCGTCGGCGATCGCGCCCATGTCGCCCTTGTTGGCGTTGTGCGCCTCGAGACCGGCCTTGTACTGCGCCAAGGCGTTCTCGCGCTCGACCTCCGTTTCCTGCGGTCGTTCAGGCTCGTGAGCGAGTGCGGACGGCGTAGGAAGGCGGCAGACGAGCGCACCCTCTTGTTCTCCTGCAGCGCCGCAATGTTGTTCGGCTGCTCCTCCGTCAGCTGCGCGTCCCAATGCTGGATGCTGCGGTTGAGCGAGAGCGTGCGCTTCTGGGCGGCCGCGAACTTCGACTGCGATCGTGCGAGAACCGAGTCAGCGCGGTGGGGAAGGTGGTACGAGGTGGAAGAACGCACGTCGGCTTCCTGCTTCTGCCTGTGGAAGCTCGCAAGCTGCTGGTGCAACTCGGCCTTCTTCTGCTCGAGGCGCTGAATGTCCTGCTGGATCGTTGCGCGCTCCTCGTTGAGGCGGCTGCAGACGAGAGCGGTGAGCGAGAGTAGGCGCCCCATAAGGCGAGACATTCGGTACGCACGCGATCTGGCCGGAGACGTCGCTGACGAGACGAGGGGCGCCCTTCCACGGCGCCATGACGGACGACGATGACCTGCCTTGGCTGCTCGAGGAGAAAAAGTCAGCGTGTGGACCGGGGGAGGGAAAGAGCGAACGGCGACAAACTTGTTGCGAAGCTGGAAGCAGTCACCCGAGTAGGCGGCCTCAACGTTGCGCGGGTTCGTGCGCATCAGGTTGTCACCGTCCGGACGAGTCGGGACCAATCCGCTACGCTCGATGCGGGACGAGACGATGAGGACCTGAAGGACGAGCGGGTGGTCGATCTGCACGCAGGGCGTCAGTCGTCGCCTTGAGAGAAGAGAAGGCGAGACACACCTTGCATGCGCGGAGGACGGTGAGGATGCTCGAGTCGGGCTCGCCCTGCGAAAAGTCGAACGAGTTGTCGTAGCGCTGCGTGATGATCGGGACGTTGTGGTCGCTGCGAAAACACCAGTGTCAGTGAGAAGAGTAATGTGCATGATTCAAAGCGAACGCACAGCTTGAAGTAGTCGCGGATCCTGCGCATCTTAGCGGCGTCTTCGTGGTTGGTCACGATGAACGCGTTGAGCGCCGGGCCGAAGAACGACTCGAGGACGCGCGCATACTCTGGGCGCTCGAGCTTGACGTGCCTCCCGATGGGGCCGATTGGCTTCTCACGCCAGCCGCCCTCCTGGTTGATAGCGTTGAGCACTTCGGGAATGCGCGGTCCGTACGCAAGCATCGTGTTCTGCTGCGTGCGCTTCGTGTGGTCGATCCGTCCAAAGACGTCGCGGTCGCGCTGCTGGGCCGTCTCAATCTGCGCCTTGACGTTGTCGTACTCGGGCGAGACCTGCTCCGACTTGTCCGACAACTCGGTCGACTCCTGGCGCGCCTGGACCATCTGGATGCTCAGCTTCTCGATTTCCTCGTTCGCACGGACGATGTTGTCGCGCAGCGGGCGCCGCTCGGCCTCGAGGTCGCGCGAGAGCTTCTTCTCCTCCTCGGCGATCTGGCGGTCAAAGTCGGCGATGGTCTCGGTGAGGCGGCTAACGGTCGCGTTAATCTGGCGCTCGAAGGCCTATCGAACGGAGCGGGTATCAGCATTCGTTACCGAGAAGAGGCAGTCTCGTTCGCACGCACCTTCCACTTGGTCGCGCGGTCCTTGTCGGCCTTGAGCAACTCCTTCAGCTCGTCAAGCCTCGGCTGCTTCTCCGCAATCTCCTGACGAGCCTCGCGCTCGGCAGAAGAGAGGTCGGCGATGTTGTTCTCGCGCAAAGCGAGTTCATCCTGCAGAGGGTTTCGCTAGGTCGGCAACAGCTAAGGGGGAGACGAGGGAGGCAGTAACGCACCTGGTACTTCTTGAGCTCTTCCTCCATGCCGAGCAACTTCGCCTGCTCCTCGGCAATCTTGTCCTCGCCGAACTCGATGCGCTGCCGGACGCAAGAATGTGAGTCCGCAGCTTCTCGGCGAAAGCTTGGAAACGACTCACATCCTCGACCTCCTTGACATAACTCCACGCCAACTGGTCCTCCAAAACCTGCAAGTTCCCCTGCTGCTCGATCGCCGCCTGCGCCTCCTTCGCGCGCTCCTTCGCGCGCCTATACGCGTCCTTCAGCTCGGGCAAGACTTCCTTCTTGCGCTGGAGGGCGGCTTCCATTTGTTCGGTGTTGGCGCGGATTTGCTCGTATTCTTCGGTGAGTTGGGCGAGTTGCGTGCCGCGGAGGAAGAACTGCGGGAGTCGTTTGGGTGGATCAGCGAAGAAGGGAAGGAGAGAGGCCGGCAAACGCACCGTGTACTTGTCCTTGGGCGAGGCAGAGGCGAGGAACTGACGAGACTGGTCCTGGGTGAGAACCGTCATCGGGTTGTCGACCTGGATGTTGAAGTTGTCGACTGCACCCTCCCAACCGCGTCAGTCCCGCCACTTGGCAGGAAGCTCGATGTGCGACTCACGGATAGCATCGAGCGTCGACTTCTTCCCATCCATGACCTTGCCCTCCGCATTCTTGATCTTGTACGACCCGCTCCCCGTCTTGTTCAGCACGCGCTCGACCGTGATCTCGCTCCCGTAGATGTGCGGCAAGAAGGCGTCTTCGCCTTTGTTGGCGAGCGTGACGGAGACGCGGGCCGAACTGCGGCGAGAGGAGGCGAGTGAGCAACGGAAGAGTGAGGGAGAGGAGGAGGAACGCACGGCTTGCCCTCCATGATCAGGTCCCCGCCCTTCTGTCCGCGGTTCTGCGAGTCGACGAGGAAGTGTCAGCGTCTCCTTCGAACGCGAACGAGCGAGCGCAACACACCGTCGTCTTGGCATTCCCTCCGAGCGCCATCGTGATTCCCGTCAAGACAGCCGACTTGCCCGACCCGTTCACGCCGACGAGGAAGTTGACTTGTGGTCCGAAGTCGACGGTCGTGTGAGCATGGCACTGCGTGAGATAGATTTCGAAAGTTAGGAGATGTCAATCCAGCGGGAGGGCGAGGCGAGACGCGCCATGAAGTTCTGCAGAGTGACCTGCTTGATGACGCCGGCCTCTGCGATCCTCTGTGAGCCGGTGCAAGCCTAGTCAGCCCCGTCCAACGCGTTCGCACGGTCCTCGAACGCACCGAAGGCCCCTCGCGCTGAGTCTGTTGCAAGGCGTCCAGCGCCTGCCTCTGCTCGTCGTCGTCCTCGCTCATCGCGTCGTCCTCACTCTCGTCGTCCTCCTGATCCTGCGCATTGCGGTCCCTGGGCGGTGTCGAGCGCGGGAGGGGCGATGCGTTCGCCGACTGGTCCTCCTCTTCGTCGTGGTCCAAGCGGGCGCGCTTGGAGGGCGACGCGCTGTCCGACTCGTTGCCGTCGCTGTCTGTGTCTATGCGGATGTGCTTGTCGACCATGCCTTTGCGTCCGGGTGCGAGCGAGCGTCCAAGGTCAACGAGGCGTCGAGGCGCGTCCGCTCAGATCAGAAAAGCGAGGCGGGTCCACAAACACTCGCGGTGAGGGTTGCGGGTGTCCTTGCAGTGTTGTTCGTACATTGTATAGTACTGCCAGCCCATCAGAAGCCGTATCCCGAGTGAGCCATGTTGACATCCTCCTCCTCGACTTGTTCGCTCGCTCCCTCCCAAGCTACTTCTTCATACTAACTGCTTACTCTACTGTACCGCTCTGCCTGCCCTGCCACCTCGCGAGTTCGTCGTTGTGTCTCGGACGGATGCTCCGCCGCCTCCGCCCTCGCCGGCCGAGCGCCAGTCAGCTTCCGGGCGACCGCGTCCGTCTCTCCTTTCGCCTCGCACTCTTGCTGCCGCTCAACGAACGCATCTGGCTGCTCACTCACACTCACAGCTGAATAGAGCACCCTCGACTGCCCAAGTCTGCGCGCGCTCGCTGCTTCAACTCCCACCGGACCTCGCTACGCACGACGACACTTCTGGACTCCTCCGCATCGCAGCACCAGAGCACAGCCGGACTCTCGCGGGATCACAGGAAAAGGTGCGCATCTCTCACTCTCACAGTCGCGCCCGCCCGCGAAGGCTGACCCGCTCCTCTGCGCGCAGCCGGACGCTCCCCTCTTCCCCCGCCTCCACCGCGAGCCGACCAGCGATGCCCTCGCCCACGAGCACCGTCACTCGCGCAGAGAGCCACGAGCGCGACTATGACAAGGCCGAGAAGGGCGGGTCCGCCGCGAGCGCGAGCGACAAGGAGGGTCAGCAGGAGGACGTCGACAAAGGGCTGCCGATGGCCGCGTCGAACGACATCAAGGGGACGGATATCGCGCACATCAAGCGCAGGTGGTGGTTGCCCAAGCCCAGGGAGCCGTACAAGTCGTTCGAGGACGCAGAGGAGATCCCCTTCGCCACCGCCAACTTCCTCTCAAAGATCACCTTTTATTGTGCGTTCCTCGTCTTCTCGGCCGTCTCCAGTCTCTGGAACGCTGACACGTCGTCGTACGTCCCGCAGGGATTCAGCCGATGCTGATCACGGGCTACCAGGTGCGTCTCCGTCGGGAATCGGTCGCTCGACTTTCCGCAGCTGACCTGGCCTCTCTTCGCAGCGCACGCTCGTCCCGACCGACCTCTGGAAACTCCACGAAGACTTCCAAGCCTCTTTCCTCGCCGACAGGCTCGTCGCCAACTTTGAGCGGCGACGAAAGGCCGTCGAGGCGTGGAACAAGGCGCTCGAGGACGGGTCGTACAAGCCCTCTGCGCTGCGACGGGCATGGTGGCGCGTCGGCAAGGCCTTCGGCGGCAAGGGCGACGGGAAGCGACAAGTGGGACTCGCACTCGCCATCTCGGACACGTTCTTCTGGCGCTTCTGGTCCGCCGGTATCCTCAAGGTCATTTCGGACGGCCTCCTCGTCACCTCGCCCCTCGTTACCCGCGCCCTCATCACCTTCGGCACTAAGGCGTACGCAGCGCACCGCGGCATCCCCGGCTACGAGCCTGACCCTATCGGCGTCGGGATCGGACTCGCCTTTGGACTCTGGGGCATGCAGATTGTCGCCTCGCTCTGCCTGCACTCGTTCTTCGAGCGCTCGGCCGGTACGGGCGTCCTCGTCCGTGCAGCCTTGATCGCCGCCATTTACCGCAAGGCGATGGTCCTCTCCGGCAAAGCCCGGACAGTCATCACGAACGGCCGCCTCGTCAATCACATCGGAACCGACATCTCTCGCATCGACTTTTGCGCCGGCTTCTTCCACATGAGCTGGACAGCCCCGATCCAGCTCCTCGTCATCATGGCCATCCTCCTCGTCCAGATCGGGCCTTCGTGCCTCGTCGGAATCGCCTTCCTCCTCCTCATGATCCCCCCTCAGTCGTGGGCGATGAAGAAGATGTTTGGATTCCGTCGCAAAGCGATGGTGTGGACCGACAAGCGCGCGCGGCTGATCGGCGAATTGTTGGGCGGGATGCGGATTCTCAAATTTTTCGCGTGGGAGATTCCCTACCTCGCCAAGCTGCAAGAGTACCGCGCGAAGGAGTTGAGGCAGGTCAGGAACTTGCTCGTCAGTCGCGCGGCGACGACGGGCGTGGCCATGTCCCTCCCGACGCTTGCGACGGTTCTTGCGTTCATCACCTACGCCAGCACCGGACACCAGCAGACCGCCCAGAGCATTTTCACCTCCTTCACCCTCTTCCAGCTGTACGTTCGGCGTTCCCGTTCTCTCTTTGGAGATGCAGCGCTGACAAGCTCTATCCTCCCGTCAACAGCATTCGCATGCCGTAAGCTTCGCCATTTCTGCTTCGTCCCGGGAGTTTCGCTCACTCTGCTCGCGCTTCTTTCCCCAGCCTCATGATGCTCCCGATGTCGCTCTCGACGATTACGGACGCCAAGAACGCTCTCGGACGTCTCGTCGAGGTGGGCTCGTTGACTTCCTCCAAGCGTCCTCTGGCTCACCCTCTCTCATCGCGCAGGTATTCCTCGCCGACGAGCGCGAAGTCACGCTCGACGTCAACCCCACCGCCAAGTACGCCGTCGAGGTGACCGATGCCGACTTCCAGTGGGAATCGCCGCCTCCCGACTCGGCGCCCAAGTCGAAGAAGGAGCAGGCGAAGCTCGCTGCGAAGGTGAAGAAGGAGACGAAGAGCGCCAAGAAGGAGCGCAAGGAGAAGGAGAAGAAGGCCAAGGTCGAGCTCAAGTTGGCGGAGAACGCGCCTGCCGACCCGGAGTCGACTGAGAATAGCGGAGATGCGACGGCTGGCGTGCCGGATGCGACGGGCGTCAAGGGCGAGCAGGACACGGCGGATCCGACAACGACGCCGGAGGAGAAGGAGGTCTTGCAGCTGCGAGACGTCAACCTCAAGATTCCGAGGGGACAGCTTTGCGCTATTGTCGGTGCCGTCGGGTACGCGTCGCTCTCAAGGTCTCCCGCAACCTGTATTGACGAGGCTCGCTCGCAGATCCGGCAAGAGTTCGTTGTTGCAGGCGCTCGTCGGCGAGATGAGGAAGACTCGCGGCGACATCAAGTTCGGCGGAACGATCGCCTACGCCGCGCAACAAGCGTGGATGCAGAGCTGTTCGCTCAAGGACAACATCCTTTTCGGCCAGCCGTACGACGAGGAGCGCTACCGCCGCGTCATCCACGATGCCTGCCTCGAGGCGGACTTGGAAATGCTGCCGTACGGCGATGCGACCGAGATCGGCGAGAAGGGCGTCACGCTTTCTGGTGGCCAGAAGCAGCGCGTCAACATCGCTCGCACGCTCTACTACCCCGCCGACATCGTCCTCCTCGATGACCCTCTGTCGGCCGTGAGCCCAGACCTTCTCCCATATCTTCTCGCTCGCTGCTGACGTTATGGCCCCGCAGGTCGACGCCCATGTCGGCAAGGCCCTTTTCGACAACGCCATCTGCGGCTCGCTCGCAGGCAAGACCCGCATCCTCGTCACGCACGCGCTCCACTTCCTCCCCCGTGTCGACTACATCATCTGCCTCGACCACGGCAAGATCACGCAGGAAGGGACGTACGCCGAGCTTGTCGCTGACAAGGAGGGAGCGTTCAGTCAGTTGATGGAGGAGTTTGGTGGCGACGTCGAGGAGAAGACGGAGGAGAAGGACGAGAAGGAGGAGGCGGCGGTCGAGGAGAGTGGCAAGGACGGCAAGAAGAAGAAGGACGACCAGCCGAAGGCCAAGGCGCTCATGCAGGAGGAAGAGCGTGCGACGGGCTCCGTTTCGGGCGCTGGTGCGTTGCCATTCGCTCCTCGCGTTCGACCCGCTTCTAACGCCCTCGCCACACAGTCTACGCGCGTATCTTCCGCCTCGCGAAGGGATGGTACACCTTCCCGCTCCTCTTCCTCGCCATCGCGCTTCAACAGGGCGCGCAAGTCTTGGGATCGTACTTGCTCGTCTGGTGGCAGGAGGACCAGTTCCACCAGTCGATGGGCTTCTGTGCGTCCACTCTGCATGCTCGCGAAGTCCTGTGCCAAGCTGACCGACCTATACCTTTGCAGACGAGGGCCTCTACGCGATGTTCGGTATCCTTCAGGCCATCTTCTCGTTCGTTATGGGCGTTGCGACGACCATCATCGGCTACAACACCTCCCGCTCGCTTCACCACGCCGCGATCAACGGCGTCATGCATGCGCCGATGTCGTTCTTCGACACGACGCCGCTTGGCCGCATCATGGTGCGTAGGCGTGTTGTCCGGCTCTCGAGCGCACGCTGACACCCTCGTCACTCGCAGAACCGCTTCTCAAAGGACATCGACACGGTGGACAACACGCTGAGCGTGAGTAGCTCGAACTAGGTATACTCTCGCCCTGACTGACCCGCCTTCTTGTATCGCAGGACTCGTTCCGCATGTTCGTCTCAACCGCGAGCAGCGTCATCGGCGCCATCGTCTTGATCGCCGTCGTCCAGCAATGGTTCCTCCTGGTCGTCGCTTGCATCCTTTGCCTCTACGCCTTTGCCGCCCGCTTCTACCGCCAGTCTGCCCGCGAGCTCAAGCGGCTCGACAACCTTCTTCGCAGTTCGCTCTACGCGCACTTCAGCGAGACGCTCTCCGGCATGGCGACCGTCCGCGCTTACGGCGAGCAGGAGAAGGTGGGCCCGTTGCGACTGGCTCGTATCCGTCCTTAGGCTGACTTACCTCGACTCTACAGTTCCTCAAGCAGAACGAGGCGTACATCGACCTCGAGAACAGGGCGTACATGCTCACCGTTGTCAACCAGCGATGGGTGCGTTTCTCGCTCAACGGCTGGTCCTGCTCACACGCTGACCGACTCGCTCCGACAGCTCGGTCTCCGCCTCGACTTCTTCGGCAGCTGCCTCACTTTCGCCGTCGCCATGTTCTCCGTCGGCACACGGACGAGCATCTCGCCATCGCAGACCGGTCTCGTTCTCTCCTACATCCTCACCATCTCGCAAGCCTTCTCTTGGATGGTTCGCCAGGGCGCCGAGGTCGAGAACGACATGAACTCGGTCGAGCGTCTTCTGCACTATGCCAACAACCTCGAGCGTGAGGCGCCCGCCGAGATCCCCGAGACCCGTCCGCCCGTCGAGTGGCCGTCTGGCGGCGCGATCGAGTTCAAGAACGTCGTCATGCGTTACCGCCCGGACTTGCCTCCCGTCCTCAAGGGCCTCAACTTGAGCGTTCGACCGGGCGAGAAGATCGGCGTCGTCGGCCGAACAGGCGCTGGCAAGTCGTCCATCATGCAGACGCTGTTCCGCATCGTCGAGGTCTCTTCGGGCACAATCGAGGTCGACGGCATCGACATCTCGAAGCTTGGACTCGCCGACTTGCGTAAGAAGATCGCCATCATCCCGCAAGACGCGCTTCTCTTCGCCGGTACCGTCAGGTGAGCGCTTGATTTCGGCTCTCCCTCTGCCCGCTGCTGACTTTGCTCGACGCAGAACCAATCTCGACCCGTTCGCCGAGCACGAAGACGCCGAGCTGTACGACGCGCTCAAGCGGGCATGGCTCGTCGACCGCGACCAGCCGCCCCCTCGCGCCAGCATGGGCGACAAGTCGTCCGAGCCTTCCTCCGCGTCTACGCCTACCGCAAGCCGCTTCACGCTTGACCTCGCCATCGAGGACGAGGGTCAGAATTTGTCGGTTGGTGAGCGGAGTCTTGTCTCGCTTGCGAGGGCGCTCGTCAAGGACTCGAAGATCATCGTGCTTGAGTGCGTCCCCCTCCTCTCTCGTTTCTGCCAGTGCTGAAGCTGACTTGCTACGTTCGCAGCGAGGCGACGGCTTCCGTCGACTTTGCGACCGACTCGCGCATTCAGGCGACCATCCGCAGCGAGTTTAAGGACAAGACGGTGCGTTCGCTTTCCCGCTTACTCTTTTGAGCTCCACTGACGCCGTCCACGCTCGCAGCTCCTCGTCATCGCTCACCGCCTGCGCACCATCATCGACTCGGACCGCGTGCTCGTTATGGACGCCGGTGCAGTCGCCGAATACGACAGTGCGTTCCGCTCATCGCCGACCTCTCTGGCTTCTTCGCTGACCTGACCCTCACGCAGCCCCCATCAACCTCTTCCGCGCTGGCGGCATCTTCCACGGCATGTGCGAGCGGAGCGGAATCACTGAGCGGGACATCCTGGAGACGGAGTTTGCGCTGCCGGCTCAGCAGGCGGAATGAGCGGCGGCAGGAGAGTGTAGATGGCGTTATTTGCTTAGTCCTCGCATCTTCGCTTCTTGTATCGACTAGACCTCTGTTGGAACGGACGCTGCATCGTCTGGACTGCCTTCGTTTCAAGCGTGCGAGTGAGAGAGTGAAAAGGGGTATCGTAGCTACAGGACTAGGGGTGCGTGGGAGAAGAAGCCTGCGAGACGAGGAGGGTCTACTGCGTCGCCTTGTCGGCCTGCTTCTGGAGGTTCGAGCCGAGCTGCGCCGACGACTCCTTCGCGTCCTTCTGAAGCGCCGCGACGTATCCCTGCGCCGATGCGGCAGCATCCTGTCGATGTGTGAGAGCGTTAGGAGCGGCCAATCTGCGAAGGAGGTGGGAGGACGCACGTTCGAGCCAGCCTTCGACTCCTCGACCTTCTGGTTGAGCGAGCTTGCGGCGTTGTCCGTCTTCGCCTTGAGGTCGTCGGCGGTGGTGCCGGACGCCTCCTCCGCCTTCTTCTGGCCAGCAGCGATCAGTCTGCGTGCGAGAAGGTGTGAGTAGGGGTTGTAGAAACTGCGGCAGAGGAAGGCAACGCACCCCTCGGCGGTCTGGAGAGCAGAGGCGGCGAGGTCCCGCGCCTTGGCGACGTAGCCCTGGGCAGCAGAGCCGTCCGCCGACTTCTGAGCGTCACCGGCAGCCTCCTTCGCCTTGTCGGCGCCCGAGCCGATGACACTGCGGGGATGTAACGGCGTCAGCTGGGTGTCGCTCGACTCGAGGGAATGTCGCGGTACGCACTCGCTGGCAGCGTGGAGGACGTGAGCCGCAAAGTCACGACCCTCGTTGATGAGCCCGCCGAGGGTCTGCGAGCCCTCTGCGCCGTGCGAGGTCGACGCCGAGTCGGCCTGGGATGCGCCGCTGTCCTTGCCGAGTCCGACGACGCCCTTGGCGTAGTCGAGCGTGTGCGAGGCGAGCTTCGTGGCCTCGTTGGTGAGGGTCTGCTCGCCGACCGTGCCATCGGTAGCGTTGCCGATCTTGTTCGAGAGGGATCCGCCAGACATGGTGTTGGGTGTGTGTTGGGAGTGTGTTGGGGGTGTGTAAGCTGTTGCGAGTGGTGTTAGAGAGGGAGAGAGGGGGGAGAGGGCGAGAAGGAGCAGAGGGATCCGACTTGCGGTGACGTCGTCAGATTGTGCATGCGCATGAATGGCCGACTTTGACGAAGGCTGTCTGGACTCTGCGGTGAGTCTGGAATCACTTGCATAGCACGCGCAGTCGTCGCGAAATGCGAGCAACGACAAGGCGAACGAGCGGGCGCAACTTGCGAAGGTCGCCCGTTTGTCGCCCTCCTGCGCATTCAACGAGTTCTGCTGAGCTCGAGATCTGTCGTAACGTCGCTGTGAGGCTCTGCAAGAGACTTCGAAGCCGGCGAGAGGAGGGGAATGAGCCAGCGCAGCGAGAAAATCCCGAAGGCCTTCGCAACTGGCGGACGTCGTCGCGTTGGGTCGTGCTAGGGTTGCTGGCTTCCACTAGTCGCCCTCGTAAGCGTGAGAGGTAGTCAACACTTCAGACGGGGAACCAAAAAAAGCAGGGCTTGCGAAAGAGACCCGGCGGCGAGGGAAGCTGGATCGAAACAAGTTATCCGCTCGTTCTGCGAAGCGAAAACGGCCGCCAAACAACCTCTTACTGAGCAGTTGACGATGTCTTCACCAGGATTCGAGGAGCCAGCGCGACAGAGGAGGGCGGAGGGGAGAATTACTTCGCCGTTTGTCGACCGCCGCCTCGAGCGTGCCTTGTTTCGCTTCGACTCGACTCCTTTGAGCTGCGAGTCAACATCACTGGCGAAGCTCTCGGCACGAACTGGAGGTTCCGCAGGATCATCGCACGGTCGCAAGTACGAAGATGGGCCTTTTCGTTGTCCGTCGTGGGACGCAGAAAGCGCCTTGTTCTCCCCGTTACCGTTCTCCTGCCTAGCAACGACGCGGCCAGATCCAGCAGAGACTGTCAAGCTGACCGAGCGCGAAGCTCGACATCACGGAGACCTCGCTCTTCCAGCGTTTGACCCGTCTTCCGCAAGCGTCGAGACTGGCGAGCTATCTGCCAGCGCGGCACCCGCAGCGACGTACTCCAGTGTCTTTGAGCAGTGAGTCGCGAGTGTGAAGGCGGCAGCGCAGCTGCGAGCGAGGCGATGGGTACCGGAAGAGGTGAAGGCGTCCGGACGGTTTCTCCCCTTTGGCCGTCCGCCTCCTGCGAAGCCTCAACACAGCCGAGCAGCCAAGCACAGCATCCCACAGCGACGCCGGATACCCTCGAACGAGCAGCGAACGGAAGAACTGCCTTAGTATTCCTTCGCGCCTTTGCCGGACCTACGACATCGCGTCCATAAGTCCCGGGACGCCTCCCGACGACGCCAACTACGCCCACATGTCAACAACGCAACGGATGCACTGTCCTTCGTGCATGAACCCGAACCCTTGGTCGATCTTGTCGAGCGTCGTCTGTTCAGAGGCGTTCGAGCGAACGTCAGTGAGGTCTTCCGGCGCAGGACAACCCGGACATTGCGCCACGCACCCGGTGAGTGACATAGTCGTCCACGGTGAGCTTGCCAGCGAGGTAGTCGTCAACGAGGCCAGGAAGCCTGCGAGGAACCGTCAACGAGGTCAGTCCTGCTCGTCCGCTCCGTCGCGTTCTTCGCCTCGCGACGCACTCAGTCCGGCCCTTGACACCACCGAACGCCGATCCCTGCCACTTGCGGCCCGTAACGAGCTGGAACGGACGCGTCGAGATCTCCTTGCCGGCGGCGGCGACGCCGATGATGGTCGAAACGCCCCAGCCTGCGTGCGGGTGACTGTCAGTACAGCGGAGTGAGACGATGAAGCAGAGGAACACACCCTTGTGGCACGCCTCGAGAGCCTGACGCATAACCTGGACGTTGCCGGTGCAGTCGCTGCAGAACGAGACATTCAGCGCGCACTCAGCGAGAGAAGCAACCCACGACCCACAAGGTGTGCTCGCAACCGCCATCCGTCTTCTCGACGAGGACATCGACGATCGACTTGTCCTTGCCCAGGTCGAGCGGGTTGATAAATTCGGTCGCGCCCATGCTCATCGCCCAGTCCTTCTTGCCCGGGTTCGTGTCAATCGCGATGATCTGCTTCGCCTTGCGGACCTTGCAGCCCTGGATGACGGCGAGGCCGACGGCGCCGAGGCCAAAGACCGCAACGTTGTCGCCCTCCTGGACGTTGGCCGTCTTCGTACTGCGCCACGCGAGCTGGTCAGCGACGAGGGGCCAGAGAAGAGCGGTTCCAACGCACGCAGCACCATAGCCGGTCGTCAAGCCGCAGCCGAGCAAGCAAGCCTTGTCGAGGGGGGCCTTGTCGGTGATGGCGACGACCGAGTACTTGCTGACGACGGTGTACTGCGAGAAGGTCGAGCAGCCCATGAAGTGGAGGAGCTCCTTGCCCTTGCACTTGAAGCGGCGCGTGCCGTCGGGCATCTTGCCCTGACCCTGCGTCGCACGCACGGCACCGCAAAGGTTCGTCTTGCCCGACTTGCAGAACTTGCATTCGCGGCACTCGGCCGTGTAGAGCTGCGCGTGTGGGGAATCAGCGCGGTTCTTGACCGTGGGAAGCGCCGCAACTCACGGGAACGACATGGTCTCCGACCTTGACATCCGTCACGCCCTCGCCGACCGACTCGACGATTCCTCCGCCCTCGTGACCGAGGACGACCGGGAAGGCGCCCTCGGGGTCGTCTCCAGAGAGCTGCGGCGAGAGTCTCGGGTTAGCACTGTGAATGCGAGGACGACCCGGGAGAACTGTCCGTCCGGGCAAGAGGACAGTGAAAGCTTACGGTGAAGAGGTCCTGCGGGCCCGAGGCGGTCAGCGAGCGCTTGACGACAGCTTCAAAGACGCTGCAACGCACAGTGTGGCAGAGCGCGGTGTAGAGGACCTTGATGCGGACCTCTCCCTCCTTGGGCGGGTCGACCGTAATCTCCTCGATCGAGACGGGCTTGCCGGCCTCCCAGGCGACAGCAGCCTTGCAAGTAATGACCTGCGGGGGCGCGCACGGCGGTCAGCTCTGTTGTGAGGGAGGGGAACAGCTTCCGGCGGTCGATGATGAGGTGGGGACGAGAGACGGCGAGAAAAGCGAGCGCAGGACGGGCGGGCGGGTGCGCACCTTTCCCTGAGTGTCCGACATTGATGCAAGCAAGCAGGCGTAGCAATAAACGAGAGCGAGCGAGTTGCGGGAGAAGTTGCCTCCACCTCTCTTTCCTTTTCGCTCGGCGATGAGGACGGAGCGAGACGGCGGCAGAACAGGATCCGCTGCAGGTGGGGAGCACTCTCTCGCACTGCAACGGCACTGTCATTGGACTGGTTGTATTTCGCGGGCACAGCAAAGGGGAGAAGGAACGGAAGGAGAGTGCGACGACTGCTCTTGCGGAACGACCGCCGGGGAACAGCCGGCGAAGGGGGAAAGGAGAACAACGTGGGACGTTTCGGATCTTAACAGAAGCGGGACAGGGAGAAGGGGCGGTGAGAATGCGAGGAGGAAGAGCGGAAGCGGGAGGAACGGGTTCGGCGGGCGGGCTTTTGGCGAGTCGAATTCCGGAAGAAGCCAGGCGTGCAGGAGGGAAGAGATGCTGTTCCCTTTCTTTAGAAGCACTGTGTGAGGAAGCACGAGTCAGTGGCTGCGTCAGGGAGGGGAAGGCGGCGGCAACGAAGTCCCGCCGTTCTCCCCCATCTTTGAGCGAGTCCCGGCGACAACACGCACCTTCCGGTGGACGACGCTGGGCCCAGCCTCATCGTACTCTGGTGGTCGTACGGTGAGACATCGAATCAGGGAAGTAGGGAGGAGGAGGAAGGAGGTCGAGGAGGTCGAAGGCGAGTTGGGACGATTCCGAACGCAAAGTGGCGGCAAATGACGGTGCGTGACGGTGCGTAGGATGCGCGAGACATCGTAGCATGCGTGGGAAGAGCCCCGGAAGGCGAAAGGCCGAAGGCGAAGGAGCGAGGCGAGGACGACGAGGTCGGCGTCGGTGAAGTTGCGCGCATGCGGCAGGGTCGGTACAGACGGTGCGTAGCGGTTCGAAAGGCGTCGTAGGATATGCAGCAATGCGGCGAATGAGGGGTCAAAGCGAGCGACGGAGGGGAAGAAAGGGAGCGAACGGAACCGTCAGCAAATCACGCCCTCGAACAACCGCATCAAGGGCGAACGCACCCTGCTTCGAGATCCACATCTGCTGGAAGGTCGAGAGCGAGGCGAGGATGGAACCGCCGATCCAGACCGAGTACTTGCGCTCGGGCGGGGCGACAATCTTGACCTTCATCGACGAGGGCGCGAGGGCGGTGATCTCCTTCTGCATGCGGTCCGAGATGCCGGCGTACATGGTCGTGCCGCCCGACATGACAATGTTGCCGTAGAGGTCCTTGCGGATGTCGAGATCGCACTTCATGATCGAGTTGTACGTCGTCTCGTGGATGCCGGCGGCCTCGAGGCCGATGAGCGACGGCTGGAAGAGGGCCTCGGGCGCGCGGAACCGCTCGTTGCCGATCGTGATGACCTGGCCGTCGGGGAGCTCGTACGACTTTTCGAGCGCCGACGACTGCGCGGCCGTCTGCATCTCCTGCTCAAAGTCGAGCGCGACGTAGCAGAGCTTCTCCTTGATGTCGCGGACAATCTCGCGCTCGGCCGTGGTCGTGAACGTGTAGCCGCGCTCCATCAAGATCTTGATGAGGTAGTCCTGCGAGGTCCGTCAAGTGCGGTCAGTTTCGAGTCTCTCGCATGCAGGACAAGCGCAACGCACGGTCAGGTCACGGCCAGCGAGGTCGAGACGGAGGATGGCGTGCGGGAGCGCGTAGCCCTCGTAGATGGGGACAGTGTGGGTGACGCCGTCTCCCGAGTCGAGGACGATACCGGTGGTGCGACCCGAGGCGTAGAGCGAGAGGACGGCCTGGATGGCGACGTAGAAGGCCGGGGCGTTGAACGTCTCGAACATGATCTGCGTCATCTTCTCGCGGTTGACCTTGGGGTTGAGCGGCGCCTCGGTGAGGAGGACCGGGTGCTCCTCGGGCGCGACACGGAGCTCGTTGTAGAACTGCACGTCGAGGAGGGGAAGCACGAACCCGTCAGTTCAGTGCTTCTCGAGGTGAGCCACCCGCGGCGACTCACGGTGTGGTGCCAGATCTTCTCCATGTCGTCCCAGTTGGTGACGATGCCGTGCTCGATGGGGTCTGCATGCGGACGCAGCGAGGGCGCGCGAGCGTCAGCGATGAACCGAACCCCTCGGTGTCGCTCGACGAGGCGCAACTCACACTTGAGGGTCAGGATACCACGCTTCGACTGGGCCTCGTCACCGACGTACGAGTCCTTCTGGCCCATGCCGACCATGACGCCCTGGTGACGGGGCCGTCCGACAATCGAGGGGAAGACCTGCGTGTCCGGCGCGGCTTCCAGTCAGTCTCCGCCGTTGCGCTGTGCGATTCCTCGCGTGCTCATGGTGGAGCTGCGAAGAGACGAGAGTGCCAAGGCGATGGGCGCTGCGAGTGCGAGCGTGCGAGATCCGCAAGAGGGGAACCTCGTGGAGCGCCGAACTCGCAGCGCCCGAGCCTCGTCAAGGTGAGAGCAGGACGCACAGCACGGGGAGCATCGTCGCCAGCGAAACCGGCCTTGCACATGCCAGAGCCGTTCTGTGCATCGCAAGTCCCAGGGTCAGTGCACGGCGAGAGAGGGAGAGTGCTGCCACAACCGCCCCGCTGGTCCCACGTCGGCGCGGGTGACAGAGCGGCGGCAGCAGCTGGCGAGGGCACGCACGTCGATAACGAGGGCGGCAACTTCGTCTGCGTGCACTCGACGACCTCGTCAGCGTCCCTCTCGCGCTGCATCTCGCTCGCACACCCCGTCTTGGGCGGGTCGAGTGACGCTGCGAGGGGTGGATCTCGGCGACGACGCTGTGCGCGGGTGTGCGAGCTGGACTGGTGTGTAGCGCACCTTCCATTGTGAGTGACTGGGTGGGTAACGGGCTGAAAGAGAGACGGCGAGCGAGGGATGGGAGGGAGAAGAGGGTGCGTGGCAGGACGGCACGAACAACGCGGGCTCGCTCCCTCTCTCTCTCGCTCTCGGCGCACTCGAGTCAGTCGTTCTTGTGGTTGCAATCGCTCGCGCGCAGCTCGCATTCACTCGCAGTCGACCCCAGGCAGCCTCGCTGTCCAGCTGCCAACTCGCGCCGTCCTCTCCCCACTCGCGCGCGCCTCGGTGCACGCCCACCGTCTCACAGCGGCAGGCGGAGCTTACAGACGGGCTCAGCAGTGTGATGGAGAGGGCTTTACAACGTCAGGCTCACGAGCGAACCGCTTGTGCGTGCTGGGAGCCTCTCATGCCGCTCGCAGCCAGTTCTCGGGCGTTCCCAAGCCGCAGCGCTCGCAAGAAAGGTCAGCTGGTTCGACAGAGGCAACGAGGCATTGGTAAAGAGCTGCTCGCTCCGCCAGAACCGCCCCAGCTCGAGGTGGTCGCCTCCAACTCCCCCTCCCCCTCGCTCCCTCTGGCTTGCCCTCTCGCCCGTCCACCTCGAGTCGCCGCACCTGCGCACCCGAGCGAGACTCGCTGCTACAAGAGCTACTCTCTAGGTCAGTCTCGGGCTTGTTACACGCCCGCCCCCCACGCTCGCACACTGCGCTCGCTCGTCGCTCACACACTCCCCGCGTGTTCGCACCGCCAATGTAGTCTCCCTCCCGCCCGTACACGCGCCGCACTCGGCTCGACAGACGCAGAGAAAGGCACATGGAACCGTCACCACGCGCGCGGAGGTACTCGCGCGGACCGGGGGGCGAGGACGACAGGCGCGCTCCGCCGGGACCTGCGGGTGCGCCGCTCCAAGACGAGTACGACCGCTTGCCGCCCCGCCCGAGGAGGGACGAGTACGATCAGGATCGCAGAGGTGGGAGGCACCCGTATGGCGACCCGGACGACAGGAGGGGTGGTGGGTATGCGGATGGTCCGGAACAGGAGGGTGAGTTCGAGTGTCGTCGCTCGTTCAGTCTGAGAGTCGCTCGATGCGAAGCTGGGGACTGATTCGACTTGAGGCGACGATCACAGGCCGCGTCAAGCGCCGCCGGTCCATCTCGCCGGGAGGTCCTCCTCGAGGTCCGCCGCGCGACGACTACTACGACCGCCCGCCCCCGCCTCGAGACTACCGTGACGGTGCGTACAAGAAAAAGAGGCCATTTGCTCGATTGCCGCTGGTTGCGGGAGGAGCTGACGTTGGCTCTTGCTCGTTCACGGCACAGGTCCCCCTCCCCCTCGCGGCGGATACCGCGGGGACTACTACGACCGCCGTCCGCCTCCTCCTCCCGGCCCTGAGGGGTATGGGGCGTACCCTGGCTACCCGGCGTATGCGGACGCTTACTCTGCGCCTCCTCCTCCCCCTCGGTGCGATGCACCCTCCGTCTTTCCATCTCGCTGGAAACTCGCTGACAGGTTACTCGCTTGCAGTCGCCCTACGATGGAACCGCCCATGAACCAGCCCTACCTCGTCGACTACCGATACTTTGCCGACTGGTTCAGCCTGACCAACCCCTCGGCCGCCGAAAGTTCCAACCCGTCTGCAGCGCTCCAAGAAGCGTGGACCAAGTACGAAGGCGACTTTTTGCGGCGCGAGATCAAGAACCATTGGTTGGATATTGAGAGTAAGGGAGGCGAGTGGGCGAAGGAGAAGTATGGAACGGGCAGGGAGAGGGAGGGAGAGAGGAGGGAGAGGAGGAGGAAGGCGGGAAAGGCGGAGAGGATGAGGATCTGGACGGCGAGGGCCGACAACGGAGAGCTTGACGATGTCAGCTTCGACTTTGGTGCGCTCCCCTCGCCTCGATATCCGGTTCTTCTCCAGTCGTACTGACTTTCGCACGCTTCCCGTAGACGAAGAAGCCGCTCGCAAGCCTCGCATCATCCCCAACGCCGCCGCACAAGCCGCCGCCGCCGAAGCAGCCAAGAAGCAAGCTTCTCCCGAAGGGGAAGACTCGAGCGCGCCCGTCGTCCCTGCGCCAATTCAGGTCATCAAGGCTTCGTCGCCCGAGCACGTCATCTTGCCTGCGAGGCCCGAGACGATCTTGTGCAAGGGCGTGCCGACGAGCGTGACGATCAAAGCGCTCGAAGAGGTGCGTCCGATTCGCCCACTGCACTTCTTGCTTGCCCAGCCTCGCTCGGCCGATGAGTTGCATGCTGACTTGACATTCCCTCGCACAGCTCTTCGCCACCTTCGACGGCTTCGTCCGGCTGTCCATCTCCGACCCCGTCCCCTTCGCAGGCTTCCTCCGCCTCGCCTGGATCACCTTCTCCAGCGCCGATGCCGCCAAGCAGACGCTCGAGATGATCCAAGCGGCCTTCAAGCCTGCGCCGACGCCCGAAACGAGGGCCAAGTCTGAGTCGGCGCCGGTCGAAGCTGCTGGTGAGGCGACGACCAAGACGGACGCGAACGGCGACGCCGAGATCAAGGATGCCGCGCCTACGAACGGAGTCGAGTCTGCTCCTACCGCCGAAGGAGCAACCCGGGGCAAGGCGGAGAACGGTGCGGATGCGCCCGAAGCGAACGACAACAAGCCGGCCGAGGAGCCCAAGCCTTACGCGATCGGCTCATACGACCTCTCCGCCCCAGGCGTCCTCTCCATCCGCATGCAGCCCGTTGAGATCCGCATGCGCGCGACTCCCGCGCTGTGCTCGTCGCCCGACCGACTGGCCAAGGACGTCGAGACGGCTCTCAAGGCTGTCGAGGCGGCCGAGAAGCGGGTTCGTGAGGACGAGGGCGCGATGGAAGAGGATTCGGGCGCACAGGCGAGCGGAAGTGCGGTCATTCGGAGGAAGATGGAGGAGTGGGAGAAGGAGGTCGAGGAGAAGAAGGAGAAGGAGTCGCTTGAGCAGCCCGCGTACGAGGCTGCTCGTGCCGGAGTCGTGAGTCGTCTGCCTCCTCCACGGCCCCTTGGGAGGCTTGCTGACCCTCCCGCTCGTTCTACAGAACAAGCGCGTGCTCGACCTTGCGCTGTCGTACCTCCGCGAAGCGTTCGACATCTGCTTCTACTGCACCGCCGTTTGCGACTCTCCCGAGCAGCTGAGCGACATGTGCCCTCAGCATGTCCGCCGGCACGATACGGTCGTCGCGCCGTCGAGGCTTGCAGCCGGTGCGTCCGCCGACCGTACGGTCTCCTCGCCCGCTCCCACTGACTGTTCCCGCCCCATGCCGCAGAGGCCGGCTGGGTTGCCGAGTTTGAAAAGCGCGTCCCGCTGCTCACCGATACCTCGGCGCTCGACCTGCGAGACTTTGGCGGCGACTCGCGCGAGGAGGAGCTCTACCGCCTCACGAGCCCGCTCGTCAAGCAGGAAGAGGAGGGCAAGTTCCGCTGCAAGACGTGCAACAAGCTCTTCTCGGCCCGCAAGTTCGTCGAGAAGCACATCGGCCTCAAGCACCCGGAAGTTGTTGGCGACGCGCTGGACAAGGTGTGTCGGCTTGCTTCGGCTCTTGTTGACCTCCCTGGCTGACTCTTCCCCCGCACAGCTCGCCATTTACAACAACTACGTGCTTGACCCGTGCAGGCCACCTCTTGCTAGTTTCCAGAACCAAACCTACATGCCGACCATCCTCAACCCGCCTCCGCCTCCTCCTCCTCCCGCCGCCCGCCGTCCGCTCGCCGACCGCCTGGGTCCCGCCCAGAAACGCCAGCGCCGCGAGTCGAAACCTCCTGGCCCGCCTGCTCCGCCGCCCAAGGGCGCTGCGCTCGACCCGAGGGCGCAGAGGGGCGCGACGGCTTACGCAGACTTGGTGAGCGCGCGGCTGTCTTTGCCTCTTCCGCCGTTCGTTGACTGACCAGCGTCTTCCTCTCGCGACAGGACGGCCCGGCTGGACAGGGTTCGGACATTGTCCTCCCTTACTGAGCCCGACTTGCAAGACGGAGCAAAAAGACCCTCGCAGTTTCCTGTACTCGCATGGTCGTGGATTACGCAGTAGCTTCATACCTCGATTGCAAGCTCCGTGGTGCTGTACACGCACGCTGTGACTGAGAGACGAAGTGAACTTGGTCGCGAAAAAGCGCGGGCATGTGGTCGAGTGCTGCACGCTCGCTTTGCTGCTCGCCTGACGCTTTCAGACAGCAGCACCAGCTCACTAGACCTCGTCTCTAGTCCCAGGTCGCTCGTTCGCCGCGCCTGTCTGCCTCCGTCGCCAGTGTCGCGTCCCCTTTCTCCTCGTCCCATCAGCCCCGCTCTATCCCGGCTCGACACGCCCGACCAGCCCGCCCGAAAAGCATCCGAGATGGTTGCCACCACTTCTGAACCCGCCTCCGCCCTCCAGCTCCTCCCCAATGTCCTTCCCCATCTCGACCGGCACCTCGTCCTCCCCCTGCTCGACTTCCTCGAGTCGCGCGAGAAGTACACCCACGAGGAGACGCTCAAGGCCAAGATTGACCTCCTTGGAGATGGCAAGACCAACATGGTCACCTTCGTCGAGGGCCTGAAGCGCGAGCTCGAGGGCAAGGAGGAGGGCCAGGAAGTCGAGGGTGCTGCCGGTACGTTCCACTCTCTCTGGGGCGTCTGGCGGGGCGTCTGACGGGTTCTGCGATCATCAAGATCGCGCGGGACGCACCGCATGCCCTTGTACCAGTCCCAGAGAGTCATGCTGACCCGCTCGACCTCGCCTTGCAGAGTTGCGGAAACGCGAGCAGAAGGTCCTCAAGACGCTCAACGAGTTGCGGGCGCAGGCGCAGGGTGTCATGGAGGTCATCTCGAACCCGGAAGTCGTCTCGGCGCTGCGACAGGACAAGCAGCACAACTTGACCTACCTCAAGGAGAACCACGGCGTGCGTTTCTGTTCAGCTCCGTTGCGCCGTTCCTGCGCTGACGCTCCCTTCGCCTTGCAGGTCACCCTCGATCAGATCGCACTCCTGTACAAGTTCGGCCAGTTCCAGTACTCGATTGGCCACTACGGGGGTGCCTCCGACTACCTCTACCACTTCCGCGTTCTCTCGACCGACGCCCAGCTCGTCCTCTCCGCCATGTGGGGAAAACTCGCCTCCGACATCCTCGAGGGTTCGTGGGACGCTGCGCTCGAGGAGCTCAACGGTCTCCGCGAGCACATCGACCAGCGCGGAGCTGCCGGCCCCGGTGGACCCCTCTTCGCACTCCAGCAGCGCACCTGGTGGCTTCACTGGTCACTCTTTGTCTACTACAACCACCCGAACGGCCGCGAGCTCCTCCTCGAGTCCTGGCTGGCGCAGAACTACCTCAACACGATCCAGACTGCCGCACCCTGGCTCCTCCGGTACCTCGTTGCCGCCGTCGTCATCTCGCGCAAGTCGACCCTGCGCTCTGCCGGTCCCGCATCGGCTGGCAACTCGGCACGCTCGCGCGAGGCTGTCCGCGACGTCGTTCGCGCGCTCAGCCAGGAGCAGTACCAGTACCGCGACCCGGTCACCGAGTTCCTCCGCAAGCTGTACGGCGAAGTCGACTTTGAGGGCGCACGCGAGGAGATGTCACGCTGCGATGCCGACGAGCTCGCCGACGACTTCTTCCTCGAGGCGTTCAAGGACGAATTCGTTGAGAACGCGCGGTACCTCGTCTCCGAGGCGTACTGCAAGATCCACCACCGCATTGACATCGCCGAGCTTTCCGACCGCCTCGGCCTCTCCCGCGAGGAGGGCGAGCGGTGGATTGTCGACCTCGTCCGCGACGCTCGCCTCGACGCCAAGATCGACCTCAAGCAGGTGAGTCGGCTTGATCTCGCCGTGGAGCGTCTCCCCTCACTGACGCTGTCTGTCTCGCAGAACATTGTCCAGATGAACCACGCCGACACGCCCGTCTACCAGACCGTCATCGAGAAGTCGCGCGGCCTCTTGTTCCGCTCGCAGGCTTTGGCGAGCGCGATCGAGGTCCGTGCCTCGGGCGGCCAGGTCGACCGCGAGCAGCGTCTCGGCGGCCGCATGACCGGCGGACAGAAGCGGACGGGCGGACAGGGTGGACCGAGGGGCCAGCAGAAGAAGGCGGAGCAGGACGGCGCGGCGGCGAACGGGCAGCAGAAGGCGGACGGCGCGGCGCCGACTGAGCAGTCGACACCGGTTGATGCGTGAGCACCCTGGCACGTTCAATAGATGCTGTCGTAGATGTCTTGTCCGGTCTTTCCCTGCCTCGACGGGGAGCAACGTGTACCCATACCCTCAAGCCGACTTCATGCGCTTGTACCGGAGTCGGAGTCGGTGAGCTTGCAAGTGCACAAAGAATGCTTGCTTTCGCTCAGTGACAGCGAGCGTTCGTCGACAGCGAGGATTGAGGGGACGAGAGTGTCTGCCCGACGAACATGCGCTGCCTCGATACGTCTCCGCATCTTCCTTGCTCCTCAACTAGTGTAGTTACCACTCGCCAGGGCTCTGCCGTTGTTGCGGGTGACTGGTCGAGGAGCGAGGAGGAGAGCGAAACGGCTTGCGACTCGTCTTGACGCTGCTTGTGCTCGCGACGCTTGCTGTGTGGGCTGACTGTGCTACTACGACTTCTCTGCACGCACACGACTCCACTACGCCCGCCCGGTCCCCCGTAACAACCTCGTCGCTTCCTCTCCTCCACCTCCCACAACCGCCACCCTCTCCCGCTCAGCACAGCTCGCCAGTGCTAGGACGACCGACAGCAACCACGATGTCGGACGATTCGACCCAGGACGAGATTCGCGCGGCGCAGGCGGCTCGTCGCGAGGCTCGTCTCGGGGCGACCGCGAACCAGCCAGATGCAGGCCTCTCTACCGAGGTCGCTGCCCCCGAGACGGCCAAGAAGTCGCGCTTCAGCAAGTACAACCAAGAGCTTGACGTCGGGACTAGTGCGGACGCAGACATGGACGACGAGGGCGGCAGCAACGAGGTTTCGCTCCTCGACTCTTGTGAGTCGGCTCTCGCTTGCTCGCAGACTAACAGAGCTAACTTTTCGTACATTGGCAGTCACCGCACCAAAGCACCTCCTGAACGAGTTCGCCGACGAAGACGCCGAGGACCCGTTCGCCGCGACCGCAAAGACTCGCCAGGTTGCTGCTCGCCAATCCGAGTACCACCAGCGCCGCTTCGACCGCGATGCGGGCGAGGATGGCGAGTCATACGGGGACAAGATGCGACGAGCGGAGATTGAGCGTGAAGAGCAGCGGGTCATGCGCGAGATTGAGCGCCGGCAGCAGGAGGGAACCGACGAGAAGGGCGAGCCGCTCAAGCAGATCGAAGCGGTCGACCAGACGCCGAGGCGGAGACGGTGGGACATCGCCGAGCCGGACCAACAGCGGGACGTCCAGATGGCGGATGCGTCGGCTTTGGGCAAGGAGCGCGGCGGCGAGTGGGACGAGGCAAAGCTGAAGGGCAAAGAGGCCGCGCCCGCCGAGACGCCTCGACGGAAACGCTCACGGTGGGACGAGACGCCCGCCGGTCCTGCCGGTGCACCTGGCGAAACGCCGAAACGGTCAAGGTGGGATCAGACGCCGGTCGGAGGTGTCGCTGCGACGCCTGTTCCCGGCTCGCTCCAGCCCTTTGGCATTCCCACGACAATCAACACGGTGCAGCAGGGGACGGCGGGCGAAGGGTTCCTCCTTGTCGGCGGCGTCATGGATCGACGAGTGCGGTGGCTCACGGACGAAGAGCTCGACGCGATGCTGCCGAGCGAAGGCTACGAGATCGTTGAGCCGCCTGCCGGCTATCAACCTATCCGCACGCCGTCACGCAAGCTACAGGAAACGCCCCTCGCCGACAACGGCGGCTTCATGATGCCCGAGCAAGGCATCTCGGCTGAAGCTCTGGGCATCTCGACGGAGTTGCCGACCGACGTCGAGGGCGTCGGCGACCTACAGTTCTTCAAGAAGGAGGACGCGCAATACTTCGCGAAGATCTTGACGAACGAAGACGAGAGCGCGCTGTCGGTCGAGGAGCTCAAGGAGCGCAAGATCATGCGCCTCCTGCTCAAGATCAAGAACGGCACGCCTCCGATGCGCAAGTCGGCGCTGCGACAGATCACCGACAAGGCGCGCGAGTTTGGCGCCGGCCCGCTCTTCGACAAGATCCTGCCCCTGCTGATGGAGCGGACGCTCGAGGACCAGGAGCGCCACTTGCTCGTCAAGGTCATCGACCGCGTCCTGTACAAGCTCGACGACCTCGTTCGCCCATACGTCCACAAGATCCTCGTCGTCATCGAGCCACTTCTGATCGACGAGGACTACTATGCGCGCGTCGAAGGTCGCGAGATCATCAGTAATCTGTCCAAGGCGGCCGGTCTCGCTCACATGATCTCGACGATGCGTCCTGACATTGACCACGCCGATGAGTACGTCCGCAACACGACTGCCCGCGCCTTCTCCGTCGTCGCCTCCGCCCTCGGTATCCCCTCCCTCCTCCCCTTCCTCAAGGCCGTCTGTCGCTCGAAGAAGTCGTGGCAAGCTCGCCACACCGGTATCAAAATCATACAGCAGATCGCGATCATGATGGGCTGCGCCGTCCTCCCCCACCTCAAGAACCTCGTCGAAGCGGTCGCGCACGGTCTCGAGGACGAGCAGCAGAAGGTCCGCACGATGACGGCGCTCTGTCTCGCCGCGCTGGCCGAGGCCGCTGCGCCGTACGGCATCGAGTCGTTCGACTCGGTGCTCAAGCCGCTGTGGACGGGCATTCGCAAGCATCGCGGCAAGGGCCTCGCTGCCTTCCTCAAGGCGATCGGCTTCATCATCCCGCTCATGGACCCCGAGTACGCCAACTACTACACTCGCGAAGTTATGGTCATCCTAATTCGGTGCGTCGCGATCCCTTTCACCGATATTGCTGTACCTCCCACTGACCTCGTCCCCGCCGCAGCGAGTTCCAGTCGCCCGATGAGGAGATGAAGAAGATCGTCCTCAAGGTCGTCAAGCAGTGCTCGGCGACTGACGGTGTCCAGCCGCAATACGTCCGCGAGGAGATCCTGCCCGAGTTCTTCAAGAACTTCCTCGTCCGCCGCATGGCTCTCGACCGTCGCAACTACCGCCAGGTCGTCGAGACGACTGTCGAGCTCGCCAACAAGGCCGGCGTCACAGAGATCGTTGGGCGTATCGTCAACGACTTGAAGGACGAGAGCGAGCCGTATCGCAAGATGGTCATGGAGATCATCACCAAAGTCGTCGCCAACCTCGGCACAGCCGACATCGATGAGCGCCTCGAAGTGCAGCTCCTTGACGGCATCATCTACGCCTTCCAGGAGCAGACGGTCGAGGACAACGTCATGCTCGAAGGCTTCGGCACCGTCGTTTCGGCGCTCGGCATTCGCGTCAAGCCCTACCTGACGCAGATCGTCTCGACCATCCTCTGGCGCCTCAACAACAAGAGTGCCAAGGTCCGTCAGCAGGCCGCCGACTTGACAAGTAGGCTCGCGCTTGTCATCAAGCAGTGCGAGGAGGACACGCTGCTCTCGAAGCTCGGCGTCGTCCTCTTCGAGCAGCTCGGTGAGGAGTACCCCGACACGCTCGGCAGCATCATCTCGGCCATTGCAGCCATCGCCAACGTCGTCGGTATGACGCAGATGAGCCCTCCCGTCAAGGACCTCCGTGAGTTTGCGACTCTTCCCACAATCTGCGGATCGGTACTGACCATGTTGCCCCGACAGTCCCCCGCATGACGCCCATCCTGCGCAACCGACACGAAAAGGTGCAAGAGGCGTCGATCAACCTCATCGGACGTATCGCCGACCGTGGCGCAGAGTTCGTCTCGGCTCGCGAGTGGATGCGCATCTGCTTCGAGCTGCTCGATCTCCTCAAGGCGCACAAGAAGGCGATCAGGCGCGCGGCAGTGAACTCGTTCGGCTACATCGCCAAGGCAATCGGTCCGCAGGACGTACTAAGCGTCCTCCTCACCAATCTCAAGGTTCAGGACCGCCAAAGTCGTGTCTGCAGCACCGTCGCCATCGGTGCGCTGTCTGGCTGTCCGTCCGCGATCGAGTGTAGCTGACTGTATCCGGCGCTCGCAGCCATCGTCGCCGAGACTTGCGGTCCCTTCACGTGCATCCCCGCCATCCTCAACGAGTACCGCACGCCCGAGCTGAATGTCCGGAACGGCTGCTTGAAGGCAATGTCGTTCCTCTTCGAGTACATCGGCGAGATGGGCAAGGACTACATCCACTCGGTCCTCACCTGCCTGGAGGACGCCCTCACCGACCGCGACCAGGTCCATCGCCAGACGGCCGCCTCGATCGTCAAGCACTTGGCGCTCGGCACTGCAGGCCTCGGCAACGAGGACGCCCACCTTCACCTGCTCAACCTCGTTTGGCCGAACGTCTTCGAGAGTGCGTCGCGCTCCCTTCCCAACCCTCTTCTTCTTCGCATGCTGACCCGCCTCGCTTTCACAGCCTCGCCTCACGTCATCGGCGCCATGCTCGACGCCATCGAGGCGATGCGTGTCGCTCTCGGTCCCGGCGTCGTCCTCGCCCACGTCCTCCAAGGTCTCTTCCACCCCGCTCGCCGCGTTCGCGAGGTGCGTTCCTGCCCTCTGAATGAAGTCACTGCCATGCTGACCACGACTTGACGCAGGTGTACTGGCACATCATGAACACGCTCTACATGGGTGCGCAAGATGCTCTCGTCGCGTTCTACCCGACCCTCGATGGCCTCTCCGACGAGCGCAACTCATACGAGCGCGACAACCTCCTCATGTGGATCTAGCCGCAGTTTGTACGCTGTAATCTCTGTAACGGCATCCTTGTTCGCGCGTTTCGCTTGGCATTCGCGCGTCGCCCCGCGCCCTCGAGAAGACGCTCTTGAAGCGCTATGTCGTCCGCAGCCTGTTGTTTCCGCCGCATGGATTCGACACGTCTGCCTGCTGTTCTTCTTGCGACGTCCCTTGCTCAGACCGCTCGAGCCGTGTTTGCCCCGCGCCTTGTCTCCTCGGACTCGCCGTCCCTCTCGCTCCTTGCGCTCGCCCACCTCCATCGTAGGCTTGTCTGCTGGGTCCGTCTGGTGCGTACGAAGTGCCTCGATCGAACGCAGCGCACCTGAAGAGCTCGCAGGCGGCGTGGGCTGACCTGCCGTCCACCTCCTCCCCACAGGAGACGAACTGCCGAATCACTCGCCGCTGAACCCCCTTCTTTCGCCTTAGACCTATCACTGAGCCCGACATATACGATGCGGTTCGCTCAAGCGCTCGGCGCTGCCGCTCTGGCTTCTCTCGCCTCACTCGCGACTGCGTCCTCTCCCATCCTGTGCGTACAGTCATGCCGAGGCCGTAAGCAACGGCTCAGCTGAACCATCTCCTGGCCAAAGTGCGCAATACTGGCCGGCATACAACTCCGAGCAGCAGTCTGTCAGCCAGATTCCTTGGACGTACAGCTCGAAGAACGGGATCGCCTACTACTTTGGTGAGCCAGACGTGTCTCTTCTCATTGCTGTCGGGCTAAAACAGCCTTCAACACTCCTACAGTCACCATCACTACGAAGGACGGCTTCGAAGTCCCGGCGGATCAACCCAAAACCGACATCAACAAGTTCGTGTCGGCCGCCAAGGCCAACGGCGTTCGACCCGTCTTCTCTGTCGGCGGGTGGGACGGCAGTATCCACTTCAGCGACCTCGTCAAGACAGCGAGCAAGCAAGCAACCTTCGCCAAGCAGATCAAGAGCTTTATGGACAAGTACGGCTTCGTGGGCGTCGATCTGGGTGCGCGCCTCGCCCGCGTCTGCATCGTCTGCAGAGACTGACCACATCTGCTTACAGACTGGGAGTACCCGAACGGCGTCGGCATCGGTGCGCAGCCTTCTCTCGTCTTGCTGGGCCAAGCGGACCTGACCATTCCTGGCAGGCTGCAACGCTGTCAGCGGAGACGACTCCGCCCATCTCCTAGCCTTCCTCAAAGTCCTTCGTAGCCAGATTGGCTCGTCAAAGCTCATCACGGCGGCAGTCTCCACGGACGGCTTCCTGGGCGCGAACGGTAAGGCGCTCTCGGACTTCAAGCCGTACGGGCAGTACCTCGATTACATCAACCTGATGACTGTGAGTAGCAGTCGCTCCTCCACTCGTCCGTTCCCCCGCTGACGCCGTTAGCCCTAGTACGACATTGCGTGAGCCCTCTTCACATTCAGTTTCACATTCAGCCAGCACTCCGGCAGGGACTGACTCGAGGACACTCACAGCGGTTCGTGGTCGTCGACGACTGGACCGGATTCGCCCCTGCGCAAGTGCTCGAGCGACAGCAGCGTGCAGACTGCCATCAAGCTGTGGACGTCTCGAGGATTCCCAGCGAGCAAGATCCTTCTGTGCGTCATGCGGTCTACGCAAGTCATACACGTTACTGATACGCTTCCTTTTGATCAGCGGCGTGCCCGCCTACGCCATCAGCTTCACGACGAAGTCGTCGTCACTCTCGACGACCAAGATCAACAACAAGTGGTCCAGCAAGGCGTACCAGCCTTGGACGGGCGTCGTCCCGATGGGCGCTCCCGGCGACTCGAACGCCCCGACAACGGATGTCTGCGGCACAAAGACGGCGGCCTACTCGGGACAGTGGCAGTTCAAGGACCTCGTTGCCAACGGCGTGCGTTCGTTATAGGACTTCCGGGCTGTCGACAGCTAGTAATGACTGACTGGTCCGCCCGCAGCTCGTGAGCAGCGACGGTATGCACGGCAAGAACGGCTACAAGCGCTACTTCGACCAGTGCTCGCAGGCTCCCTTCCTCTTCAACCCTTCGAAGAAGCACTACATCTCGTATGAGGACTCGAGGAGTGTCGCGGTCAAGACTGTGCGTCGCGCGCCAGGCTCTCCGTACCTTTGACGCATCTGCAGGTCGACTTACGACTGGCATTTCGCAGGCCTACGCAAAGCAGCAAGGCCTCGGTGGTGTTTTCGTCTTCGACTCGGCCGGCTTCACCAATGAGGTTTACTCGTCTCTCAGGTCGAGTCTTTGTGCGTTCGGAGTCGTCCTCCGTCCGGTCGAGCGGCGGGATTGACGCCTTTCTCTCCAGACTCTCGCAAATCTCGTCGGCACGAGCTCCCCGCTCTTCACGCTTAAGGCGTCTGCCTGGTGCAAGACGCTCTAAGCTTCGCAGAGCGGCCGCTCCATTCTCTCGAAACCCTTTTGGCTGTGCCATCCTTACTCGAGCGACGTTACCCTTTCCCTAGATCCCAACTGCAGACACTATCGCTAGGTCTTCCGCAGCATCTTCTTGCACGTGTGCGGTTTACTCGAGCCTAGCAAGCGGGTTCGGAGAAGCCACTTCGCCGGACGATGACGAGGGTCCAGGACAGCGTACGGCATTGCAGATTGGTTGCATAAAGAGACAGAGGTACAGCGAGTTGTGCGGCGGCAGAGTGGGCGGGTCATGAAGGGGTTGTCGAGGCGGACGGCGCTGGTTTGGGAAGCCCGCCTTCCTGGAAGAACCGCCGTTTTGCCGCGTCGATCTTTTCTTCCGACATGCTGTGGGACTGGATTGTCAGCTAGTGCCTCATGCTCGCGAGCGACCGCATAGGGAGGGGGAGGAAGACGAACTGAGGTTTCATGCACGCCTGCATCGCTCGAAACTGTTCCCGACAGCTCCACGCCACCGATACTGTCCGTCCCTGTGCGCACGCCGAGAAGTCTGCGCACACGAGGATCTCGTCAGCGAGAGATCAGCCGGAGAAGGAGACGAGGAGGGACGGACTGGCAACGTCGGCCTCACACGCCCGGAGCGCCTCGGTCTTGCACAGCGCAACGATGGCCTCTTCCTCCTTGCGACTGAGCGCAAATCGAGACATCGGAAGCTGGACGTGTGTGTCGTGCGAGAGCAAGCTGGGGGTTGCCATCGTCCATCTGCTCAACTTCGCTATCGGTCTCTCCTGAGTGGCTTGAACGGCTGCAGAAAGGTGCCAGAGGTGCGTAGCCAGTGCATACCGCTCTTGCGAGCATCATTGACGATGGTGTCGCCGTTCCCAGCCTCGACTTCTCCCTTCCGTGAAGCTGTCTCCCCGCTCTCGATGCTGGTACGGCGATGCCCGCGAGGCGTCAGATCGTGCCAGCTACCCTCGACAAGCGACTTCGCACCGGCCATCGCCCAGCTTCCCGCCTTTCTCGTGCCGTCATTCGCCAACGCTGCTCAGGAGGGCGACGAGGTGCGACTACGAGATGCGGTTCAGCTGGCGCACAAAGGGCGGAAGAGAGTAGCTGGAGCTCGACGTGAGTCGCTAGCGAGATTCGAGTCTTGCGATGAAGTGGAGACTCATACCTCGACCTCGCAGATCCTCCTACATCCTTTCTGCCAGCATCACCAATCCCGCGATTACCGGCCTCTCCTGCTGTACAGCAATTAAACCTACGACGGTTCTCGAATGCAGCGGGAAGACGCCCTGGGTCGGTCGAGGGTGCAGGCGACGAACGCGTGGGCTTCAAGACTCGCCAGGAGCCGCTCGCCATTCAGTCGGACAAGGGGAAAGGCCGCGCGCACGACGAAGATGGTCACATGGAGGACGAGGCGGAGCCGGTGGTCCCGCCAGATGTTGACGAACCGCTGCCACCATCCGAGGATGATCCACCAGCGCTGCGACTCGGTCGTCGCGGGCCCAATCCGTCGGACGGCTACGTGCCTCGCAAATACACTGCCGCTGGCTTGCTTCCAGACCCCGTGGATCGCGACGAGATGATGCGACGCCTGCATTACTTGAAGCGAAGGATCGACCTCGAGGAGTTCAAGGCGATTCGCGCGCAGCTTGGCCGGGTCGGGCTGTTGACCGACCCTGAAGCGATTGGGCGTCTCGTCAAGCGCGCCGTCGAGTGCGCGCTCGACTACGAAGCCCTACACCTCGTCAACGCGACCGCTGCTCGCATACTCAATCGCGACGGCCGCCCTGCCGACTTCGACGACTCTTTCGCCCCTATCTACACTCGTGCACTCAAGTACCTCAATCAGTCGCAGCGCTGGAGCTCGGCAGCCGCCTTTTCCGACGCCGCCGCCCATTTCTCACTCGTCACGCCCGACCTCCTCACCCTGCGCATGACCGCATTATACGGACGACAGCGCTACGTCGACGTCATCGAGACGTATCGACTCTACTGCGAGCGCGACTTCGACCCGAACGGCGTAATCTACGACACCGTCGCTGCCGCTCATCTCCTCAACTCGGAACTTTCGGCGGCACAGAAGCTGTTGGGCGAGAAGGTGGCGCGTGGGTTCGGGACGTCGTTCAAGACGTGCTTGATGCTGCTGGAAGGGATGTCGCATTATGGCGGGAACAAGATCATGGAGGAGAAAATGCTCAGTGAGGGCGGCGAGGATTTGCTGCGGCAGGGACGGGCGCTCAGGCAGGACGGACGCGTCCTGAATCGCATGCTCTCCGTGCGCGCGTCACGCGGAGCCTTGCGAGATGCGCTCTCGCTGCTCGACTTCTACGACTTCCGCGGCTACGCTTACGAGCTCGTCAGGTCGATTCGCGCCATCGCCGTCCCCGCCCTTCCTCCGCCTCCCCCTTCGTCTCCATACTTCCGACCTACGCCCGACTCTTCGACCGTCGTCGCGCTCGTCAGCCTCCTCCTGCGCCAGCAACGACCAGACCTCGCCGAGTGGCTTATCGTCAACGCCGAGGAACAGAAGATCACCTTCAACGACCGCGTCGCTGCAGCAATCATGCGCATCATGTTGACGAATGGCGATATCGCGGGCGCCGAGCAGTTTGTGTGGGGACTGCCAGAGGGTGCCGCTACGTTCGGAGGCATCGCCTTCCCAGCGCTTTCGCCCTCGACGGCCGTCTTCGAGGTCCTCTTCCAGGGCTCCCTCACCCATTACGGCGTCGACGGGACGAACAAGCTTTTCCGTCAGTTCGCTACGGCGTACAAGTCGGCGCCGCGGGTGACGGAGGGTATGACCTTGGCCCTGACGCACTACCTCACGCTTGAGGCGAACAGCCACGTCCACGTCCCAGCCGAAGTTCTCCTCAACGTCAAAGACCTTACGAAGGGCAGGGCACGTCCGAGGATGTCGCACGTTACCGCTCTGCTCAAGGCGGCCTGGAAGCGCGACCGCGCCGAGCAGACTACCCCGAGATCTGCCAACCGACCAGTCGAGCACCAGTTCCCGCTGCCAACACTCGAACCGCCCGCACCGACGACCGAGCAGCCCTTCCCTCGCCCACGACCCAACAAGCCGCCGCCCACGCCGCAGCCAAGCTACATCCCGCCCGAAGCTGCGCTTCTGACGCAGCAGGCGGAAGAGGACCCCAAATCTCCCGTCTCCCGCCTCCGCCAGTCTCTGACGCAAGATCACGCCCGCCTGACCCGCGAAGCCGCCCAGCACGTCATGAGCAACGACTACCTCCTCCGATATATCGACGCGAAGTGGGAGTACCTTCAGACGCAAGTGCTCGATCTCGGCATGCGCCCGACGTTCCACCATGTGGCAATCCTCATGCGGGCGTACCTTCGAGTCGGCGACGCTACCGGCGCCTCGCTTGCGATGCGCTACGCCATCGACGAACTTGACGTCGAGCCACATACGGCCTTCTATACGGTCCTCATCAACGGCTTATCGAGGCTGAACAAGTACGAGGAGGCCGTAGCAGCCTACGCCGAGTTCAGGGGAAGCGGTCTCGAGCCCGACCGCAACCTCTTTGCCGCGCTCGCTATGAGCTTTGCTCTCCAGCGCGACATCGAGGGCGTCGAGCGCGTATTCGAGGAGATCAGGCGACATGTGCGAGCCAAGTCGCCAACCTCGCAGCTCCGCACCCAGTCGCTGCGCCTGACGACCTCAGCCTCCCTTTCCTCCTTCCCTGCCGCCATCCTTACGCCGTACGACCCTCTCCTCGATTCAGTCTTCGTCACCATCCTTTACCGCGTCCTCTCCGTCAACCATCGCTACCTCGCCGCACAAGACCTCGTCCGCGACTCGCTCGACAAGGGTATGGTGCCAGACACGGTTCTGTGCAAGATCCTTGAGCGGACACGGAGCTGGATCCGGTGGAAGACGAATCTGAGCGAGCGGCTCGGCCTACCCGGCGTCGAGGGCGGCCCGAAGGCGAACGGACCGAAGCTCACGGCGTTCGAGCTCGACGAGCTGAGGGAGCGCAACTTCGACAATCTGTTGCGCGTCCGGAGGATGCTCAAGAAAATGGTGCCCGAGGCGCCACCACGACATTTGCGGGCGCTCGAGGCGTTCTGGCGCAAGGCGGAGAAGGCAGACTCGGGACGGATATCTTGGGAGCAGGACGAGGACAAGACGGAAGGCGCCGCGGCATCCGAGACGGTCGCATGGAGACCGGTATGAGCATCTCTTACGCAACTCAGCATCTCTCACCAGCATTAGATACCCCTCGCTTCCTTCGCATGCTACCCGCCGCAACTCGCAACTCGCAACTGCAGTTCATCGTTTCTCCTGACATGTGCGAGGTTACAGGAGATCTACAACGGAAGCTGGCATGCAGTTCTAGCGCTTCAATGGTCCGCCGCGCCCGGCAGCCTTGTCCAGGATGCTGAGCGCTTCGTTGACCGCGCCGCGCTCGACGGTCAACCGCCTGCGAGTACCCGCATCGACCGAGCACTGGAGTGCCGACTGCGGGACGAGCATCGGACGATGGCTCGAAGAGGCGGGGAACGTCTCGGAGGTGACGCCTGGCGGAGGGGGCGGAGTCGAGGCCACTGGTCCATCGCAGTACGTCCGCTTCGCGACGACGTCGGCGAGCATTTGCAGGTCTGCGGGCGAGACATCTTAGCGGAAGATGGAGGGCCCGACGGGGGGCCAACGCACCTGCAAAGCCGATGTTGGGGTGCTGCTTGAGCTGCGTCCACGCCTCGTTGCAAGGCACGGTGTCGACGTTCCTTTCGCGAGACGCCGTTGAGGCGGGCGTCGAGTGGTGCGACTCGTCCTCAGGCTTGCACGTCAAGGACCCGCAGAGCGCCGGGTCTTTGCAGCAAGGCAAGTCGGTGAAGGACTCGAAGATGGCTGCTTCATCATCGACCGACTCGGGCGGAGGTGTCGGAATCTTGCGCCGCGTTGCGTGCGATGGGCAGTTGGCGCAGGGTTGGGTCGAGCAGACGGTGGATGAGAGGGCGTTGCAGAAGGCCTTGCCGAACCTGCGGGTGACCACTTCTCAGCGCTTCCGAGAAGGGAACAAGCGAGGCAGAAGATACGCACGGATCGTCGGAGCAGGCAGGGCAGTTGGCAGGATCGCCGCTGCAGACGACCTTGGTGGCGGAAGGGGTTGCAACGACGGAAGTCGAACGGCTGCTAGACGACTCGATTGCCCACACCGTGGTCAACGGCTTGTTCTGCGACCGCCTCAGTCTCAGCGGGACGGCAGGCTCGTAGCCGACGTCGTTGAAAGCCGAGTCGACGTGCTCCTCCTTGACAATGTTCGGCGAAGCCGCGGCGGCCATCTCGACGATTTGCATCGCTGCCGTCGCTGACGAAGGCGCAACCTCGTAACCGACCTCGGCACAGAAGCAGTTTGCGTCGCCCGAGCAGAAGGTGCAGCGCTGATGCTGGGTAGGCGCGGCAAAGGGGGGTACGGGCAGCCCACCGTTGGACGGCGAGAGGGAGACCACAGCGTGGGGGCAGTGTGACGTGCTTGCTCCGTCTGGTGAGGCGGCGGAGACGGGGGAGTGCGTGCCCACAGCAGCGGGTTCTGGCGGAGACGATGAGGTGGCCGACGCGACGACCGCCTTGGCTCGGATGGCCGCACTCCGCCTCGGGCGCTTCGTCGTCGTCGCAGTGTCGACAAAGTCGTCGGGCACAGCTCGAGCCTTGCCTTTCTCGCCAGCCTTTCCTCCGGCTCGTCCGCCCGATCCTCCTCCGACCTTGGCCAGCTCGAGCTTCAACGCCTCGATCTCCCTCTTGAGCGCGACGTTCTGCTCCCACAACTGCTGCGACTCGACCTTGGCCTTCTGCGCCTGTTGCTGGTAAAAGACGCACTTTTCGCCCTCGCCCGCCTCGAGTCGGCGCACTTTCTCCTCGAGCTCAGTCACGTACTCCTGTCGGCGCTCGCGGAAAGCCTTCTGAGAGTTCTTGCCCGTCTTCTTCTGCGCATGAGAGAGTGTGAGCGAGAGAGCGGCGATATGAGGAAAGAGGCGGAAACGCACCGGTGTGTCCGCGTCGACTTTGGCGCTCTTGCGTCCCGGCTTTGGTCGAGGTGGTACGACCCATTCCTGCGAGTCAGAGGCGGCAGCGCCAGGGTCAGTTTCTGCTGAGCGAGAGGGCCGGGGAGCTGGATTTCGAAAGCAGCGCCGATGAAGCCTTTGACGTCGACCGGCGATGCTGGCGGGCGGTCACAGCGGTGCAGCAGGGTCTACTGAGCGCATGACGATTTCCAGCGCCCGATCAGAGCAGCCGATACCGTTGCAAGGTCCCATCCGTCCTCGCCCGCCGTCAACAAGCGCAGCAAGCGATCACGGCTTCGTGAGCGGTTCGATGGCAGGCGAGGCCGTAGCTGACCCAATGCAAGCAAGTTGTACGCACCTTTGAGGCCTTGATCAGCGGTTTCGGCTCGCTGCGAGAGGGTGCGAGGACGGGTACCGACGGGCCCGCTGCGAGTGCTGGCGCAGGCGGCACGGCGAGGCGAGGAGGCATCGAGGGTGTCGAGTGGGCGTCGCAGATGCTGATGGAGTCGGTCTTGGCGCTGTCTGGCGGTGTGGACGTGGGAGATGGAGCGAGAGAGAGTTATCTGATCAGATGACTGGAAGGGAAAAGCTTTGCATCTCTCGCGGTCGCTGTGCAGGGTTGTGCAAGTAAGGATCGCCTTTACAGAGTTACAGATCGCAGGAAGAACAAGCCTTGCAGGCGGGGGAAGGGTAAAATACTCGCCGTGACAAACCCGTCAGAGACGCTACAGGTAAATCCGCCGGGAAGTCACATGCCAGTGTGAGCTTGTTGGAATCACAAGGGACTGTGAGAGGGGCGCAGGCGTCCAGGCAGAGCGAGCAGACAGCCGACGGGTTGTTCTAAAGCAAGGCAGGTGATCCAGCGTACAGCAACACAGGGAAATAGTTAGCAGTGTCAGATACCAGTACCGAGCTCCGTGAGGAGCATACTGTCGAGGAAGCGAATGGTCGCAAGCCTGGGGACAGTCGAGGGAAGCAAGCGAGGCAGGTCGATAGAAGCTGGGAGGGACAATGTCGTCGCGAGCGCGGTACGACGCTCGACTCATCAGGCTCTTGGCCGCCCTGCAAAGCGGATGAGGACGATATCGTGTAGTACTTCGCTGCCGAGGGACGGAACGAGAGGCGAACGCCAGGGAGGGCGGCCGGAGGAATCCGCGAGGTTGAGCGGCTGTTTGTCGCCGCGGTTCTTCAGTCAGGATGTCACTCTGGCTCGTCAAAACGCCGAGCTCCGTCAACAGCGGACTTGTACGAGTAGCCGGTAGCGAGTGGGCGAGCAGACTGTGTCGAGACGAGGGCAGGAGGACTTGAGACGACGAGCAGGCGGTGCGGCGGGCTTGCGCAGGTTGAACATGACAGGTACAATCTCGAGCACGCTATGTCAGCCTCAATAAGCCATCCCGAGCGGGTAGCAGTGACATCGAGGAGGACAAGGTGCGCAGCGAGTGTTCGGCGAAGGTCTGTCCACTCCATCTCGCTCGCGTACGGTTGCTGGGCTGCGCAGAGGCTGCGAGACGGTGCCACTGCTTGCGACAGACGCACACAGCTTCCTTCCCGCCCGTCTCACCCGCTCGCTCGTCCCACATCGGCCTCGTCACTTCCGATCTGCCTCGAAGGTGCGTACTCTCGCTCGTAGGGCGTGGGAGCACGCTGACAGCGTTATATTGCGCAGACAACAGCCTAGCAAGGCTACTCGCCCGCAATGCAAGTCGTCTTCGCCTCTCTCGGCCCGCATGCACCGACCTCGCCCTCCCCACGCTGACCGCCTGTCTCTCCTCCTCACACCCGCTTGTCCGTCCACAGGTTCGGCTCACGCAACCGCTCAGCGACATCAGACTATGTCGACCGCGAGCGGGACGACTTCGACGCGCGGCCGTCGCAGGTCCCGCACAACCCGACTCGGCCGGTCGACAAGGACAGGGCAGAGCAGGAGCTTCAGCTGGCGATGAAGAAGGCGACGAACCCGGATGAGACGGCGCCGAAGCAGAAGCATGTCAGGAGTGAGTGCCGGTTCCGCTTGCTCTTCGTTGAAGGCGGTGGGGCCACAAACGGGGCTCGTAGATAGGTTGCCTCGCGAGCGGCCAGCCGGAGCCGCTCACGGCGCTTCCACCTTCTTGAGAACCGCTTGCTGACTTGCGCATTCGATCTCGCAGAGGCCATCGTCTACACCTGGGATTACCGCTCGTCCGCCTCAATCTGGGCTGCTCTCCGCGTCCAGCCCATCCTTTCCGACGAGGTTCAGGCGTTCAAGGCACTCATCACGATTCACAAGATTCTGCAAGAGGGTCACCCCGTCGTGAGTTGGCTGAATCTTGCTTGGTTTTGCTTTTCCTCGGGCGAAGTAGACTGATCGGTCGGTCCGGTCCACCCACAGACTCTCAAGGAGGCGCAGGCTCAGACGTCCTGGCTTGAAACGTGCGCACGGACAGTCGGTACCGACGGGTCTCGCGGTCAGTTCGCTTCTCGCATCACAGAGCGAACCTTGGCTGACCTTGCTTCGCGCAGGCTATGGCTCGCTCATCCGCGCCTATGTCAAGCTCATCCTCGCCAAGCTCAAGTTCCACCGCCACCACACCGCTTTTAACGGTCTCTTCGAGTATGAAGAGTACATCGCGCTGCGCGGAATCGATGACCCCAACGAAGGGTGCGATCATAAAACCGTTGGACCAGCCGAACTTGCGCTGACAGTTTCTCGCGCAGCTTTGAGACGATCATGGACCTGATGGACCTCCAGGACGACATCGACTCGTTCCAAAAGCTCATCTTCGCGCACTTCCGAGGCTCGGCGAACAACGAGTGCCGCATCTCTGCGCTCGTTCCGCAGGTCAAGGAATCGTACGGTATCTACCGCTTCATCATCAGCATGCTGCGCGCGATGTACCGCCGAACCGACTCGATGGACGCCCTCGAACCGCTCAAAGAGCGCTACGACCACCAGCACTTTGCGCTCCGCAAGTTCTACTACGAGTGCTCAAACCTCAAGTACCTCACCGGTCTAATCAACGTTCCGAAACTCCCGCAAGACCCGCCCTCGCTCATTGACTCGGACGACACGCCCGACCTCCCTCGCCGCCCTCCACCTCAGAAGCAGCCATCGCCTCCACCTGCGCCACCTTCCGCAGGTATCGACATTGAGGACCAGCGACGCGCACTCGAGGAATACGAGCGGAAACAAGCTGCGCTCGTTGCGCAGCGCGAGGCTGAGGCTCGTCGCGTCAAGGAGGAGCAGGAGCGACAAGAGCGCGAGTTTGCGGAGCAGCAGAGGTTGCAGGCTCAGCGCGAGAGGGAGGCACAGGAGGCGCTTGAGCGGCAGTTGAGGGAGCAGCAGATGATGGGCATGAACCAGGGGCGGATTGCGGAACTCGAGAGGGAGATCCTCGGCTTGCGAGGACAGTGGGAGCGCGACCAGATGATGCTCGAGCGGTACGATGCGGTGCGTCGCGCATGCACCTTCGCTTGGTGTCGCCTACTGACGTCTATGCCGTCTCGCAGCGCGTCAAAGCACTCGAGGGGGAGCTCGCGAACGTCAACGCGACGATCCAGCAGCAGCTCATGTCGAAGGACCAGATGCTCCAACAGCTGCAGGATCAGGTTAACCTCTGGCGGAACAAGTACGAGGCGCTCGCCAAGCTGTACTCGCAGCTCCGCAACGAGCACCTCGAGATGCTCGGCAAGTACAAGCAGATGCAGCTCAAGGCCAACTCGGCGCAGGAGGCGATCGACAAGATGGAGCGCATGGAGCGCGACGTCAAGGCCAAGAACCTCGAGCTCGCCGACATGATCCGCGAGCGAGACCGCGCCCGCTACGACCTCGACCGGATGAAGGGTAGCCAGAAGGAGGAAGTCGAGCGGCTCAAGCGCGACTTGCGGTTTGCGGAGGAGCGCTTCGAGGATGCCTCGAGGAGTAAGGGCTCCGAGGTATCGACCGTCATGGCCAAGTTCAACCGCCAGATCGACGAGCTCGAAATGTCCCTGCGAGTGCGTTGCCTTTGACCCTCTCGCCTGTTGACTGTCACTGACTACCCTGTCTCGCGCCCGCAGAACAAACAAGACCGCATCGACGAGCTTCTCTCCAAGCTCGACGAGCAGCGCGGCGAGGCCGATCGCGTCCGGGAGGAGAAGGATGCCGAGCTCGCCATCATGCAGGAGGGCATGGACGACACAATCCGCCAGCTGTCCGAAATGCAGGTCTCGCAGGGCGTCTCGGACGAAGCGATGAACGCCCAGATCGACACGCTCGTCCTCGACCAGGAGAAGAAGTTCAACGACATTATCGACTCGATCTTGCAGGCTTGCGCTCACAAGGTCGACGACGCGCTGTACGAGCTCGAGTCACCTATGCACGACGGCAACCAGAATTCGACGCCGGAGTACACGCTTTCGATGATCGAAAAAGCGACGACGAGCGCGACCGAGTTCGCTATGGTCTTCAACCTCTTCCTCTCGCGCGACAAGGGCGGCGAGCACGTCGAGGTCATCAAGACCGCCAACAACTTTGCTCAGGCGCTGTCCGAGGTCCTCACCAACACGAAGGGTCTCTCTCGCCTCGCGCCCGACGACTCGGCCATCGCTAACCTCGTCAAGACCGGCAAGCTTCCCGGCGACGCCGCTCTCAAGTTCTTCAACGCCGTCCAGTCCTATCGCCTGCAGGGTGCGCAACCCGACGCCCGCCAGGAGGTCGTCATCCGGAACAACATGGAGGTTCGGAGCGCTCTCCAGAAACTTGCTTCGCTCGTCGAGGGTCTCAGGCCCAAGGCGGGCGCCGGTCTCGCCAAGACGAACGGCGATTTGGGCGACCTCGTCGAGTCGGAGATGCAAGCTGCCGCCAAGGCGATCGAGGCGGCGACGCAGCGCCTTCAGGCCATCATGGCCCGCCCGAAGGACTCGCGCTTCTCGGCCACCGACCTGCAGGTCCACGACGCCATCCTCGCCAGCGCGCTCGCCATCACGAACGCCATCGGCCGTCTCATCAAGGCTGCGACGGACTCGCAGCAGGAGATCGTCGCGCAAGGCAAGGGTTCGAGCACGCCGACCGCCTTCTACAAGCGCAACCACCGTTGGACTGAGGGCCTCATCTCTGCCGCCAAGGCCGTCGCGCGCGCAACGTCCTTCCTCATCGAGACGGCAGACGGCGTCATCAGCGGGACGAAGACGCTCGAGCAGCTCATTGTCGCTTCGAACGAGGTCGCTTCGGCCACCGCCCAGCTCGTCCAGGCGTCGCGCGTCAAGAGCGAGCTCATGTCGCGCACGCAGGAGAACCTCGAATTGGCGGCCAAGGCTGTGACGGACGCTTGCAAGGCGCTCGTTCGGCAGGTCAAGGCGATCACGGAGGAGCAGATGAAGCGGCAGGACGACTTCGACCCGGACGCGATGAGCGCGCACGAGTTTAAGCTCCGCGAGATGGAGGTCCAGGTCGAGATCGTCACGCTCGAAAAGAACCTGTCGGATGCACGGAGGCGACTCGGCATCTATCGCAGGTCGGCGTACCACAACGAGGAGTAACGGATTCTGTTATCGGGCTGGGCGAGCCCCAGCTTCTGTCTCTACTGCAAGACTCGTCTCACGACATCGCGCGCCGGAATGACAGTCTCTGGCTTACGGGATCGAGAGCATACGCTCAGGGCTTGCACAGAAACGGCTACTCGTCCTCCTCTTCGCTCGTCTCCTCACCCTTGCGCTTCTTCCGCCGGGTGCTTTGCTTGCGTTCGCTGATGCCGACACCTTCAAGGACGGCAAGTAGCTCCCGGTCGATGCCGAGATCGCGAGCGAGTGACGGGAGAGGCGTCTTTGTACTGAGCAAGCGCTGGCTGTTGAGCGGGGGCAGGCCAGTGAGCTAAGTGATAGTGGGTGAGCGACGGACGGGGCGCACCAGTGCATTGCTTCGACAAGGTCGGCATCCTTTAGAGCCGCCTTCCGACCGGAACGCTTCGCCGAAGCCGTTGCGTCGTCCATCAAGGCGGCGAAGAAATCCTGCGACCTGTCAGTTACGGCCGAGCGTCAGTATCAAGCGGACCTGGAATGAAGCAGATCGCGCGCACGCGTCGAGCAACGCTTCGACAGCCGCTTCGTCCAGCTTGATGCCAGGCCCAAGGAAGTGCTGGAAAAGCGCCTTTTGGCGAGACTTGGGCAAATCGGGCACTTCTTCGCCGCTGCGGGTGTACCTAAGAAGGAGAATGGTATCAGCCGAGGCGTAAAACGAAGAGCGGAGAGGATACTAACCGTTGGCGCTTCTGCTTCTTTCGCTTTGGAGATCCTGCAGCAGGCGCTGGCCGCTTGCGGTTCGTCGCGCGAGGGGAGAAGGGGGGCGGAGTAGGAAGGCCGACTGGCTGCTCAGAGCTGTGGAATTGGAGGTTAGAGGCGACTCGGGCGGAAAGTCGGAACGCTGGACTCACTCGAAGCGGCCAGCATCCTGCGCACCGAACCACTCATCCACCACGTCGTCGTTCTCAGCCCCATCCCCACCGAGACCGTCGCCTGGCTCCGCATCGTCCTCCTCGACGGCTCGACCCTTGCCCTTCAGGTCCCACGGGATGCGGTCTGCCAGATCTTTCGCCGCCTCAACACCGCCTTCGCCTTCAAGGTTCAACAGTTCCTTCCGCTCCACACTCGTTTCGTCGTAGTCGTCAAAGCCTCCGCCAAACTCCTGCCCGGCCAACGGATCGTCCTCGTCGGCGAACCGGCCGGCAAACTCGTTGCTGTCCTCCTTCTCAACGCGCGACAGGTCGGCCTTTGTGCCGGAATCGACGTCGTCATCCTCCTCGTATGTGGTCGTCGCAAGTGAAAGGCGAGCAGAGGAGATATCGCCGAAGCCAGAGGCGAGGGAGAGGCGAGGGTGGGAAGCGGTCTCGACATCTGCTGCCGAAGCCGCAAAAGAAAGGTCCCTGAAACGAGCTGCCAGTCAGTACGCGCCAGAGCGGATGCGAGAAATCGAATGCACCCTTCAAGCTCGCTGCCCATGCTGAAGCGACCGGTCCTACCGATACTCTCCCTAAGCGAGCCCGAACCGACGTGGTCCTCGTCACGCTTCGCTTCGTCGTGACCCTCGACTGGCAACTGACGCCTTCGGACGAGAAACTGAGTCAGGTCCTCCGGCTGCACGCTCGCTCGTCTCGCCTGCTCAACCGAAGCGACCGAAGCCATGCTATCGCGCCTCGACATTGACCTATCGGAACCAGCCGGCGAGCCAATGCTGATGGATCGGCGGAGCTGCGAGAACGACCGCGACAGGCGTTGCGCGCTGAGGAGGGTTTCGGCGACTTCGGCGGACGATGTGGTCGAGCTGGCGGCGGACGAGAAGGAGGTGTCGGCTGGAAGGTCTGCAGAATCCGCAGGGTGTTCGTTAAGGGACTGTGTATGGAGAGAAGCGGGAGAAGAGTGCTCGAGTACTGGCGCCAGGGAAGAATGGCGAGGAATGTAGGAGCCGCGACGAAGACCTGATGAGCCGATCGCAGTGTCGGGTGTTCGCGCTGGTGATGTCGTATCTGCCTCGCTCGGTGTCGCAGGCGGAAGATCGGACACTGCGCATACGAAGGTGAGGAGCGCAAACGAGGAGTAAGATCGCGCGGCGCACTTCGGGATAGCGCTCGCAGCAGTTGTCCCGGCGTCATCTCTTTCCTCGGTATGCCCATGCTGAACCGCTTCTTGCGCTCGCTCAAGACCGCCTGGACTTGCTTCGGCGTACGTTTCCGGATCGAGCGCCTCCGTTTCGCAGGAGTCTGGAGCGCATCCTCGCCGGCTGTCTTCACGAGCGTGTCCCTGCCATTGGACGTTGAGGAGGCACCTGCCCCGTTGTTGGTGGACAGGGTCGACTCGCGAAGCGGAGTGTCGGCAGCTGAGATGGCTCGAATCTGCAGGCAGACGTCGGTCAGCAGACCCTACATAGCGCAGACAAGTGCACGACAGGACGCACGTATTCCGAGTGAGATGCCTGACGCGTATTGCCAGGCGTCAAGCCGCCCGGTAGACCCAGCCCGAGAGACTCCATCGTCGAGGACAAACAAGCGGTCTGTCGCGGTGAGAGGCGGTGTCGCGGGGTAGTACACTTTGCAGCCCAGTCCTAAATAGTCTAGAAGCAGCTTGAGTAGTACAGCTAGCCCCACGAAGCGGTTGAGAGCGATTCGAGGTTGTGGTTGATTGATGAGAGTGAGGGTGAGGGTTGAAACTGGTACACCTCGCTCGACTCGACTGATGTGGCCTGCAAGTATGCCAGGCAGCATCCTTCACACCGCTGAAGTGCCCGCCTTCGACCCGCGCACCGGCCAGCTCTCCCTCGCCTCCCACGACCTCATCTCAGCACCTCTCTCCCTCGCCGACGTTTTCCCGCCCGAGTACACTCTCTTGTTCGATCCGTCGCCGTCCAGACCGTACGGGACATCGACCAGTGCCGCAGACGCAGACCAGCCGGCCGGCCAGTCGAGGAGGAAGCGTCGACGCCTCGCTCGACCCGACGAGACCGCCTCGCCGCTCGACTGGATTCGACACCGCGAGAAGGAGGCGACGCGATCATCGACGGACAAGGAGAGCGACGAGCACCATGCAGCGATCGAAGCGGAGCTTGGGACGGCGGTTGAGGCTGTTCGTGCAGGTTGGATGGGGAAAGGCGAGGATGCTTGGATGGGCGAGTCGAAAGGGCGGTACGAGTGGCGCGAGAAGGAGGACGAGGATGTGAAGGAGGAGCTCGACTTGGTTGGGCTGGGCGAGCGGTTCGCGCCAGCTTTGGACGAACCACCAGAACCGCTTCTCCTCAGCGAATCGCGTTCTACGGTCTCAGCCGCTGCGCTGTTTCATCGCATCGTCCGGAACGATGGCTCGAGCTGCATCAGTCTCGACATTGAGGTGGATGCCAGCGAAGCCACGCCAACATCGAAGGCGACCGTCATCCTCCCGCCCTCGAGCGGTTTCCTCCTCTCCCAGCTGGCCACCTGGCCCGCTTCAGCCCCGAGCATTGCTTCGCTTGGCGGTGAAAAGGGCGGCTGGGACGTCCTCATCGTCGAGTCCGTCCTTGCATCTTCCGCTACCTGCTCTTCGCTTGCTGATGCTGTTGCTCTGGCTGACAGTCCGCCCTGGCCCAACGCTTCGGCTACGCGCTCTTCTAGCTATGACACCTTCGATCCTTATGACCTATGGAAGCTCGACCTGCCGACTATGCTAGGCGATTCGCCAACTCTCGTCGCCTTCTGGCTGACGAACCGAGTCAAGGTGCGTCTTCCGCAGTTCTCGCACATATGCGCCGCTGACCATCTATGCGCAGTTCCGACGACTGCTCAAGGACAAGCTCTTCCCGGCGTGGCGGATCCAGCAGTCGGCGGAGTGGTACTGGATCAAGATCGCCTCCGAGACGGGAGAGCCAGTGTGGCCACTCGACGCCAAGCACCGTCGCTGCTACGAAGGTGCGTTTTGCTCCCACTAGCGAGACCTCTTAGCTGACGCCGCTACCTCCAGGCGTGCTCCTTGGCTACTACGTACCGCTCGGCACGAAGGTCGACCTCCCTACGCTGCCGCAGAACAAGGTCTTCCTGTCCACGCCCATCGGTCATTCTCGCAAGCCCTTCATCCTCGGTGAGTTGAGCTGCGAGTATCCGGCGACGCGGAGTTGACAGCTGACTCTCGCATCGATAGACCTTCTCAGGCCATACCTCCTCCCGCGCGACAGGCCGCCCAACGTCCTCGAGCTCTTCGCTCGCATGACTCTACAAGGATCGTTTCGTCGGTCAGCGACGGATGAGGACGGCGAGGGAGACCAGCAGAAGCCTGGTATCTTCCTTGCGGTCGGGAACGAGGCGATCAAGTTCAACATCGTCGACGGTTCGGCCGCTGCAGGCAGTGTGCGTGGGTGGCTGAGGCGGCAGGAGGACACTGAGCGGGTGTGCGCAGCAGAAGAGGCAGTATGACGCCGTGTGCCAACGTCGTCCGCGAGCAGGATGGACTTCTCTCGTCTCTCTCGCTCGTCTCTTCGCTCCGCAAGCCGCGATGCAAGCTTCGTTACTCTCTTCAGACACATCTCGACACGTCTCGCGCGAGTCCTGGCAAGCAAATGGCAAGGTTGCAAGCGAAGTCAAAAGGCAAGCCGCGATTTGGCTAAGTCCCGCCGCTGGGTGAGCGACCTCTCCCTCCGCCCACAACCACCATGCTGCCCGTGAGTTGCGCGGGAAAGGCGTACCCAGCTGCTGTGCTGACCTTGGACCCGAGCACAGCGCCGCACCGTCGCTGCGTCCGTCCGCACGCTCGCCACTGCCGTCTCGCCCCAGCCCTCAACTTCGGCTACACCGCACCGGCCACGCCTCGAGAAGCTCCGCCAGGACACTGCACAGATAGATGACTTCCTCACGACTGAGCCTGCACCCGCTTCGGCGCGGGGGAGGGTCAGCTTCGCCAAGAACAAGACGTCCGTCGCTTTCTCATCTCCTTTGATTCGAGGAGGGAGATAGAGCTGATCAGGTTTGTTGTGCGCCCGCAGACCTCGCCTGCCAGACTACCTGAAGACAGAGATCCCGACTTCGGCGAGCTTCAACAAGATCAAGCAGGACTTACGAGGACTGAAGCTCCACACGGTCTGCGAGGAGGCGCGGTGTCCCAATATCGGCCAGTGCTGGGGTGGCGACAAGGGAGATGCGACGGCGACGATCATGGTGCGCTCCGATTCTTTCAAGGGACGCTTGGTCGAGCTGTCGACGGCTGCTGACCTCGTTTCCTCCTCCGCTATCAGCTCATGGGCGACACCTGCACCCGTGGATGCCGGTTCTGCGCTATCAAGACGTCGCGAGCACCACCGCCTCTCGACGTACACGAGCCGGAGAACACAGCGGAAGCGATCTCGCGTTGGGGAGTCGGCTACATCGTGATGACCTCGGTTGACCGCGATGGTGCGTCTTCACTTTCCTCTGCAGTTTCGGCTCGTCAGCTGACAGCTTGCGACGATTTCAGACCTCCTGGACGGTGGTGCCGCACACATCGCCGAGACTGTTCGACGAACGAAGGCGAAGTGGGTTGTGTTTCTGCGCTATAATATTCGGGCTAGTCAGCTCACCCGCTTCACTCGCAGAGCGCCGCACATCCTCATCGAAGCTCTCACCCCCGACTTTGCCGGCAACGCCGAAGCGATCAGCCTCGTCGCACAATCGGGCCTGGACGTCTTCGCGCACAACATGGAGACGGTCGAGTCGCGGACACCGTTCGTTCGTGATCCGCGCGCCAAGTACCGTCAGAGTCTCGAGGTGTTGCGGCTGGCGAAGGAGGCGAAGGAAGGGTTGATCACCAAGACTAGCTTGATGCTCGGCGTTGGCGAGACGGACGAGGAGATCATGCAGACGCTCAAGGGTGCGTCGTCGTCCCGCTTCCTCCTAGGGGTTCCCTCGCTGACCTGATTGATTGTCAGACCTGCGCGACAACAACGTCGACGTCGTCACCTTCGGCCAATACATGCGTCCGACCAAGCGACACATGAAGGTCTCGTCCTACATCACGCCCGAGAAGTTCGACTTCTGGGCGAAACAAGCCGAAGACCTCGGCTTCCTGTACTGGGCAAGCGGTCCGCTCGTTCGTTCGTCGTTCAAGGCGAACGAGTTGCTCAAGAGCAGTGCGGGGAAGAGGCTGCTCCAGGGTTTGCAGGGACGCGACCGAGGTGTCGAGGCGATCACGAAGGAGGGCGAGCGACAGATCATCGAAGGCGTCCGGGTGTAGATGGAACGGAATGGACACTCATGCGACGCTAACTTGGGCGAGGCTCTCGCTTTTCGCTGCTGCTTCTCTTGCCCGGACGTCAGCGCTGCTTCTCTCGCTCAGCGCATTACTTTCGGATTACAGCTCGACGCTATCCCTCGCTGTCTCGATTTGCGGACCCCTCTTCTCACGCGGCATGGTCTACTCGGAGGAGCAGCGCCCGGGCACGCCGATGTACACCGTCGAGGCTTACCTCCCCGTCAACGGTGCGT